CTGTTGGGACGGCTACTTGTGATGCCGATCTGGCATGGACAAGACGCAGTCGCAGACTCGGTATCAGACGGTGGTTCACATCATCCACAGTTTGTGGAGACATTGTGAGGCGATATCACCGCGCTGCCATTGTTTCCTTCACTGCCAGAGTTCCGACTCTTCCGTTCAGGAAATCGTGATCAAAATTAGTCAATGCTAGGAGGACATCTCCTCCCACAATATTAATGTAATTACCGAGGCTGCACAGTGGTTTGATATACTCCGAAGCTATGACTCGGTGAAGATGCTATTTGTACCTTTCATGGGAGGAGGTCTAAAGGAAACCCAGAAAAAGAAAAAGCAGAGAAGGTCGGTGATGTCCCAATTACTTCGTACCAACTAACCCTAGCCCTTGGTTCGTGTTGTAACATCGAACGCGTCGACACACCTCACATCTCCCCTCGCCTCGCAGTCAGCCCTGGCCCCCCCTCCTCCAGCAGGGGGGTGTCAAATGACATGACTCGCTGCGAGGGTGATCGTGAGCACATCTGCAAATCATTTCTCAAGCCATCGTATCACTCCCTGCTATAAAGGAATAATGTCTAACTCTGGACCTCACGTCCGATGCAGTTCATGGGGGCGTAGCAACTGGGATAATGGAAAAGTACCGACATGACTTTGGTCTAGCCCCAAGACAGTCCAGTCCAGTCACAGGTTTCAAGATAGATGTTAATCATTTGATTGTCATACTTTCCACCCTATAGGAAGTTTGATTGCACACAACCCCAGTTTGCCTCCCGAGTCGCTAGGGTTGGACCGGACTCCAGGTTCGAGACAAGGACAAAGACTTGTTTTGGATGTTGCGGGTCGCAAAAGGCAACAAAGACCTCCTCGAGACGTGGGGCCTGTGGATGGATCACGTTCCGTTCAAGAAGCTGCTTCCAGGCTGCTTCAGCCGTGCAGGGGCCCTTGAGGAGCGCCGATAATAAAATGACCAGAGTAAGTACGTGCTCTTGAAAGGATGTCTGGAGTTAGGAGTACATATTCGTTGTAGATCAGTATACTCCGTACTTCGAATAATATTTATCTCGGTTTGTACTTGACTGGATCCACCTCAACCGAGAATGAATCATAAATACTGTAATGAGTCATTGACGCAATCATATTATTAGTTAAATAGTCAGACAAAGGACTTGATATTATTACTGTAGTGAATGTAGTAATCCGTGGGGTAGCCTGGATGTGGTTGTTTTAGTAATGCCATTCTGAACAACCCCAAGCACGGTCCAATCATATACACAATCTAGTCAAGCCCCAATCACCTTCGCCCCAAATTATGCCATGCAGTCAGACACCGTCATCGCCCGGGTTTCGTTGAGAAACTGCAAAAGACATATTTCATCTTCGTCGTGTTTGCCCTCGCCAGTTTGACTTTTGGTCAAAGAGTCTTTGACTTTCCGGTGCCCCGGGGAAGTCCCAGCCCGCTTTGATTCGAGTTCCCAAGGCCGTTTTTCTGTTATGCTTGCCCCCGCCCGGCTGAAAGCGTGGCTCCTGGAGTGGTCATTGAGGTCTGTTAGATGCTGGTACCGTATGGAGCCGAGGTTTAAAGATGGTATGTACGAATTATGCTGGGCAAGGTAACGGGCTCCGTAAGAGGCACCAATAGTAAGCACCGTGTCCGTTATGGTTGTGGGGGAGAGAACGAAGAGTTACGTAGTGTTGTCTCAGGCTGACAGGCTCCAATCCATTATTTTGTACGGAGTAAATGTGTGCTGATCATTAAGAGAAAATAGAAACATTATGGGCCTTTCATGGAAGTCTTAGGCAATTAATCAGATACAGGTATAGCCACGATAGGCAGATTCGACAGTTGGCTGTGAGCTGGTTTGTAGTCGAGTCTAGACTTGGATGATTATGTTAACTCGAGAGTCATCTATGATTGGAAGCATGTAGGCAGTCGTCATTATTCGAGACATGTTAGCGCGATCATCCTAGTCTACCGACCTGAACTCCACATGAAGCACAAAATCATCACTACAGTACTACTGTATACTGCTGCGACAATAACGGGTCTTGCAGCCCGGAGATAATGAAAATTCTATTCTTCCGCCTACGACCGAGCCGGTTCTATTTTCGCCCATCTCAACTTCCGTCTCTACTTTGAATGGGGAATCCAGTGGAGTCAACGACGCGTCCAAGAGCAAGTCAGTTGCTATGCGGGACTATGGTTGGACCTACACTATACTGTTATCTTAGTTCCGAGTACGCGGTATACTCCATACTCCCACAACACTCACAAATTCAACAGTGGAAGAAAACTATCCATAATTCGTGCGACCTCTGGAAAGATCACATTCCCGCGAGTCTCCATCCGTCCACATCCGGTATGGCCGCCATCATTCTTTACCCCCTTCCCGCGGAGTTTCACAGGCTCCTTGGAAATGCGTTGCTTCCAAAGCCGATCAGTCTCGACTATGAGAGGCAAGCCTGCCTAGAGATTCTCGTCGTCCATCTTTGCGCTTTCCGTCGCCGACCTGTCCGTGGTTATGCTGTCGAGGCTCCCCGGTAGAAGGTTGGAATATTGCAATGCCAAAACCACTGCCAGGCACAGTCCAAAGTGATCTGCCAGTTACATTTTCAACGGAACCCTCAGCGAAAGCCGATTTCCATTCTTTACCTTTCTACCAATCCCAGGGCTCAGGTTACTACCAGCAAGGCTCTCCCAAAATGTGGACATGAACCAAAGCCTGTTTGGTCCCGTCTTTGGCTAGATCGGCCACCAATCCCAGATCGATGATCATATCGAATTCCCTAAACCGCAAGGTTCATTTCAACAACGGTCGGCGAAAATTCTAACCAAGATCATCTGAAAACATCCTACTTTTGTAGGACCCCAAGCGGGGAAATTATTTGAGATCACAAACGGCTATTCACAGACTCTTCTTTGCCCGAAGCATGCTGTGGCGCGCAGTGACAAGGACCTGGAAACTTGGGTGAGCCACCGGGTGATGATGAGAACGATGTCACCATTATCTTCGTATCGAGATCCTTGAGATCAATGGACCCAACAACCTGGCTCGAGCTCCCCGATCTCGCCCAAGAGGAACAGCCCGTCGGGGCTTCCACAGATGGAGCAGATGGAGCAGATGAAGGTCAAAGGCTCTAGCCACGCAGTCACCCTCTAACCATTGCGAACCGGCCTAGAGGATTCTTCGGTTTGGCTTTGCAGGACGCCTGGAAATGGACATCTTCCTCCGGGACTTTGCCCTTCGCGGCTTCGCCACGAATTCATGTAGCTGTCCAATCTCGGCCTTATTCGGATGTCCTGGACTTGGTCAGTAGATGTGATGTCTGACAGACATAGCCGCGCTCAGGATGCTGGATACTTAGCTGACGACTGGGCTTGCTGACAGTCATTAGGAATTAATCTGTTGCTCGCAGGAACGCTGCAGGTCTTGGGTGCGGCGGATTCTTTGCTCCAAACTCATTTGGCTTCTTTTCTTGCCTTCGGCTATCGCGCCTTGGTGAATACCGGGTAGACTGACTTGCGTTATTTGCGACGTAATCTCGATTGGAAATTCGTGTTGCTGCTATTGTGGATTTGACCAGATGAGCAGAATTTCCCCAGCAGTTTCGCCTAGCATGCCTACCTCTCCTCGACCGGTGTGTAGGCTGATTTTCCGTGATTTTAATACTGACCAGCTGTCTCTCTAGTTCTCTCATTACTATAAGTCTTTCTTCGTAGACCTCCAAGGAGCCTAAATGACCGGCTAGCTGTCCTCGAACTAATCTTGAGGCTCAATGAAGCTGCCATTTATGCGGCTGCCTTCTTTGTATTCTGATCAGATATGCCCAAGGCTAATCGTTCTCGTTTCTTTAGTAATGACTAAGGTCCATAGATATCTGGGCAAAGAAACCAAAGGCCTGAATAACTCCCACATAAACATGCCTTGAGACCCATGTGTTTGTGCGATCTGTTATTGCATATACGGAGATTTTAAAGGGTCTCTTATTCCTGAGCGTTGCCCCATAAGCACTGTTTGCTGTTGTCATCAAGATATTCGCCCGATGTATATTCCTGGATGTTTGACGGGATCCTTGAAAATATTGCTGGTCTGTCAGTTCACCTACGACTCTAATTTCCTTCAGCATATTTGTTGTTTGTTTCCAGTCCAGTCCCGTCACTTCCTTGCTTGAGATATACGTACAAAGCATTGCGAGGCACGCTCCCATAGAGATAGCAATAGACCTTCTCTTTGGACTGTCTCTGTGGAATGAAATTCCTTGTGGTGTTGTATCTATACATATTTAGCTACATAGTCTAGTAGACACGCAGCAACACGACTCGACGCTCGGTCAAGGACCATTTCTGCACCACCCGAAAGATTTGCAGAGTTCAATCAAGGTCAATTCAATAATTCAGCACAGCATGACAAGGCAATGGGGACAAGCTTAACACAATATATTCTACAACATGCGAGTGACAAACCAGATATTTTTGTTCTGGCGCTCACTTTAGCTATCCCAAGTTCAAAGCCAAGTTGATAAAATACCCTAACCAGACATATCATCGGTCTTCGTAATGGGAATGAATCACAAACAAAAATGAACGAACAAGTCCAGGCTACAGGCAATGCAAGTATCGAACGATACAATCCAGCTGCCTGCATCTCGACAAGTCAGTTCTTTCGAAATCCTGTCCGACTCGGAGTCGCTCAAGTTGCGGGGAAAGCCAGGATGCTTGCTCCTGCACAATTAAGCGATGCAGCTTGTTTCAGCACGGTGACTGGGCCAGAATATGCAATGATACCATCGTACATAAAAGGCATGATGAAACAAACACACATGAAGTCAAGGGAATCGACCCAGGTCTGGGCCTCAAGATTGTTCGCTTTGAAACTGAACTAGATTACGAGTCGAGAAATATATATGCTATTAAGGTTGATACATCAGATACATTCCAGCTTGATGAAATGTGGCTGTCTATTGGAAGGGACCTATATTCCATGTTCTCCTTGATAATGACGACGATGTCGAGTTTATACTATGTACACTAATATTAGACCTACAGATTCCTACATCGGGTTAGTACATTGATTGAGAGCACTGAAAGACATGGTATGGTCTACATAGATCACAAATCAACGAAGGGCATTGAGAACCATACGCATCTAGGATCGTCCGCCACGGACAAGCTCAACAAGCGCCTGATTCGAGTTTCGCAATACGTCAGTCAGTTCGAATTCGATATTTGTCAACGTTCCAGTATATCAAACCTCTAAGCTAACAGCCTTTCTCAATTCCCCTCTGCCGTACCTGTGAACCCCGAATCGAACGTGCTCGAGGAGATCGTTGACGCGAACCTGGTTGAAGCGGACGTTACTCTTGTGGCTCAATTACATGACTGCAATCCTACTCATGTGGAAGCGCTTCGTCGAGGATATCAGGTCAACTCAGTGATGGCCAAGTTCTGGCGCAACACGTATGGCGGGTCGGCGCTCTCACACGCCTTCGTCTGGTTTCCTCTACACTTGCCTAAGGTTGTGGAGATCGAAATAGCCATATACATCTCTTTCTATCGGTGATGAGTGTCTATCTAACCCACCTGAGTTTTAAGCTCCTCTTACTTGCTTTTGAGGCCCTTTTCTCTGGATTTCAACAGAGCCTCAAACGACACCTGTTAACAAAGAGCTCGACATGAAATGTGCTTAGTACTCGTACGACAGACGCGACTGAGAACCAAAGGAGCCCGCCAACATCCAAGAGCTGGTTAATACTCCCCAGCACGAATTTGAGGATCCCCCAAGCCCTCCCGTTGATCCATCTTCCGTACCGCAAGGTATATCCATCTACATTCCGAGTTCACATCGATTTCCCCCAAGTTTACCTGCCCAGTAGCTACAGTTCCTACGCGTCATCATCAATAATTGCTATTCAAAATTCTTATCTTTAATCCCTTTCATGTTCCGCTCGGCTGGAGACTGAGCTTTCCGAGTCTGGCAGGACTACCTATCACTGGCCCGCTTAGTCGGCCAGTCGCGGTCAGGTACCCGGTCAAGTAGCCCAGAATGATCATCATCTTTCCCCTTTAAACTTCGTTTGCTCTGAAAAGTCATCTCGCATGTCAAACTTAGCCTAATCAGTGTAGCTCCTGCTCCACTCTCAGCACTACAGTATTGGTGACCTCGATAACTGTGGAGTACTCTGCTCCCGACTAAACTTTATAGAGTCCGAAAGATAACTCGATAGAAAATTCTAAAGCTATTCCGAGAGCCAGTCCAGAAGACCTTTAGAGATATCATCTAAGGGATATGCGGTTAAAGTGTATCTGGCTAGGCTAATTCTCCAATCACTAATCCGTAGATTTAGACCTTTGGACGGAGATGAAACCAACCAAATTAGGCCTAGTCTATAGCGTGAGCTCATTTCTTTGTCGTGCAAGTAACAAGATCCTACGTGGATGGCATAGCTATGACTACTACACAGCTAGACCTACCCGAGGACGGGGTTGCTGTGACTATCCTCCGTGCCAGCTTCCGTGGAGAGAAAGACTTGGTGATACCCGAGTCTGAGCTGAAAAGAGTTGCCGAGGATGGATATTTGGAGCGAGCAGAGTCTCCTACGCCGTCTCGATGCTGACATGTCCGTTGGCCACCAAGCGATAGGAATCATGGAACACATCACGGACGCGTTGATTTGAAATATTTCAGGGGACGTGCGTGGCCATTCGAGGCTAAAGTCAAGGCCTCGAAAATGTTATTCGCGCTAGACTGCCGATGTCTCACGTGTTTATGCTGATGATTGTTCTACTTGAGACCCTGGAAGGTTGCTTGACTATCGTGGGTCTCTGGATAATAGCATTTCTGCTTTGTTCGGGCCGTTTTTTCGCCCTTCCGTTATTTTCCCCCTTCTCTCCGGTCCTGTTGCCCTAAGCACGAACCCTCGGGCTGACTAGCCGACAGGATGAATGTCTGACGATTTGATGGCTTGCCGGACGGCCTGTTAGTGCCGTCGCACTCATCCAACGGAGAAACCCCCTGGTGGACCTGGTGGGGGCTGTTTTCGACAGGCCAATGGCCACGGCAATTTCCGTCCGGGGGGAAAAGAATAATCTGGGGGAAGAAGGTTCAGTTTAAGTGGAGCACAACCCCCGGAGCGTCCAGTAATGGGCCATCGCTTCGGCAAGGCTCGTGCTAGTGTCTTAAAGCAGACATCGGCCCTTGACTCCTTTCCTGAACTGATCTAGGGTCCTTCTGGTTCCTGTCACCAAGACTATGGGCCCGACCTCGGAGCCAATCACTTCCACAACCCAAGCGACGCCTTCATTCCTCTTAGAGATGGACGGCTGTCTCCCCGGCTGCTGACCGTCGCGAGCCCGGGTCTTAACATTGGTCAGGCTCATGTCGTTCTCCAATTGAGCCTGAATTCAGTCGCAAGACCCTGGCCACTTGACAAGACAACCCCGTCGGCCATTGGCTTTGCGCAAGACCCGTAAGCTTTGCCATGAGAATTTGGCAAAGCTTGGTGGAACCCTCTCCAGCTTTATCCCCCCATCTTGATCGAATGACCGGGGTCAAGAGATCTAGGGCCTTGAAAGGATGAGAGGGTCCGACAATTTATCCTATTTTGCCGCTAGAAGAGACCGGTCCTGCAGCTTCGTCGCAACGAAACATTTCCCCGCGCATTTAAATACTAAGCGACTGTCAGCCACGAGGGTGGATTTTCAGATCCTGGCAGATTTCACAGATTGGGCCGCAACTGGTTGCATCTTCGATCAATCCTATTACTTCTTTTCAATTCGTGTCAAGACTTGACTGATACACGCACAATGGGAAAGGATACATTCACTCTCGGTGGCCGAGAATGGCCAAAGGTGACATGGTGGAAGATGAAGGGCATGCGCTTCGTCTATCTCACTCTCTGGGCAGCCATGATTACTTCTGCGACCAACGGTACTTCCCTCCTCCTTCCTGCGCCATCGCGACAACGCGACTAACAGAATGACTAGGCTACGACGGATCGTTGATGAACGGACTGGAGGCTATGGACTCTTGGAACGAGTGTGAGTAATTCCAACTTGAATAATAAATAGCTCGTGGCCATGGATCTGACAATGAGACGATCTAGCCTATAATCACCCAAAGGGCGCTACCCTGGGTCTCTTGGCAGCCGCCATGTCAATCGGCTCCATGCTTTCAATTCCCGTTGTCCCATACGTTGCGGATATTCTCGGTCGTCGTGCCGGTGTAGTTGTGGGCTGCGTGATCATGCTTTTCGGTGTTGCCATGGTCTCGATCGGATACCGTATTGCGCTGTTTGTCGTTGGCCGTGTCGTCCTTGGTTTTGGTCTCGGTATTGCCCAGGTGAGTCGGACAATAGCCTCATTTGTAGTGAGTTGATCACTGATGCCGAAAAAAAATTAGGAATGCTCGCCCCTTCTTGTCACCGAGCTGGTGCATCCTCAGCACCGCGCAGTCTACTCGTCGATCTATAACAGTCTGTGGTACGTGGGCTCTCTCATCGGAGCCTGTGTTGCTTTGGGTACGTCGGATAAGTGACATCGAAAAAAAAAGAGCAACTCCTAACGTGACGGTTTAGGAACGAACCACATCGTGGGCAGCGCATGGTCGTGGCGTGTCCCTTGTCTCTTGCAGGGAATTCCATCCCTGTGCCAGTTGGTTTTCATTTGGTAAGAGGCACAGACACAGTCTAACGAGGAACGATTTTTCTGACTTTGAGTTTACAGGACCGTTCCCGAATCACCCCGTTGGCTCATTTCTAAGGGCAGACTGGAGGAGGCAAAGAAGGTCCTGGCTTACGTGCATGCCCAAGGAGACGAAGACGATGAATTGGTCAACGTTGAATTCGACGAGATCCAACAGACCATCGAGCTGGAGAAGGAATTCGAGGGCAACAACTGGACTGAATTCTGGTCTACTCCTGGCAATCGCCACCGCTCTATTATTCTGATTTCCATTGGTTTCTTCTCCCAGTGGTCAGGCAACGGCATCGTGTCATACTTTTTGCCTCAGGTGAGTCATGGAACAACTTGTAATAGATGGTACAATGGCTGATCAAATTAGGTCTTGGACATGATTGGCATCACCAACAGCAACACTCAACTCACCATCAACTTGATTCTGAGCGCAGTCAATGTGGTTTCCGCAACTGGAATTTGTTTCTTCGTCGATTACTTCGGCAGACGCAAGCTCTTCCTGACATCCAGTGTCAGCATGCTTGTGTGCTACGTGGCGACTACCATTGCCCTGGCCCGCTTCAGCGTGTCCGACGCCGCCGGTGTGTCCAACAACAACGCAGCCAACGCCGTCATTGTCTTCATGTTCCTCTTCTACATTGCCTATAACATTGGTTTCAGCGGCATGTTGGTTTCCTACTCCTCTGAGATCCTGCCGTACCGCCTCCGTGCCAAAGGTCTTACCCTCATGTTCTTCTGTGTCGACCTCAGTCTCTGGTTCAATCAATATGTGAACCCTATCGCGCTGGACGCGATTGGCTGGAAGTACTACATTGTGTACTGTGTCTTCCTGGTCTTTGAGATTTTCGTCGTCTGGAAGTTCTACATTGAGACTAAGGAGATTCCCCTGGAGGAGATTGTCAAGAAGTTCGATGGTGACCGAGCTATCCTGGGTGGTGCGGCTGCTTCTGAGAAGGTTCAGGAACTCACTGGTGCTCATGGTAGATCCGCCTCCGCGGATGGTGGTGAGAAGGCGGTTACTTCCCAGATTGAACTGTAGATTGGCTGATGGCTCAATGCACTGGATCGAGATGACAGTCCATCGCCCCTATGAGAGATGAATGTCATTACAAGTGTACTTTTGCTCCTTGAAGGAGCATTATAATGTTGTTGTTACTATTTTGAAGAATCTATCCTGCCTAATGGCATCCCCCTCCTACTTCTGCATACAATGTTAAATCTAGTGATAGCGGTTGTGGTTCTTCATGAGCTCGAGAGTGCATGTTAAACCACACGTACATGACAGGACAATTAGCAGCATATTTTAGCTTAATCAAGTATCTTGGCATATCTGACTTTGTGAAGTTGTCCCGCTACTCAGTGCCCTTGTTATTGCTTTCTATTCATGTCCGGTTTACAACCTCTTCTAGTATTAACGACGATCTTTTGCAACTGTTTTGATGTATAGAGATGCATCGGTTATCCATCCCTTATTCTAGAACTCGCAGATCGGCACTGTCAAGCCGCTAAGATTTGCCGAAAAAGCTAAGGCGCTGGTGCATCTAGCTCTAGCCCCCAAACGTAAATCACAAGCGAACCCTTATCTCCAGCTCACATACTAAAAGTGGGACGCAATGTTAACCATCCTCGGCCGTTAATTTTCTCGGTATTCACTTTAATAAGGTTTTTTCGGTAGGGTAAATATTATTTCTCCATGCAGAGCCCATTGAACTTTGACCAATTCAACATACCTGGCTCGGAATGCCCACTCGGTAGGGGTCAATATTGATCCACCCACTAAATTTGATATACTTCATGGGGTATTAGGCTATAAGAACACTCTAAAAGATATTGAGCATATTAGACGATTATTGTAGCCGGTAACTCGGTTGAAATCAAAAACATACATCCTACTAGAACCTGTAGCCAACGCTTTTACTAATTCCGCCTAGTCCCTCTTTGCTCTTCTGCAGCCGGCTTTAAGCGAAACTGAGGCTAGTGTAGTATGCTTAGCCTTTTTCCACCAAACATCTTGGCATACCTATAGCCTAATATCCACATGCTCCTCCGGAGAATAGACGTACCCAGGGGTGTTAACTTTCGGCCAGCGAATGAGCGATTGAATATTAGAGGCTAGTAATAACAGGCGACGTGCATTTGCGGGGAAGTGTAGAAAGCTTAGGCCAAAAATTTGTTTATATAGCTTCAAAATTCTCTATGAAAATACAGTGCTAAGCAATCACCACTCTTCCACTTTCAAGCTTGTCACCATGCGTCCCTCTCTCATCTTTGCGGCCTTGCTGGCCGGTGCGTCCCAGGCCGCACCTCACTCTTCCAATAGCAATAGCAACAGCATTGATCTCAATAAGCTTGCTCAGCGCCGGGGAAAGCATTGGTTTGGTACAGCGGCCGATATTCCTGGAACTGCTGAGACCACCGACGCCGCGTACCTCAAAGTCCTGAAGAACAACTTTGGTGAAATTACGCCGGCAAACGCAATGAAGGTATGTCCATGTTGGAATCCTCCCTTGGCCTGTTATTTGTTCCTCCATTGACATTCGCATGTCTATCTAGTTCATGTACACCGAGCCAGAGCAAAACGTGTTCAACTTCACTGAAGCCGAGCAATTCCTGGAGGTGGCCGAGCGCTTCGGTACACAGGTTCGATGCCACAACCTCGTCTGGGCTAGCCAGGTGTCCGACTTCGTCACATCCCAGAACTGGACGGCTGAAGCTCTCACTGCTGTGATGAAGAACCACATCTTCAAGACTGTTCAGCACTTTGGTCGACGCTGCTACTCGTGGGATGTAGTCAACGAGGCTCTCAACTCCGATGGCTCATTCTCTTCAAGTGTCTGGTACGACACTATCGGCGAGGACTACTTCTACCTTGCATTCAAATACGCACAGGAGGCATTGGCTGAGATTGGGGCCAACGATGTGAAACTTTACTACAATGACTATGGCATTGAAAACCCGGGTACCAAGTCAACTGCCGTTCTTAACCTCGTCAGTGGACTCCGCCAGCGCGGTATTCGAATTGACGGTATTGGCCTGGAATCCCACTTTATCGTGGGCGAGACCCCTTCTCTTGCCGATCAAGTCTCTACGAAGCAGTCCTACATCAAGGCTAATCTCGACGTGGCTATCACCGAGCTTGATATTCGTTTCTCGACTGTGCCGTACTACACGGCTGCTGCTCAGAAGCAGCAGGCTCAAGACTACTATTCGAGCGTTACTAGCTGCTTAAATGTTGGTCCTCGCTGCATCGGTGTGGTTGTATGGGACTTTGACGATGCTTATTCCTGGGTTCCGAGTACTTTTGCTGGCCAAGGTGGTGCCTGTTTGTTCAACGATACTCTCCAGGCAAAGCCGGCGTACTACGCTGTCGCCGAGGCCCTCGAGGGGAAAGCTTGCAGTGTATGCTAGATAGAGTCCCACTAGATAAGAATTGATCGTGAGCCGTTTTGGCCATTAAGTGAGAGCGTTGTAATAGTATAACAAATCAGATCTCAAAGACACTGCAGTGTATATCATGTCTATGCAGTTACTCTTACCGGCAGGCTTGAGGGGTTAGTCAATTTTTAGAGCTTCTATCACAATCTCCTAGACTACTTGCAAAATTGAATATTGGACATGTAAAAGGCTATATCGTAATTGATCCAGCTAGGAGTTAGACTGTAACGCTGCCCTCTCAATACTGATTCTCAAACTACTGAAGATGGTCCCTGGCGGTGGGCTAACGCATGGTTTGACTTAGCTCGAGCAGACCTACAAAACAAACGGATAGTGAAATACAAGTGGGATTAATCGATACGAACACTTAATTATTCATGCCCGGTTAATCAATCTTTTGCGTAGTTCTCTCTGATGCCCCTTCAGATTGTAGGGATTCTTAAGTGAGGTTAAGTGTACGGATATATATCTCACATCCAACAGGAGGCACCAATTTCAGATACAATTAGTGGATATAGAAATAGTTGGGTTATGGTATAAATATCCCCAATAGACAGATGTCATGTTAAGCACATCAATTTACGTCGACTTTACCCATTGTTCTTTCGACTCGCAAGCTAGGTATCGGTATCCTCGCCCCAGGTCACGTGATCGATAGTGCATCAGGTGGTGTCCGATGCAGCCTCACTCGCAATGATTGCCCACTTTACTCGCAAAACCGCATCATTGATTTGGCCGGGCTTGTATTTGTGGGATTGCATATTTTGAGACTGCGGATTGATTTTAGGGGGCATATTCCTACCTTCCTATCACCTGCCTCGCACGCTATCACTCCTGTCCTCCCCAATTCAAAACAAGGGGGCACACGGTGCTGTCTCAACCCCTCCCATAGCCCTACACAAGAAATTGAAATTTCAAACTACGCTTTGACTCTTCTCTTGTTCTTCTCTTACCTCTACTTGAGCCTGAGCAATCATGCTGTTATGGGGCATGACTCGGACGCGCCTACGCGTCACAACAACCTCAAACCTCTGGCGGCGAGCCAAGAATGCATACTCGACTAAGGGTGCCAGCTATGGTTCCGGCTCTCGCTCCTACCCGAATCCGATCAGATCTATTGTGATTGCCAGCGTGATCAGTACACCTGCCCTTTGGTGGTTGGTAAATACCAAAGACAATACCACCCGTGATGATGCGCCGCATCTTGAAACCCCCCAGCTGAGCACTGGAAAGTCGAGCCCGATCCTTCTAAGGACCAAGTGACACGCATCATATCTCAAGGTGCTTATTCTCATTTGGTCCAAAACGTGGATGGCGTCATCAGATACGACGGTGCTCAATTGCCCTCTAACAGCCCTTGCGAGGACCATTTTACCCATGGCAAATTTCCTTCGCCGTGGAATCAAGGCAATACCTGGATGACATGGGGTGTTTTTGATGGTCATGCAGGGGCTCAAACGGCGGAATTGCTGAAGACCGAACTCATGCCTTTTGTCCGACACAGCTTGAGTCAAGTCAAGCCGGTCTCGGACGGAGTGTCTGATGGGCTGGTGCAGCGCGCTGTCGTGAACGCGTTTTTGAATCTCGACGATTCCATCATCAAGACTGCTCTGGAGACTTCCCAGAGCCAGGAATCGTTATCGGAGAAGGTAAAGAAGCTAGCGCCCGCTTATTCCGGCTCTTGCGCTTTGCTGTCCATGTACGATCCTAGCACGAGCACACTACATGTGGCGTGTACCGGTGATTCGAGAGCGGTGCTAGGACAAAAAGGTCCAGACGGTAGATGGAACGCAACGCCATTGTCGGTAGACCAGACTGGCAAAAACGAGGAAGAGATCGCCAGACTGTACAAGGAACATCCTGGCGAGCCAGACATTGTCAAGAACGGACGGGTACTGGGGATTATGGTCTCAAGGGCCTTTGGCGATGCGCGGTGGAAGTGGTCATTGGATTTCCAACAAGAAATACAGCGCAAATTCTTCGGTCCATCACCTCTGACACCCAGATACCCCGTTCAAACGCCGCCATATCTAACGGCCGAACCGGTGGTGACCAGCACCAAGCTCAACACCGGTAATCCGTCTTTCCTGATTATGGCAACGGATGGATTGTGGGATGTGCTCTCCAACCAACAGGCCGTCGAACTCGTGGGCAAATGGCTGGAACGAGGAGCAGGCGAGCAGAGAAGCAGCAACCCAGAACCACGATATGAAATGTCCGACTTTGGTGAATTTGCCAACGAGGAGAATTGGAGATTCGAGGAAAAGAGGACCACTGTTCAAGATGACAATGTCGCTGTGCATTTGGTGCGTAACTCGCTTGGCGGAAATCATCATGAATTGGTGGCAGGCCGACTTGCTTTCGATTCACCCTCCTCTCGACGTGTACGGGACGATATCACAGTGCAAGTGGTATTTTTTAATGGCCCGGAGCCTAAAAAGTAATCAGTTGTGGAAACCATAGCATTTCAAGAATATAGAAGATATTTAAAGGAGGGTACCCAAGATTGTCGTCCTGCCGCTGTTGTAACTGATCTCCAACATGGCTATCAAGTTCATTTTTTGGTTGTTCTGAAGCCACACTACGTTAGATACTGGAGTAACGATTTCGAACGTATCCAAACAAATCTCAAAGCCTGTCTTTTGGTGGTAGCGGTCAAATTCGGCTGGGAACAGCGCCAGCGATAATCGATAGATTTATACAGAGGTCACTTTGGAATGTCACCTCGCGCTTGAAATAATGACGGTAAAGATTCCAGAGAGCTTATTCTTCCAAAACCTTTTGTCCATTTTGATTTTGACATCGTCTTTTCGACCATGAGGGAGAACTGGGGCAAGGATGGTAGCCTCGTAGCACCAATAGACACATGACCATACTAGTTTTGCTTTATGACTATAATGCGCCGAGTCCTGCCGAGAGCGCGCATAGTTCGGGCAGGGCTGAAGAGGGGGCGGCAGGAAGAAATCGGGCCGCGAGGGGAATGACAAGGACAGGGTGTGGACCAAGGGAATACTTTCCCCAGATTCTACGAATAAGGAAAGTTTAGTCCCCCCTCACCAGGCGTTGTGTCAGCGAGGAGAAGCTAAGCTTGATCTCGTCGGGCGCCGCGGGTTCTTCCGCGGGTGATATCGGGGAAATCGGAGGAGCTCGTAGGTCATTAGGGCTAATAGTAATGGGAAAAGGAAATTTCAATAATAGCATAGCTAAATGGGATCAATTTTTGAACGAGAGGGAGGATATTATTCTCTGGTTTTTTATGTACAAAGATATACTAATAGATATAGATAGAGCAAAGACCTATCACAATAGCACCGCTAATATTACCGAGTTTGACCAAGTTTTTTTTCTCCTCAGCGGTTAATTACTCCTCACCGGGCATCCCCTCACGTCTCCAATTTTGCCCTTTTTGCAATTTTTCTTTTTTTGCAAGTTCGGTGTCGAGCCTTTTGCCGCTACGGGGCCCAGAAAAAACTGGGTCCCGAGTTCGCAGCTCCATAGTAGTTTAGCTTGTGAAAGCATGAGACTGTGAGAGTATAGTCAATAGGATTCAATTCATCGATAGAAGGAAGATTAGAAATATAATAATAAACGTAGAGAGATAATACAAGGCAATAGGAAGAGATATATCAGTCATATCAAATCCCTTCAATATATAGTTACAGTTACAGAAATGAAGTCATTGATTTTCTCGGGGTCGGACGGCAGAAAAAGAAAAAAGCTCTTTTCCCTGGTGGCCACACCGATTCGCCCAAAGCAGCACATCCACCAGCTCGCCATTCGCCCTTATCGAGAGATTTTCGGTTTTTTTAATTTTTAGCACTGGATTTTCGCCTGGGTCACTATTATTATTACACCCGAACGCTATATCTTTCCCAATTCCTCCCTTTCCCTTCAGATTCCCCCCCCAGCTTTTCAACGCTCCTCCCTCCCCCGCTGGTGTGCTCTTTCCACAGCCCCCATAATGGCTGGCACCACGCTAGCAATGCGCTCCATGGCCTCTCCCTCCATCATGAGGCTGTCGGCCGTGTCGCGCCGCACCCTTGCGACCACCTCCCAGGCCATCCGCCCGAAGCCGCTTCGGTCCAATGGCCTGTCTATCGCGCGCGCTGCTCGCCGCGGTTACGCTGATGCTGCTCCTACTCCTTCGCCGGCTCCCAAGCCCAAGAAGCGTTTCCGCGCTCTGCGCTGGGCCTGGCGTCTGACCTGGCTGAGCGCTCTTGGTCTGACCGGTGCTATGGCCTATAGCATCTACGAGCTGCGTCATCCCGAGGAGCAGTACGAGCCTGATCCGACAAAGAAGACTCTGGTCGTTCTTGGTATGTCATGATGCGCGATTTACGGTCGCAATCTCGGTCATCTGGCCGATACCGATAGGAATTGACTCACTAACGCTTACTCTGCGTGTAGGTACCGGCTGGGGTTCCGTCTCCCTGTTGAAGAAGCTCGACACTGAAAACTACAACGTCGTCGTCGTCTCTCCCCGCAACTACTTCCTGTTCACTCCCCTGCTGCCCTCATGTACTACCGGTCTGATCGAGCACCGCTCGATCATGGAGCCCATCCGTAACGTCCTCCGCCAGAAGAAGGCCACCGTCAAGTTCTACGAAGCCGAAGCTACCAAGATCGACTACGAGAAGCGCGTCGTCCTGATCAGTGATGATTCCGAGATCAAGGGTGACATTTCTCACACCGAGGTTCCCTTCGACATGCTTGTGATCGGCGTTGGTGCCGAGAACGCGACTTTTGGTAGGTGGTCCTGATGCGACAGAAAATATCTTTTCAATCAGAGGCTGACAATGCTGGTTTAGGTATCCAGGGTGTCCGTGAGCACTCGTGCTTCCTGAAGGAGGTCACTGATGCTCAGAACATTCGCAAGCGTATTATGGACTGTGTCGAGACCGCCATGTTCAAGGATCAGACCGAGGACGAGGTTAAGCGCCTGCTGCACATGGTTGTGGTCGGTGGTGGTCCCACCGGTGTCGAATTCGCCGGTGAACTGCAGGATTTCTTCAACGACGACCTGAAGAAGTGGATTCCCGAGATCAAGGACAACTTCCACGTTACTCTCGTCGAGGCCCTTCCCAACGTTCTTCCCATGTTCTCCAAGCAACTGATTGACTACACCGAATCGACCTTCAAGGAGGAGGAGATCACCATCCGCACCAAGACCATGGTCAAGAAGGTGACCGACAAGTTCATTGAGGCCGAGGTTACCAACCCCGATGGCAGCAAGTCTCTGGAGACTATCCCCTACGGTCTGTTGGTATGGGCTACCGGTAACGCCGTGCGCCCCGTTGTTCGTGACCTGATGAGCCAGCTCCCCGCCCAGAAGAACTCCCGCCGCGGTCTTGCTGTGAACGAGTACCTTGTTGTCAACGGCACTGAGAATATCTGGGCTGTCGGTGACTGTGCTATTACCAACTATGCCCCTACCGCTCAGGTTGCCGGCCAGGAGGGTGCTTTCCTGGCTCGCCTCTTCAACACTATGGCCAAGACCGACACCATTGAGAAGGAGCTCCAGACCCTCTCCAACGAGCAGTCCCTGGCTAAGACTGACGAGGACCGCAACCGTGTCTTCGATGAGATCCGTGAGCGCCAGAAGCAGCTGCGGAGGACCAAGCAGATCGGCCCCTTCCAGTACTCCCACCAGGGTAGCCTGGCCTACATTGGCAAGGAGCGTGCCGTTGCCGATATCAGCTGGCTGAGCGGCAACATTGCTAGCGGTGGTACTCTTACCTACCTCTTCTGGCGCAGTGCCTACCTGAGCATGTGCTTCAGCTGTGAGTTTTTCCCCCGTGACAACAACTTTCTAGATATTTGCTAACCCTTTTATCCCAGCCCGCAACCGTGTTCTCGTCGCTGTTGACTGGATCAAGGCCCGTCTCTTCGGCCGTGATGTCTCCCGGGAGTAAATACTTCAATACTCCATTCAAGTCATGCCTTCTGTGACAGCCTCCCCCTCTACGGCTGTCCATTTCCTATCCTCTTCATCGTCTCAACACACAAACTGACCTGTCTGTGTGTCCCTTCTTGAAACGCCACGCCGCCTCCATGCCCTCTTTGCTCCTCTTCCTACCCACGCCCTGGGATAGACATATCCATTACTTGTCCTTGTTTGTGATGACCTGCCATTGGTACCTGCCCACTTCTTCCCTTTTGACCTCTCATTTTGTATAACCACGCCACCCCAGATTCCAACATGGGATGTCCAGACCCCGCTTGGTCTGGGGATTGGAGAGGAAAAGCATTAATTTGGCCCTCTTTTCTCTGTCTCTTGTGAAGTTTTCTCTTTTCCTTTTCTTTGGGTTGTACGCTATGGGTATAGATAGACCGGGTCATGGTTTGTTGTTGTCTGCAACTTTCCATAATTATCCAATGAATTTTGTTTTTATCATGCTGCTCTATGATTCTTGGATTTGGACGCTGGTTACTCCAGCTCGATTCGACCGTATCGCAAAGGACCACTGGAAGCATTCGCTCTGGCATAATGGCGCATGTCGTTGCTACATCCAGATCGCAGGCCACCCGGCTTACTCACTCGGACTGTCATATCCAACGCTAGACCAACAACGCCCTAGCGGAAGTAAACATAGAGTTGAAAGCAATCTTCGACGATACCCGCGTGGCCAGTGACGCATTCTCCGGAGTCAACACTTCATGTTTCCCTATACTTAAGTATAAATACCGAATAAAGCCCACCACTAGTCAACCGAATATCCCCGAAATTTCAGAAGAGGAACTTGATGGGCAAGCAGTGCGATATCGGGCTAGTGCAAAGCATTGGCTTTCTTCTGTGTTGAATGACCTATATTCAATTCGTGAAAGTCTTTATGTATAAGCTGTGGGATTAGGGTCTTGTGACAATAATTCGGCATTCTATTGTTGCCGTGTTGGTTCGGCGTATTTAACTTGAAGTTGAAAACTCAGGTCATCATTGTATGATGAGATAAATGAACAGATTATAAATTGCCAGAAAGGTAATTATTGGGGCTATCTGCAGCTAGAGAGAACTTATTGATTGTTGAGTCATGCGAAGAACCTGGGCATCTTTTTAGATAGCATCCAGCTATATACAAAAAAGGACCACACAAATACCCATCAAACGGATATTTAGGTCTTAGCATAAAGCTCACTCAGCGTCCATAATTAGCTGCGAGACTTGTGGAGCGGGACTGACAACCTGATATTTGCATATTCTGGGCCCCGACTCTCGTTCTTCGATTTTCATCCGAGCTACAAACTCCAGGTTTGTCTTTGTTCCAGCCAATGTCTCCATTTTCAAAATTCCGACTAGAAAGATATCCGTGCCATCCGCGTCGTTGACGTAACTCTTCAAGATTGTATGCTGTCGAGTTTTCACCGTCGTCCAGGCGCCCTCTCTGGATTGCGATATCTCTGAACGTGGAACTCAGTGAGCAAAATTGAGAAATTGCGGGAACAACCCAAGAGGATTGGTCTTACCGGCAGCCCCTTGGAACGAGGCATTCGCCGTTATGAACACACCATCTTGGGTAAAGACCTCATCGGCTAAGACTTGCCCTACCTCTTGCGAATTGGTGTCTACCAAAGCGAAGAAGCGATGTACGAGTTGCTTCACCTCGGGTAAGGGCTGGGAAATAGGCCACGTCGTTGATTTTCTTGAATCACCCATAGCCTTTTATTTGAATGATGAAATAGGATCTGTAAGGTGAGGGAGACTGAGTGGGCGATAATCAACTACTAAATACTTAGCTCATGTCATCGCCAAGCCGGCTTAATTCTACTCCTCTACACCGAATGAGACCGCAGCGATTAGATTCCTTGAGCTGAAAGGGCAAAATGAACAACTTTAATCATAGCGTTATTCACAAAGTACTTGCTATAATGATGAGGATACGTCGCTTTACTTTGGCATCTCACAGGCATATACAAAATGTGGGGTATCAATTGACCGGATCCGATCTCGGCCTATTTCCGCCGCGCTCTATACCGTTTTCGTTCGGAATAACTGGTAACTTTGGATTTCATGCTCCTGTTGAAACAAAAGTCCCTAAACACCCTATACAAGCGGGGAAAGTGTTTGTCCCAGTCGGCGACTGTCAACCCTCGAGCGCTCTACAGTGTTATCCGTTTGTAACCGAGGCGTAAATGATTAGATTGAAGACTTGATAGTATGAAATGCAAATGGAGCTAGGACATATGCATTCATATACTCGATTTAATTTCAGTATTTTTCACAGCTGAGCCAATATCGTCCAAAAATGACTGCTTGTCACCTATCCCCCGTGAGATTGTCATTCTTCAAGGCACGCAGCTATGCAACAAGTGCCAAACATCGTCGACTCAACGTACCGATCGACTTCAAAGCTACCCCGTTGCTGCATCATTCCCCCAAGACATTCAAGGCCAATGGCATTCCCGATGAAGGGCCATCTAAGCGACTGAATCTTTGTCAAGCCGTCAATACTGCCCTAGCCACCGCACTGCGTTCGTCCAAAGATGTGCTTTGCTTCGGTGAGGATGTTGCATTTGGCGGAGTCTTCCGCTGCACGAGTGGGCTTCAAAGCGAGTTTGGCTCCGAAAGAGTCTTCAATACCCCGTTGACAGAGCAGGGTATCGTCGGAGCCGCTATTGGTGCTGCGGCGGAAGGAAGGAAGCCAGTCGTCGAGATCCAGTTTGCAGATTATGTCTTCCCTGCGTTTGATCAAATCGTCAATGAAGCCAGCAAGTTCCGCTATCGAGAGGGCACAACGGGCAGCAACCTTGGAGGAATGGTCATTAGGATGCCCTGTGGAGGCGTCGGACATGGCGCATTGTGAGTCTATTTAATGTAATCGACACGAAAATTCCTACTGCTTGAAACCTAACATTATATTTTGACATTTTATAGATATCATTCTCAATCACCAGAAAGCTTATTTTGTCATATCCCAGGATTCAAAGTCGTTATGCCGCGATCGCCCTCTCAGGCAAAGGGTCTTCTTCTGTCTGCGATACTCGAATCAAAAGACCCGGTCATCTTTCTAGAGCCTAAGATCCTCTATCGTGCTGCCGTCGAAGAGGTCCCGGACAGCTCGTACATGCTACCCCTGAACAAAGCTGAAGTCCTGAAACGAGGTCGCGATCTCACAATTGTTTCATATGGCCGACCTCTCTATACCTGTCAGGCTGCGATCGAAGCTGTCGAGAAAGACTTGCCGGGTGTTTCAATTGAGTTGATCGACTTGCGAACGATATATCCTTGGGACAGAGAGACCGTGATTGACAGTGTTAAGAAAACTGGTCGAGCTATGATCGTTCATGAGAGTATGGTCAATTTTGGCGTTGGTGCAGAAATTGCGTCAACAATACAGGAGAAAGCTTTCTTTCATCTCCAGGCTCCCATCAAGCGGGTTGCTGGGTGGTCCACGCATACAGGGTTAGCCTGGGAGAAATACATTCTGCCCGACGTTACCAGTAAGCTTCCAAAAACTTTTCATTCTGATTGCCTCACTAACCTGTCGGATTTTCGCAGGGGTTTATGATGCCATTCATGAGACACTGGATATTTAACCATCAATTGGGGCTGAAAAGTCTTCGTAAATCCAAGGGAGAATGTTGTGTATAATGCTGAGAGGATTGCTGAAATTTACGCAATGATTTCTTTCCCTTTCTGATATGCGCATAAGAATTAGGGCAAGGAAATGAAAATTGACATTGTATTGACTCGTCAGATACTACTGTGGCTGGCTGAGATCTATAACTACCCCTTACTCTGAGCTTTAATTTGCATGTATTTCTTTGCTAATCCCCGAGTTATTGGTATTCTTATGATTATTTCAACCTCCGTGAAGTCCAGTAATTTAGTTCAGCAGAACCAACACTCTTTTCATCCTATCTCTTTGCATTCTTCTGTTTGACACCAGGTTCTCCGATTTGATAGGAAGTCCTTAGTACTTCATAGCTGATAACTATAGGCCAATAGTGTCAATCTATGAAGTAAGAAAATTCTTAACTAGTGATAGTGTTATATAAATACTGTAAGCACTGAGTTTATAGTGGATGATAATTAAAGTAGGTGTGCATTTAAATTGATTTGTAAAAGAATACGTTCGGAAAGAAAGATAAAAATGAGATACAGTCACTCCAATTTCTCCGATCCTTGAATTTCGTTTTGGATACTCAAACCGGTATTGCCTCCCGTGTATCATAAGGCCTACAAGCCCTGAATTCCCCCCCTCATGCTCGTTCATGTCGTACTCTTCAGGATATTTCATCATCAGTCTCCGTAGTTCCTCCTTTTGTTCCTCGGCCTCCTCTGTCAGCTCTGCATAGACATCATCAAAAATCCCCCGGAGCGCTGGCTTTTTCTCTTTTTCTGCGGCGACAAGTTCCTTAAGAACAGCAGCTCTAATTGTTGCACGGGTTTCCTTTTCTTTCTCAGCATCCCAGAGACCCTTCTTCTCCATCCACAGCCTCAGCCGGGAAAGCGGATCGTTACGAGCCTTCCAAGTGTCAACATCCTTTCGATCACGGTACGCGAAGCTGTCATCGCTAGTGCTGTGGTGAGAGACGCGGTAACTCATAAATTCAAGGAGAATAGGCCGTCCTCCATCCTCCAGAGCCTTTCGTCGTGCTTCTTTGGTTGCTTCATAGACAGCAAAGATATCGGTTCCGTCCACTCGAAGAGACTCAATACCGTAGCTCATGCCGCGTACAGCAACTCCATCCCCGATATACTGCTCGCTAGTGGGCGTTGAAATGGCGAAGCCGTTATTACGGCAAAGGAAGATGACGGGACATTTTTTCACTGCAGCCAAATTAAGTGCTGCATGGAAGTCTCCCTCACTTGCAGCCCCCTCGCCGAAGTAGCACGCTGCAACCTGAGGCGGTTGGCCGGGGTTCTCCAGGGCGTCCATCTTCAGTGCGTATGCAGCACCGGTAGCATGTGGAATTTGTGTGGCAAGGGTTGAGGCAACGGCATGCTAGAGTCACGCTTAGAGTCAGAGGTCCGATATTTTTCTGTTGGGATTCAGGATTAAGAGAGACTAACGACGTTGACTTTGTTCTTTCCACTGTAATGCACCGGCATGTTTCGGCCCTTTCCAGGATCGTTGTGATTGGCAGTCAGCTGGCTCATAAAATCTTGCAGAGTAAAGCCACGCTGCATGAAAACTCCGGTCTCCCGATATTGGCAAGTGATCACGTCTTGAGGGTCTAGCGCGGCTGCAGAGCCAACAGTGACGGCCTCTTCTCCGGCAGAGACCTGAGACTCGTCAACGCTATTAATCAAAATTGAATTTAAAAAAATAGATATATTTACCATGTAAAAACTGAGACGCCCGTGTCTTTGGGCTTCGAACATTATGTTGTCCATAATACTGACTGTTGTTTCTGGTCAGAACAGTGTGCACTTTTACACTCAATGAGCATGTGTGTTCCAACCTACCGGTCAGCATGTTCTTGTACCATTCAAGAACTTGCTCGTCGGTCACACCGGATGGTACGTGACTGGGATCTTCTACTGAACCATCGGAGTTCATCACATGGTAGGTTGCGATAGGGGGTATTTCTGCAGGCTTGAGAAAGTCCATCTTGGTGGTGAGGCGGCTATTCACTGCGCCTGGGAATGGCCTATAGAAGTTTTTTTTAGTGAGAATCATTGTATGTGAGTTGGAAGTAAGCTCGTACGAAGGCTGATAGGAATTCGCGGACGTCGTTGAACTTGCTTGCTTGGGGAAAGCTCTAAGGCTGCGATTATGTCTTAGTAGACATTGAGGTCCCCGAAACAAAGGCAGTATGGGTAGGCGTATTATCCTTTGCATAATGTAAAGGCTGTGTGACTTAATGCTAGAATTATGAGACAGGCACAAGAATGCAAAAGAGAAAGGTTTTGTGCTTAGATTTGTCGATGGGATGCGGATACACTGAAGCGTTGTACCTACGGAGATTGGCAGCTCTTGGATAAAACAAGCACCAGCTGGCCCACTGACAATTACTGAAGCGGCTACAATCGGTTGATATCTAGATACAACAATAGACGTGATTTGAAGACCTTTCTGTTTCGGGACCTGAGACTGGAGCAAACCCCGGGGCCGAGTCGATCGAGTTAGCCTCCGAGCTCGGAGAGCAGGGGATCGGCTTTCTGCATTACAATTACGATTTTAATTCCTGCTACTCTCGGCTATTCAAGGAGCAGGTTTATAGAACCGATATAGATAGTCAAATAATGTTTTTACCGCTCTCTCCCTCTGTGGCATCTTGGGTTGTTCTTTATTCCCCAGATACACCTTCGCTCTCTCCCAGTTTAAATTGATATTGTATCAATTGAGTCAAAAACTTGATAAAATGGCACTCTCCATTCTGAGACGCTCGCCACATACGGTTAATATACCGAGTCGGTATCTCGCACAGTCCTGCAGTGGCGGTGCTCGTGTACCAAAAACCTACTTCCATACAACGCCTTCACGGGAACTAATCAAGCCATATCTACTCGCTGACATTGGCGAAGGTCAGTTATGCAAGTCGTCCTCTGTAGAAAATAATCATTGACCGAGTCAGGAATCACGGAGTGCCGGGTTGTCCAATGGTTTGTCAAGCCAGGAGATAGAGTGAGCCAGTTTGATCCTATTTGTGAGGTTCAATCCGACAAAGCTTCGGTTGAGGTACGCACTGTTCTCCTTGGTTAGCCTTGTGTGCATTCGCTGATCTAAGAAGATTACGTCCCGGTATGACGGGGTCATTGCTAGTATTCACCACGAGGCAGATGAGATGGCCGAAGTGGGAAAGGTAACCAAAATGAACCCGCAGAAATTGATCTCGGGATCTTACTAATTGGAATTAGCCCCTTCTCGATATTGATATTGAAGACGATTCATCCTCTCCAAGCCAGGCTCCCACAAAATCAACAGCCGAGGAGATTGTTTCTGACGATATGAGCACTGCGACGGCCAGCGTGGCAGCTAACACAAATATGCCGAACAATTTGTCTAACACAAATCCTGAACTCGAGGCAAAGAACTCTGGACTTATTGTCCCGGCAGTCAGATCTATGCTAAAGCAGCACAAGATTGATATCAAGGATATCGCAGGGAGCGGGAAGGGAAGGAGAGTAACCAAGGAGGACGTTCAACGCCATTTACGTTCAAGGAATTTAGCTCTGAAGCCTCTATCTTCAAAGCCTGCAGCCTGGCCCGGTGCACCACTGGAAGACGAAGTTGTGTCTTTGACACCAATCGAGACTCAGATGTTCAAGGTCATGACTCGTGCTCTCAGCATCCCACACTTTGGCTACAGCCATTCCGTCGACGTCACTTCTTTGATCAGTCTGTGTCGCAACTTCAATAAGCAACCGGGTGTCTCCAGTGAGATACACGGAGACGGTGTTTCGAAGTTAACAGCTCTTCCCTTCGTCATGAAGGCTATTTCACAAGCCTTTCTGCGACACCCCAGGTTGAACGCTCATCTAAACACAGAAACTAGTCCGCAAAACCCCCAGTTAATTGTGAAAGCTTCTCATAATTTCGGCATTGCCGTTGACACCCCAAATGGGCTTCTGGTCCCGGTCGTCAAAGACATTCAAAATCGGTCTATTCTTTCCATCGCAGAGGAAATCAAGCGACTGAGCACATTGGCAAAAGAAGGCAGTTTGACCCCTTTGGATATGAGCGGAGCTACCTTCACTGTGAGTAACATTGGAAGCATCGGGGGCTCCGTCGTCCACCCTATACTTGTGTCTCCAACCGTTGGCATTGTTGCAGTGGGTAAGGTCGAAGAAGTTCCTGTCTTCTCACAGCACAACAAAGACGTTGACCCATCAATTGTCAAGCGAGAGAAAGCTGTTCTCAGCTGGAGTGCGGACCATCGAGTTCTTGACGGTGCTTCAGTCGCACGATGTGCCCAGCTCGTTGCCAGGGTCTTGGAAAACATTGAATCAATTGGGATTGGATTGCGCTAGATATCTTTGGTTTTTATGGGTCGTTGAGCCACACTCATTTACCTGCTTTTGTATATTGCTGTCCGATCAACAGAAACTATCGGAAATCAAGGCGATGAAGCCCTTACACCTCTACGGCCGTAATTGCTACATTGTAAATTGAAACTTGCCTATCATCGGATGGAGTATGGGTTATTACACCGCTAGACCAAAAAGGCACCATCGACACTTCGCCTAGTTATACGGTTATTTCTTGCTGACACATTTATGTACATGACTGCTTTCCACCGCCCTTAGGCTGGTACATTTGTCATGTAAATATCCTTAGTCTCCGAACCAGAATGGAATAGCGCAAAAATATTTTTCCCCGATTGGCCCTCCATTCAACATCACATCTTTCAATTGGTCCGCGAATTGTCTGGCATTGTAGAAGAGGATTGCGCGGAGACTACCTTACGTCATTTCTCAGCTCATACACAAGCGATTTGACTGATTTACTAAACTTGCTCATATAAGATTCCAGTAATAACCCACTCGAAAACTTCCCCGCACATAGATTCTGGAGTGAATGAAACAGCATCTATTCGAAACCAGCATTATCTCCATTATGTCAGACCTTTCGATTCTTCGACCCAGTGGGCTAGCCCACGTCGTCTTCCGAACGGCCAACATCAAGGTTATGGTGGAATTCTGGTCCAGATTCCTGGGTGCGGAGCGAGTGTTCGAGAACGATTTCATTGCTTTCCTCCGCTACGACGATGAACATCACCGCGTCGCTATTATAAACGACGCGGGCACAGGTCCTCACTCGGCAACTGCAGCCGGACTTCATCATGTGGCCTTTACCTACGGCACACTCCAGGGTCTCCTCAAAGCCTGGGAGCTGAGAGAGAAGCTTGGCATCAAGCCAACCTGGTGTGTTAATCATGGCCCTACGACTAGTGTTTACTACAAAGACCCGGATGGAAATGCTATTGAGACTCAGGTCGATAATTTTGACACGGTCGAGGAGGCGAATGAGTTCATGACGTCCAAATTCTTCCAGGAGAATCCGATCGGGACAGATATTGATCCAAACGAGCTGCTTCGACAGCTAGAGGCTGGTGCGGCTGAGAAAGCCTTGAAAAGACGGGTTGAGATTGGCATTCGACATGATATTCCCGCAGCAGTGTGATGGTTGGAGAAACAGAAGACTATATGTTTCATACCTACGTTCCAGGGCTTCAAGAGTTCAATTTTATTTGATTACATTTTCTACAATGCGCGTTATATTGAGTTGATATATGCTAGTGCATTCCATTTTCAAATATTTGCGCTCTAGAATATTACTTTACTTTATATCTGTTGCGGATAAGTGTCTCACGGAAGATCGGCCTTCAGCTCTATTAAGCTGATTTTCTTGGAAAGAATGACAATATCACCACCTACTTCCTCTTCAGTTGAAGAGGTTCAACTCGAGGTTGAACGTCCACCCCACACCAGCTTGTCATACGGCATTGCCCGAGTTTGCCAAGGTTGGGTCTCCGCAGCAAACCCGCATTTCCTCTCACATGGATATAAATCTGGGTTTCTTAAAACTCCGGTACCCCGGAGCCCCGGATTTCCCCACATTTGTATTTCTCCGCACCAAAAAGGAAATAATTTGCTGTTACAATCTATTGTCACGCGATTTCAAGTCAATTTTATAATTCTTAATTGATATCTCGGTCTTACGCGTCTTCTTCAAGGTTTCAAGAAGTGAATCATCACACGATTTCTGTCTTCAAATCTTTTGTCCCTCATCACTCATTTCTATCATCATGCCTGAGGAAATCGAAACCCCCGTTGTCATCGTCGGAGGCGGCGGTTGTGGGTTGACACTTTCAAGCTTTCTGTCCAATTATGGTGTCGAACACGTCCTTCTTGAGAAGCATACAGGCACCTCGATCCTTCCAAAGGCGCACTATCTGAACCAGCGCACGATGGAAACACTTCGCAATCATGATATGGTGGAAGAAATTCTTCAGAAGACTTGTCCTCCACGACACATGAGTCAGGTTGCCTGGCAAACCTCACTAGGTGGCTCCGGCACATTAGATCGTCAGGTTATCTCCAAATTTGAATGCTTCGGTGGAAATGATGGTACTGAATTCGCGGAATCCTATAAGTATGACAACCCATGTTGAGCACAAAAGATATTGAGGCTCACCGTATATATAGACGTGACGCACCGCTCCGCTCTGGGAACCTCCCACTATTTCGGCTAGAACCGATACTTAAAAAAATCGCGGAGAAGAGAAACCCTGGCAAAATTTTCTTCGGTCATCAGTTGGTGGACTTCACCGACGAGGGCTCTTCCGTCGTCGCCAGAGTCTCTGATGGAGCCGGACTCGAAAGATCATATCGATGCAAATATTTGATTGCTGCAGACGGAGGCAGGACTATAGGCCCCAAGCTTGGCATCAAAATGGAAGGGTTGACCAACATAGCTGATATGGTTTCGGTGCACTTCAGCGCTGATCTCTCCGAGTACTGGGATGATCGCTACTTTGCTTGCCACTTCATCAACGGCGAATGTACCACTGTCTTCGAGAGCGGTGCAATTGTTCCTATGGGTCCGAATTGGGGCAGGCATTCTAAGGAATGGGTGTTCCATTGTGGATTTGCCATGGATGACCAAAATCGACACGACGATGCAGCCTTGATTCCACGTATCCGCCAACTGTTGAAGATTCCTGACCTAGAAATGGATGTGCATAAGATAAGTCACTGGGCCATTGAAAAAGTCCTCGCGGATAAGTATCGGGTGGGGCGAGTGTTTCTTGCCGGGGATGCGGGAAACCGCCGTCCGCCTACGACTGGTTTAGGGCTCAATACGGCCATCGAGGACTCTCTCAATATTGCCTGGAAGCTGGCATTGGTTCTCAAAGGGCAAGCCTGTGAGTCTATTTTGGACAGCTACGAGCCGGAAAGACGCGCCGTCGGCGAGATAAACTGCGATTGGGGGTTGTTCACGTTCAGTAACTCCGCTGTGATCAATACTGTCCTCGGACTCATTCCGGGAGAAAGAGAAGCAAACCAATTGCGTTTTCAAACCCTATTCGAAGATAGTGATAAAGGGCACAGTTTCCGAGCTCAAGTTGCGCGCATCATCGACAGCCAGGCCATTGAATTCTGTGCACATGGAATCGAGCTTGGTTTTAGATACCCCAAAGGTCTTCTTCTACAGGACGGAAGCCTCCCGATGAAAAGAGACCCCCTGGGTCTAAAGTATCATCCGACCACACAACCTGGCCATCGTCTTCCACATGCTTGGATCGAGACAGGAAACAGCGTCATATCTACCCATGACCTCGTGCCACACAACCCAGGGTTTGCCTTGATCACGGATAGCGAAGGAGCTGATTGGGCAATTGCCGCCAAGAATATTCTCAGGAATCGTGGGGTAGAAGTTGTCGTGGCTCAGATTGGTGACAAATGCCTTTACCGGGACTATGACGATCGATGGGATGGCCTGAAAGGCATTCAGCCCGGCGGCGCTATCCTTGTTCGTCCCGATAACATGTTAGCCTGGAGGTCGATCTACAAGAGCCGTCTTGACGGTAAGGAGTTTGAGGTTGCGATGGACCAGCTGCTGGGAGCGGATACTGAGGAGTATTCCAGAGCGAAACTCTAAGCTAGGTGGATTGTGCTATTTAGAAATTTATTTCTCCGATTTGTAACAGATCTTCTCTCTATCTTTTCTTTTGTAAATGCAGCTGTTAATATGGGCCACTTTTGGATAACCAAAACAGATAATTCTTGTACGTTAGCGTCTGCTTGAAGCCATGAAGAAGAATGTCAAAAATTCCGACCATGTCAGGAAGGCCTTCGCCGAATACGGGCGCCTGTAGCAAGAGCCGAGAGAACGGAAGTCTTATCTCGGGGCTTTGTTGCCCATAGCATTAGCAATTTAGGGTTTAACTAAACTTGATCTGTTCGGGATCAGGTTTGTGGGGAATATGGGAAATCCGGGGTTATGAGAAGTCCGGGGTATTTTCCTCATTGGGTTGCTACCTCAGTAGTAATCTGATGTGAATAAATAGGAGACCTTTGCCCGCAATAAGATGGAAATCATACAAAGCTCAAGAATCTGAAGTATTACAATTTGCCCAAATGGCCTCCAGCCCCAAACTTGAAGGCTGCGCTCATCACATAGACTTCTTGGAGAATCATGTCGCCGATTCACACAACTCAAATCTTCGAGATGATAAAGGCGTCTCTTTGGACCCTGAGTCAAGCAAAGCAGAAGGGTTGAAACTCACTTCAAACGGACATATTGTTCTAGTGCCCCAACCTTCAGAGAATTCCCTGGATCCGTTGAATTGGACCTTTGCCAAGAAACACGCCGTGATTGCAATTGTTATTGCGTGTTCTTTCTTGCCAGACTATGGCAGTGTCACTGGCGCTGCGACCTTGGCACAGCAAGCAGAGTAAGTAGTCCACCCTCCAAAAGCTCTACATGTCAAAGTTGAAAAAGGCAATGAACATTTATAAAAATTCAGGGAATACGGAAACTCGCTAAATGAAGTCAATCATTCGCAATCTGGGAATCAATTTATGGTAGGCGCGGGTGGACTTATTGCTGTTATATTCTCCGCATACTTCGGTCGTCTACCGGTGCTTTTCTGGTTTATGGTCGCTGCTTTTGCAACAGCTGCTGGTCAGGCTGGCTCGAATGGGTTCATGGGATTCTTCATACCGCGAGTCATGAACGGTTTCTTCTCGGGAGTTGCTCAAGGAGTCAGTCCCCACCTAGATCAATGCGATCCCAGAAACGACCTGACTGAGCTATTTGATGTTCTTTAGGGCGGCTTGATGTTTATTAAGGATCTGTTTTTCCTTCATGAGCACGCGTAAGCCAAGCCGATTGTTATCTGCCAAGGCATCTTTTTCAACTAACCGGTCAATTTCAGGCGCAAGATCAATCTTTGGCAGTCGTGTGTGATTCTTTCTCCTTTTCTTGGCCCTCTTCTGGCATCATTTATGACCATCAGCCTATCCTGGAGGTGGCCATTCTGGATATATACAATCCTGACCGGCTTCGCTCTCCTGGGAGTTGTCCTCTTTGGCGAGGAAACATTTTACAACCGCCTAGTTCCACCATCAGAGCAGCCAGTCCCTAGCTCTCGGTGGCTGCGGCTAATGGGCGTTGAACAATGGCGATCTCGCTCACAGAGAAACTCGTTCAAGGAAGCCGTTTCACGGTCTTTCGCTGTTCTTGGGAAACCAGTTATTCTTCTCACAAACCTCTATTACATCTGCATCTTTGCATGGCTCGTCGCCATCAACGCAACGCTTCCCATCTTCCTTACTTCCCTGTACGGATTTGGACCTAAACAGATAGGTACCTCTAAGCATTCTTTCCTTTTTACACTCCAATACAAGGCCAGACCTGTGCTAATATACCGATAATCTCGCAGGGTTTATGTATTTTGCTCCAGTTGTCGCAGCGATTATTGCATATACCCTAGGCCGCTGGCTCCATGATGCGCTGGCAAAATTCTACATCCGACGAAACGAAGGCCAATTTCACCCCGAATCACGGCTAATAATTGTGTGGCTCGCAATGCCATTTATGCTCTCCGGTCTAGTGATAGTTGGTTTTGCATTGCAACGCCATTACCATTACATGCTAGTCGCGCTGGGTTGGGGGCTCTACACCTTCGGCATGATTATCAACTCCGCCAGCGTGAATATGTATGTGCTGAATTCCTACCCGGAAGCCAGTGGTGAAGTTGGGATGTGGATCAATTTCTCACGCACTGCTGGGGGATTCATTATCAGTTATTTTCAGGTCGACTGGATTAGTCGTGTAGGTGCAGAGGCGGCATTCGGGACCCAAGCAGCTGTTTGTGCAGCTGTCTTTCCAGTGATCATTTTGTTGCAATTCCGTGGTAAGCAGTTGAGATCTTGGGGAGGCGAATTAAATTTCAAGACAAATTAAGGCGGAGTACGTAGTGCTGCAAAAGAATACGGATCCTTGCCTTGGGCCTGGGCTACTACCTGATATCAAATGATGTAGTTAGTTGAAATTTCTACAAGTGTCTTCTGCACTAGAAAAGTTAATTCCGTTCCTCCAACCTACTCAATTTTTACTTGTAACTAGCTCAATGGTTGAAGCAATTTATTCATATCTTGGATGACTGCGCAAGACCCTAGCTAGCGTCCGTGAACTGTGAATAAAGAACTCAGGGACGAGGTTACATTGAATTCGAACATTACTCATAGTGAACTTTGTTGATAAGGGACCCAATTTTCTCAATATAAATTCGGATTTCATCTCCATCTCCAAGGAATATTCTAGGGGACCGGAAGTATCCAATTCCTGGCGGGGTCCCAGTCAGAATAATTGTTCCAGGCTCAATGGTAGTCCCCTGGGACAAATAGGCAATGAGTTCGCACACTCCGAAAATCATGTCACTGGTATGGCCCTCTTGAACCGTTCTGCTATTATAAATGGCGCCGACTTTCAAGTTTTGGGGATCAGAAATAATGGCCGTGGAGACCAAAACAGGGCCTAGTAAAGTAAAGAATGTTAGATTTTCCCATAATTTTCATTTCATTCGAGATTTTTGACTTGCCCAATGGACAGCTGGAGTCCATGCCCTTGGAGAAGCAAGGCATTGGAGTTTTCATCTGCTCATTTCGCGCTGAAACATCGTTGGCAGCGGTGTATCCAAGAATATACCCAGGAGCCTGTTCGGCGGTAATGTCCCGAGCTGACTTTCCGATCACAATGACAAGCTCTGCCTCATAATCGCTTGAGTTGTCTTGGGCAATCTTTGGGATATTAATGGTACCTGGGTACGGATTGGCGATAGAGGTACGGGGTTTCGAAAAAAGGGCTGGGACGGTGGGAATTGACATGCCGGCCTCCTGTTTTGGATCTTAGCGGCCCCCTCCTAAGCCCTGGATTCCAGTAATCCCTCAAGTTATGGTATAGAGTAATGGCATACCAGTGCATGAAGCTTGTAATTGAGACCAATGCAGCGAATGTAGGGACACTCCTCTGGAACAATAGGTGAGAGTAGCTGTGACACACTGAGTCTATGTAATGCCTTCTGAGATAGAGCCTGACAAACCTTGCGGACTTGAAGAATATTTTCTGTCACCCTGCCATTGTATACATTTCCGTCTACTTTAAATGCATAGATGGGAACTCCATTGACAGAGTCTAGGCCGACATCACGCGTTGGGTCGACTAGTTGACCTAAATGGATTTGGTCATCCTCGAAGGCAACAAAGCGTATCAAATGTGTCCAAGGTCGCATTTTCAGAATAAAAAAAATTGAGAAACGTTTTTCTGAAACTTCTCTTCAATGAATTTTAGTAGCGTTGCAGCGTCTTCAACAGATGGGAAGAAGAATGAGCTCTTTTCTTGTTGGCCGGAGCGGATCATTTCCTATTTGGGTCGGGCGAGTCTCGGTCCGACTATTTCTGTTTACAAACATAATGACGGAGAAAATTTTGGATATGATATACTGCTTATTAAAGCGCTTATTTCCCCAATACTGTAATCGATGAACAGGGTCACCAAGAGAAAAGTAACTTGGCTGCGTATGGAAATCAGTCCTTAGGATAGGCCTATTTTAGGTCACAGCCAAAGGTACAAGCTGACGTTTCAAAAGATGATCATGTCTCCTTCAGCCGAGAGATTTTCAAAGAATTCGGTCGAGAGGGTATTTAAGGCCTCGAAATTTACATTCGAGGCAAAATCTGAGCCCTGGGGAGGAGAGAATGGAATCAACATCCGACAAGGATCATTAGAAATCTCAAGGCTTACCGGTTCTCCAGGCATATTTATTGAAAAAAAGTCAGGTGAATAAGTGCTGGGACGATTCGAGCTACTAGGCGCTACCGCCGTCGCCCTCCGTACAGCTTTATTTGCCAGACCGACAATTTCTCTCGCAAAAGTAAATGATACTTGTGACGACGTGAGAAAATGAACTTTTGCGAAATGACCGGCCGCGAGGTCTAGGAGCGCAAGGTCCGATCCGACTGTCTCCAGCGTTGGAAGTTTGAGGATGTAGATAAAAAGATTGATAACCGCGAGCATGGGGAAGTAAAAAACAAGCCTGGCATCTCAGCATTTACTCTTGATTTTCAGGCTGGGAGTAGAATAGCAGATACTCACGGAGAGGAAGACGACATATCGAGCTCGGTGTCTTTCAGAGTCGACAATATTTGTCGTGAAGCTTCAGCAGCGCGAGTCGAGCTTTTCAACATTCGATCATCAAAAATTGGCTCTTGGCGGGCAAGCAACGAACTTATCCAAGGATAATGGAAATTTGCATTCAAAGCAATGAGACTTCCCCAGTATAAGTAGTGTAAATGCAAAATGTTTGCTCTGCATCGGTAAGAGTTCTTTGACGACCGGTAATCGTTCTGCTTGGCTATGGTTAGATGTTCCGGAAGAGAATTTCGCCATATTTTTAGCTTATCCTCCAACTTTTCCATCATGTCGAAGAGCAATTTAGGTGACTGGTTAAATGCCCGGGCTGATAAAAGCTGTTTGCTTATCTTTGCGCAGATCTGAGCATGCTCAATAGCAGCAGTAACTACTTCAATATCCGACCTGCTTCCATCAGGAAGCTCATTGGGTATCTCGCAGCTTATTTCATCATCGTCAAACGCCTGAGCTCGGATTAGAAACCCTTGGAGATAAGGAACGTAGAAGGAAGAAAAGAGAACCAAAGCATAATACTTACCGATGGACGGCCCGATCGCAACGCAATATTCTTGTCATAACAATATGCGGCCCAAAATACCCAATTTCTGTGTATCATCTCTGACCTTGGAAGATTCCATGCCCTTGATGACTGTCGGTGAAGACCTTTTGATTGTGCGAGTCGAACTGCCGACGCACAAAGCATGTATTCGACAGCTGGGCTTCCTAAAAGCTCGGCGAAGGAAGTCTGGGCATCTAGTTAGTTATGGGGGTATCAAGTATTCAAGCACACATACCATCACAACCAGTGCCTGCACGGCCATTAAACCGCTGGGCCGAAATAGAAGCTCCGCAAAAACGGAAAAGGCATTATGAAATAATCGCAAGGACTCCGCCTGAATTTCTGCGAAGTCCATAGTTCCATCCATTGATGCCGCGACTCGACGCCCTATTGCATACACAGCATTCCGCAAAGCATACCAAGCAACGTCCTCGTCGGGTCTACTGGCATTCTGGAAATGGATACGAAGTCGACTCTCGAAACTGGAGCGGAGAACAACACCGAAAACACTATCTCGCGAGTTCTCAAAATAAGCTTTAATAAGTCAGCTTTAACATAGCCTTAGAGTAGATGCAATTCATGACACGGGTTCGCGTACCTGAAACGTATTTCCAAGCATTTTCAATTCCTGGCTCTGGGCATCGTTCACGAATTGTGTCTGAGGTAAGCGTCAATCTTTTGGTCCAACCCATGACCAGTCCCTGGGCAATTTCATGGAATCGAGTGGTGCACGCTTTAGCAGAAACCCATTGTACGCCTGGGGTTGAACAAATAGACAGCCATGATCCGGGCCCTATTTTAGTCAGTATTATTGCGCCTGTTTTCAGAGAAAATTGGCTATAACCGACCATGATGCTCCCAATTTACCTAAGACCCGAGTCAGCAGGACGAGCTCGCAAGGTTTGAAAATATCAACATACAGCTTGGAGGTCCATTGTGGCCTCCTCTCGATCGATTTCGGACTCTCGAGGAGTCGGAGGCCTTCCACGAATATTTTCTGTATCATTTCCACATGTCAAAGTTCTAGTGAGTCTTTGAGAAGCATCTGTTCCCCGAACTGGAAACCGATCCACCGATCCCGCCGTCTCCGTGATGTTCGGAGTAATTTGACTGGTCCCATTTAGATTTGTCTCGGGCTGTATTTGATCTTGCCTCATTTCAGCGACTGCAAAGGACGGCTGATCGGTCGGTTTTATGTTGGAAAACACATTGCACCCACCCCAATCGTTTGGCTGCTCGATCGTCTCAGTTGGGCTGGCACAGCTGTGTATCGTGCGTTCTTCGTTGCTTTTCCGTCCTCTTCGTTGTAGAATCGGGTAATCACAGTGGTGCCCACGGTCCTACAACCAGCATTTGTAAGGATATCTCCTCAAGAAGAATAGGTTGTAGTCTTAGCATACCAAGCAATTCCCACAGGGGACAGCACCGTCGCCTATGGAGAAAAGATTAGTACATTTCAGGTAATCTTCCTTTCATAACTAACATTTCACCTTTTTTTTCTCTACAGTGGCTGCAAGCCTGTGATATCTTGACGCGTTCCCTATTTGGAGGCATGGGGATTTGGAATGACTGAGATGACAAGACTAGGTAGAGTGGCTGTGGAGAGACGTAAAAGATCATGCGGGGAAATAGCGTTCTAGGTGTATAACCCTCCACGTGATGCGTAGGATCCCCTCTATGCCGTAGGAATTGGGGGATTTTGCGCGGGATGGCGGTTGTTCGTGCAGCGTGCTTGCTCTACAGAAAGAGATTGGATGTGTGGAGGGCTGAAACCAACTTGGTTCAACCTAGCTACTCTACAAACGATTTACAAGGGGCGAAGTTGAACTGTTTCCCGCAGGATGGCAGATTGCCGCATAGCTACGGTCACGTGGCCAGAGACGAGCATAATCTGGAGGATCTTGGTTTTGTATTGAGCTGGTCCCGCATCCTATAGTTGCCTATAGTATTTGTAGTGAGCTAAAATATTGCACTGGATAATTCCTGGCCCTGTGTACCAAGATTGATTGGAAATCAATCTAGAGGTTGCCTGCTGTACACAACCCCTCCGGTTTCGTTCAAACAGGATACGAGAAATCTTCCTTTCATTTACAAGTCTCAATATGATAGCCAGTAATGACATATCTAGATAATTAGTGTTGCTTTCTTTTTCGACTCTATATAATAATACAAGCATCGTCATTGTAGGGATCTAGGGATCACGTGCACTTCCCTCCTGATATACTCCATCCTCTACTACAATTAATGTAAAACAAATGCTCGGGAATAGAGCAGAAAGGTCATCCCCACAAGATACAAAAACCACCTAGGACCGACCATCCCATTTCAAGGGGATTTGAGATCCTACCACCGATATCTACCGAGGCATGCTCAAGTTTAAGATCTAACGGTGTTTTCAAGATCATCTAGACCGAAAAGAGAAATTAGCGGGTGGGGCCTGCCTTTTTCGTTCGGCCCGAACGTTTTCGGCAATCCCGACAATACACTGCATTATTGCACGTCCAAGTTATGATCCTATGGCACTTGAAATTAGTTTCGCGTTCCTTTTTTCTTATACACTTCCTTCTCATAGACCTTCCGCGTCACTATCCCGTTCTGTCGAAAAAGCCTCCACCATTTTCTCTCATCATGATCCCCATCATGATTCTCGGTGTGGCGGGCGAGGATAAATCTACTACATTTCGAGCGTATAGTAGTTAGATTGTTTCGGCGGTGGTAAACGACGTTTAACGCTTAATAATCTCAGGACTGAGTACTTGTAGAGACTGCGCTAGGTGGATTCCATAAAGCTCGGTGACAATAATTTCGTTGCAAGATTCACGCGGATTTCCCTTGTATTTACACCATCCTATATCAACATTGAGAAACTTCAAAACTACCGACGTAGACATGTGAATTCAGCAGGTACTCAATTACTCAAACGATGGGATGTGCACTTTTTGGGGAGGTTCGACAAAGCTTCATTTTCCCAGCCACTTGAAACTAGCTTCCATTAATTGTGCACACGAAGCAGAGTCATCGATACCAGGCAAATCTTGTTTGATAGAAAATCCCTTCTGTGACAAAACCCAGGAGATACATCTATAGCTCTCCCTGGAGTCTTGAGGCAAATGGAGCTCGGCCGTCTCTTGGGGAATGACAGGCGTAATCAAGTCGCGGTCATAGATTGCCTCCAAAGTAAGCAGCCTCCATTCATCCCCGACGAACTCGAGTCGAGAAATAAATCGAGTGTACGAGACGCAATCAAAGAACGCGCCGTTGTGTTGGAAGCGGATGGAAATGGACCCAGTTGATTCCGAAAGAGCCTTCTTGCCGTGAAGATGGACCTCAACGGGACAGATGGTATGAACAGCGCCCGTGCCATCTGTAGCCATACCTTTGGATCCTTTAACGAATCCATCGATATCCCCTTGAAACCTTGAAACCGTCTTAGATTATTGTAGCCGGCTCGTCATAGACAGGGTCTTACCAGGTAATTTCGATACGCGTTTTCGACGCATCGGGATGGTAGCAAGCCCTTAGCTTTTCCCACTGGCAGGTATCCCGGTAGTAGCGCTCGCGCACAAGGAGTGATTTGATCTGCGCCTCGGCCATGATGCAATTTTGGTGGTGTTATATTGTCTTTCAGTAAAAGGAAAGATGATGATCGCGCGAGTTCACTACTACCGGATGGTTTTCTCCGAGATTTTTGATCTAGGCGACGGGATTTATCTTATAGCCCTAGCCACAGGCTTTCCGCCAAATTAGCTCGGAACAACGGATGAACGGGACTTGGGGAAAGTTGCCGAGCTATCTGTCGCATCATGATAGTTTCATTACAAATAAAGAAACGGGGGAATGTCCCTATTTGAATCTGTAGTCATACACCCAGATCCCTCAACACTCTTAATGCCAAAATGACAACGACGCCTAGCTCTGAAATAGGCGTAAAGATCACCCTTTACGGTGGAAATAAATGACATACTTCCGGAGTTAATGATTTGAAAATAACGGAGTAGAAGAATATACTAGACCGGTTTTGCTCGGTCCCGATTCTATTTGATGACTGCACCATACAACAAAATCCGTGGACACAGACATTTTCGGACATAAGACATACTTCAAATTCTCAATACAGTATCTGAATTCCATCCTCACTTAATGCGCCTAGCGCCATAGAGATTGAATCATCATATTCTCCCTTGTAATGTTTCCTGTTGGCTGCGAAAGAAGGGTAAATATATAGAAGGACGTCTAATTCCTGTGCCTTCTCAAATACTGTCCATAGACTTTCATCATCGTATATCTGCCCCATTCACGTGGCTGTCAACCACCTCCCTTCCGGTGGCGGAGCTGGAGGATTAAGGCCCGCAGGCTACGTCATCTGGCTACACAACCTTTCAGCTCAGGCGTGCCCCTCTTGTACTTTAATTGGTACTGTGAGGTGTGGGTTTCGAACTCCTCAAGAAACAGTCTTGTCACAATTTGACTTCGTGATCAACAGGCTTTCTATCCTGCAAGTAGATATCTTAACTGCCATGACCAGAGAAAGTATATAAGTTTATTCTTTGGGTTGTGGTAACTTTCCATGGCGATATTCTGAGACTATATGGCATGTAGGCATAATAAATAGATGTCTTACGAATAAGTACTTCAATAGAGCCAATCGGATATATTATTTTGGTCCAAATAAGCCGGTGGCAGTGGGGTCCTCCATTTCCGAAACACGTTGCAGCGACCCCTCGCAACTTCAATTATTATAAACAGGTACGCAAGCCCCAAATTCCTTTTCTTTACGTTCTTCTTATCCACGGCACTCCAGGACGACTGCACTAAACTATGGAGCCTTTCAAACTCTCTCTACCAAATGGCGGTATTCTATCCGGCCGCTATACCTTTCCCCCAAGAGATTCCAAATCAGTTCAGACACGTCCTCTCATTGTGTGCATTCCCGGTGGCAGCTACGACTCTCAGTACTTTGACGTTCAAGGAGCTCAATCCGTATTCAACCTGTCAAGCTGTTTGAAAATTCCAGTCATCGCAATAGATCGACCTGGCTACGGAGCGAGTACGCCAGCTCCCGACGTTGAAAATGCACCGACCTATGCCCAAGCACAAGGAAAGTACCTCAATTCAGTGGTCTTCCCTGCGTTGTGGCAAGCCTTTGCAGATCGTGCAGAAGCGTCAGCGATAGTGCTGCTATCACATTCGATCGGCGCAATGATGGCAACGATTGCTGCTGGATCTTACACCGGCCTGGAGAATTACCCGTTGGTAGGCCTTATAACATCTGGTATTGGCAGCGAGATTGAGGAAGGTCCGAGGCAAGGCGTGTTACGTCTATTGGATGAACCAGCCGAGTTTGTTTCATTTGAGGTAACACCAAAAGACGCCATGATGTTGCAACTCCCTCATATGAATCTCACACCGGTCGAGATGCGTCAATTTTCCGAGCAGCTGAACCAACCGGTGCCCAAAGGCGAGATACTGGACATTAACACGACCTGGCTTGGTTATTGGAAGGACTATTCCACAAATGTCAAGGTTCCGTTGTTCTATGGATTGGGCGAATTCGATGGCCTCTGGACCTGTTCTGCGGATGCATTCGCCGTATATAAGGCCGCCTTCCCAAACAGTCCGAACGTGACGTGCGAAATGATCCCCATGGCCCCGCACTGCATGGAGTTAGGCTTTCAAAGCCAGGCCTGGTATATGAAATGCTTCGCTTTCGCGATTGAGTGTATCGTGGCAAAATCACTGCGTTCTACTGGGTAAGTTATAGAGAATAGTGATCGCGGTGCTGCAGTAAGAGGAGAGTCTGATTCTCCTGCGGGTGGGATCACTACCATTTTCTACAGTACTACGTCTTATGGGAGAGGGGTCGTGAAGATTAGTCCCGCAGGTAGTAGCCTAACAATTTCACGTCATTCGCTACCATTGTTTTCGGTGCTATTCCCGGTTAAGCGTCGTTTACGATCCGCAGCTTCACTCAATTACTCGCCAGAACCCTGCTACATCCTACGACAGGCCTGTTTTCATATCTCCTCATTCGGTCTGAAAGTTTAACGCCGACAGGGGCCCAGGGGATGAAGCTAGCCCCGCACGGAACAATACACTCGATATTGATATTGCCTCGGCCCGAACAAAAGTGGCTTAGCGTACTCCTTGACACTTCATTAGGGGAGTCATCCGTAGGGTGTTGAAAGAGATGTTAAAAAGGAAATCCCTAGTAATAGTAATTTGCCTTCGATACTGGTATATAAGAAGGATCTTTGTAGATCAAATAGAAAATTGCATAAACATGGTACTCATGGCATAACGCTAAGCCTAATTGGGGATGTACCTTATGAGTAGAACATGATATATCAGACGGCTGTCCCTGCGTATGTATGTATAGTGGTAGTTTAAAAGAATTTAGAATAACGGATAGAAAGAAAGACCTAGCTAAACGCGCTTTAACTTTCCCTATTTCTAAATATCTGTCAGAATGTCTTTTTAATTGCCTTTCCAAAGAGCCCTAGTAATATTTCTTGATTCTTCTTTTCGGGTATGACTGATTAAAGGTTCATTCGAATTCACCAGCTCGGCCAAGGCCGAGGTCTGAACAACTACTGAAGACCATGTTGAGCACCTCTCTGGTGACTGAAAAAGACACTTTCTAGTCTCAATTGCTCCGGTCCATCATTTTTGTTCGCCCGATGATCAAGAATCTGTGTCCGAAGGGCCGGCGTCTTGCTCCGTCGGACGAGGGAAAATTTGGGACAACAAATCAGGAGAGACATACATCCTCATTGACTGCCCTGGCCGCACCCAACAGGCCAGAGGCAGCATTCGAATCCTCGCGGTTGACGAAGAGTTGTCCTCATCGGAGGAATCCTCTAGGTTGGCTTCGGTATCTTGCAAAGCCTTGCCCGAAGAACTGGGAGACTCTTGCTCAAGGGTTTCAGAATCATGAGGGACAAAGTATGATAAGCCCTGTTGAGTGCTCTCCAGCTTCGGTGGTTCGCTTGCACTTACCGCAGTTTCGTGCGGAGCCACCCGATCTGTAAGTCTTGCCACCTGCCCTGCCGTCTCATCTCTTAGGTCGTTTAGTTCGAACTTGCAGAGATTGATCTCTTGAGTTAAGAGATCAAATTTCCGGGTCCTTTCCTCCTCTGACCACGCCGAGCCCTGGCCAACCTCTGTTTGAATTGGTGGCTTTGATGGCCTTGAGGGATTGGATCAAGTGGCCTGTAGGATCACTCTCTCGGGTGAGTTGTGCCAGGTCTATCTGTATAGCCTTGCATTCGGGACCTCCATTGCCAACGAGGAGCGTACCATGGTAGCCATATTTGGTCACAGCGGTGAGCATGCTGACTTGATAATGGCCATCATTCCATTTCGAAACGGCCGCCGAGGGATTCTTGCCAAGTTCCTGTCGTGGGCGCTTGGTAGGTTGCTTGTCATCTTTGTCATCCTCGTTCTTGTCCCTGCTCTTCGGGCTCCCTATTGGCGTCTATGTCGAATATCTTGCCTGAAGTCCTCAGCGGGTCAGAAATGATGCTACTATACATATATGATTGAAGGGGGTCTCACCTTGCCTTTGTCCGCAGAGAGGTGCAAAAGGTACTGATAGAGAGGGTGCGAACTCCAAAGCCCTGGTTAGGCTGAAGGTGAGGGGAAGAGGGAGGAGAAGAGGAAGAAAAGATAAGAGAAGAGAATAAGCGGGGGACGTTGAGCAAAAGGAATCAAGGTGTAGATGAAGAAAAATCCGAGACTTGTTGTCTGCCGAACGAAAGTTCTGGAGAATCCTTTGCTTTCACGGGTGTAAGAAAGAGGAGGAAGAGAGGAGAGCACCAAAAAGTGTTTGTTTAGAGGAATTTGCCTCTCCGAATTAGGAGCGCGCGGTCGTTCTCAATTGACATAAAACGCTTCCCCAACACAAGTACAACCATCTCTCCCTCCTTTATCCTTCAGACTTATGGCTTCATTAAATAACCAAGAATCCTTTTCGAGTTTACCTACTGGCTCGTGGCACAAGATACCCTTCCTTACTCTCATTTGATACCTCAAGCCTCAACATGCGATATCAGGACTGCGGAAAGCTGCGTTGCGCCTTCCTGTTGTCCGGGATTGAGATTGACCAGTGCTCCCCGGGACAAAGAGCTGCCTCGTAACCCACAAATAAACTTCTTGCGATGATCGGTCAACAGCGTGAGCTGCAGATTGATGACCTGTCAAAGAGATGCAAATTATGCCAGCAAGAGCGCCGTGCCATCTCGACATGTGTTATTGCCAAAATATCTGGAAAGAATCGAACGCCAGGGCAGTCAATTGGTAGTGGCGGTTGCATGGGTTGTTATTTCGAAGGCATCACCTGCTCGGTCAGTATGTTCGCCTCGAATTTGGCCTTTCGAGATTCGACGGCTTACAGAATTGTACTTGTTGGTTTTGATTTCCATTTCCCACCAAAGATCACAAGCGTGGCCACGAGAGTGAAGGAGAAGGTCAAGATGAGAACATAAAAACATCCTATTCGGGCTCCGGTCAATAGTTCGAAATGGTGCAGACAAATGACTGATGATGGAGCAGACGAGGACTCGGGCAGCGAGGATAATGGGAGACTTCCCTAGTCGTGAAAAGGATCGTCATACCAGGACGATCTACCGCTTACCCGACTGTGTGTTGGTAGGGAGCTCCTGACTATAAGAGATAGTGGTTCTTATAGCCATCAGTTGAAGTCTCTAGAGGTATCGAGTGAAGAGGAGCATTCAATAGTGGTCAATACGTTCCTGCTACATGCAGTATAACAGCATAGATGGCCTTTTCATAATAATGGATGTGATACTTGATCCAGGGCCAAACACAGTATTCATTCTTTGCGCACAAATATCAATACCTGACCTCGATATATCTGAGTATAGCCGAGTGGGAGATCCACGGACTGGCAAAGCAAGTGAAGCTCCATACTTTCGTACTAACAATGTAAAACAAATGTAGTCTCATATCAGTCCTGCTACCTTCGGGAACCTCTTAAGCAGGCCCTCCTTCTGAATTTTCCAAATCTTGGCAAGAGGATTGTACTGCAAGACCGTTGCTGAATATCGTCCCGGTGCCATGCAAATATCGAGAGCCGCGAGATTTATTGTCTTGGATAGTAAAGGGATTATCTTCTCTTTCATCTTCATCTTTTTTCCGATGCTCGTCATCATTTTGTAAAATTTCTGTTTCCCTTTTTTGTTTGCCGATTTCGCGCGTTCCCTCTGGGTTTTGTAATGTTCATCTGCTTCGGAACACTTCCACGCCTACGGAAAGGTCAGTGATTTCACACAGGAAAAGTTAGAGTTTGGAATCTACTGACCGCATCTTGTACGCTCATCAACGTCTGGAATATCTTCGACCGGGCGCTCAAGTAGCCTGTTACCGTGTCATAGTCTTTGTCGATTTGCGATGGGGCCTCTTGGGTCGTAAACGTGACTGATTCGTTCATCCCCAAGACACGGAAGAAGGATAAGCTCGAGGTAGGGAAAGTAGAAGACTAACGAGAATGTGTCAGACAACAAACTGACGTTTCTTTCAAGAGTCACTGAGAAAAGGAAGGCGCTTAGAAGGCTGGTCTATTATTACATACATGGATAGTGACGTGTCAGGGTGGGGTATCGAGCAACAGGCAGGTCATTCATTCTCGACATCCTAGGACAACGAACTATACAAGGATGGCACAGGAGCCACGTATTCTCATGCCATGCTCTATTACCATAGCTCTATCATGCTAGCTGGGGCTGAAGGGCTTGTTATGACTCTAATTGTGAATAAACCATTTTCATTCGAAATTATGCCTTAAATTAATGAGACAAGTGGAGAAGAGTACAGGTAGTGAGATCACTCTGCTTCTGCCTAGTTAGTTTGTGGTGGTTCAGCTGTCCACCACCATGATTCTCGTTCACCATGGCAGGGCGACAACCTTGTATCTGCCTAGACGTCGAATGGCCGGTCCATAATTTCCATTTCGAGGAGCCGCCATCGGTCCCACATGACATATCCCCATCTCCGGAGCAAAACGCGAGTGGGATTGTCGACAGTGTTGCTTAGTTTCTCGCCCAAATGGGCCCAGCGCCCAGATATCTTCGGGTCCCGAATCTGGATCGGAATACCATGGCTCGAAAGCCATCTCACCCTCTGCGCCATCGATCTGACGATCTCCCACATCCCGCATCCAGGGTTGGAGGGCGTATCTGAGGAAATAATCGAAAAGCCCACCCTTGGCTATGTCTCTCTGTAAACCAAGGCTGTTTCGAGCCAAAACAGCCGTAGCCTCCGCGTGGCGTTTGACGTGAGACAGGCCCAGATAGATCTGGTTGGTAGCGTTTGCGTATGTCTGCTGCTCCATGTTACGCTCCTGTGGCTCGGGGGAACCTTCGCCCATGAGCTGTTCCACGGCTTTAAGAAGTGATAGTTAGCAGAGATTCAAATCAGATGTGGGAGGTGCGGCTTACCAGGGTAGACAATCTTCCGCAGGGCCTGGTAGACGCAGGCGACTTGTTCATTCTCCCAGGGGGAGAAAGAGGGAAACTTGGCTCCATTAGGGGGCCAAACGACACCTTCTGGGCAAATGTTACGATGAACTTCGACCCGGTACAGTGCGCGATAAATCCGATTGAACTCTGTCGATGTCGGGGGTTGCACAGGCCGAAGATGATCGAAGTTCATCAAGGCCAAAGCATCAGATGCCAGCTTGTTGCCGAGAAATTCAACGACCTTATGTAGCTCGGCCATTTTGACTGCTTGCGATAGTGACAGGGTCAACGGACCCTCGAAGTAGCTTTCGTCGAGGGTGAAGTAATTGACGGGAAATTGCGCGATGTCTTTTGTCGGCCACTTCCGTGCGCCGATGGTGAAATACACGGCCAAGGCAGCGTGCATCAGGTCGGCCGGGATCTGGCGCTGAATGAAACGGGGTGACAGATAGCCTTCTCGGTCCTTGAGAGCACGGTTAAATGCAGCACCCGATAGAACAGCCGATTTGATCGAATAGCTATCGAGCTCGATCAGGATGTTCTGAAGGAGCTCGGGTGGGAGGTCTTCCAGGCCCCTAGGGGGAGGGACCTTGGGTAGAAGACGTTCCGCCATAGCTATTGAGTAGAGATCTGCTGAAATAAGTGTCAGATTGATATGAGATGAGGATTTGAGTCAAGGGTATCAGAACTGACGTGGGCTTGACGATTTCGCTGCGGTCTGCAGGACGCTGGTGGCTTGAGACAGGGATTTGAAAGCGCAGAAGAAATCCCGGGGTGGGGATGGAGAAGAGAATGCAGATGGAGGAGAGAGGTTGAAGAAAGAAAAGGAGTTGAAGAAAGAAGAGGAGTTGACGAGAGGAGGGGATTTATATAGACGAAAGGAAATGAGGAGAGGAGAGGAGAGATAAACAAGGAGCATTCTAGAGCCATCCCAATAGCAGGTAGGCAACGGTGCAGGCAGACCCGCGACGAGTCGATACGTCGTTGGCGAGGTACTAACTTCAGGATCCTTCTATCAAAGGCCAGTGCAATCCATAGCGTCACATGCCAGTCGATATTAGGGAGGTAATGAGTACGCAGCTTACGAGTCATGTAGATATCTTCTCACCCGTCGTGCCCGAGGCCATGCCATATTCCAGAGTTTATGAATCCCTAGGCAGAAACGGTATTTTCAGCTCATCCAATTTCTCACCCTCGAAGATTTGCAGGAAAGAAGCCTGAGTACCAGTGGCACACTTGACACCATGGAAGCGCAGGTCATCGCGAGCCCGCTCAAGGTCTTGGCCACCAGCGTGTGGTTTTGACTGGACGTTTGTTTTCGACTAGGTAGCTTGCACATCCATCTCGAGTTACCTACGCTGTCTAAATTGGTTCGACCATCGCAAAGGGTGTTTTGACAGGTTATATTGAAAGAGGGTAGAATATGTACAAGCGCCGAGACCCAAGGCCGTCTAGAGACAAGGAGACGATTAGAGCGGAGACCAGTAGGTAGACTCAAATCAAGGAGGGATAGCAAAGTATGTTGCTGTGAGAAAGCGAGGGAGGAGAGAAAGGTATCACAATTACAAAGGCCAGGGATAGAAGAGGTATCAAACAGGGTAAACAGAAAGGGGGCAAGATATAATGAATAGACAAGTCATGACAAGAAATTCATCAGAAGATGTTCCAGCGACTGCGAGTATCCTTGGCGGCTTGCGCACGATCCGCTTTCCGGTGCATGCTGCGACCGTCTAGCTGGCGGATGCCTTCAATCTTCTGCAGGGCCAACTCGAGAAGCTCCTTCTTGCGGATAATGTCGAGGTGACGACGGACGCGCGGGTCTTCGCGAGCGAAACGCTCGATCTCAGCATCGGAAAGGTGACGGCCGAGTCGTGCATCGAGCTCGCGGGGGAAGTTGTAGTAGAATTCGGAGAGAAGTTCCACGTTGAGGAACAGCACTGCCGTTGAAGTGAGTTTGTCGGCGACGACATCGAGGAAGACCTCTGGGCAGTAGTATTTGTTCTTTTGCGTGGCACATTGCTTGGATCGAACGGCCATGAGTCTCATTCTGATGAGATCCGCTCGATCACGGAGAAAGACGCCCTCTCGGCCTGTAGGGAAATGATTAGTCTCAAATTCAAGCGTATCATGCAGTCGGGGTAGGTTTGCTTACCTCTTGCTAGCAAGTCGGCACTGAAACCACCAGCGCCGCCCGAACCGTTGCCCTCCAGGACCACATCGCCCTTGAGAACCTTGTCAATGAATGACATCACATCCTTCATCTTACGCTTTCCAATCTGATCCTCCATATGCTTTGTAGCTGACTCGCAAGCACGGAGTTCTTCCTTCAACACCCTGCTCGCGTTTTCCCTGCCCTTGGCCCACTCCGAGTCCTCAAGTTCAATTTCGAACTTATATGGTTTGATGCAGTTCTCAACCTGGTCACTTGTGCTGAAGAACCGGTCATTTAGAATGCTATTGCAAGCATCCGTGATCTGCTTGTGCGCTCCTGGGTGAGAAGCGAATGTGGAAGAAGCAAGGAGCTGGTCCACGTGGTTCTGCAGAGCACTGGCAACTACAGTAGTGGCAAGTCTGCCAATGCCGAGCTTTGTCAAAGAAGAACTGGAAGCATCAAGCTTCCGGTGCCAGTACAGCGAGTCAGGATCGGCCTTTGGCAGATCCTTGAGAGGGTCTATTTCAGGTTGTCTTGGAGTCAGATCCTCAATGGGCTTGTTCCAATAACGCTGGGCCAGGATATCCATAACCCGCTGGTCCAGTTGAGCCTTGAGCATCTCACGAACTTGCGGCCGACCGAATGCCTCGGCAAATGCCTTGAAAGAATGCTTGAAGCTATCCAGGCTCTCAGCGAGATATGACTCGGCACTCAGGGGCCGGTCATTGTATTGCACCTTGAACTCATATGTAGCTTCCTCAAGCTCCTGGCTGATAGCGTCTCTGGTTCCCGAGAGGCTAGATGCCATGGTCTGCTCAAGGACATGCATCAACTTCTTTCTCAGAGTCGTAACGCCGACGGAAGTATCTGAGTGGAGTCCAAATTCGGATGGGTGGGCCGAGAAGTAAGCATTCTCGTTCTTTAGAATAGCACTGGTAATGTTTCCAGATCCTCGGGAAAAGAGGGCATTTGTCTGAGGGATGCGGCTCACGACACCCACGTACCCTAGACGGAGAGGGTACTTCTTATCAGTGAGGACATCGTGGCCTCGCTCCGGAGCAACGAGATCCATCTTTGTGATCACTCCAATTGTTCGCTCGCCACGGGGATCTACGCGCCGACTGGAGCGCAGTGCGGTCGAGTTTGCGAGATCAACATCAGCTGCCGAGATGGCCAGAATAATGTTGGGAGCTTGGATATATTTGTCGCAAAGATCGGCAATCTTTTGCTTGAGCTCCGGGGGCTGATCGTGGCCTGCCACTTGAATATAACCCGGGAGATCAATCATAGAGAGGTCGGGAACGTTCGGGGAATAGATTGTTAATTGAATAGGATCGTCCGAGACACATTCCTTTTCTGGGACGGCAAGGTTCAGGTCGGTCAAGGTACGCTGAATCGAAGAGAAGTCCGTAATCTTGCCGAGGCCGAGAGCAGGGAATTCGCCATATTCAGCCTGGGCATTAGGGGTGTTGACTAAGGTGAGTTCGATCGGGCGACGAGTGACCATATTCGAGCCCTTTGGCAAGAACTCGTGTCCGACGATGGCTTCCAATACCGAGCTCTTGCCTGAAGATTGGGATCCGATGACCACAATGGAAGGCAGAGTCAATGTTCCGGACTGGCCAACCGATTGAAGAATGTTCCGGATCTCAATCATTTTCCGGGTAAGGACCATCATCTGATCGTCTTCGGCGATCTCTTTTTCAGCTCGTGAGTCCTCCTCGCTCGACTGGTCGTAACCAAAGGCAGCACCAGTAGCAGCCGCAGCTCCTACTGCTCGACCTTCCTTTGGCTCCTTGCCGCCTCCACCGGGACCCTCCTTCTGAGACTTTGATTCTTCATCGAGACGCAGAATCTTCTGCAACCACTCAGGGAGATCCACATCCTCCGTTGTCTTCTCCCATCCACGCTGTGTTTGTTCCGCCACATCCTGAAGTCCCTGGAAGATGCCCGATGCCGTATTGCCGGCAGTTTCCCCAAATACTTTTATCATATCGACTGCATAATTCCCAGCCTCTATATCCGATGAGTTAGTAACCACATATCTAAAAATACCCGGACGAAGAACGTACGAGTTGCTTGATACTGTAAATATGCGACTCCCGCAATCGTCGCTCCACCAAACATAGCTGGAAGACGGACAAGCTTGAGGGCCAACTTTGGCAGCATGCGAGCAAATGAGATTGATCGAACAGCAGGAACATTATTGTGAATACCATTTGAGCCGATGGGCCAGGCGCGTCCCCTCAAGGCGGCACCACCATCAGCACGTAGAAGACCCCCGGTTCGGGCGCCTGCATTATGAAGATGGCGTGCCAGGCCAGCCCGCGCAAGCGGAACAAGTCTGTGGGAGAGAATCCTCCCACTCATGGCTGTCGCTGGATCGCATGCAAGAGGAGTGTTGAAGCAAAAGTAGAAGAAGTGAAGATCGGCCACTGACATCAACGTGACTTGCGCGAGTGGCCGCTTGGTCTCCCGTAATCCCAGTCACGTGGTCTACAGATGACGTGCTGTGCAAGGGAAGTGAGCTGGTTGAAAAGGAGGAATTTTTGACTCAAGAAATATTTGCAAGGAATCTCTTTGTTATTGTATCTTTATTTTTTACTTTGTCAATTGCATTTTTCAAGGTTGGCGATTGTGTTGAAAGAACCACCAGCTTGCTCCCCGATAGTCGGTGACTCTTCACCGATACAACACCTATCCATTGACCGGCCGCTTGATCAACACTAAAGGCTGAGCATTGCGACCTAGTCTCTTGCAGAGCTCCCTAAAAGTAATCCTAGAAGCTTCTGACAGAGACTTTCTTCAAACTTGGGACACAAACAACATACTAGCCGACAAATACAAGGCCCAGCATGTGCCGTTTCCTCGTGAGTCGAAGCTTGATCGGGCTGGGCGATCTCGGAGCTAGGAAAATAACAGATATCAACAGATCTACAAGGGCCGGAACGAGATTCGTCTCAGCAAGCTTGTCACAGAGCCCAGCCATTCCATCCTCACACAATCCTACGACTCCCGACTAAGATTGGTATGTCCAGACTGACTCAAGGAACGCACCCGTAGCTAGCTAGCTAGCTAGCTACCCGAACCTACACCTCAACTAACAAAATCCCCAGGACAACCGACGCCCTGTAAATGGGGATGGCTTTGGAGTAGGCTTCTACACTGACCCCAAGCTGGGACCAGAGCCTTGCATCTTTACATCAACACTGCCAGCATGGAACTGCGAGAACCTGGAACGTCTCGCGTCCAAGACATGCTCGAATCTAATCTTTGCCCATGTCCGCGCCACCACGGAGGGTGCTCTCGCAGACAACAACTGCCATCCATTCCAGCACAACACCCTCATGTGGATGCACAATGGCAACATCGGCGGGTGGAACTACATCAAGCGTGCCCTGGGCGAGTCCCTCGCCGACAAGTGGTACTTGGGCGTCAAGGGCGGCACTGACAGCGAGTGGGCCTTTGCTCTATTCCTTGATCTCCTCGAGAAGGAGGGCGCCAACCCGAGCTCTGACCCTGGTCCCGAGGGCTTCGGACAGGCGTTGCTGCGCAAAGTCATGATGAAGACTATTGCTAGGATCAATGAGCTGGTTCGTGAGGTTCCAGCTAAGCACAATGTTGCCGTTGAGACGCGTAGCCTGCTCAATTTTGCGGTGACGGATGGCCATACCGTTGTCTGCACGAGGTATATCAGCAGCAAGACGGATGAGCCTGCGAGCTTGTACTTCTCCTCTGGGACTAAGTGGAAGGAGGGGAAGACCAAGGGTCATTTCAAGATGGAGCGTCATGATAAAGGCGCTGATATCGTGCTGGTGGCTAGTGAGCCGATTACTTTTGAAAGACGTGAGATGCCCGCCTTGCTATACCCGTCAATATACCTGAAAACTAACATTGTGTGATAGACAACTGGGTCCAGGTACCGACCAACTCTGTCGTGACAATCCACAAGCAGACTGTCCTGTTGCACCCAATCTTGGATGAATTCTACGGAGAAGATCTCAACCAGGACCGCTCCTCTTGCTACGCAGTCTCCAAGGGCCTGGTCAGCACCGCGCCTGGTACCACCGTGCCCCCTCAGAATGCGGCAGAGAAGTGTGCGCCTTCTGCAAACAACGGGCCTAGTCTGGAGGATCCCCGGCTCGGGCACACCGCCAGGTGTGCGGCAACGCACTAAGTGAGATCCTTGGATGCGGTAGTTTGTGGTAGCACTCTCATTTCAAGAGCTGTTTCTGTTGGCATTGGAAGCAACTTTTTCTCTTTTGGCGTCGAAGTGATTTCTTTTTTCGGGGCAAATTGATACTCAATCCGCATACGGAGTTTGTTAGGCATTGGCCTTTGCTGTTTCGAGTTGGTCAACTGACTTTCGCCGGTTCGAGCTTGCATGGTTGGCCTAGATTTGGCACGAGGCTGTGACAGCTTATGAAAACCTAGCTATACAAAATCTTGGTATACTCCCAACTGAATATCCAAGTAGGTATTCACCTTGGCGAAATAATAAAGGCAATAGTGTACAAGTAAAATTTGAATACAGCCTTTCCATAGCTTGATTAAAGGATACCCTGACCCTCAACTATCATCCCCAGATATATTAGCATGTTTAAAGTACTTCATCCCCACCCAAGCCACAACAACCCAAACCCACGACATAACAGCCGTAAGTATAATAAGCGCAGGATAATACCCGACAATCGGCAAGGTAGGATCATCTTCCAACTCCGGCGGCGCATACGGCGTCTCGCCTACATCCCATGCCCAACTCCAGACTTCGAAGCAACTGCCCATCCCAACGACAAATACCAGCCATGTCACAATGAGTATAATCCACCCCCACCATTCAGTCTCGGAGTAGTCCCAGGTATCAGCATTATTTTTCATTTCCACCGAGTGTGTTGCCAGGGGCGAGGATTTGGCGCGGTGCACGGTTCGATAGGGCGTATCTGTCGGGAGGTCTGTAGGGAGGGGGTAGGACGAGTAATCGGATTGTGTAGAGATGTGTAAGGCTGTCGGGGGTGTGATTTTTGACGAGCCCGTGCTGGTGGATGTATTATTTGTCGTGTTTATACGCGGGAAGGAGACGAGTTCCTCGTCGTCGGTGCCGGTTTCTTCGCCGCCAAGGAGGTTATGCGGTGCGAGACCCTGTCGGCGACGGGCTACGGAGGAACGGAGAATCTTCTGTGCTGTACTCGCGCGGAACCAGCTCGGCTGCGTGTCTTCAGCGTCGTAGTCGAGGCTCTCGCGGGACCCGAAGCCATTAGCTGCAGGAGAGGACTGGTCCTTCGGGGACCGTGGCGTCTCGGCCATGTATCGAGGAGTCGTCGCATCGGCAGACTTGGATGCAGCCCGCTTCTCGCGCGACTCGAGCCTCGTTCCTAGTAGCGCGGTCTTCCGTAGTGACCCCCGCCGCCGCCGTGTTTTGCGCTGCTGCTGTATCACCGCCGACATCGCCCTGGCGCCCGTTGTAGCCTCGCTGCTCAAGTGCGGCATGGCAGGTGGGAAGTCCTCGTTGTCCCCATCCTGCTCCATGGTGTCGGATTTTGTGCCCGATTGCGCGGATGCCTGGCTCATGCGTAGAAAGGAGAGTCTGGAGAGTAAAGAGCCGGATAGGCTTCGTCTGTGGCCGTTGCTTGCGCTGCCAGATCGCGTGCGATTGGGTAGTCTGTCGACGGTTGGGAATTCCGCATTGCTGCTTGCGCCATCGTCCATTGGCACGGGTGGAAACCGAGAGCTAGCACCTCAGCTCCACGGTGTTTAGTCCCCCAGCATTAGGAAAGTGGACCAAGGGGAGCGTTGTCTGCGCGTTGGTTGTTTGGGGGTTTACACTCGAGGCGAAGGGCCTACGGAGATGCGCCAGGAGCTAATTGGGGCCTTGGGGGTCAGGCAGTAACATTTAGCGCCATAGTGACTAGCCACTGGGGGGAAATCAACGACAGCCCACCATATTTCCAAAATTACATGGAAAAAATACCATAGAGTCTCCGTTTTGCAAGCACTGTAATTCTAATTGGTACTCCCTGATATGAGCCCAATATTAGTTGGAATTGGCTACCTACAGATTGGGTAACACCACAACGGGCACCATGCATGAAAGCGGGATATGTTGGACAAAGAGCAATTGGCAAGAGTCTAAAAAACCCCGTGACGAAAGCAAATTGGTATATCGGCTAGAACGCCAGCAGGTATGAGAGACATAGCAGAAAGAATAGATCATAGACTAATTCATAGTGTCAGGTCACACAAGGAAATTCATCACGGCATATACGGATACTTGCAAGGAGGACGAGGAAAGACGGGAGCTCGCGAAAAGAAAAACACATTGATAACCGAGAAAGGGAAGCGAAGAAACGACCCATGGCAGGAGATAAAACCAAAACCCCGATGAGAGTATCTTTTAGAGTAGCGAGAGAGAAAATGAGCAGTATCCAGCAAAAGTATGGCCTAGAAAAAAGTGGAATAAACCAGAAATGACAGATGTTGAGAAGCAGATTTGATACAGCACAGTTCATGTACTGGGGAAAAAAATGCAATAGAAGCTAAACGAAAGAATTGACGAAAACAAATAAAGACCAAGTCCAGGGACGCACAACCAGGAGGATAGGAGTAGGGAGGTCGCTTTTATTTTGGAAGCATCACGAGCGAACAGTTCAAGGACAGGCCCTAGGACCAGTTCATGCATGCTCACACGGGATGCGAAGGCAAGACAGAGTAAAATAAGACGAGATCAGGAAGAAAAGATCGAACCAACAAAGTGGATTTGGGGTATTCGGTGCACAACACACAAATTCCATTTCAAGACAAAAGCAGTTTGATCGCTTGGTAATCCACTTAAACAGGCAATTTAGAAAGAAAATGAAGAGCAGATGGGAATGGGAGAGATGGGTGGAATGAGGAGGTGGTAGGAGTGGAAGGAGAGAGGGGGAAGTACTTGAGGACCACAACGACTGGGAGGTGTGATCCAGCCAAAGTCCAATGTCGAGATGAAACGGTTCCTCATGAAAGACACGAGTATCCATTTCCTAGGGGGCAGTCATGGGAGAATCTACGCCTGGTAGGCTCCGTTGAAGTTGTTGTTGGACTGGTCCCAGTTACCAGACGGGGACATGGGCTGGCCACGACCGTAGCCGCCGGCGTTCCCTTGAGCATAGCCCTGGGCAGGCATACCGGGGCCACCAAAGTTGTTGCCTTGTTGGTCCCAGCCTCGGCCAGCAGGGGCAGGACCTACGCCTCTTCAGTCAGTGAGAAAGGTGGGAAATACACAGATAAGAAAAAGGATGCCTACCTTGATTCATGGGGTTGGCCGGACCTCCGTACTGGGGGAAGAAGCCCGGGCCGTTGTTGAAGGGAGGAGCAGCGGCCTGCTGCGGGGAGAAGTTGTCAAACTGGCCGGTGGGAGGTCGGTCCTTGCCCCACTGATAAGTTCGGAGTTAGTAAATTTAGAAAAAACAGGAAAGCTTTGGGACAGAGGGAACATACGCTGCACTTGAGAGGACGGCCATTGACCTGGTAGCCATTCAGCTGGCAAATAGCCATGGCGGCATTCTCGTGCGTGTCCATCTTGACAAAGGCGAAGCCACGGTCAGCCTGGAGACGAGTCTCAAGGACATATCCGAAGTTCTGGAACAGGGGTACGAGGTCACCCTGAGAGGTGTAAGGGGTGAGGTTGCCGACGTAGCAGGTAGTCTGCCACTGTGGGGTCTGCTGCACGACCATCTCGTAGCTCTGGATGCCTTGGGTAGGGAAGTGGTGGTGACCGAAGGGAGTGGTCGGGGTCATGCCCATGGCGGCCATGGCCTGCTGCTGAGAGATCGAGGGCTGTCCCTTCTGGTTGGCCCAGTTGCAGCGGATAGCGCGAGAGCCGAGCCACTCGCCATCCATCGAGTTCAGAGCCTTGTCGGCATCGGCGCGGTCCCGGAAGGCAACGAAGCCGTAACCACGGGAGCGACCAGTCTTCATGTCCCACATCACGCGAGCCTCGGAGACGGAACCAAAGGCAGAGAAGGCCTGAGTCAGGACCTCATCATTCACCTCGTTGCTCAGGTCACCAACGAAGATGTGGAAGTGGTTGGAGGTATCCTCCTTGCTGGTACTGTTGGACTGGTAGGCCCAGTTGACGCGGATTTCCTGAGAAGAGTAGCACCGTCAGTACATTCAACAAGACCTTATCGCCTCCCTTCTCAGTCAGAGGAAACTTACCGACTGATGGATGCGGCGGCCGTTGAGAGTCTGCATGGCGCGTTCAGCAGCACCAGGATCATCGAACTCAACGAAGCCGTAGTTGTAACCCTTGCTGTTGAACTGTTGAGACGACATCAGTGTCTGTTGGTCGTGGTATAAGAGGCCTTCATTAGAAAAGACACAAAAATGTTTTCGCTGGACCGAAAGTTTCGGGTTGGTAGAAAACACAAAAGAGGAAGGAGCCTCGGGGGGCTTCGAGGGGGAAAGGCTGTTGATGTCACGGGGTAGTTCAGGGTTCAGAGCCAACTCACATTCTTGTCGGGGATAATCTTAACGCTAACCACGTGGCCAGTGGTCTCAAAAATCTGCTTCAAAATATCCTCCGTGACGCGGGGGTCCAGACCACCGACGTAGAGAGCTCTCTTGTTGGGTTCGGGGGCAGCCCGGCGCACGTAACCACCGGCGCTAGTGGGAGACATCATATTGCCAGACAGAGGCGACGAGATGGCAGTCGGGATCGGGTTGGTATTCTGGGGAATCACCACGGGGGGGCGTGGAGGCGGGGGCATATGGGAGGGGTTGGTCTGGCCATTGCCTTGGGCGCCGTCGTACTGCTGGTTCTGAGTAGCAGCAGCAGGCTGAGGTGCCGAAGGCAACGAAGAAGGGGTGGGAGCGGGAGCGTTCTCGGCCATCGTGTATAGGCGTCTGACGAAGTTGGGATAGGGAAGAGGCGATCGCGAATGTTCCAAAGAATGCTTAAAAGCAGCGGGTAACCAACAATGACCAGGCTGTCAAGAGCGTCAGGGCAGGTCGACACGGATTCAATGGCGAGGAGCAAATACAGAGCAGAAGATCAATGTCGCTGTTAGAAGCTAGTCCGATAACTATACAGCTGGTGCAGAGGGGGACAGGTGTTGATCGCGGGGCTTTTTTTTGAGATCAATGGTCTTTGAATGGGTCCAAACAAAGAGCAATGAATTCAGAGGCAAATCGTAGATGATCCGACAGCTTTTTCCAAATATAAATCGGGTTTTGCGAGATAAATCTTTGGAGTATAGGCAGGAATATCGATAGGAGGGTATCGTAGGTCGCAGAGGGGGGTGAACAGCAGGGACAGAGCCAAGCGCTTAAGCTGCACAGAGTCGAGACGGATGGGAGAAACCCCAGAGAAACCAACAAACAACAGTAAGAAAAGCTAAGAAAGCTGGCCAAACACACAAGGAAATAAGTCCGACGGGTCGCGAGCGACAGAACCCAGAAGAAAGAAAAAAACGAGACGATGGAGCAAAAAAGAAAAAAGAATAAGAGATGGGGGGAGAGTTGTAAAAGGAGGAAATAAGTCGAAGGTCGAAGATGCCGATGAGGTGAGGGTCAGTCAAAGGCAGACCCAAGCCAGTCACGACTCAGGAGGAGTAGAGAGAGGGGGGAACCCGCCCCTAATGGGTTTAGCCTCCCGACTTTCGCTGTCGAACCCAAAAGTGATCGAAGCTGTGTACAACCTCAGTACCACCCGATCACCCTGCCCCATACCCCCTCTTTACAATACCTAAATTCCTCAATAGTCTATAATTATCTATGACCATCATCATGACCACAAGCTTCGCCAACCCAGACTCCCTCGCCGAGCTTTCTGCCCTCGTGGAGCGAACGGTACAGCTGCCTTCCTCCGCGCCCAAAATGGATCCACGCGACTCTGCCACTGCCGAACGTGCTACTGACAATGAAACTCAGCTCATAGATACGGGCCGGTTGTTTCGCAAATCGAATTCCATGGCCGCTAGCACACACATCCAACGCTCCATCCCCGTATACTACGATGGCTTCCAGAACGCGCTAGACAACCTCTCCGAACAAATTGTGAGTGCAGATTGGATACTCGGGCGAATCGATGGAGCTATGAAAAATGCGCCTTTGGAGATTTCCGGTTTGTCTCCTAGACCATCCCCGCTAACTGTCCACAGTTCATCGCAAAGGCCTTCCTGGAAAAGGACTACGAAGCAATCAAGGCACGCGAGGTCGTGCCTCAGCCCGCCGAGGATGTATCCATGAGTGAAATCAAGCAGAAAATAGAGCCAGATCTACAACCGTCAACTCTCGAGCAGACAGATCTAGCTTCGCGACCTCTCAAGGTGGAACCACCCTCGGACGAAAGCGCGATGGCAGGTCTTTCACTACCAACAGAAGCTATCCCCGCACCACAACCCAGCGAACCCCTACTCAAGACGGAAGAAAAAGACACGGGAGGACTAGCAGTGACGGACCAAACATTCCCCGGAACCGAAGGCATTCAATTCGACACGGTTCTCGACGAGAGCGGAGCGACCAACTCGTTCGACCTGAATTACGACTTTGGCAACGATGATATGGGCAACCAGGCCTTCCTATCCGGGACTGGCTTTGGCAGCACCACGACCGGCACTGATAATCCCGCTACCTCCCTACCACCGACCGACAATGCGACCGCGGCCCCCGCAGGCGGGGGTGCATTCGACATGGAGCTGGGTAAGACGGAGGGTGCTAATGCATTCCCCGACCCGGGCACTGGGATGGAGGATATGATGGGACCGGGCGAGTCTAGCTTTGATGATTTGTTTATGGAGAATGAGAACTTTGGCGAGACGGCGGGGGATCTACATCAGTTGGAGGGTGATAGTTTGATGGAGATTAATGAGCTGGATGATAGTTGGTTTAATTGAGCGGGGTTAACATTGAGCTTTGCAATGATTCCACCTTGATCTGGAGGTACAGTCGAACAGTACGTGTTCGTGATTATGTCCTACTGTATGATCTTCTTCATAATCCTACGTGATGGGTGGTGGGGAAATAGTTTTCCAAGATCTGCGATCCTATGCAATCTGCACTAGTGGTCGTGGGTAGATCTATCGAGGATGGTGTCCTGGACTAGTTATTTAGTTCTTTAACAGAATAAACTACAGTGCCGCCCATTTTTGCCTTCTATATCTCGAGACACTTTCAAACCATAATCACGTGATTAGATGATCCCAATATGGTACCGCGTAAATTACGCGTCAGTACTATACGTATTACTGGTACCTGATATTGTACCTCTAATTGTACTCATACAAAGCCTCTGGAGGCAGGAACGACTAGAAGGCTCCATGCAACCTAAGCAAACCAGCACCCGTAAGCAACCTGGCAACTTCCATCCTCCATCCCTCCTCTATCCCTCAGTTGCCTCACTATGGAGGGTTTAACGCTGCCTTTAGTGTCCATATCTGGTCAAGTTGGAAGGCAAGCCTGACAGTAAGAATTGTTTCGTGATTACCCTCTTAGCTTCATCGATATCCTGAATCTCGGGAATCCTAGCAATGGCAGCTTTAGGATCATCGTGATCATCATGATCATCATGCTTTGGCTCAGCTAGCCTATTTGAGTTGTCTTCTCCGACCTTTTAGCCTATTAAGGCTGGAATAAGCATCGTAAAAATGAAAAATGGTCGCATTCTTTGGTCTGCAGTCTTGTTTTTGACTTTGCGAGAATTGAAAACACTTAACCTCGTAGAAACAGGAAAGCGTGAGACAGAATAGATAAAAGGAAATTTGCATGTGAATGTCCTTCGTTTTATATCTTGTTGGTTTTTTAATGAGCCGTAGGTCAGTTTATTCATTATCAATTGCTTGTCTAGCTTATAAGACTAGTAGACGTGAGTCCTATTCTATTAGTGATATCTCGCGCGCCTAGTGACACCCGAAGTAGATTATTAGTACTTATTTGCGCTTTGATAGTACGCTAGTAAATCCTTAAACCTTGTTGTGAAGTACAGAGTTTATGGGCCTAGGAGGAAATCACACCGACTTCTATAAATTATAGCGGCCGATCATCCGTACGCGGGAAACGGGTGGACGATCCTGCCTGATTTTCAAATCTACCAATCTGTTCTAACGGATTCTATGTATCATTACAGAACGATTACAATACGCCCTAAGAACAACAATACTGTAGTTGTGTCTACACAGAATGGTCTGGCCTTTAGGAGTTTATAGACGATCAATTTCCGATCTTGACAACGTATTAAATAGAACTCATTGATATTAAGCACTCATATCTCCCTAGCATGTGTTTATGTGTAGATTACTTGCCCCTTACTTGATAAAGGCTTTAAAAGATCCTTACTAAGTCTATAAGCCTCCTCAGTCTACTTTCAAATTCTCAAACCTGAAGAAATCTATTCGCTCTGCAATGAAGTCACCCGCTGACACGAAAGTTGGCATTATGCGGCCATTGGTAAATGATACGCTGACACTCACCAACCTAAAAGACCGTCGAGTTTTGGTCTTTTGGCTTCTTGAGATCATAGCCATAATTCAATTTATTCTCTGGCTTATTTTGGCCAGCAAATTGGCGGCCGTACCCGTCTACTTCAACACTCTGGCCGTAAGCATCTCCTCCGAGCCTAAGCTGAGTTCACCATTGAGGGCAACAATATCCAGACATATTGACCGCGCCAAGAAGGCCAATGTTGAAAGTTCGTCACAACAGATTGCTATTGATATCTGGTTTGGGCTTGGATTCACGGTGGTTATTGATGCCTTTGCTGTCGTCTTAACATTCAACCGTGCTCTCATTCGAAAATTTCATAACGTCGTGTCTCAACGCTTGATTTTCCTGGCTTCTATCATATTATGCGCCATCTGGTCATGGAATGCGAAAGATTCGGGCTTATCTTCCACGCGCGCGTTGTTATTATTGGCTGGAGGCTTCATGCTTTACGGGCTCCTCGGCTATACCCTAGATAAGCTTGAGAAGCGCGATATTTCCCCTGGCGCAGCTGTTCGTCGTGGAACATTTGCACAATACAGCAAAGATCTAGGCCGATTTGAAACATCTTGGACGCATGCTGCTTTTCTTGCGGTAATAATAGGAGGGCTCGGCTTGTTCTTGACTTGGCTCGTTCCACCCCCATGGTCGGCTGGCCTCCCAGTTATACATATCTTGTCAGAGGTTTGTAGAGCAATACTAAACTCTATGATCGTTATTCTAACCGCCTCTTCTTTTCATAGTCGCTCATTTTATTAATGAGGGGTGCAAAGAGGACACCTCGCTATATTTCTCTAAGCTCTCCTATATTCTTTGCTGTCGTTTGCGTGCATTGGGGTGTAATGCCATTGTCGAAGAACCCTCGTCTTTCGATCACACCTTCGTACTTTCTAGGCCTTGTTCTCCTGAGCCGAATTCTCCTCGACGCACATTTATTGACGATCCTGCGGTTTCGTTCTGAACTAAAGTGGTCTCGGAAGAATATCTTGATCTCCACACCCAGACTCCTGGCGATATGCTTTGTCATGCTCTTCCTCGAGAATCTGGGAGTGAGGGTCATTACTTACATCAAACCACTTTCAGTACTAGTTTTCTTTGGATTGGGGATAGCTGGGTATTTGGGTGCTGCTGCGTACGATATCGCCGCCAAGTTGACTTATATCGGTGTATAGCAAAACCCCATGAATACCCAAAGCTGTAATTACCAAGTTCCCATGATCATACAGTTTTGTACTTTTTCTCCCGCCACCATACAACACTGGAACAAATCCTTGTTTACGAAATTAGACATATCGCGTCACGTGACTAGGGTTTAGAAGAGTATCTCTCTGTTTCCAGATATGGAAGGCAATAACGGGCAGTCCTGTAGCTGGAGGAGCGGGGTGAGTACTCTTCCCTGCCTCTTGCTACTACGAGTAAGGAAGGGAAAAGCCTTTCGGTCTCCCGGTGTTATGCTTATTCCCCCGTTCATGGTGTTGTCTGTGCGGCAGAGTTCGCCTATTACCGTTGGATCATGAGCATGAGTGGCCGAGGACTTATTCACCGCAATTCGATTGTTAGTTCGACAAGCTACGATCTCCAGGGCTGAAGATACTGGAGGAAAGCGATGCATCCAATATGATCCACTATGATCTGAATAGTGTCTACTAGCACTTGCGACCAGTCGAACCACAGTTTGTGGGCATTGCACTTTCCTCTTTCGGTATTAGATAGCCCGTTAGCTTAGTTAGTCTGGCTAGCTTGTCCCCGATTGATCCTGCGATCCTGCGATCCTGACGTGTGACTGCGTGTTGCAGACACCGACAGGACTAGCACCGTCCTAAGAACCTCTACAGAGATTTATCCGCCTCAGACGACCGTGACCATAACCAAACCTACCATAAAAGGTCCACACTTCGTTGAGGGTGTGTTGGTGGTACAACTATAATAGTTAGTAATACATTCAACGCCACAAAAGGACTCGCCCCGTCCATCGCAGGTCTCGGCCAAGAGAACCCCGTGATCAAATTAATAAAGCCAAGCCTCCATCTCCACGATGACGTCGCAACTCCGAGGCTACTCGGAGACAGTATCCCTGCTTAAATTTTGACAGTTGACACAAAATAGTGACGAGACATCATTAACTCCCCATCTAATTTCCGGACTCCACTGACGTGGTGTGGGAAAATCAGGGCAGGGTAAAGGGGTCGTGCCTTAATTTCGCCAGGGTCGAGAGCGAAAGATGGGAGTAATAATATATTAGACGCCGACCGAGTTGCAGGTGTGCACCAATGAAATAGACGGAGTCGGATGATTGTAGTCAGAGGAACTTGGAAGAGAGTTTAGGGTTTGTGTGGAGGGTTGAACGCCTGACTTCTTTCTTGAGGGACGCGTGGTGGGGAGATGTCGATGAGGTCATTGCCAGCTGTCAATATGAGGCTTTGACATGGCAGCGGTAAAGATTTGCTTGACACATGGGAGATTGGGAGTCGAGAGCAGGGAAGTGAGAACCGGATCGTGGGGATCGGTGCGTAGATCTATTAATGTTGATGTAAATATGCAAAATGTATAATTGCGTAGTGCTAAACGTATTTTCTAGGAGAAAGTACTTAGATCCGAGTGGTAACGTAATCCACGGCCGACCGGATCACACGGCCGACCGGATCACCTACCCCCATGGGGATACTTCAAAATCGATTATCTCAACCAACACCTATCAATTCAACTAGATATAGCGATTTTTACATACATTAATCCTGTGGCCAATCTCCCTGCATCCACTACACCTAGGCGGAGCCCTAGCTGCTGGCCTAGTTGGCTGACTAGGCAATTCGACCTCTGCATGCGAATCTACCCCATCATCTTCCTCTGGCTGGTTTAGCTGCGTAGCTAGCTGTATAGCCTCTTCAATGGTTAAACCCTCTTCGCAGGGTATCTTCTTAGTTGACCGATTGCGCTTTTTGACCATCTTCTCATTCGCTATGCGCAAATTCGCGTTATCCTCTGCCAGTAGTGCACCGCTGTGAAGCGCGAGCTGGAACCCCTTGATCATCTGGTCTAGGATCTCTTTTGATGGGCTCGGAGGGCTATTTGACCGCCGTTTTAGTAGATCTTTCAACATAGAAGCTTGCTTAAATAGCTGAGTAGCGGTTCTAGGCGTTTGTGGTGTGAATTCGCTAGATCTGCTGCTCGGCCGGCTGTTTGGTGGTGTTGGAGTTCGTAGAGAGATATTAAGCTTGTTAAGCACTCTCTCAGCATCTAATGGTACTAGACCGCTAGCTGCGAAGCTGTTTTTGATAGTGGGATTGGTTGATTGGAACGTTTCTAGCCGCGCGTGCTGGTAATCCACTAAGAAATCGTGCTTGTCGATATGGTTATATCCTCTACGCGCAAGATCGCTAACGAAGCGACCGTACGCGCGCTTAACCACTGCAAAACACCCAACATCTAGTGGTTGTAGTAGATGCGATGAATGCGCAGGCATACAAAGAGGTATAATATCGTTTTCTGTGCAGATTCGGTCGAATTGGGGTGTAAGGTGGCTACCATGACCATCAAGAATCAATAGCCGAAACCGACCTCGTACGCGCGAATTCGTATATGGTATAAAGATCTTTTGTAACCAGCGTAGGCCAATCTCATGGGTAGTCCAACCGTTGGCAGAGACCTCGATTCGCCAGTCTTTCGGTAGATTTTCGTTAAACCATCCTGCAATAGCCACTTTGCCTTTAAAGACTATACATGGCGGTAGTGAATAGCCATCTGCGCAGATTGCTTCGATCGCAGTAACCCATTCGCGATTTCCTGGTTGTAGAAGAGACCTCCGACCGTAGTATTCAGCTCTTGTAACTACTTTCTGCGAAGATATAAGGCCCATTGCAAAGCCTGTCTCATCAAAGTTGTAGATATCCTCCGGTTGTATACCCTTCTCATCGATTGTGCGCTGTACGGTCGTAAACCACTGCCGAATCGATTTCGGATCTTCGTTTAGGGCTCTTTGGTAATCGTATCTTCGCGAGAAGCGAGACCGAAGCTCATCGCGGCGTTTAATAAAGCTTGATGGCCAATTAACACCAACAGTAGGCGGAGGGTTACTACCGCGCGTAGCAAGTAGGATATTAGCCATTTCTCCCACAGTAGCCGGTCTAGGCGCTGCTCCACGTGAATCCATAGATAATATCCACTCAGCAAGCGCATCCTCTTCGGTTTGGGTCAATTTATGACCAGATGGGCGCTTATCAACGCGTGAGACTCGGCCATCGGCGCGCGCATGTAGGGTAGTGTAGGGTATCTCATATAGCTTTGCTGCTGCGCGGATAGAAGAGATACGGCCCTCTTTTAAATCAGAAAGGGCCAATAGGATCTTTCCCTCTTGGTTGGCCAATTTATGGCTAGATTCACTGCGAATTGGTGGCATGGTAGGTGGTTGAATTAATCAGGTTGGTAGAAAGACGCGAATTTAGAAGGGGTGATCCGGTCGGCCGTGTGATCCGGTCGGCCGTGGATTACGTTAGATGATTTCAACCATGTTTATTAAGCACAACCGTACTTCGTACTTATTTGCCCTACCATGACGTGGAAATCTTACCCTATCGCTCTCAAATTAGTAACACTACTATAATCAACAGTCATCCATTCGCCTCATCTACCCCAACGATGACTGACAGTTGATGTACATCCCCACCGGTAGTTCAAAACTCGCGGAGTTGACATGGCCTTCAATCCCGAAGCATTTCTTCTCCGCGGAGTCTCACTCCCGGCCATTCACATCCTTTGTCAATATACCCCCCGCTAGCCCGTGCAGCAAACTCTGAAAAATCAGGGTCAGTACGCTGGCCAGGGCCCTGTGAAATAAGCATTTCCTCTCGGGGGAGAGTTGTTAGCCGTATGACGGTGGTCGTCTGCCCTCTTCCTTCGTCGAGCCACAGGCCATACAGAGTACATTCTGTGCCGAGTACATACCTGCACGTCGGGCCAACAAAAGGACTGCAACTCACTTCCTTGACGCTCGGGATTTGCACGAGGATGTGATGTAAATCCGCTCGTGCATCTTTTGGGTCTACCTCTTTAACATTTTGAGTTCTCCCCTTGGGATCGGTGTAAAGCGGGCTGGTCCAATCTCCTCACATGCGACGTGCCGATGGAAGCGATCTCCCCGCACCCGAACCCTTCCTATCGCCGAGTCCTAGAACTTTGTAGGACTGGACAAAGTCGAATGACAACTTCCCGTGCCGTAATATCCGCATTGTGGGAGGAAAGGACAGGGGAGCCGATCTATCCGTTCTGAAAAGCCCATTTTCAAAATTCGGGCGAGGGTTCTTGTTTGCATTCGCATCGCATGTTGGACGCATGGTACTTCAACTGCCTAACTTCTGGTTCGTAGTGTGGCTGTGTGGAGAAACTAAACACAGCCGAGATAGTTACAGTATCTCCGAGTAGAAACCTTCAAAAGTATTATTTTACCTATGTCTATCCTCAGGGATTTTAGATCCGTTCAAGCCTTATTCTCAAACCGTCGGGTGGAGTTCGATGTGGTTTTTTTTCCGGATGGAGTATCACTACCAGATACGGAGTAACGAGGCGTGGTGACTATCATAAATGATCCTCTCCACTTGGGACGAAAAGGGAGTTAAAAAGTTTGCAGGCACAGGCCGAATGAGCGCCGAAACTCTAGCACTAGGAGGACATTATTGTTACTACCATCGTCCATAGTCCTAGTAACCTATTGGAGTAGTACGTTCGTAACCCACATCTGGCCCGGATCGCCGGATACGTGAGAAGAAGAAGAAAAAAAAAAAGAGGACCCCAATGGGCATCGAGATCATGTCATCATCGATCCGGTCGATCCACGTATGGGGCCTTTTGAGCCTTATGGCTGATGGCCCTTATAGGTTCCCGTTCTTTTTTGGTTAACGCCCTGCTTCGTCCGGAGTACTTGGGGGATTATTTATGACTGATTCATCCTGGATCTAGCCCCATCATCTAATCTTATAATCACCTGCCCTGACCGTCAAACTATTGCCTGCGGATTTACACATTTCAGTCTATTATTTCCCTACGATCGACGGGCTACTTGACAGGGAGCTAATTCCGTGGACACTGAACAATCCCCGACGCCACATTACGGAGCCCAGACCCAAGCAATCTCCCTCTGTTCATCATCATCATCCAAGCCCAAAGCCCCCCAAAAAAAGCAAGCCCGCAGCAGGCCACCAAGCAGGCCGCCCAAACCCGCCCCAATTGCGCATCTCTACAGCCAATCCGACGTCTCGTTGAGAGGGATCTGCACGGCCGATGATCACGGCCGGAGGACCCGTGCTATGAAGTCAGCGCCCCGAGGTCTACGTCTCCATCTCTCCTGCAAAGATCGGTGTGCTCCTTGCGTGGTCGATCCGCATTGAAGGGGGTGACAAAGGGGAAACTATCAGAAAAAAAAAGAAACTAGACGAAAAAAAGATACCACACGGGTCATACAAAGATTAAACCAAAAAAAAGAGCTGCTAGGTAAGTGTTATCCTTGTGTTGCCCTCTTCCCTCCGTTCTACTGGTTTACTCTACGGACTCGTTCGTTTGCCTGGTGCACCATCATCCCCGCATTCTTGGCCACATTCACCTACGAGAGAGAGAAAAGAACTGGACGACGAGAGTCAGAGAGAGAGGGGAACGAGACGCTGAGAATTTGAGGACGGGTGAAACTGCCTACGCCCGATACATACCATTCAATTCTACAAATCTCTCTCCCACTTGCTGGTGCTCTCGCTCGACTGTCTCAATCTCTATCCCCATCCCATTATGCCCTCACCATGATGATGATGGCCGCTCACATCCCCGCCGCGCAGGCTTCCTCGCGATCCAGCTCCGTGAGCCAAGATCAATCGCTCGATCTCGTCGCTCCGTTATCGCTATCCAGCCTTATCCACACTCGATCAGCTCGGCGCCGAACAGTCACTCTCAGCGCGACCGTTGAAGAGCAATTCCCCAAGCAAAATCCCTCCTTTAGCCGTCGCGGCTCCATCCTCAGAAAGCTGGCGGGTCCACGAGAGAACGCGAAGCGATTCCTTCGCCTACGGTCCGCCGGCGTCCAGTCCCCGACGCCGCCCCCGCAACAGCGCCTCAATCCCCGCTGTAGCGGCGCCCGCCCCGTTTCCGAGATCATCCTCTCCCCAACGCACACGAGAGAGTTCCCACGGTCCCTAGAAGAAGGCGATATGCGATCGGATTCGTCTTCGATGGCGACCGACGTTTTGGCCCGGCGCTGCCCGAGCATACCACTGCTGTTCCCGAGTTGTCCACTCCGTTTCCCCCGCTTCGTAATGAGAAGATTGTCGCGACGGGGAGTGGCCTCACGGTGGGCATTGCGTTGACGGAGCCGGTGCTGTTTCTACAAGGCTACGATCAACATGATCCCAGTACAAAGAAGTCGGCCATTCTACGAGGCCAAATACATTTGAAAGTGACCAAGTGTGTTAAGATTAAGAAGATTTCCATTTGTTTCCGTGGCCATGCACAGACGGACTGGCCAGATGGTTCGCAATCCCCCAATCATGACCACGGATCGAAAGTCCATACTAACAAGATCACAGGAATTCCTCCTAAGAAGATCCATTTTCATGATAAGAAAGATTTGTTTACCCATGGCGTCATCTACTTCAACCACGGCGATACCGCACTCATGCAAAATGACTACGGCGCACACTACTATCAGCACGCAAAGCCCGCATCGCCCGTACCAGGAAAGGAGGGAGTCACCGCAACCACCCGGGAACTATTTTCCAAGAGCGGCTCAAATACATCTCTCGGTATAATGACCGCGAAAGATGCCAAACGTCTCTCAGTACAGACCACCCGAGGCCACTCGCGAAGTTTCAGCAGGAATGAGCCTCCAGTGAGTACGCAGAATCAGCCACAGCGCAACTACCGCATGTTCCCCGTCGGCGACTACCTCTACAGCTTCGAATTCCCCATCGACGGCTCGCTCCCGGAAACGATCAAGACGGATCTGGGCTTTGTCCGATATGATCTGGAGGCAATCGTCGAGCGCTCGGGCGCATTCCGGCCAAATCTCCTGGGTACCCTCGAAATCCCCGTGATCCGCACGCCGGCCGAGGGCTCGCTAGAGCAGGTTGAACCCATCGCCATCTCACGCAACTGGGAGGACCAGCTCCACTACGATATTGTCATTTCTGGCAAATCCTTCCCGCTGGGCTCCCAAATACCCATCGCATTTAAATTGACGCCACTCGCAAAGGTGGAATGTCATCGCATCAAGGTATACGTGACGGAGAATATCCAGCATTGGACTGCCGACAAAAGTGTGCATCGACTGCAGCCGGCAAAGAAGGTGCTCCTGTTTGAGAAGCGCGCCGAGTCTGCTAGCACGAGCACTTACCCCGGTAGTTCAATGCGCATTACTGCGGGCGGTGGTATTGACTGGGATCATCGTGCGGCTGCTGCGCGAGGAGAGGAGATTGTGGATCGTGCTCGGACGAATTTGCTGGGCAACTTGAATACTGATTCTGGCGTTGGTCCAACGGAGATGGAGTTTAATGTGCAATTGCCGAGTTGCCACGAGATGAGGGGACGGGATGAAGCGCAACGTTTGCATTTTGATACGACCTATGAGAACATCCAGATTAACCATTGGATCAAGGTATCTAGCCCTCGCTTTCTCATGCTGTTTCTTGGTTTATATGCTAACGCACAACAGATTGTCCTCCGCCTCTCCAAAATCGATGAGCGCGACCCAACCAAACGCAGACACTTTGAAATCTCCATCGACTCGCCCTTCCACATCCTCTCCTGCAAAGCCACCCAAGCAAATATCTACCTCCCAGCCTACAGTCGACCCGCCACGGAGCCAGACCCACCAGCCCAAGAATTCGAGTGCGGATGCCCCGGTGCCCCGCCAGCAGCACGAGAATATACACTGGGCCAGTCCAGCTCCGACCGCGAAGACTCCACCTCGAACCTCCACCGGCCCAACTCCATCACCCCAGTCTCCCGCAGCTTCACCAACGGCTCGGGCGGCCTTGCCCGCCCGCCACAGGCCCATATCGCCCACGAACCCAGCATCGATCGCGAAGTCCCTCGCCCGATGCATCTTGTTCGTGCGCCATCGTTCGCACCACCCGCGTTCGAGGATGTACCCCCGCCACCGCCGCTCGTCACTCCACCACCCGAGTACACGAGTATCGTGGGTAACAATGACCGCGAGGCCGTGCTGGAGGACTACTTCTCCCGACTATCCTTTTACGAAGAGCAGGATGACGAGCGCGGTCTCGGCCGTGTCGATGTACCTCTTACACCCGGAGGACGGATAAATCGCAGCATGGACGTGCCGCGGGAGTGGGTGCGCATCGAAGACTTTACTGCTTCATAATGCCTCTACACTGATCATGAGTGTTGTTCTCATACAGGGTAGGTAGCAGTGGAGTACAGTCGTTTCGCATCAGACGATATCCGAGCCATGAAATCACGACTTTGTTTATATCGGGGAACTGGGATGGGATAGGCGAATTCGTTCTTTAGCGGATTTCTATAGATTTGGTCATCATCTTCTTCATTCATTTTTGCGGATTTTTTGTCATTTTTTTCATCGCGGGGTTTATCCTCTTGGGAATGAGGGTGTCGGGCTCCGGGTTGGTGGGTTGGTGAACTAGGATTCGTGTTTTATGTTTCCACTCATGGGTACAAACTGGATATTTGTGATTCGCATTCTTCTCATTTTCAATCTCTTTTTCATGTTTGGGTTGTTCATAGGTCATGATTTTCTGGTCTAGTGTTCATGTTCATGCAGGCGAAGGCGTGGTGGTGTTTTGAGTCTTCAACTTTTATCTACACTGAGGAAAGGAGTAACAGGCTTGGATAGGAGAATTGGATGGGGGGTAGTTTGCCGATTGCTGGTGGAGTTGACCTTGGTTCCTTGTCTATTTGCATGTAGTTCTGTCTTTGGGTCTTGTCTTTGGGTCATGGCATGATATAATTCTACATTCCACCCATTATTTCTTCTCATCGTTCACTCTAAATCATCGTTATCATTCACCCCCAAGTCACACAGTATGTGGTGATAAGAGATAAGAAGGAACGCATGCACCTGCCTTCTTCGGGTTAGACTCTTCCCCACATCCCCTCGCCCATTCGGATTGACATTCGAGCTCTTCTTTCCCTCCTCTCCCAGACTACTCACAGAACTAGACGACTAGTCTTGCACGTTTAAACCACTTTATTCTAACCTAGAGATACTATCCCCATTCCTACGGGTGCTAGATATCGGTATTTCCCTCTTCGACAGATCTCGGCCCCACGGGTAGTGAATCGGGTGAGTTCTCGGAACGTAAATTGCTTCCGTGGTGCTTGTGCTAACTTGCTTTTTAGATCTGATCGGGACGCATCCCTGCTACTCTTCTTTCTATCGAGTCTGTCTGGATATTGCAGTGTTGCAAATACCAATCTTATTCCATCACTCTATCGGGCTTATCGCTACTTGAAGCGACTCCAACATGGCGATCGAAGTCGTCGACTTGACCGAGGCAGATATCCCTGGTGTTATCCAGGTGATCCAGCAAGCCTTTTCTGACGACCCGTACTTTAAATGGGTATTTGATGAACCGTCGGTATGACAAACACCTTTCTTCATATCACCTACGTCCAATCCCCTAGAATAAATTTCATATATGATAAATATTCACGCAAACTAACATCCCATCTCTCCCGTAACGCGGTCATCTCGACTCGCCGTTACATAACCCGAGAGAACCCTGATCCATACAGTTCAACGCACAAAGAAACTACGACTCACTAGCCGCCCGATGCCGCTGGGGCATCAACAACGCCATTTTCCAAGTCGCCAAAGAAACCACTTCTCCCAACAACTCACCCACACCCATCCTCGGCGTCTCCTGCTGGCTAGCCCCCCATCCATCCAACCAACCCGAATCCTGGTACTCCTGGACCCAATCATGGCTCCTCTCCTTCCGCCAACTAATCACCAACATCCGGCATCGCGGCCACGGCGGTCTCCGCACGAATCGGTATTGGATCTGGAAAACTCGACAGCAAGAAGCGCAGGCGTCTATCTGGGATGATCCCCGGGGTTATTACTTTTGTAATATTGTTGCGGTGAGTCCTGAGGCGCAGGGCAAGGGGGTGGGGAGGATGCTTTTTGAGGCTGTTACGAAGAGGGCAGATAGGGAGGGGGTTAAGTGTTATCTTGAGAGTTCGAAGAATGTGCCTAATGTTATGATTTATGAGAGGATGGGGTTTGAGATGAAGATGGAGATGGAGTGTAGGGATGGTGAGGATGCTTGTATGGTATGTTTTACGTTTTTTCCCTTGTTGTTTTTTTTTTCTTTTTCTGGGGCTCTATCTGAGTCTGTTGTGGGGATGTTGGCTAACTTTTGATCTCTTTGATTAGCTTTATTGCATGGTCCGTGAGCCTAAGACTGAGTGATTGGGCAGGCATGATACTGAGAACTCTGACTGGATGTGCTTCCATTATCTTGGGTGGTATATTAGCATCAGTATTTAGTGATAGCAGTTTTTTGATTTCGTCATGACATCGGTTTCTATTGTTTATGTTTCGTGTTTGGCATCGTTTCATGGACAATCGACTTTTTTGGGTTAAATCAGAATCTCGAATATCGGTATACAGGCTATTTTTAGGCCCCCGACTCTCGGTCTATTTCGTTGCTTTATCTAAACGTCATATTTCAGTACGTACTGCTCTGGATACCTTTCTTCTGTACGGCAGTCTCTATCAAAGGTTCATCAATTGCTCCTGTACTTCAATCTCCTTTCCGTTCACAGTCCCGACTCCCCGGTTCCCTCAAGGGCCCGCATCGGATCGCGACATATCTTTTAATCTCCAATCCAGCCCCTAGCCTGATTGATAATCAGCCTCAACGCTCTGACCCATCTTCTATTCCGTTTCCTTGTTAACCATCTCCACAAACGGGCGGGTCCCGCATAAACTCTATTGTAACAAGCGCTGGCGCGCTAGCGGCAGGCCTCGCGTTTGTATAGATGTCAATGTATCTGACGTGCCGTCAACCCTTGACCGTTTCCGATGCTCGCAGGGCAGACTCTAGGTCAACTGCAATCAATGGCTAGGACAAAGCGGGCTACCGTTGAGTTCCAACGGCATACGCATATCGCTATTTGGGAGCTCGCTTGGACCTTTGTCCCTACATTCGTTCCTCCCCGCGGTTTCAGACTTGGTCCGATTTGAATATCGGCTCTTACTTGCTTACTGGCATCTAAGGGTCTGCCGGGTTACAACTGATGAAATGGTTCGAGATTGCACGGAGATAACACCAAAGAGGAACGTAATTTAAGGGGTGGTCAACCCAACATTGATCTATATCTATGAGATCAAACCAAAGTTAAGAATGCAGCTTCGCCGTCCCCAGAAGAGAGGATCTCGAGTCAACTTTATACCTCCATCAAATCAAGTCTGTTTGTTTTCACTCTGGCGAATTGGGGACCCCGGAAAGGCATTGGCGTTGTCTTCAAACCTGTGAGTCGCTATAGTCATTCGCAACCGAAGCTACCTAGCTCCTTCTGTTACTAACTCAAACTCGACCTAGTAGCAGCATTGTACATACTACTTATGCTACTCATAATGCTACGCAAGGGCCGCGGGGCTTGGACTATACTTCGGGCATCGATCACCCGACGCTTACGGCTCAAGGATAACACCCGCCCCGCGGATAAATTCGAGAGGAATGAGCAAGCAACAGGCCATCTCGATGCCCACGACACACCGACAACACAATCTCCCGATATCCACGTCACACCACCACCCGCTCGAAGGGATACACGATGCAGTGACACGGACGGGATTGTCAATCAGCTGGCACTCCTAGCAGCCAGCGTTACACGATCATCCCCGCGGACCACAATCTGCTCTAAAAGATCATCCTCTCCATTGTCCGCAAATGCACAGAGCACGAGACCAGATGGTGGCAACAGCCAGGAATATCTAGTCGAAGACGTGGAATCCTTCCATTACCTGCGCAGTCTGATCACCATCTCTTGCCTACCGCAGCAATCCTCGCCCGGCAAAGCTCCAATCAGAACTACCATCGACGGACCCGAGAAGCAGTCACCTGGTCGAAAAAGGGCATCATCAAGGCTTAGCTTGCGCCTTGGCGATCTCCCCGGTCTTTCCTTTCCCAAGGTGCCCAGGAAGCCTTGTCCCCGTTATACCCCCCTGCCGCCGGTATATACCCCCAAGCCAATCGCAATGCGCCCCGAGGTTCGGTTCTGAGAAAGGCTTCGTGTATCTTTTAATTCTTTTTATCCTTGACACGGCACTGGCTTCGTATATACAGTCCTCAATATACCACAATACACCTTTTCCTTTCTCTATTAGCCGAAGTCATATTGTCCCACCTACCCACATACATGATGCCTTTTCTATCCCTTGTCTTTTGCATATATGCACGTTCAGACCGCCAAAAAATGATATACTGTTCGCACAAAATATCTCGTTAGGAGAACCCTGCATGAACCCTCCCCCACCATCTGGAGGGAAAACGCCAAACGGAAAGAGATCGTCGGGTGCATCTAGGGCGGGATCGAATCCTTGTAAGGCATGACGTGGATCTACTTCCAAGACGGGTTACCTACTTGAAACGATCCTTCAAGGCATTTATTCTCCTCGAATAGGATCGTTTCCAGAGCCGAAGCTGGAATTGTCGATAGCCTTGTGGTCACTACATTAGGGCAAGCGTGTTCTTGTGACCAGATGATACTCTAGAAGATAGGCACGGACAATATCCGAGCAACAATCAGAGCTAGAAGCCCCAAGCTGGGATTTTGTGGAGAAAAGGCAGGGCTTCATATTGATTACCACGATTTTGTTTGTATTGTCAATTGCCGATAAACAGTCCCAAAAAGTGAAGGAACTCCGCCGATGACGATGCCTTCTAGTAATAACCTCACCGAAAAGAATGTGGATCATGTCCGTGCTAGTCAAGGAGCTTGACTATAGAAGTCCAAAAGTGGCTTGGCTCCGTTATCATGATACATACATGCAGAAGTCTGTCCAGGTTTGAAGCGGGGCCGAACCAGCTAGCTAATTTCCATATGGCGCATCTATACTCTGCTTGGAAGGCCGATCTGGTCAGGATGAAGCTATCTCATCTGTTTTCACTTTTCAGGCAGGTAAGTTTCATGGTGCGCCGATTATCCTTCATCTCCTCTTCGCTTCATTCGGGATATGAGGTCACCTGTGTCCGGCCCCCCTCCGGAAGGTGGGTTACGGCTGTGGCTTCGGTTCTCCACCCGAGAGCTCTGTTTCCGCACAGACCGTGTGATAGAGGCAGTGGAGCCATTGATGGTGGAGTAATGGGGGCAGATAGTGTGTCGGATGAGGGTTGATCTGGTCGGAAGCTGATGGGGTATCGGGTATGGTGGTGGGGGAAGGAGGTCAACGAAATGAATTTTATTCAGTGCTTGTCTCCATGGCGATCATACGATGTATTTCGTATAAAGATGAATATTCAATAGAATATAGCAATCGGAATTTCAGAACTTTTGTCAAAGTCCGTTATTACGGGAGATGCACCTCATCCACGAAATGCAGACAGGCAAAAGTACATGTTTGCCCATTAGCCTCAATTGAAATGCATAGTGCCAAGCTTATCGCTTATGAGAAGGAGACTAAGCGAGCTAATGTCGGTAAAAATGAATAGTGCTTCATTCTGAAGAGAACAGGTTTCAAGATTCAGGCTCGAGTGTAAATTAATTGCATACTATCGGCTAGCAAATAGGCAGCAAAGCTAAGTAGCGGGTAAAAAGAACACGTTTCCCGTATATTGGACTCGCAATTTTTGTCTGGGTGGCTTTGATTGAACCACTGATATGAACTACCAGGGTCTGGGCTGGTATATTTCTTGGAAATCTTTTGGCCCCTATTACATATTGTTCAGTAATGAAACACGACAGGGGGATGTCAGCCAAGGCTCCTTCTATCGTGAAAGCCCCCCAAACTAGCCCCTCGACCTTGAGTATTTATCCTGCATGGAATTATTCAGATAGCACGGGAATTCAAGTATGAGTGAGCGATAGCATGTGAAGCGGAAGCTATGATAACAAGCTAAAGAAGGGTCTAGATTGGGCTTGCGAGCGCAAAGTACGACCGTACACCCATACATACTGCAGTCTATGCCAAGCTAGCAAGTCGTACCACGCAGGAACTCTATTTCTTATTTCTTGTAGCTAATGTGGGTAGGAATAATGCAGCAGGCCTCGATCAATGAGCATTATAGCTAGATCGGGAAACTCATGGGTGTGTTTGTGCAATGGTCTTGTTAAGGACGGATCAAGGTGCATGCTAGTCTCCCGATATGGACCCTAGCAGGATTCCCCTCCCTAATAATCTTCAGCACTTTGTCGGAGTCATGGAAATTGTTCATATGCCGGCAAAGGCCAACCGTTAAATAGGCGAGCTCGACCCTGGGACGCGATATTAACACCATAAACCCTTATTTCTCTACAGGCCCCCAATGAGCGCCCGACACGGCATGCAATTTTATTCTCAACAATACCCAACCACTCATAGAACTCCCAGGCACTTTAAACCCGCTGACTGCCCGTGTCACTGCAACTAAAGGAACAGCGAGTCCGCGCCTTGACCTGGATTCCAATGCAGTGTCATGCCGGTGAATGGAGCATCTGCATAGGCCTAGCGCACATAGGAACCTTGACTGTCACTTCTTGTTCCGGAAAATCTTCGAAGTCCTAGTAGAAAAAGAGAACTGTGCATGTGGGAGACGGACATAGCACCCGTTACAAGGCTAATTCTTTGGTGCCTTGTCAACTAGCGCCATCTCGAGGGATTTTAGCGTTCCAAACATCGCTTCGCCATATCCGGCACTTAATCCTCTAGGCTTCGGGGCTCATACCGAGCACAGCCTTGGCCCTGGTAACACCCACACCCCTTAGTCGCCCTAAGCACGTTATGTCCCCTCCAATTTTTGTTCAAACCCTTTCATTGATTACAGATATCTTTCCTCAACCTTGTCGTCTTCCAGGACCCATTGCCTAAATTGAATATCCCTGTCGTCTTCGTAGTTCCGAAAGGTCCGACATGATTCCCTATTGCGGCCCCCGGCACTATTGCATCATGACTTTCCGGGTATGTTGCTATAGATAGAGGGGTCAGAGCCCTCCCCCGGACCGGTAAATAGAGTTACGCCGGCCATACCGGAGACCGAGCCCTCGTTTTGGCATCTTTTACCTATTTCGTTGATAATCTTCTACCCCCGGATACATATACCTAGGCGGTAATGGGCCTTGGAACGCCGCACATACAAACTCAATGGGGTGCGATGATGGGCAATTCGGATTGGGTACATTAACAAACAAGCCCGGAGAGTGTCAGTAATCCCTGCCAAGGGCAACGCATAGTTGAAGCTTCGTTTGAAATCCTTCGTCCAATTAATACTTGACCGTTGCGTGGATTTGTAGGAGTAAACATGGTCTTGGCTCCTCCCCCTCCCCTCTCCCAATGATAACTCCGAATTATTATCTTCTCTCTTCCTTCGCTTAGGCCCTTTAGCTGTCTCAACGGTAGATAAAGAGGGAAGACCTACTTGGAGGCATTCTACTTTGATTGTACATGATAATCATACCCCTCACATCCACTTCACCTCTGCAATGTGCGCGTCATCGCACCACAAGCACGGACCTAGCTTAAGAAGAACAAAAGGTCCTCTTGGCACCTACCAGTATAACCTGCGAGCGTCTATATATGCAGATGTCTGCAGATAACGTTGTACTCAACCAGCTGGGTGATTGCCGATAGACCTTTAGTCGTCGTCATGCTGCTGAGCTAGGGCCCCTTCACACCCCCTGGTCTCTGCAGCGCGGAATTCAATGGGGGAGGATTAGAACCACGTTGCCTGCGCGGGCCCCCTTGGGACCCAGACCCAAATAGAAGACCTTCTCAATCTATTTCTTTTTTTTTTCAGTCTCTTGCGCTTGCCCTTGGCATGTCGGGCCCGACGGTGGACGTCGGGAAGAATATGAAGCAAAGATCCTTAATTTGAATGTAGTGGTTTTTCACCAATGATAGCATGTGATTTAGATCGATATGCAGGGTTGTCCTTTTTATGAACGAGAACGAGGGGGAAAATCAGATATACAAAAAATTGTCCGAGTCGAGTCATATCGTACAATGTGCAGGTAAGAAATGCCAATATATTAATTCCTTTTTAACCCCCTTAACCAAAACAGAAAAGGAATTTTCAACGAGACATACCCCAGAAAAATAAAACAAAATCGTACACTTCATAGGTCATTTGTACCAGGCCCCCAAATTTTAGGAAGATCAGGGTTCTGGTCTAGCCTTTGCACCTAAAGCACCCCCACAAAAAAACCCCCAATTGATACCAGTTAACCCCATAAAAACCAGAGAAGAAGGAAAAAAAAGTCAAAGTAATCAAATCAAACTTCCCGAAATTCCATGGCCGCTCAAGATCAAAATAAACGCTCGGGTGAACAAAAACGGACACGAGAAACTCGGTAAAGACCAATACTCTCCAGGAGGATTGGCGAATGTCGTCGACGGGCGGCCTCCAGGGCACAAAGTTTAAATTGGGTGGAACCCCAATAGGAAAAAAAATTTCTCAATCAATCTCGAAGAGAAACATGTCGATCCAAGCCGTACTGACGAATAGCCGATCTCAAATTATTGAGTAAACCCCCATCGTCTCAGTCATCGGCTCGGGAGGAGCGGCTTGGTTATGAGTGGATAGCGAAGGGGGAGGGACGGCTCCAACCGAGTCATAGTTCCTGGCGGCGCTGATTGTCCCAGAATCCAAAGAAACGGCGGGCCGGAACACTCTTATTCGAAAAGAGGATGGATTTCGGGCGTCAGAGATCAACGCCCGATTGTTGGATGGAAGTTGAAGCCTAAAGAAAGACGGGATGGGAGGCTTTTTTTTGGTCGACCTCTTTTAAGCTCATCGTCCGCAGAGTAGGCATTTGCCGACGACCACGATAAATCGATCGTGTGGGCTATCGGAACAGCGAGCGTCTTTGCTGCCGTCTAGAGTAGTTCGCAGAAAATGGGCAGCAGGATTTTGGCAGGTGCTATAGATATAATAGTTTTTGAAATAGTTGCACATTTCGGTCTCATGAGGATCGTTCGATAGAGAGGAATTGCAGTTAGGAGGAATGCGACAGCGTTGGCTCGAGCATATGAAGTAGAAGAAGGTTGTGTCGTGTTGTTGAAGAGCAGTGAATCAGAATGCGACAACGATAGAATTGCGCGAATTATGGGTAGGTTGGAATCTGGTGATGTAAAGTAATAATAGATGTGACAGCACTAGAGAAAAAAAGAAACCCTTCACTTTATGAACTGGATTGAATGGGCCTTTTGAATGACGGTGCCAGAGGGCCAGCACCACCAAGGTGGGTGAGGGAGTTGGGGAAAAATTATTGTTTTATTAAATCAATTTTGCCTTTTAAATTATTTAGCAAAAATGGGACCGGGGAAAGACCTTGTCCCCGATCCCAGTCAAAGTGTCGTCAATCTACGGAGTCGAGCACCCACTTCCATAGCTTTTTTTTAAGGATATTGGTACCAAGACAGTTTGTACTGTATCTCTTGCCCATGGTACATACTACATAGTAGTACTCCGTACTCTTTACGGTACCTACCGACTACTACTACTTCTACTAGCTCCCCTAAATTCTGCACGGTACTAACTAAGCTAGCCCTAGCAAGGTGGGCAATGTTGCTTCCCCCCCCCCCCACTCAGTAACCCCTACGGATTCACGGAGTGTATACCTAACCCACCCCCCTTTAAAAATATTTATTATCATATTTTCATCCCTGCCATCGAAGCGGGTCCTTGTCTGCATGAAAAGTGTGGCTTTGATTTGTGAACGACCGTTGAAAAGACATGCCCCAAGGACCGCCGACCGGAAATTTGGCCCAAGATTGTAATTAGGGATCAACGACCCTCTTCTTCCGATGACAAGACCTTCCCCCGGTTGCCGTCATCGCGGCATATTATCTATCGGGTAGGTGGGAGATCGACACGGTTCCTTGTAGCCGTTGATGCTTCTTCCACTCACACGTGGCGCTAGTCAGGATCGTCATGCATGAAACAGATATGCCGTCGTTGTAGTACACGGTCGTCCCACGCAAGAATGTTACGTAGTTGGATAGCACCCTTGAGTGACTAGTGCTATTAGACTTTTGCCAAGCTGTATACATCGTTGCTTCCGTTATACAAAACGCAAGCAAAACGACATGAAAAGCCAAATAAATGTCGGACAGGTAGATAACAATCCCAATTCCTTTTATAGTTTCTCCTGGCTAAATAGTCCGATGACGATATCTGGAACAATGCCTTACTTGGACATCTTGATTGGGGACTTGGTAAAGGGCGTACGGCAGTCGGGATGAGCCATGGGCCACGAGTGCTCAACCGAGAACGTCAAGGAGGAAACCGAGGCATGATTACTTCTTCGAGAATAGTTTTCTTTCATTTAGCTTCTGTCTACTATCACACCTTCAAATCCCTGTTCATCACACATTCAATGACTGGTTGGAGGTCCCAAGTAGATGATTGATTACAGGATGATCGATCCTGATCAATGAATGACGTGGCCGGAGAGAAAAAAACCATAATAAATGAAATTAAATTAACTATAAATCCACAAAGAAACAAAACATCAGAATAATGAACAACCAGGGAAAAAAAGGGGCGAGGCTGCTGCCACCCCCTAGATTTCCCGCGCGCACCCCCCTGATGCCTTAGAATCCTGCCTGAGATAACAATACGAAGTATACTACTCCGTATATAGTGGAGTTTTATGGTAGATTCAGAATCTATGGCTAAACTTCAAACCCGTCTTATTACTCATACTTTGAAATGTTACTTACTTAGATCGAGAGATATTATGTGGGCTATCAGAAAAGAGTCTTTCCGAAAGATATACTCATGCTCATGGCGTGCTTAGCAAGATTTAGCCCGTCAGGCAGAGATCTAAGGCCCCAAGGGGTGCGCGCACGAAATCTAGGGGTGGCAGCAGCCTTACCCCAAAAAAAGAGAACAATTGATTCTTGTTCGTAGTGGCTTGGCGGACCGGGGGGAATAGCGAACTGTTCTGGACCAGTGCGCTTGACAAATCAGGGTCGTTCACCGTAGGAGCCGTCGATAGGCAGCCGACTAGCCTCGGAGACCTCGGAGAGCCCGTATCCGATCTCTGGGTGGCATCCGGCACAAGGTCGATTCTTGTATGTGCCGCGTTTGCAACTTCAATTAGTATTCCACGAATCAAAGTAGCTCTGATACTTCTGGTTCGACTTTCTCCAGATCGCATGGCCCCAGAAAGGTCCTGCAATGGCCCCACTATACAGGTACACTCAGCCCTGAAGAGCTGGTTGGTTCTCCCGTTGTTTTGGGGCTTGTATAGGGGCTTGGCTTGGCTACATCGGTCATCAGGGAAAATCGAGTCGCACACTCGAAGCCACCAGTGGCCGGCATGAAAATTGGCTCCGTTGATTAGGTTATTATTGCCTCAATCGCGATTGTGCAGGGTTGCGACCACGACGATTTGTGGTGCCAGTCCTGCTGGGTAAGGATGGTGTGGAGCAGGTGATGATGACGAGGATTGCATGTTCCTCCGAAAGACAGGGTTTATTGGACTCGGGAAAGATATGCTGGGAAATCCTGTGAGTTGGACGAGGATGAGGAGTTCGGGCGAGAAAAATGAGATGGTGCGACATCCACAGGGTGACGTTTCGAAAGCCGATGGAAGGTCGATTCCACATGCCGAACTTTTTTTTCTTCAGTACGAAGTACAGGAACAGTTAGTGAACAATAGTCTCGGGGTCCATCGCCATCGTGTATGGTCCCATATTTAGACCGGGGGATGCAGCCGGCCGTTAGACCCAATGATGCCCGCCGGTGTGGCAGGCATCGCGCTGCTGGTTTCAAGCCCCAAGTTTATCGGGTTGTGGAGCTTGCTCAGGGGACAGTCCCCAGTACGGAGGGCAAGCTTGCCAGTGGATCCGTCTCGGGTACAGCCCTCCGCAGTGTCGCACACTTCTGCATCGGAATTGGGAAAGAACTGTGGCTGGGGCTGAAATGGGCGCCGACTCGCCGAGGTCCGCAGGATTCCGTGAATGGAAAGACCCCGAGGCTAGCTCTGTCGTGGAAAGAGGTACCTTTTCCTTCCATGGATATGGAGGGGTTCATCCTGGGGCGATGGTTCTTTGGTCGTCGTTCAATAATCGTCCGGGCTGAGGCCGAACTCGGCCGAGTCACGTGGGCAGAGGGGGAAATGTCCCGCTGACTCATCTTCCGGGGGAAAGACAACGCTAAGCCAAAAATAGAAACGGCAAAACAGGAGAGCCGCCCTGAATCCCGTGACTTCTCCCCCCCCTCGCAGAGCAGATCATCAACCTCCTTCAGCATCAGACGAGCCTCTACGCCGGTTGCACCGCTCGCTTGCAACGTGAGAGAGTCCGATCTGCTGACCTGAAGGGACGACACAGAGAACCAGGGTCTTTTTTTCGAGGTCCACTATCGTCACTCGCTTCGCTCTCGTCAACATCGCCTTTTCTCCCCACTGTTCCACCAACCCCCGTCGTTGTGGAGACAGCCGTCCTGTCCTTCGCTTTGTGACCGCCCACCGCAACAGGAAATCTACTTGGTATTTGTTGTCGCACCAGTCGACAACCTCATCGCCAGCCATCATGGGGTTCGGTGACTTCAACTCGATATGCGAAAAGACGCCGTTGCCGCTGTGCCTCCTAGTAGGCCCGGCCTCGTCGATCTCCGGTGCCACGGGCATCATCTCCAACTGTTATGCGCGAAACATTGAAGTCGCCAATACTATCATCTTCGAGGGCGCTGCCTCCTTCATGCACATCATTGCTCTTGGCATGACAGTGATTATGATCCTACATATTCGATCCAAGTTCACTGCCGTCGGTTCGTCTTACTATTGCGCCAAGAGATGAGATTGATACAAGTCGGCGCTAACCTATCATATCTTCTTAGGCCGCAAGGAAATCATTACCTTTTTCTACATTTACCTGGCTCTCACAATCTGCTCCCTTATCATCGACGCGGGTGTCGTTCCCCCAAGGAGTGATCCATTCCCATATTTCGTTGCCGTACAGAGTGGGCTGACATCAGCCCTGTGCGCTTGCTTGCTTGTCAATGGTTTCGTGGGTTTCCAGTTGTACGAAGATGGCACGGCACTCTCTGTATGGCTGGTTCGAATCACCTCTGCCGCCATGTTTGCTATGACCTTCGTGATTGCCCTGCTTACCTTCAAGTCATGGGGTGGCCTGGGACCCTCAAATACCATTGGTTTGTTCGTGGTGCTATACCTTCTCAACGCCATTGCAGTGGCCATCTATGTTGTGATGCAATTATTGCTCGTTGCCAACACCTTGGATGACCGCTGGCCTTTGGGACACATCTCCTTTGGTCTGCTGGTCTTCATTATCGGACAGGCCCTGCTCTACGCGTTCAGTGACACCATCTGCAACAACGTACAACACTATTTGGATGGTCTGTTCTTCGCAACTTTCTGCAATCTGCTTGCCGTGATGATGGTCTACAAGGTAAGACCCACTAAAATAGAAGACATTCAGTGTCATTTGCTGACAAAGTTTTAGTTCTGGGACTCGATTACCAAGGAAGACTTGGAATTCTCGGTGGGTGTCAAGCCCAACACTTGGGAAGTTAAGGAACTGCTCCCCGAGGAGGACCGACGTCAAACCGTCTACCAAGACACCAACTCGGAATATGCCGGCAGCATATACCACCATCGCCAGTCGGCATACGGTCACAACAACTACTAGCCACTTCGTCATCCTGATCTGTAAATGTGCCCATGGATATGACGGTATTTAATGTGCATTTCGTCTCTAGCTAATTGGCCCTGGAACCTGTACCCAAGGGGCTTTTGATATTTTAATACATTTCATCGGATATATGCATGATATGTCTCTACCACAAGGCTGCCACGTTGGAACGGCATTAGTACCACTTTAGGTTGATATAATTTCTTGATTTCCATGGGTACACTTGTGCTCTAGCTTTCAACTATGCTCAGTCGGGTAATAGCCTTGACACTAGCGGTTACAAAGGATGCGCTATTTCTCTGATCAACACGTCAATGCTCCGATACTTTGAACGACAAGCCTGTGGTACGTTTCGTATACACACGTATGTACGGAGTCGGCTGGGGGGTGGGCAGGAGGCCATTGCATTTTAATTCAAATCCCGGATGTATTCGATATGCTGTCGATCCTGTAGCCGATCCTTCAACAACATCCTAGAATGCGGAGTGCTCGTCTCCGGGAGTATCTTGAAGATACGAGATATGGCTAGAAAGCGTTACTATTGCCGACAGCCAACTTTTACCGATAACCAACTTTAATCATGTCAGATATCTATCCCAGGCAGTTCAAAAGCCGACCTCTCCCGTCATGACGTGCCAATGAGCAGAGCCGGCAAGACAGGCAGGATCATCGAGAGGCTGAAACAACTGGCAGGATCGGCACTGCCCCAAAACCGCAAGAATTCGAGCGAATCCTATGCGACGTAGAGACCGGGAATGGTGCCAGGCATCGGGGCATTAACGGAATTTGCCGGACATATTATGGGGAAGAATGCTGGTTCCGTATTAGCCATGTATTCGCAAGCATATCTTGGCAAAAAGTATGCATCGGAGAATATGACTCTCTGGGATGATACATACATACTCTGGATATTTTGATTGAACATCATAGGCAGGGTTTCTGATGTAACGGGCGCAGCCAAAAGTTTAAACGTGGACCCGCCGATCAGGGGGGATGTTGCTTGGAGTTGAACTTTCTATGCCCAGCGAATTTTCCACAGGTGCCCGAAACTGTGGAGGTGTAAACTCTACTGATGGATTCTGTTTTTGAGGCTTGTTTCATTCCACAACCACGACATCGTCCGCGTCCATGAAGTCGTCCTCAGTTGCCGGTTGTTGAAGAGGTGCATTCGCTTCCGTTGGTCCGGTTGAACTGTTGTACCAGCCCTTGTCGATCGAGATCACCAAGGTCTTGCAAGTTTCGCCGACAAGGTCGAGGAATGCTGGGTTATCTTTGGGCAGGAACATGCTGACGTGTGCCTGCACCTCGTCGGGTGCCTGGTCGTTGACAGCCTTTTTCCACTGAAGCCCGGCTCGAGACGAAGGTGCCTCTTCCTCTGCATCTTCCACTTCGGACGGAAGCATGCAGAATGTTCTGTTCTTTGACCGAATGATTTTCTGACTGAAGGATGTTTTGCCAGTTGCCGTTTCCGCTACGAGATTGCCTGCGCCCTGTCCAAGGCAGGTGTAGAAGTTGACGCATTCGATCCCCCGATCCTCCTGGACCTTGACCAATCCTTCCAGACGCTGCTTTAACTCGGATGTTCGTGCGAGACACCCCACAAATTCAAGATGAGATGAGACCCAGGTAAAGCCGGCCGTCAAGTTCTGTCGTTGGGAATAAAGGGCTGCAGCACCGCCGGCAGCGACGGCTCCGGCGGCTCCCGCGAACATGGCGTATCGACCCCAGCGTTGCCAAGAGGGTGTTGCTGCTGCATCGGCAGTTGGAGGTAGAGGCTTTGGGGCTTCTTTTGCGGCTTCGGCAACAGCCTGGCCGGGTGCGCTCTTTCCGTAGCCGAAGATCCCCGCAACCTCCGTGAAAGTGTTGTAGGCCGTGGTAGCATTGCGATAGTGTCCCTCGGCCCCGTACGAGACTACCCCTGGTGCGATACCCAGGAACGGAGTGTCGAAGGCGAGTACTCCTTGAACGTGAGGGAACATGAATGTACCCGGTTCCACAACAGGTGCATCATCTTCAGTCGGGGGCGCCGGTTGGGAGTTTGATGTCGCATTGATGGGAATCGGTTGCTCACTTGCGAGTAAGAGAAGGGTCTCTGCGGCAACAATGCCTCCCATGGAGTGCCCTACCAAGAAGACATGGACAGAGGGATCGACAGTGGGTGAGGCAGTTTGATTTGCAACCTCGAGATCAATGACCGTGTTTTGTAGCCTACATCAGATAGTGATTAGCACAAGCTCCCTTCTTATCGAAGCTCTGTTGAAATAGCTTACCAGTCACGGAACCTTCCCACACATTCCTTCAGATCGCCTTTGGTTTCATATTTGGGATACACGGCCGTTGTAACGTTAACAGCCGGGAGTGCCTTGCCCACTACATTGCGCAATTTCTCAGGGAAACTGGCAAAAGTATCATCGCCTCCCTGGATGAAGCAATCTTTCAGTCAGTGCAGCTCATGAAAAGGTCCCTCAACGTGGCATGTTATAATGGCTCTGTGGGGAAAGAGCTGCCATATATAACTCTCAGACATACCTTGAAGCCGTGAATAAAGACCAGAAGAAGTGTTTTGCGCATTTTCGAGTCAGAGCGGTGCATATATCATGATGAGAGAGGTGCTAGACACAACTGACTTGGAGAGGTGTGATCAGAAGCAAAACATGATGCCCGCGATGCGATGCGAGCCGAAGCTGATTCCTTACGTCATACCGTCACGTGGCATCTTATCTATACAACGCCAGAGAACCTAGCTTCAAGGTTGATTCCAATTCCGAGTAAGTATGGGATTCTATGTATTGTATTTCTTTAATGAAGTCCAGTAAAATATTGCAGTACTGCAACATTAGACGATCACAACATGTCGCACATCTCACCGTCTATCTCTATCTCTAATCTGTTTCTATGGTAGTGGTATAATCGAAACAAATGCAATGCTATAGGTTCCCCACACGTCCAAGCTTTCGCAATCGAAGCATGCTGTCCTGCAATGATGTGGCAACCAAGGTGCCATCTGGACTCCACAAATGACTTTCATGCACCGCTCTGTTCTCTGCCGACTGGGGTGTCCAGCCTTCCTGGACGAACCACTTCATGGTTACATCGGAGGAATTGTCAACCCGTGTAGCATCCCAATCAATCATTCTCAATGCCTCGCCATGTCGATGAATAATCACAGTCAAAGTGAGACTGGCCATTTCGCTCCAGTGTTTGATGCCAAGGGCCCGAGGGATCAAAAGAAGGGAGTTTCTGTCGCTAGAGTACATATGTGCGCAAGCGTAGAGATTATCGTATTCTCCATTGGCCTCTCGCTTTTTTACCTGAGCGAGAGTTGCATTTGGGTCTTCATCCGGTAATCCCTTCAAACGATATTGAGTCAACTGGCGATACTTGTCCGGCCGTTCTTGAATCAATTTCGACTGGTTATAGTCTTTCATATCGACTTTGCGTACGTCAAGCCCTGGGAATTCGCGCTCCTCGATATTCCCCTGCTTCACGGCCTCGATCCACCAGTCTGCGTCAACACTAGGACTAACAGTTTGATCTTCGGGTCGCTTTGCGGAAAGGATTTCACGAAATCGCCCCTGCACGGCTGGAGGTTGGTGATGAAAATTCTTTTGGCTTTCATCTCGCTTGAATGAACATAGACAAGAAAAGCAGATCTTTCCATCCTGTCGAGCATCAACTGCTCGAGTACAATACATATACCCGTCGCGAACATGGCGGACAGAATATACATAGGGGACGTCCAGCCTTCCGCCGACAATGAATGTGCCAGTCATATCCTATATGATGGTCAGCTTTATGAGCATGGTGACTCCGAATGACTACTCCGGCGCCCAAAGCGAGGACTCACATGAACAACAAAACCCTTTCCGACAGTTTTGGATGCCGCATATGCAGACTGGGCATATACATGCCCTCCAAATGACCTGTTTCCTTCACCGGGAGGAAATGGAGCAGCGAGCGAGCGGAATCGCTCAATTTTCTCCGGTTCATTGGAACCAGGATGCGGCTGCTCTGTATCATCGAGTCGTTTTAGTGCCATCAACCCCACAAAGGAAAGTGGGGTAGTCAACTCCTCCCAGTCGTTCTCTGCCCGTCGAGTAGTAGATGACATGTTGACGGACCACGCAGGTCTCCCAAGAGTTCAAATATATACGTGTATGCGCAAATGATCCCTCCAAAAATTATACACCCGATTGCCGTAAGCTGGCTGAAGAGCGATATGACGGTCAAGATGGGGTGTAGTAATTTCCAAGATAGGGAATGCCCGCCACAGTCGAGGTGCTGCCCGTACTGAGCCCCGAGCTCACGGTGTGGCCAGAAAAGTCGAATATAGGTTGGGTAAAGGGGGAAAGATCGCGAAAACAATCTACAAAGCTGGGGTTCAGCCGGGGAAAGCCTCGGCATCCACGGGGTAGTCACGTGGTATGGTTTCTCCTATCACGCGAATTGGAAATGTGATGTGACTAATTGGATAGCCCGACCCATGCCATAGAAAACTATAACAGGACAATTGAATAGTGTAAAAAGGTGAAATCAAATTCTGAATTTATACATGATGCGCCGATCGTGCTGACAGTGCTGAGTGGTTATGCCTGAATCCCATGCCATAATGATACAAGTAAGAGAAGAAAAAAAGAGGACGCTGTGTAGGTCGATCTCCAATAGTTATCCGGTCGTACCCCAGGCACCCAAAATGAAGAATACCCTTTTTGCTATAATGTTGCGTGTCGTCTAGATGGTATCGGCGATGCTGCGGGTCTTGTTCCATTCGACCTTGCCCTCGACATCCTTGATCTCCTCCAGCTTGTCGCCCAGCTTGACGACGGAGAAGTTAATCATACGCGGGTCGAGACCGAGGGTGCGTCGGATAGATGTTTGAACGGGACCGGAGCAGTCGAAGCGCATGATGAAGTGGTGACCCTCGCTGTATCGGGCCTGGTGCTTGGTGGTGACCTTGGGCAGACGGAAGGCACCCCAGTTGGTGAAGCCGCGAACGACGCCGCCGGAGCGGATGACTTGAACACCGGCGTTACGAGCAATCCTGTACATAAGGTTAGTTATCACTCCGGATGAGATGGCAAGTTGATTATATTATTGGTGGTGGGACGTACTCGCGAACCTCGTTGAGGCTGCCCGGGCGGACCTGTGACGTGGGAGCGTAGGTTAGTTTTCACATTCCGAATGGCATCAGAACTCAATTTGCAAGGTCACATACGATAGCAATCAGCTCGTACAACATGGCATCGAGTGGTGGCGCGCAGACCCGAAGAACAATGACGGAAAGGGACGAGGGACTAGCATCGCGCAAATTCCGACAAAGTCGGAGGTGTCGGGGCCTTATCAGCGGTCTTGGCACTTGCTTATCGACGGCGACACAACTCCGCCGGGGAAGCACTCCTCTTTCCTTTCCTTCTTAAACTCTCTCCGTCTCGCACTTCTTCTCTTCCTTTCAATTACTCCTCTCCACTTCCAAAATGGCCTCCGTTGCTCGCTCCATCCGCCCCTTCGCCTCCCAGGCCCTGGCCCAGAAGCCTCTTGCTTCTGCCTGCCGCGCTGCGCCTGCTTTCCGCTTCCCGCGGGGAACCCGGAGCTTCTCCCAGAGCCCACTTGGTGAGTTATTCTGTCCCCCGAGTTGGCAAAATGAGTCGCCTGAACCCTTTCGAGGGGGAATTGGCGATGTAGAGAGGTTCTACATGCCTCCTTGAGTTCTATACTACCACGGATTGCTAACGACGCCATCAATTGGCTTTTATAGCTCAGGTGAAGAAGTACACCGAGTCCCACGAATGGATCGAGCTCGTTGACGGCAGCAACACTGGTTAGTCAATTGGTCACCTTGCAATTGGATTGTCGAGGGATATCCATGAAAGATCTCATAATTAACATACCTCTGCAGCCAAGATCGGTATCACCAAGTACGCCGCCCACTCTCTGGGTGACGTCGTCTTCGTTGAGCTTCCCGAGGCCGACCTCGAGGTTGGCGCCGGTGAGCCTGTCGGTGCCGTCGAGTCCGTCAAGTCTGCCTCCGACGTGCTCTCCCCCGTTGCTGGCAAGGTCATCCGTGGTAACGCCATTCTCGAGGACAACGCCAAGACCATCAACGCCAGCCCCGAGGAGGAGGGCTGGATCGCCGAGATCGAGGTCGCTGACACTGCTGCGCTCGATGCTCTGCTGGACGAGGCTGCCTACAACGAGACCCTTGACCACTAAATGCTGAATATGTAGAGATAAGGTTGGCTTGGGTTTTAGAATGGAGGCTAATGATCGAGGAGTGATCTTTTTAACGTGATTTTGTGATGTTATATTATATACTATGTCCAACAGAGACAAATTTCTTTCAACAATTCCATCAATGTGCTAGGCCCTCCACGGCTTTGGCTGGTCATGAAGCAAAACTATTCGGTGCAGGTTTTAGATCCTAAGTATTTTTGCTCCCGATCAACTTTAACCCGTTATCTACTTGCGTGCTTCGGGCCACTTTCAACCCAGCAGACATGGCGTATATATAGTCTTGGACCAAGGACACCACGACTTCTTGTGTACCAGTAGCTCAGTCTACAAGGCTAAAAGTTCAACATACATAATGAGTGGTTTGCAATTGACATCGGTTCATGCATGACAAAGTATAAATACAGATCCATATAAATATCCACGTAGTCAATCAAGCCGAAGTCTATACAGGGGGGATCGATTCACGGCAAATCGGGCACTGAAGACGTAGCCTCATCCAGCTCTCCAAACAAGTAGTATGGAATATGTGCCGACAAGGGGTAACCATGTATGTCCGGCGACTCAAAATATTGGACGCGCCCTCAGCAACGCTGCTTCCGCCTGCAGAAGTCGGCGCCGAGAGCACGGGAATTTCAATGTCTTGCATGCAAATGGCACAGTCAAATACAACCTTCTTGCGATCCTTGGACTTGTGCTTGTCATCATCCTTCGTGTCGGTCACCAGATCACGTTCATCGGCTCGGAGCGATGCAATGGATAGAATGCCCCCAGCTTCAAGATCCTCGGCAGACCCGGGGGTATCCCGCAGTGTTGGGTGGTAATCGTAGGCAGGAGGTGCCCAACCGCGAGGAACGAAGAATCGCGGGCCTAGAACGTCCTGGCTGGCCAAGATCCAAGCTTGAACCCACACCCATCCGACCATGATAAAGGCGGTAGTCCAATCAGGACGGATGAACAAGACGTTTCCGCGAGCCGTAAGAAAGTATATGAAAGGAAATAGCCGCAGGATGCTTTGACCAACCACAAAATCCCACCTCAGAGCCTTGCGACAGTTTCGCATGACATTGCGATAGATTTGTGGGACCCAAAATGAAAGATAGACCGCGGCTAGGACGCGCGCATAGATTGCACCTAACCTCCTGGGTAGGAGGAAAGCCCAGATAGACATGATGAACATTCCGAAGAACGCGAGATAAAAGCGCGCATACATGGAGCCCACGTCGGTGCGAAGCTGTGCTGGCGTGGGCGCAGTAGTTCGATTGTTGGCAGCCGGTGGCTCCAAATCATCTTCAGGAGGGTCTTGATCCGGCGTCAGAATAATCGGGGTAGCACCAGTGTCCCGAATGGCAGCAGTGGCAGGCAACGGCAGTGTTCCCGGACGGGTAATAGGAGTCGGCGGGTTGACTGGCCGTTCTTCACGTCTCTCCGGCTCCTGTACGGCCCATATCTCCATCATGAATTTCATGCCAATGTAACTGACAGAAAGGAATGCCAAAAACAGGGCAGTTGACAGTACCAAGAAAGATACAGCGGCATAAAGCTCCAACACAATGAATGTAAGTACCAATCCATCTCCAAGCGCCATCAATGCAATGGTATAGAAACTAACACGACTCCTTGTGGACGGAGTCGAAGCCTCTTTGATCTGACGAAGCAGAAGGGAGATCTGCCCAACAAATACGCCAGAAACAACAAATATAAGACGCGCGGCATATTTACCGTACTCCTCGTATTTCGGTCCTGTTAGGTACAGTGAATCGGAGGGTGGGAATTCAGGGGTGCCTTTAGACTCGAGTATGTACCCGCAGTCTGGAGAAAAGACGACCGTCGACATGACCATTAAAGGCGGGTCGGGAATTGGGGCTCCCATGGGGTACCTGAGCTCTTGTTCCATTCGCTCTAGCAACAATCGGTCCGCGACCTTTTCATCAATCATGACGGGATGTTGCTGGAGGAAAATGATATGCTCGCATTTCGGCGCTGGAAACTCGATCTGTTCGGTTCCTGCCAAGATGGACCATGGAAGAAAAGTTGGAAGCCTATTCTGCTTTTCTGAAATGGAGTCTGAGAGCGACTTGACGAGAAGGCTGTGGGACAGCTCATACGTATCAGGAGAAAGGGCAAAATGTGGCAAAGAAAAGATGCCGCCAAATTTCTCGCTGGAGGTACTCAACAGTATCCCTCCGGTTTCGGGAAAGTGCACACCGAACAACGAAAAGTACCAGTTGCTTCCCCAGAAGTCATCGCTTTCGACCGTCAGACTGGCCCGTATCTCACGGACAAGGCCCTCTCCAATACGAAGCTCCTCGCCACCGCCTTCTTCAATATCGAAATAAAGAGTGCCTCCGTTGCCCGTGATGTTCGAGGCAAACTCGGTGTCATAGTATTCGTGCTCCAGGGCAATCGCGGTTTTGTTGAGAGGCGTTTGGCGTTGGACATCCGGCCTTCGTACCCAGTCACCTCGTAATTTTCCTGTAACATTGCGATATACCGGGAGGAACAGCTTGGTGAGATTCAAGGGTGACGATAAGTTGGGATCATCTAAACCACTCGGAGGTTGGAGCCCCGCATTGGAGACCGCAGATTGTAACTGATGGCGCACGCGGCCTTGAACTTGTGGAAACAATTCCCATGCGTAGCTGTCGTTCTTCCGTACTCCGGCGAAAGGAAGCCATCGATCTGCTGGTGGATCGAAATCCCCATACTTCGACTCGTTCAACAGTTGTAGCGCATGTCGTTCTCGATCGAGCTCGCGCTGACGCTCACGATCCTCATCAATCAACGGAGGACGCGACTGGGAGCTGAGAAGTAGGTAAAAAACCAGCAGAAAGAAGAAGAAAGAACCGCGGTTATCCATCGACGCCACGGGGTGTCGGCATTGGACTCTCTTCCTCAGAACGGGCCGTTGAGCATCGCGGGGCGATCAACGAGGACGCTCGAAGCACAGTCACGGCTTTCAAATACTGCGATGCCGTCGGGCGCTTGATAACGATCAATGACGAGGGTGGTAATGTGTCGGGGGTCTCTCCGAGTGGATGATGTACTCGACATGCGGTCGAGACCCTCGCCTCCCCGCCCCTTCCGCTTTACCTAGTGACACCTAGTTCCTCAGGCCACAATCGCCTCCGCTATCTCCTTTTCCCCCGGAGCTTCATGTCAATGCGTTCCCCCGCCTGGTCATCCCCTCGGCGGAAGTGTGTGTGTCCGCAAGGCCATCGCAATGGCTTCGAATCTCCCTCTGCCTATTCCACCGCGAACCCCGACTCCGCCATCAGATGAGGCGAGAGATCATTATGCGCCGCAGTTCAACTCAGGAGTCGCGGTTGATCGCGACGCCTTGTCGCCACTGCGAGATACGTTTCCTAGAAGCGTATCGCTAGACCCAGGAAATCCAGATCGTCTTAGTCCGACCAGATCTTCATTCGGGTTGAGCCCTGGATCTGCAGATACTACGCCAATCGCACAGGATGGCTCGAACGATTCGTCTGCCGCGGGACCTTTCAATTTCAATACTACTGTTATGGCCAAGGGACCAGTGGTCAAATCGGTATGTTCAAAGACATTTGTGGTCTCTATGGATGAAATTCTAATCTATTTGTTTCGTGCGCTAGAACATTGGACAACGTCGCGGTCACAAATACAAACACAGTAGTATCTCGCATCAGATATTCCTCGAACCTCCCCCGCGAGCACCATTAGCTTTGCCGAACTCGTTGCCAATCCCAACATTGAAGGAATGCCGTGCTAGTATGTCAAGGGACCAGAAGACACGCTTTTGGTGGAGTGTTTGCCACATGTTTGTGGCGGCATATACACTTTGGACCGCGCATGGGTCGCTAGCCATGACGGCATTATCCCATTTGATACTCTTCGACTCGCTCGGAGCTCTACTCTGTGTGGCCGTAGATGTCCTTGGGAACTTTGAAGTGTGGAAGCGGTCTAGCATCCGCCACCCCTTTGGACTGGAGCGAGCCGAGGTCCTCGCTGGCTTTGCGATGTGCGTCCTGCTGCTGTTCATGGGCTTGGACTTGATATCTCACAATCTACAACACTTCCTTGAGAAGTCTGGGCATGAACCCCACCATTCCCACGACCATGATCGGGTCTCCGTGGGAAGCGTGGATATCACAGCCGTCCTGGCTATTTCCTCGACGCTGGTGTCTGCAATTGGACTCAAGAATCATGCACGCATCGGAAAAGCCATGCGTTTTGCCTACATTGAGTCTCTCCCATCAGTTTTGAGCAATCCGTCTCATTTCTTGACCCTCTCCTGCTCTACTCTCCTGCTTTTGCTGCCGTTGGTCTCGATTCGGATCTATGACTGGCTTGACAAGGTTCTCTCCGGCACGATTGCAATCTCCATGTGCGTTCTCGGCGTGCGCCTGGTGAAGACCCTAGGTTCTATGCTGCTGATGTCCTACTCGGGCCAAGGCGTGACAGAGGTGATCAAGGACATCGAAGCAGACCCGGCCGTCTTTGGTGTTGATGACGCCCGCTTCTGGCAGGTCCATTATGGGCTTTGCATGGCAAATCTTAAAGTTCGTGTTGGCGGATCAGAAGACACACTATCTCGCCTGAGAGAGAAGATCTCCAGCTTGATTCGAAACCGACTTGGCGGGGGCTATGGCACCGGAGGCCAGAAATGGGAGGTCTCCCTTCAATTCACCATTGAAAAGCCCTAGTCCGCTATCTAGTGGACCATATATGTGCAATATGTTCAATAGTACCTAGAAATATACCCTTGTAAATCACATCATTGAGTTCAAGTCTGCGTTCCGTTTGTCAGACAAAACATGTGTTTAGTTTAGCCTGTAGTGTAGGAAGCTACAGTAGTAGGTCAAGTCGGAAGATACGTATAGCATTCAGCCAATCGAGCCTGGAATGTTGGAAAGCGGTTGATGAAAGTCTAATTCATTTTCTACAGCGCATCTAACGCTGCCGGATTATCATCCGGGAAGACTTCCCGAGGTTGGATACCGATATCAAACCGTGGAATTTTGGTACATGTCAAGAATAAAAGAAATACAAACGCAATGCTCGCCTCCTCGCTATTCACCAAATCGAACGCAGACCAGCCGCTTATGAGGCAGCGGCCAGAACAGCACCCTCCTCGAGCTTGCTGATTCCTTCCCGCTGATCCCGACGTTGGCGCTTCTCGAGGATGGCCTCTCGTCGCTGAGCGAGCATCTTCAGCTGGCGGTTCTCAACACCCTGCATCCAGTAGCCGAAGCTGCCACCGACACCGGCGAAAAGAGGGTAAACCCAGAGGGATTCCTTGGCGAGGATGGGACGCATCTCGATTCCAAGTTGCCAAAGGCGGATGGCAATGCCTATTGACGCGCAGGGGGATTAGCATTGTAGTCTTGCGAAGTATTTCGGACCACCAAAGTTCATGTTTTGGGTGACAATCGCCGGCAAGGAAGTGGTTCCGAGGTGATTGAGGGGGAGATATGTCACGCACCGAAGCCGCTCCAGAAGAGGACTTTGTGGACCATGATCGCGGGGCGGACGTGGACGGATGGAAGGGATTGGTATAGTTGATAGGTTCCGAGACAGACAGTAGAGGTGGTAGGTCTGCACCGTCACACTAAAGCGTCGCCCGGGGTCAGAATTGATGGGGTCGGACGGGGTCGTGAAGTCGCACTGGGGCGGCAGGAGGTTGAAGCAAATCAGCAACCCGCAGTTCTAAGCACGGAACAACCTTCCTCCGAGTATCCCCGTGTTATCGCTTATCGTGCTTCACGCGACTTTCTTCTTGTCCCTGTCCTCGTCCCCTTGCCAGTCCATCATGGCCACCAACGAGGCTATGGAGGATGTGCAGATGGGCACCAAGAGGCCTCCTATTGACATGGAATCCTTGAAGCGCAAGAAGTTCAAGGCCGACGACCTTCCGATCTCTGCTGCACAGCATGCGGCAATCGACAAACTGCTCCACTCGTTCAAGAAGAAAGGCGGGTTTGACAGCATTCGGAAACAAATATGGGCTGAATTCAACGATGGGGTATGGCTTATATTGGAAGAAGCAATGCGCTTTGTATTCTACTTTTCACCTTCAAGGTGCTAACAAAAACGCATAGGATCCAAAGACCAACTTCACGAATCAATTAATCGCACTTGCGGAATCAGAGATCGAACGCGAGCCTGCGCATCTTTCCCGTGAGAGAGGCAAAGCAGCGACACTTATTGAGGGTGCTGTCGATCGAAGTGATGTCTACAAAAATGTCGAGGATTCCATTGATCAACTAGCGTCGAAGCATCTTCAAAATATTCTTCACTCCGTGCGCGCAATTCGCCGCAAAGAGATTGGTGAAGCAGCCGCTTCGAAAGAGGAAGCCTCTGGCTGCAAAACAGATGAGGACTATGCAGCTTTCGTTAAAGTCAAACGCGACGAACGAGAGAGCATTTGGCGAGAAGAAATGCGCAAACAGAAAGAACTCGAGGACGAACAAAAGCGTATCAAAGAAGAGGAGAAACGAAAGAAGCGTGAATTGGAGCGACAAAAGGAAGAGGAGGAACGGATCAGGAGGAAAGAGATCGATGACAAACGACGGGCTGAGCGTGAGCGCATGCGTGAGGAACAAAGAGCACTTGACGAGCAGCGAGATCGAGAACGAGAAGAGCGATACGAACGACGGAGGCGAGAAGATCGAGATCGGTATCGCGACTGGGATAGAGATCGTGATCGAGAGCGTGATCGTTACCGCGATCGCTCCCCGGCATATCGGTCTGATCGTGGACTGTCCCCTCGCAGTCGGGATCCCAAACGAGAGAAATCCACCACGTCCAAAGACCCAACCCCTGCACCCCTACTCCCTGCCGTGGATGAAAAGTCACTGGAAGAAGCTGCGTTACAAATGCTATTGAAAGAAGGTGAAGAGCTTGCAGCCAAGGCTCGGCAAAAGCGCGAGTTCGATTTTGAGGAGGCCGAAGCTATCGAAAACGGCCTCAAACCGCCTTCCACTTCTGCGCCAGCTAAGAATTCCACAGCCACCACCAGAGCTCCTAGTACATCCCGGAACTCGAGAAGGGCTGACTCCACCTTTGACCGTTCTGATCGCACTCGAAATCCCACTAGAGATCGGAGCCGCAGCCGGAGCCGCTCTCATCGACGATACACATCTCGCTATGACCCTGATCGTCGTCGCGATCGCTCCCGAGATGCGTCCGTTAGATCTCGAGACCGGGGCATGGAGGAGCGCCGTGGCTACCGCGATTTCCGTGATTTCCGCGAAGAACGCAGCTATCGACCCGCCCGGCGCAGCCGTAGCCGGTCAGTTGTCAGAGGAGGACGGGAGAGAGACCGTGATCGCGAGCGCGAGCGTGAAAGAGACCGCAGCGCTGATAGGGACAGAGAGAGACTTCGAGATCGAGACCGGGACCGTGATCGTGATCGAAAGCGATCCAGATCTCGCGACCGAGATCAAGACCGGCGCCGCCTTGATCGTAGCCGCGATAGAAGTCGAGATCGCGATCGTGCTGGTGGTGACGATTATCGTCCTCGTCGAGCTCGACTTTCTCGGTCTCCTTCCCGTCGACGTTCACGCTCCCGATCTCGCCGCCGAGACCGCAGCCGGGAGCGCCATCGTTCACGTTCACGATCTGCTGCCCCTAGACGGCGCTCTCGTTCCAAGTCGAACACGCGACGAAGGTCACGTTCTCGTCGCCGAACACCTCCACGGCGGGCTTCTCCTGGCTCCCTCGACATCGACCGCTATGTACCTGTGACTAGTACTCGCAGTAGGTCACCTAGGCGTCGAGTACGATCACAGGAACGAGACCGAGACCGCGACCGAGACCGAGCGGGGGCGAGATCGACCGATACATCCCTGGTTCCGAACGGGCAAAGGAATCCACGCGAGAGACGGGCAAGGAAGGCGAGGCTGAATCCTCGGTCCCGGTCGAGACTTCTAAGGATACAGATGACCGTCGGACTCGTCGCCGCAGTCGCAGTCGTCGAAGAAGCCGAAGCCGACGAAGAAGCCCCAGTCGGCGTAGGAGTCGCAGCCGCAGAAGGAGCCGAAGTCGGTAGATCTTACAAAAGCCAAATTATGAGGCTGCTTCTTGGAGATCTCTTCAATCTTGTAATATTAATATTGTACGAATACATGTATGAAATCACAATCAATACCCTGTGACAGTGGATAAAACCTCCTATAGTGATAAATAAATAGATTGAAGCATACTAGCGGCGCCTCGATTTAGACTTAGCGTTATCGTTATCGGGCCCAGCTCCACCCAAAAAGTTGAAATCGCCAGCCCATGCGACTCGACTTTTCACAATAATTGCCCGGTGTCAAGACAAATACCTGACCCTTAATACTTCAAGGCCGTCTAATCAGACCATTTCGCCACCCTACCTTTCTTCTCGGATTCCCCCCAGCGCATCCTTCAGGTGTCACATCTCCGACTCGCGAACGAATTCCTAGTGCCTTCCACCGAACGTCGCGACATCTTGTACCGTCGGTCGTCACGAGCGAAGAGGGCGCTTGAAAGAAATACACGATTGCGGAGATAATATACCACCGCCATCATGAGAGCAACAGCCGCTAGTTCAACAGAGGACCGCCTCAACCGGGGACAGCTTCCTTCAGACGACGACCCGACGTCATCCTCCGGCTCCTCATCATCAGAAAGCGAGAGCGAAGAAGAAGACAGTGAAGACGAGGATGAGGATATGCATGACGTTCATGAGACTACGACTCCCGCTTCCGCGCCCTCAATACCTCATATCGGTGGTCGCCCTAAGCCCAATATACATCGCATGGAAGGCGGCTCGGACCTTTTGTCGCGATTGTCGAGCTTTTTGCCCAAGATGAAGAATGCGAATGAGGATTTGGAAAAAGAAATTGCGGCCGGCAGGGGCCAAGAGATGGTCTTGGATTCTGTGGACGATGACGGCAAGGATTACATTGAGATGGTATGTGGAACTTCTTTTTTTCTTTACATTGGCTTTGTCAAAGTGCCCACGCTGACTGGCTGTTTCTAGAACCTGGGACTAGGGGTTCTTGAGGAGAAACGTGGCGGTGATGAAGACTCCTCCAGTGGCGATGAGGGCGATGATGAGGGCCCCGACGGAAACTCGGCCAAAGACAAGGGAGATTCGGACCTTCTTGGGCAGCTTATGGGTGGAATTACTTCGTCTGCGGATAAACCGTCCATCGAAGAGATGGCGGACTAAACGCAAGGCTCATGAAGACTCGAATTCTTGTATCTATATACTCTTGCTAGCGCACCGCATTTTCATAAGCCTCGCCGCCCATTCGATCGAGAACCAACGTTTCAGACAAGCTTCAGGGCTATGAGATACCCAAATACCAGAAAACCCCCACTGTCACATATTCTTGTGTTTTTTTAGAATCCTCTCTTAGATTTCCCTATGCACCCAAACACGTGATCTTGATGTTTCCGCATAGGGTCCCGGCAACGGCGGATCTGATCTAAACATCAAACTCTCCATTCACGACATGTCGTCCAAGAAATCCTGAATTATCTGCATCATTCCTATCACTCTTCATTGGAGTCGGCAGCAATGATCAATCTGGGCCATGGCCCTCCAGTCAAGGCGTCCCCAAAGAAGAAGGGTCAATCGAGCATGTAACACCTGTCGAAAATCGAGGATTCGTTGCGATGGCATTCGTCCACGTTGTGGCACCTGTCATCGTCGACGGGAGGAATGCAGTTACAATGATGGGCCTCCCGGCAGTCGGACGATGTATGTTGTACTCTATTGCTAGCTTCCATCGTATGTCAGCTGACAAATGTCAAGACCACAATCGAAGCCTAGTCATGGTGCAGTTCCAGCACCGTTCAATAGCTTTTCTACAAACCTAGAGGTATCCGGCAATCTTGGGCCAGTCCCTATTGGTGATGAGGATGATGTTGGTGTGACTGCCATGGGTCTAGTCTCAAAGTCTCCTAAGGGGGATTATGCGACGGGCAAAGAACACTTCGGCGAGTCTTCGGCCATTGCTTTTATACAACAGCTTCAAGATACTTTGAGGATAGACTCCACGGTATCTAGTCCCAATGCTGGACAGACTCGTTCACAGCGCCTTGGCCACCAGGAAGGCCCCCTGCATGAAACTGGCATTAGCTCACTACCGCCACGTCCCTTGGCTGATCATCTTGTTTCCTGTTATTTCTCTAGGATCCATTCCCTCTACCCTTTTGTTCATGAACCTGCATTTAGGGATGCGTACCAGTCATTATGGGAACCAGGTCAACCAGGATCAACTAAGATTAAGGCTCGTGGACTTGGTCTAGGTTCTCTGGATGTGAGCTCGACTACGTTTTACTTTGCATTGAATGCTGTTTTTGCTCTCGGTTGCCAGTTTTCCGATGTTGTACAAGTTGATCGAGAAGTGACTTCCGAGGCCTTTTTCAAACTGTGCAAGCCAGCACTGGATCTCAACTATCTGGAAAATGGCGACCTTGCCTTGTGTCAAACGCTTTTGCTGATGGCACATTACCTACAAAGCTCCTCTACCAAACCGCTGTTGGCATGTAATAGGAATGGCTTGTCGTGAAGCACAAGCATTAGGCCTTCATTCGGGGGCTAATGATACACGATACTCATTTACTGAGGTTCAAATAAGACGACGAGTTTGGCATGGATGTGTCTTGTTGGATCTGTAAGTACATTGCAATGTCGTTTGAGCCAGAACAACTGCTCACAAGCTTTCCACTTAGGTCTACAAGCACAATGCTAGGTCGGCCGGCGATGATCCATCAAAAACCGTTGATCCCCAAGCCAGAAGCCATTGACGACTGTTATCTTACTATGGATGATACGGCTTGTAAGCAACCAGCGGATGTCTTTTCACGTGCTTCTTGGTTTGTGGAAACCTTAAAGCTGCACGATGTACTCCGAACGATTCTCTTCAAACTTTACAACAACGGAGGCTTTGTGGCCGATGAAACAACAAGCCATCATAGCAACTCGAGAAACGGCCCCGATATGTAGAGCATTGCTCAAATCGATGCTGAATTACAGGCTTTCAAAAAGAACCTTCCAAACTACCTAGACTGGGACATGAAGATGCATCAAGATGGTGGGGAAGATTTCATGAGAGAAATGCTTCTCCTCAAAGCACGGTATGCTACAACCTGCGCTAGCAATCTAAGAGCACTTATACTAATCAGGTCTCATAATAGATTCTCGTATCTGAAGATCTTGCTCTATCGACCCGTGCTATCTCACATGATAAGGGCTAGCAAACGCACCAATCAACACCTCGACGGTATTTACGCAAGATACAGCCTTGACTGCTCAGTATACTGCGCCGAGGCTGCCATCGACCTTGTCTCTATAGTGCATCAAACATGTACTAATGAACTGTCCAGCGTATGGTTTTATAACTTGTTCTGTAAGAAATAAGGCCCTGCAAGGTTAACCCAGATACTAATGTGATGTCACCACGAAGACACGTTTACGGCAGCATCAATCATCCTCCTCGCTAAACTTTCACCCTCAATCGTCGACGTTGTGACAAAAACCTCACTTGAAGAGTCTTGGACGAAATGTTACAGTTGTTTCGACCATCTCAGACTGTATAATGTTGCGGCAGAACGATGTGCTAGAAGCCTTCTCGTCATTAGGTCGAAATGCCTCACCGCTACATCGGGTAAGCCATTAGTTCTTGGAGTTACTAGTAATTAGCTGACGTTTAATTATCAGACAACCTTGATGAGCAGTCTGATGCCACTGATCGGCCGACAAGTCGGCATCAAAACGAGCTTGAAAATCTGTCTATGGTGCCAGAAACCGGTGCAGAAATGCCGTTCTCGGAGGAGTTCTTTGGAGACTTACGATTTGATGATGATACATTTTTGGATCCGTACTGGTTTGATCTTCAATTTTAATGATAAATTTGTATATGTGGCATCAGAACGCTAAATAAATACACTCTAATGTTTTGGGTGAGGTGCCTAATCAAGCAGACACTGCAAATCCAGCAAAGAAATCCTTGACTGCATCGATGTCATCAAGCGAAGTAGCGTTGCCCAGAATGCCATCTGGACGAAGAATGACCACTCCACCTTTAGCAGTAGCAATGGAATACCTGTCATGAGCAGACCGATCCAGATCATAGTAGATGTTTCCGATTCGTGGGTTTCCAAAGGCGCTATCACCACCATCAACGCTTCCTGCGAACAAGGTAATGAATCTGATCATTTTCTCGGGGAGCCTTGCTCGAGTTGTATTCAGCTCTGAGACTGACTTGGACAACACATCTCTGGTAACATCGGGTCTTCCCGCAAAGACAATGATACACCACTGGCCAGTGTTTTTCGTCACTTGGTATAGTCGCATGGGGACACGAGATCCAGGTGCCATAATCAGAGCATCTGGTCCTCTTCGGCCGGCCGAGATCATACCTGTTGAAGGGGCTTTGTTGATTGCATTCTCGCCATAGCTAATTCCGAGACCAATGTTGAACAAGATGGTTTCATCGAATAGCTTAGTAAATAGCTCATTTGCATTGAGCCGAGAACCTTTGTACTGTTCCGGAACAGTTCCTGAAATCGTGGCTGAGAAGGCCTTGTCGAGCTCGATGAGATGTTGCGCTGCCGGACGACGTTCGTCTTCATAGGTTTGAAGAACTTCGGGTCCGTACCAGCCTTTGACAGCGCCGCCCAGTTTCCAAGCAAGGTTGACAGCGTCGTGAACACCAGTGTTCATTCCCTGGGCAGCGCCGGAAGAATGAGTGTGGCAGGCATCGCCTGCTAGCAGGACCCTGTCATTGGCAAAGAAGGCGTCGGCCACCCTTTGATTGATACTAGAAGACTGTTAGTTGCTGGATCTCTTTCAGGCTTTTAGTTTTCGAAGTACCTGTACAGGGTCCACCACTCAACCTTTTCAACTTCCAGGGTGAACGGCTCCATGGACTTGACGGCTTCGGCTACAGCTTGCTCTTCGGTAAGGTTGCTGCCATACTTGGCAAGCATCTCCTCAGTCATCGCAAATCCAATGCGTTTAACTCCGTGATCCAACTGGACCCACAAGACATTGCCATGGCTCTTCGACTCGATCGAGGCGAATCCGACGTCTGCATTGGGCATGTTCGTCTTAAAGTAGCCGTCGATACGAACCCATTTGAAATCGGTACGGTCGCCTTCAAAAGGAACGCCGGCGAGTCGTCTGACCAGTGAGCTGCCGCCATCTGCTCCCACGATGTATTTACTACCGCAGACTGTTAGCACGGAAATGGACAAATATTCGAGCATATCTTATATCTTACCTCTTGACAGTCACAGAGTCGCCAGAGCTGATCTCAGTAAGATGTGAAGTAACCTTGAAGTCATCCTCTACCGAATTGTCGAGGGTGAAATCCTCAAGCTTCCAACCAATGAAAGGCTTTCCTCCGATTCTCGAATATGCATCGCGGTACACATTCTCGCTGAACTTCTGCCGGATGTTCAAGCAGTAGTCCAAGAAGGTGCCATGCATCCGCTCAAACATGACATGCCAGCCACGCGAGGTGACCAGCTTGCCATCCTTGTATGTCACACTGTTGCGGGCAACGAAGCCGATCTGGTTCATCTCGTCTAGAAGCTCTAGCTGATCGAGCATCTCCAGTGTCCGAGGGTAAAGGGTAGTAGCCCGGCCATACATGGCTTGTTCATTCTTGTTATTTTTCTCTAAATCGAGGTTATCAAGAGTTAACGAAGGTTCTAGAGAAGGAGGCAATATTTTCATGCACCACTCACCCACAACGATAGAGTCCACTCCTTGTCTAGCTAGACCATAAGCTGTAAGCAATCCTACTGGACCACCGCCCACAATCAGAACGTCTGTTTCAATAGCTGCGGTCATTTTGATTTAAGTCTGTTTGGTTCTTTGATGGAGATCGAATGTGAATGAAGAGAAGAACAAACAGGCAGGATGGGCTCTGTCTTTTGTAGTACAAGAATCGGCTGTGTCGGCATCGCTACTTTTCAAGAAATACCTCTCACGGGCCGATCAGCTTCGGCACTGTGCAGCATATTGTTTCATAGACCGAATATGATCGGGATAAACACGCGTCGCCTGAACCTGCGACTCTATACTCCCGTATCGCTTCGTAACGGAATGTAACACCACACAGAAAAGGGAAAATCAAAGTAGGTAATTTGTGTATCGGAAAGTACCGGACGGTGGATCCCGAGCCCTCGACAACTTTCTTCAGAAGACAACCTTTTCACAAAAATATAATGAGGGAAATATTTAGAATAGCAAACAATGACGGGAGCATAATTGGATTTAGTAGATCTACATGAATATTGGGGCTGTGCCTGTCAACCAAGTGCCTTTGGTTGCTTCCACCAGAATACCACGGCCAGTCGAAATAATAGTCGCGCCAGTTCCGCCGTCAAGGTTGTGATCAGCTGTCCAGCCCCGGAAATTCTCAATATACACAGATGAAGATTTTCTCAAATGCATCATCATGTATGCCGCCATGCACTTTGAAACGATTCAGAACCAGTTTAATACCTACATCGCATCGGAGAAGCGTCCTCGCCAACACGTTAAAAACTAGGCCAGGTATCAGGTGGTTGTTCCCGTGGTATATATTGTAGCTGGGTGAGGGAGGCACACCCCACCAGGCTTTTGTGGCCTTTCAAGTTTACAATAATTGATGTTTATAGCGTTCAAGTGATGTCATTTCCGCCACAAGGCCTTTGAAACAAGAAGAAAGTGAAAAATAAAAGGCTGACAAGAAGGTCTATATGAAGACAAGATGGGAAAAGAAAAAGGAGGTAAAACAAAGCATGTCGAGTATCTATTTATATGCATGGACCCATCACGTATTATGGCCGAACCATATGATTAAAAATGATAATTTGGACATCATGCTGTATAGGAAGCTCATGAAACTTCCTTGATACGGCAGGTCCAGCCAGACTCCTGGCTAAGAAGAGGCAAGCTGAGAATTGAAGTTAGCAAATCTGTGATAAACAAGCAATGGAGGGAATTGCAAAGCTTACCTCGCACCAAGGCACCAGCCCAGCTCGTTATCCTTGATCTTCTTGGCGATCTTGACCTCGCGGGACAAGGGCATCTCGTAACCGGTGTGCAGGAGACCCATCATGAAGTTGAGGTCCATGCACCAATCGGGACGGTCACGAAGTTCCTTGAGAGCATCTTCCACGCCCTCAAAGACATTCCAGCTATCCTCACCACCGCAGACGGTAGCGGTAAGCTTGTGCAGCTCATCGAGGGTGAACGAGGAGGGCATGCCCAGAGGCGCAGTACGGTCATAGAAGTAAGAGAAGATATAAACATCCTCGTGGGAGAAAGTCTTCTCGAGGGATGGCTGGTGAATACCGTTGAAAGAGCAAGGAGCCAGCTTGCACTCGGAATCCTTCTTTAGAATCTTCTCAGCAATGGCGCGGCACTGGGGAGCGGCGGAAGCGTCCCGAGGACCGGCCATGGTGACAGTAACCTTGGGACCAAGAGGGTGGTCATCAGGGAAAGTCACAGAGACTTCCTTCTCCATGTCAGGCTGAATGCAAGGGTTGGAAATGGGGCGCTTGAGCCAGGACAAGTCCTTATCGTTGTTGGCAAGCATGGCCTCCAAAACCACACGGTTCATAGACTCGCGGGCAGACATCAGGCCGTAGCCAAGGTGAGAGTGCTGGTACAGTTCGAACTCGCGGCCGCCAAACTTCAGCTCGTACTTGTGGTCGCCCTCGGCCAAGTGTTCCGGCATACCACCAGCCTTGCTCTTCTCGAAGGTGGGCTGGAACACGATCTGAGTAGATCCACCACCCAGATCGAAGATGGCAGCGGTGGGAGTCTCATCCGGGCCACCGATCTTGCCCAGGAGGTAGTTGGTGGTAATCCAGGCGTAGACACCCTCGTCGGATCCGTCCATGATCTCAACGCCACCCTTCTCACGGGCGACAACGGGGAAGGGATAGACGGTCTCCAAACGAGTACGCACAGCCTCCAGGATATTCTTGCTGAGTTCAGGGCCCAGAAGACGCAATCCAGCGGTAGCCTTGACGGCGATCGGAGTGCAAGACCGGTACTCTTCGGGGACATTCTGCAGAGCAACCTCCAGAAGGGGGTCCAGGCTGCGAGCCGCACCATCGGCATCCTCCTTGTAGGAGCTAAGGCCGGAGCCACCCTCCTTCTTCTTGGTCTGCTCAAAGACCTCATTCTCCAATTCCGGGGTAGAGCCGCAGTTGTTGAATCGGTAAACGTGGATACGAGAGCCGGTACTGCCGGCGTCAATCATGAGAGCATATTGAATCAAAGGCTTGGACGAATCGAAAGGCTTAGTGCACTTGGTGGAGACACCACCGGCAGAAGGCGCTTTCTCTGTACAGAGGGAGATTTGTTAGTGATGTCGATATCGCATAGGCGTTACATTTCAAATTTGCGGGGCGCATACCCTGGGTGAAACCGGAAACGGCGGGCTTAGAAGGAGAGAGCCATAGGAGGACCATAAAAATGAAGCCGACAATGGCGCCGGTCTTCAGCCAACGGGACTTTTGACTTTGAGAGACCATCTTATCGGGTTGTTTATCAAACACTCGATCGGACTCAATGGGCGGCGGGACAGCGGAACCGTTACTGCGGGACACCGAACGGTGACGGGCGACGGTTTCCAAGTCTATGAACTTTTGGGGTTGCTGTTGGTTGTCGACTCCAGTCGACATGCGAGCAAACCGCGGAGGGTAAGATAAGCAGAAGACAGATGGCGGAAGTTGCCACCGAAAGCGAGGGCGTAACGATCGGAAGGGTTAAAAGGAACAACACAGAAGACAAGAAACCATTGATCCTCCGGGAACCTCAAACAAGCCCAGCAAGGAAATGGGTAAAAATTGACGATGGGGATGGACGAGGAAAAGGAAAAACAGGAGAGAAAGGAGATGGCAATTTCAGGGTTCTCGGTCTGTGGCGCAGATGTGGCGTGGCTCTTACTCGATGCGGTCTTCCCCAGAGGTCAACTGCCACTTCTCCGTAAAGCTCGACCAGCTCGATCAGACTCACCTACTGCCTCACAATAACCCACTCAACGTTCGAATCCCACTCATTCCGACTTTATATTTAGGCTCATTCTGACACACATCCCGTTTTATAGTTATTTTCCCTCACTACTTCACCTTCCTTCCACTCCGACAACATGAACCACATGCGCGGCCTCGTCTCCACGGCACAGGCCTTGCGTCAGACCTTTATCACTCCTCTTCGCACTCCCACAGTCTCCCTTGTGCAGTCATACTCTCTCCGGAATGGATTCCAGCCACGTTACTTCCACCAGTGCCCCCGCCTCGCGCTGCCTGTCGTACGAACACCGAATGCTCCGACACAGATCAAGGACGAAGCTATTGGCACTCGGCTTGTGCAGCTAGTCGACGAGGAGCAAAACCTCATGCCTCCCCGCCGACTAGCCGAAGTTCTCGATTCCTTTGACCGCAGCAAGTTTTTCCTGCTACAAGTCTCCCCTGCCGAAGACGAACGACCGCCTGTCTGCAAAATCCTGAACAAGATGGAGGCCAAGCAACATGAGAAGGCCAAAGCCAAATCTGCAAAGGCTGGAAAAGTACAAACAAAGCAGATTGAGCTGAACTGGGCCATTGACGCCCATGACCTGTCGCACCGTTTGAAGCAGTTGACCAACTTCCTGGAGAAGGGTCGGAAAGTGGAGGTGATCATGAAGCGGAAGAAGGCCAAGCGCTCACCCACTGTGGATGAAATCAAGCAGGTCATTCAGAGTGTACTGGATACTACGAGGGAAGCTGGTGGTACCCAAGTCAAGGCAATGGAGGGAGAGCCAGGCAAGCAGGTGATGATTACGGTCAAAAAGGAGACCTAAATTACTGTACGAAAAGGAGCAGGCTTTTGTATAGCGCGTTCAGGCTGCTATTCTTGTCAAATATAGCGTTATTTACTGGATATTTCGCATTGTATAAGGTGTATTAAACGAATTGACAATGCGTCTCCGAGCTATAGATGGAACTTGGATAGTTCGGGTGCTGCATTTACCATTCGGGGGAAACCCAAACTCGGAGAGCTAACACTCAAAGTAAACATCTGCCTCTCTAAATTCTCAACTACCTAAAATCTAGCATCATTTGTCGGAATCTCCTACATCTAGTTGTTGATGACAGCCGGACCTCCGCAATTTGCGGCCCCTGATTGGCCGATGCATGACTAAGCGCTCCCTGTCCGCCCCGAAAATTTGGCTGTTGATTTCGCGACTCTCTTCTTCTTCCCCATCGAGTTTCCTTTTTGCTTCCTTGTTGTCCATCGTTTCTTTGGGGCTTCTCTTTGCAAGATGTCGAGCATTACCCGTTCCCTCAACCTCCTGGCCCGCACCAGCCGGTCGTCCCTGCTGCGCCCGCGCGCCATCAACCCCATCCACCATGTCTTTGCTAGTGACAAGATGGCTGCCCGTGGCCTGGCCACTGCCTTCGAGCGCACCAAGCCCCACGTTAACATCGGTACCATTGGTCACGTCGATCACGGCAAGGTGAGCATTCAATGGCATGATGATCTTGTCTCCCGGCGTGTCTAATCTGTTCATCTCATCTAGACCACCCTGACTGCCGCTATCACCAAGCACCAGGCCTCCAAGGGTCTGGCCAACTTCCTCGACTACGCTTCCATTGACAAGGCCCCTGAGGAGCGCAAGCGTGGTATCACCATTTCCACTGCCCACATTGAGTTCCAGACTGAGGACCGCCACTATGCTCACGTCGATTGTCCCGGTCACGCCGATTACATCAAGAACATGATTACTGGTGCCGCCAACATGGATGGTGCCATTGTTGTTGTTGCTGCTTCCGATGGTCAGATGTATGTTCAATGCCCGATCTAATCTCGTTAGCCTGTCGTTCTGACAGGTCTTTTTTTCCACAGGCCCCAGACTCGTGAGCACTTGCTGCTCGCCCGTCAGGTCGGTGTCCAGAAGATCGTTGTCTTCGTCAACAAGGTCGATGCCGTCGATGATCCTGAGATGCTTGAGCTCGTCGAGCTTGAGATGCGTGAGCTCCTGTCCACCTACGGCTTCGAGGGTGAGGAGACCCCTATCATCTTCGGTTCCGCCCTTTGCGCCCTTGAGGACCGCCGCCCCGACATTGGTGCTGAGCGTATCGATGCCCTGATGACCGCCGTTGACACTTGGATCCCCACCCCCGAGCGTGACCTCGACAAGCCCTTCCTCATGTCCATTGAGGAAGTCTTCTCCATCCCCGGCCGTGGTACCGTCGCCTCCGGCCGTGTTGAGCGTGGTCTGCTGAAGAAGGATACCGAGGTTGAGATTGTTGGTGGCTCCGACACCCCCATCAAGACCAAGGTCACCGATATCGAGACCTTCAAGAAGACCTGTGACGAGTCCCGCGCTGGTGACAACTCTGGTCTCCTGCTCCGTGGTGTCCGCCGTGAGGACATTCGCCGTGGTATGGTCATCGCCCAGCCCGGCAGCACCAAGGCTGCCCAGAAGTTCCTGGTCTCCATGTACGTTCTGACCGAGGCTGAGGGTGGTCGCCGTACCGGTTTCGGTGCCAACTACCGCCCCCAGGTCTACCTCCGCACTGCTGGTAAGTTCCATCCGCCCACATAGTCTTATATCTTAATCAGATCTAACTTTTAAATTACAGATGAGCCCGGTGACCTTACCTTCCCCGATGGTGACGAGTCCCGCCGCGTCCAGCCCGGTGACAACGTCGAGATGGTCCTCGCTACCCACCGCCCCGTCGCTGCCGAGGCTGGTCAGCGCTTCAACATCCGTGAGGGTGGCCGCACCGTCGCCACTGGTCTGATCACCCGTGTGATGGACCAGTAAATTGGTCTTGCTCGACCTTGGCCGGATGAGTCTTCCAAAGACTGATCTGGCCCTTGTATTATGACACCCCCTATTATCTTCTTCTTCTTTCTTTTCTTGTTTGTCTGTCATCCTATATTCACAGCGCGGGAACTGTCGATCAGCTCAAGGGATCTGGGAGAAAGCTGGAGTTTTCGCTTGAATCTTGTTCATGTACCTCTACTGTATTGGAGATGTCGTTGGTTGTATCTTCTCTCCCCTCCTCCCGTGGAATTTTGTATTAAAAACAAAAATCGAATCCAACACATCACTTTAATACATCGAGTCAAAACAGCTATCCCAATAGAAAGTCTAGAGTTAGTTGGGAAGTAATCACGCGTTCTGATTTCTTGGCTGTGGGGCAAAAAGCGTCCATGTTATTCGGACGAAGTGCACGGACGATCGCCGGATGCGCCGGACCAAGTCTCGGAACACCGGATCAGTACGCGTGGATGTAGTTTAGTAGTGTGTGGTTATTTGATCGAAGTATACTGGAGCGGCCTCTATATGCAGTATGATAGTTGCTTGGAGACGCCGAAGCTTGTATCACAAGACGATAACATGTGGTGAAATTCTGCCTTGGGGTATAAGAATTGGCAATGCTCTTCACTTGTAAAAGCTCAGCTCCCATCCGTGAGTCTTGGTTCGATAACATTCACAGAACGAGTATCAATCAACGTACAACCCTTGGCCTTGCTAAGCAGCACTATTTGGACTTTACATAATTGTTTGAGATATCTTACGATGCGTGCCGCTAATTTGTATGGTTAGGTTTGTAGAAAAAAAAAGTAGCACCTTGAGTCTCTTAATTTGATGCTCCCTCTCAGCTAACTTCACGTATTGCATCTACACATATGGCCATATCCCACGTATGAAGCTCTAGATCTTCTTGAAGCACTATTGACACTGTAGCTATACTATGTAAATCGTGCTAAGTGTACCTTGAGAGCTATACCGTACTTTCATTTACCCGGGATTGGGGCATTTTGTTTTCCTTTTTACATATATGTTTCTGGGCCGAGGCGACACAGTTTCTTCTAGGTGATATTGCATTACCTGTGTAAAATATCCGGTCAATTGACATGAAGTCAACTATTCCAGCTTCATTTTGTGGCGACTCTAGTGCTTAATTCTGGCTACGAGTGAGTGATATTCGTGACTATTTTCCCGTGCTTTCTTATCCCCACGCACCTACATGATGATGCCAGGCCGCACCTCAAAAGTAATCTAAAGCGGTCGGCCTTGAGATGACGACTTGTCGGCTTTCTCGTAAGCTTGATCTTGGAATATTCCAGATTCTCTGAGATGTGCTTTCGACAAAATTGAGGCGTTTCCCTTCATCCTATACCGTCGTCTCGCGTCGAGTAGGGCTCTTGAAATCATCACTGCACTCCGGCTGGTGCCCGCCACCGTCTGATCGCGCCAACACGAGAAATCTAGCTGATTAACACCCCAAACGATCTCTGTTACTCGTGGGCTGTAGCTAGCTCTGGGGGAAATGGATATTTGGGGCGAGTCCAACGGCCCCCCTCGCAAGAAGATGCGCAAGGGGACCAAGAGTTGTGTCGAATGTATGTTACGGCAGATAGTCTGCCTTCCAGGCCAATGTGCTCAATGCTGAAGTCTTCCGACAGGTCGTCGGCGCAAAATCCGTTGCACCTACCACCCAGATCGCCCTGATACCTGCAATGAATGTCGATTACGAGGCTCTACCTGTATTGACCAAGAGCATAGCTCCGATGACCCTGGATCCGCGCCGGGCTCTACCCAAGGCGATCAACGATATAGTCTGCGGGAGCGGGTAGCTCACCTAGAGACTGTAGTACAGGAGCTATCCAAACGGCTGGACCAGCAAAGCTCAAACAACGCTCCTTGTTAGTATATATTTGTCTTGCATCCGACCAAGCCCACCTAATGCTAACCATGCTAGCCCGGAATCTCCCCCAGGCAGAAGTGACCCCGCCAGCAACCGAATCCGATCAACTCGGCCCATCCAGCGACCAAATTCAGAATGCCCCGGTAATGCAGCTGTTTGATAACTATCTCTTGAGCCGCCGCGAGGATTCAGACAGCAATGACCGATTTGCAGGAGCGAAAGATACCTCGCCAAAGGCACGAGCTGCACGAGCTGAGCTCCTGTCGCTACTTCCACCAACATCAGATATTCGCATGGTCATTGCAGAAACTTCACATTTATGGTGTATCTGGGACGAACATTTCCCAGACCTCCTGACTCAGTTTGACTTTCCCTCAGAGCTTAGCGAGAGCACGGTTGCACCCGCCGAGATCGCTAAGGCTGTTGTCTGTCTCGCTATCAGTGTCATCCATCTACTTCCCGAGTTCAGTTTCGGTGCTCTACAACATCCTTTGGATCCGCAAGAATTTGCCGCTCGCTGCACTGGGGTCGTGGATCGCCTTGTGGTTCGTGACGATGACTTTGCGGCCACGCTTCCTGGCATTGAGGTTCAGATGTTGCTTTCAAAGTATCACATGAACGAGGGCCGGTTGCGCAAGGCGTGGCTTGTCAATCGACGAGCTATTGAATTTGCGCACCTCGCGGGCATGCACTTGTCTACTCGTAACCCACGGCCTGCGGATACTCTTTTTGAGCGACGGCTGCGAATATGGTGCTCTTTGACAACGGCAGACAGATCTTTGAGTTTGATCCTTGGTCTTCCGTACGGAGTCTCTGAATCCTTCTTCCAGCCACAGATTGAGCGGCGCCTGAGCATGGGCATCTCTGCCGCAGAACAGTATATGTTGCGCATTGGGGTCATCACCGGACATATGGTCGACCGCAACCAGAACCCAGCCGATATGTGTCTAGAGACGACTTTGAAGCTTGATCAAGAGCTTATGGATGCTTGGAGAGCCTTGCCGAATAGCTTCTACGGAACCGCCCCCGGTCCTAATGAGCAGCGGGAGCAATTTCATGCTCGGATTCCTTTGCAGTTCATGCCCAAGGTGCTCCGAGCTCTCTTGCACATGCCCTTCTTGCTAAAATATCCACATGATCAGCGCTTTAGCTTCTGCCATCGTGAAGCCATTCAATCTGCCCGAGATGCCTTGGTGCTGTATAAAGTGCTTCGATCAATGACGAGGTCTTATTTGTGCAAAATGATTGATTTCTTTGCTTTTACGATGAGCATGCTCCTCATCGTTCATCTTCACGGCCACGCTGATGAATCACCGGTACCTCACAATCAAAAAGATGAACAAGACTGGAAGCTCGTGGGGGAAGTGGTCGAGATTCTTGGACAGGCAGCGACTGAGAGGGGAGGATCTGTAGCTGCCGAATCAGCAAACATCCTCGGTGCTATCTTTCATACCAGATCACAAATTCATCGCAATTGGCCGTCATCAGCTACGTGCAAGGTCACGGTGCCTTACTTTGGAACCATCACCGTCGGGGCTGGCACCAAGCTCTTGAGGCCTCAAAACAACCAAGGCCAGGACGAGACTGCTCCAAAACTGGTGCCATCAGCAGACTCTTCATACAAACCAAGTCCAAGTCAACTATACACTCCCCCATTATCGGATCCTGATGGAACATCTACGACGAATACTAGCGGGACTTCAAATACTCAAAGCCCCGTTTTTGCAACAGAAAGCACATCCGGGTATCCCATCCAACCGTTGTCGCAAGGCGAAGATGTTTCCAACACCACTTTTGCCGGTATAGAATCCAATACATTCACAGGGTTGTTTGATGACTTTGGGCAATTCACATGGCCGAATCCAGCTGTTGATCTAGGTCTGGACTATGGTTGGAATTTGAATTGGTCCGAGTAGGGATTGGTTTTTGTGCTATACTGAACACTACTAATTTTAGGAGACGCGCTTACGACTGTACAATATTTCATGCTTTTGTTTTCTTAATACATACTCTCACCTATACCGAAGATCATCGTTGAATCAATATGAAGTTGTAATTATTAATTTGGGTAATAAGATTGCCACTAAATCTACCAGCTGGCTCCTAGTTAAAGGGGCCGATCCCGTATAGATCTCCCGAGTTACGTAGTTTCCCCAATTAAAAGGGGGTTATGTAAGACTACCTAAGGTTCCCCCCCAGCAACGACCTCGGGACCATTCGATCGCGGCACTCGTGCAACGGCCTTGTGATCGTCCTGACTTGTTCCGATTCCCATTCGGTTGATCCGGTGCTGTTGCGCTTCCTTTGTATGATCCACCTCTCCCCCCAACCTCCTCGTTCCCGCGTCTCCCACCTGCTTTCGCCACCATCTCAACCTCCCGGCGATCTGTCCCCACAACACCACCTCTAGAGTGCGATAGCAACGACCATGTCCGAACGCCCGTCAGGACTGGGCCGGACCCCGACAGCACCTCCCATCATGGCGAACGGCCACTTTGCTACGATCGGTGATAGCAGTGATGTCACTTCCTACGAGCATGGAGTGCAGGTCATTGACGGGGATAAGGAGTTCAAGTACGAGTCGCCGAATACACCTTGCTCTTGCGCCCACCTGCAGCTGCAGGCCTGCGCACAATCGCACCTTCGAGCTTCACTTTAGATGCTGACAGCTACTCTGCAGTCCCAACTTGTCCAAGTATCTCTCCCTCGAGGATGTCACGACCGCCGGCTTCAACTACCACCTCATCTCCGTGTTTGGCTCCCAGTCGACCGGCAAGTCAACCTTGCTGAATCACCTGTTCGGTACTCAATTCTCGGTCATGTCCGAGCAAGAGCGCCGGCAAACGACCAAGGGTATTTGGCTGTCGAAGAATAAGAAGCAAGGCGATGCGACTACCGAGGGGGCCCGTATGGCGGATAACATCTTGGTGATGGATGTGGAGGGTACTGATGGTCGCGAACGAGGCGAGGACCAAGACTTTGAGCGCAAGAGTGCTCTGTTTGCGCTTGCGACCAGTGAGGTGCTCATCGTGAACATCTGGGAGCATCAAGTCGGTTTATACCAGGGTGCCAACATGGGTCTCCTTAAGACCGTGTTCGAGGTCAACCTGCAATTATTCCTGAAGGATAAGAGGTATGCGGGTCAATCACGGTCTGTGCTTGTTTTAGCAAGGTACTAATGTGGTGGATCTAGTACTACGCACCGGTCTCTCCTCTTCTTCGTCATTCGTGATTTCATTGGCACCACCCCGCTAAAGAACCTCCAAAAGACGCTACTGGAAGATCTGGCCCGCCTGTGGTCAACAATCTCAAAACCCGCTGGACTGGAGAACTCTACAATCCACGATTACTTCGACTTCCAATTCTACGGACTTCCGCACAAGGGCTATCAGCCTGACCAGTTCGTGGCGGAAACACAAAAGTTGGGCTTGCGCTTCCGTGAGGGCCACCGCGACCCGAAACGGGATGCGCTCAAGGGGGAGTTCTCCGAGGGCGGTGTTTTCCTGCCTGAATACCATCGGCGAATCCCAGCGGATGGATTCTCGCATTATGCTGAAGGTATTTGGGACCAAATTGTCAATAATAAGGACCTGGATCTGCCTACCCAGCAGGAACTGCTTGCCCAATTCCGCTGTGACGAGATTTTGCGGGAAGTGATGATCGGATTCGACGAGGCTATCACTGCGTTTGAGGACAAGCAGGCCGAGTCTGTCCGCCTTGGATCTCCGGCAGTCATCGGTGGCTTGGGTGTTGCTATGCGCGGTGCCCGCTCCAAGACTCTCAAGGGCTTTGAGACTGAGGCTAGTCGGTACCACAAGGGCGTCTACCAGCGTAAGAAGGCTGAGTTGGAGGGCAAGGTTGATACTCGACTAAAGGCACTGTTCCACGGTCAGATCTCAGCCGCTCACAAATCCGGTATCCGTGACTTCAGCGAGGCTGTGACCAACGCTGTCAAGTCCGGTCAGAAGAAGGGCGGCAACTACGACTTTGCCGAGATTGTCAACCAGGAAACTAAAACCTCGTTGGAGAAGTTCGAGGAAGTCGCTCGATCAACGCTGGTTGAAGGTGCCTCCTGGAGCAACTATAAGCAGGAGTTGGCGTTATATGAGAAGGAGTTGTCTGAGGTCAGCGGTCGTCTCCGGCGGGATGAGATGAGACGGTTGGCTAGCCGCGTTGAACGATGGGTTCAGTCTCGTCTTGGCGAGTCAGTGGGACTCGAGTTCAACAACCTGGGTTCTGGACGTGCTGGGGCCGGTGCACCCGATGATGGCGATAAGCCCATTGAGACCGCTTTCTGGGATCGGATCTGGAATGTGTTCGTGGAGACCGTTCTCGATGCCGAGCGTAGATTCACGGACCGCGCCAGTAGCTTCGATGCTAGCCTGGAAGAAGTTGATGTTGGTCTGTGGCGCCTGCGTCGCAAGTCTTGGGGTGTTTTGCATGCCAAGATTGATGAGGAAATGACCGAGGGTAATTTGCTCCTAAAGCTGCGCGAGAACTTCGAGGACAAGTTCCGATACGACGAGGCCGGTGTGCCTCGGATCTGGCGCCCAACTGACGACATTGAGGGCATCTATACACGTGCTCGCGAGTCTACCCTGACTTTGATTCCTCTTCTGTCGCGATTCCGCCTTGCCGAGACTAACGCCCCTCCTCCTCTTGATCGTTGGGTCGGGCACACTCCTAGCACTGCCACTCCTGCCGACGAAGAGGACCTGGCCCCTATCGGCGGTGTGGATGAGGACGAGGGCAAGAGCCTGGAAGAGGAAATGACCATTCTGGGCGATGCCAAGCGCCAGGAACTTACTGTGCGCTTCAAGAAGGCTGCCGATGGAGTTTACGTCGAGGCCAAGCGGAGTGCCATTGGTGGTATGACGCAGGTTCCACTGTACTTCTACGGTCTCCTGCTGGCTCTGGGCTGGAATGAGATCATTGCGGGTGAGTCAGCTACTTTCTTTTCGTCTCTTATCGATCTTACTAACATAAACAATTTTAGTCCTCCGCAACCCGGCCTACTTCCTGCTGCTCTTTGTATGTGCCGTCGGTGCCTATGTCACCTACCAGCTCAACCTGTGGGGCCCTATCATCAAAATGACCGAGGCTGCATCCCAGCAGGCCCTCGTGGAAGGCAAACGTCGCTTGCGCGAGTTCCTCGAGCAATCCGATACCGGTCGCCAGGCCATTGCCATGTCTGCTTCGGACCGAGCTGGCTCTTCGGGAAACAAGGAAGAGTATGAAATGTCTGATCTGCCAAAGCGAAGCTCTGGCTCGAAGACTGACGATTTGGATGACTTGTAAATTTTTTTCTCTCTTTGCTGCCCGTTGGGCGAACATTGTGTACCTTTTCTATGGGGGTAGATTTGTTATAACATTCATTCGCATGTGTTTTTTCGGTACGACAGATGCTGTACGAAAATTGATTGACGTTTGGCGATGTTTTTGATCTAATACCGGAAACTATGTGGAGGATTTCGTGGTACTACATAGCGGCAGTGCATGCATTACAACTAGAAGATAGGGACCTAAATCGACGCCGAAAATGACAACCCCAGTACCGCCCTATTCTGCACCCGTCCAACGAGGACTGTTAGTCATCAATCTTTCATGGGCAAACTTGTCCTTGTACTCCAGTGACTCGGGGCCAGTGTCTTCTTTTACCTCTCTTTTCGCTAGGTCTCTGGGTCATGTCATATAGCGAATTTGATACTCCATGGGTAGAAGAACCCTGGGAGTCGCCAGAGACTGCCCTCCGTGACGCCGATGGTACCAGACTCTACGAGACTGATGACAGTGGCCTTCTGTTCAAAATAATCTATCTCAATGACGTTCCCAGACTGAAGCAATATCTTCCTGTTTATTCCCCGCCTCTTGATATCGAAGATAAGGAGTTCAATGACCCTTTCTGTGTCGCCGCGTCGCAGGGGCGCACCGATATTCTCCGTGTTCTCGTGGACTACTATAAGAACGACTCAACGAAAGTGCCGCTCCATCAGCGAAAATTTTCATTATTGACGGCGGCGTGCAGGGAAGCACAGCTCGAAACGGCGCAGTTTATCCTAGACAGTCAGCTGGCACTCAGTTCAGTCTATATTGACCAAGCATACCGTGATGAAGCACTCTTAGCGACTGCCAGGTCCCTGACTGCTTTGCCCCCCAGTGACTGCAAACATGAGACGCCGAATGATTCTGAGCACTGGAGGAGCAGCCGTATCGCTCGGGCTGAAGAATTAATGCGCTTACTTCTTGATGGCGGCGCGTCTGCTCAAGCGGCCGAGATCCCCACAACAGAAGTGGAATGGGCGACTATGGTACTTTTCGGAGGCTCTGTGAGCCGGCACGATGGCGACAACAGCCAACCACTACAGTCCTTTGGTACGGTTCTCGGTCTGGCCTCCTCTGGAGCCGGCTACGCGTTGGTGAACCGACTGATTGACCAAGGGGCCAATGTACATGCCAAGGAGCAGTACCAGCATCAGCCTTCATCTACATTTTGGTCTGAAATGCAGATGCCATGGGATGTCACCGCACTTCATGTTAGTAGCATGTATTGGAATCTAGAGGCCATCCAGACGCTTCTTGACCGCGGTGGAAGAACCATCACGGAATCACTATCATGCCGCGATAGTAATGGGCGTCTACCGCTTCACTGGGCTGCCGCGGGCCCTGGCTCATTTGAGTGCTGGCTTTCTGACGATAAAGTCGGGAATCGGGTCATTGATGCCTTCAAACTACTTTGCTCTGGAAGCGATATCAATGCTCGGGACAACCAGGGCGAGACTGCTTTACATTACGCTGTAAGGGGCCACGCCTGCTGTGGCGGAAGCAAGCACTTTGGTACTATACTGAGGTTCATGTTGGAGAACGGGGCGGGCGCAGATGTGATCAACACCAATGGTCAAACCGTGCTACATAAAATGGCCGCCCACTGCCTGGCTGGCGATCCCATTGACACTGCTCTGATAGATACTCTTTTATCGCAGGGTGTCAAAATCAACCAACAAGACAAAGACGGGAATACGCCATTGCATCTAATGGCCAGGAATCTACGTCAGGTTCAAGCTACCAGATTTCTGATTAGTCAAGGTGCGGATGTCTCTCTCACTAATGGTAATGGCAATACAGCTTTACACGAGTGTTTGAGGATGGGAACCATTTTGCACAGGCAGACAAGTAACGGAAGTGTACGTCCCACACTCGCTGATCGGACGAGAGCGCTGGATGAGATGGTTGCTGTCTTGCTGGAGGTAGGGGGTGATACCATGATGGACCAGCCTAATCTAGCGGGCGAGACGCCGCGACAGCTGGAGTTTAAGAAACTGGCTATGTGGCAGAAGTTGGAGGAAGATGCAATCGCGAGAAAACGTTGATCCATGACGAACCATCTAGGTGAACTGTAAAGTACCCGTTGGTATTCTACATACTCATTTTATATACGAACAAACGGGAAATTAGGATCTATCTCGACAAAGCTTATTCGCTTATATCCAATGGTCATCTCTGAAAAACCACTGCATCGTGTAAACCTTGACGTATAAATGATAATCCCACTTTCCGGCCTTATTCGCCCACTTTCCCGATCGAGTGGTTGCGGGGTCATCTCCTCCCACGCCAATGGAGATACGGACTTGCTCCGATATGGTGGGGGTATTTCTGTTAAATAACCTGCTGCACTCTGATGATCCGGTTAAATTGAGTCCCTAGCCTCCACGTCATACAAAAAGAAGTGCAAACCGACTCCTGAGCTCTGTTCATCATACCCCACACTCGACAGCATCATCCATACCACATAAACCAAACCCAATCAGCATGTCCGGAGTCACACAACTTCCAGAGACTTTCGATGACCTCCCTAACAAGCGCCAGTATTGGCCTGCGCCAGCCGGCTCGGAAGAAGAGGGCCTCGGCATGTTGCGCATCCTCACACCAGAGATAGTCGCAGAGGCAGCGCGAACGCAGATCCAGACCGGCGAGCGAGTATGTTTAAACTGGGACATTGAAAATCTGAATCCTCCCGGATTCGGTCGCAAGGCCTTTGAACATCGCATCAAATGGGTCGCCGAGGGCGTTGCATTCGACGATGAATACCACTTCAACCCTCAACAAACCTCGCAATGGGATGGTTTCAGGCACCATGCCAACAAAGACGGTGTTTTCTACGGTGGCACGACAGCCGAGGAAATCAAAGATACTCAATCACCACGTATTGGAATCGGATGCTGGGCAAAGAAAGGCATTGCAGGTCGCGGCGTATTAATCGACTACGTCTCCTACGCCCAAAAGAAAGGCATCTCTCTCAACGCGCTCTCTCGACAAATGATCTCTCTAGACGAAGTTCAAGAAATCGCACGCGAGTGCAACATCACCTTCCAAAAGGGCGATATCTTTTTCCTACGCGTTGGCTTGCCGGGGACATGGGCAGCGATGTCCGCCGAGGAACGCAAGACGTACAGCGAGCAACCGCTGCCGCAACACGCAGGAATCGAGCAGAGCGAGCGAGTACTACGTTTCATGTGGGACCATCATTTTGCGGCCGTTGCGTCTGATGCAGTGAGCTTCGAGGTTTTCCCTGCGATCAATGAGGAGTTTGACTTGCACCATCATCTTTTGGCTGGTTGGGGAGTGCCGATTGGAGAGATGTTTGATTTGGATGAGTTGGCGGCTACTTGTGAAAGGTTGGGTCGTTGGAGCTTTTTTATTTCGAGTAGCCCGTTGAATTGTGCGCGGGGTGTGTCTAGTACGCCGAATTGCATGGCGATCTTTTAGGGGGTATGGAAATGCTTGGTTATGATATGTCATGGTTGAAGCGGAGCGGAATGATGTCTATCTTCATAGTAATGAAGTTTAAAATAGCTTCATAGAACGGACAAATAAGTATTTTCTAAGACAATATTCCATCAGGCCTTGGGAAATACAGGTAGCTGCGTAAGCACCTCATTGTTGGCCATGGCTTGCATGTCGTAGTCAATAGATGTTTTTCCAGAAGCCAGACAAGATTCTGGATCTGTATTGTGTATTGCGATCATCTACCTTAAATATTATAGAATCTACTAGAATTTAGGCCTTAGCCTAATTTTAGATTCACTATATTAAAGAACGTCGTGGCTAGCATTATACGGGCCTTATATCGCCGGCTAAAGATCACCTCTCTACCATGCGCGTTCTCTTCTCTCGTCTGGGATATAGAATTCACTGTGTTGGTGAACATTATTTTTATGCATATCGGTAGGACCACATGAAGATAACGGATCCCTTCTTCTGAGTGAGGTTTGCGTTAGGTGTGATCTATCAAATAATCAAGTCTTGAGGAGGAAGGAAGGGAAAGATGTGAGACATAATCCTTTTTGACGGTGTCGGTGACACCAGTGCAAGGAAGCAAGAAGGGGAATCTGAATTAAATTGGTCTCTCTAGAAGAGAACACGAAGACAAAGAAGGAAGGGAAGAAGGGAAGTGCCTAAATAGCCTGCCTATAAAACACAAAGAACAAAGACCTGGACCTGCAACAGGCAAACTTATAAGGTAAACCATGTAGGAACAAACGAGGACTGCACATCCAAACGGCCGAGGTCGAAGTCGAGGTCCTGGACGTCGAGTCATCAAGACCTTTCGTATCCATTTTCATGTTTAACCATGTGCTGGTTGTGAACATGGTGGGATCCATGTCAATGAAGCCCGTTCTGGCTAGGAATGGTGGGCACACTGCTATCAAGACTCGTGCTAGTGGAGGTATGGGTACTAATTTCAGAAGAAACGGTAGTAGAGCCGATGGTGTTAGGCGTAGTATGGGATCTAGCCGATGACCCCGCACTTGGTGATGAGCTCGTGCTCACACTAACACTGCCCCGGCCAGGTCCAGTAAGGTGGAGGAGTGCCGATGACGGCTTCTGTCCGGGATAGAAGGTGGTGGGAATAGGGGGGATGGTGAAGGAAGCATTGGCAAGTAGCTCAGTGGTGAAATCATTCGGCATCCAGGAAGTCGAAAAAGATCTATAATTTGGTCAGCCCATGCTTAAATCAGCTTTGAGACATAATTCATACGGTCTTGCAGTCAATGTCCGACTTGAAGTATAGCTGGAAGCTGAGACCTCGTCCTTTCTCAAACAACCGCCCGTTCCATATGCATTCTGGCAGATTCTGCTGCATAACTCTGGTTGGCAGACCAGAGATTTACGTTTTCCAGGGTTATTTCTGTGCATGCAACTTCAGCAGGACATTCCAGACGGATGATCGGTCGAGAGTTATCCGCATTGTATCCATGCCAGTTCTGAGCAGAATCAGTCAGTTTATTTGCTTGCATATTGAGCTTTGGGAACAGAAAACCGCCCAGGGGCTCACCTTGTATGTGAGGTTTGTCATGAAAACCCCATCGGCACCCCCGTCCGCACTCTCCCAATCGGAGTTGATTGTGAGAGGATATGGCCCACCGCGGACAATGACGGTGTCCCAGAGAATGTTTTTCACCGTCCCGTTTCCACCATTCGATTTGATATAACAAGGGTCGGCCTTGTTCGCATAGATATGACGATAGGTGATGTTGCTTATATCAGTGCCGGTCCACAAGAAGCCGATTGCATTTCCTCCGCTCAAGTTGCAATATATGCTCTCAATCAGAAAGTTTGAAGATGGGTTCTTCACAGTCACACATTCATCGCCGTTTGTTGCCTCAATGTCATGGATCCAGACGTTGTCCCCCCATACATCGATCGCATCGGTGCCTCCCAGGACGGTAGGCCCACGCATAATAATGTTGTAGATCTCGCCGTTACTAACCGTGTCGAGGGTTAAGTAGTAAGAAGGCGAATCAATGAGCGCAATTCCATGGACCGAAAAATTTCCCATCTCCTGAAATCGGGTTAAGCGAGGACCATAGTCACCAGTGGCGAGGTACTCGTGTCCGTAACCCTGAATCGCACCCTTCGAATTCCCGCTGAAAAATTCAAAGTCCTGGCAGTTTCGAAAACTCAGCAGCGTAGAGAAATCGGATCCAGTCCGGTGAATAACTCCATCAAGCTGAATGGCACTGCGCACACCATCCTTCAGGAACACATACGAGGCCAGTGACCAGTTCCCCGGTGGGATGTAGACTAGACCTCCGACTGCACAGTCACTCCAGGCACTTGAAAATGCAGACGAAATATCGCTGCCATTTGTAGACGCGCCATAGTCAACGATGTTACAGACCTTCGTCGCAGCCTTGGAGGCGTACGAAGTGATTAGTCCGACTGACCCCGACAAGGAGGCCAAGCTTTGCCCGACGTAAACAAAAAGAAGAAATGTCGACCACATTGTTTGTCTCGTCCCATACCATGTCAAGAAAACCAAGAGCCAGGTTATTGTCGATGTACTTATACATCGGCCTCATCCTTTCCCAATCGAGGGATACCATGCGAGAGTGGGGCGTCCTCGTTTCACTTTAACATGGCCTGTTATGTAGACATCAGAAAGGCTCCCGAAGCGAAGGATTGGTCGTTTCTGTTTTCATCGGCATTCCCCTTTTAAGCGATAGTGTGAATCGAGTCGGCTAATAGCGTACAAACTAGTAAACATGGTGGCGAATGAGGACGGCCGGAATCATCAGATAAATGTGTGATTTACTGAGAAAAGAAAGACTATTTGGGAATGAGGAAAAGGGGCAGGTTGATCTGTTCCGTTGGCGGTGTAACTGGAGAGTGTTCGAGTTACCATAATGGAACCCAGATGTTTACCCACATATTACAACTTCAATCTTAACGACCTGATCAAATTATAAAGAATCAAGGGAACATACAGGGGTGCTCGAAATTAGCTTCACCTGTTTCTTTCTCTTTAATTTGCTATGGAACTTCATCTTGCATTAAACCATACCTATGCCCTGAAACGAGGAACGATGTAGAAGGGTTTACTACCCTGCGCTACGGCCCTGCGCGAGCTGCCCACAAAGCTTAGCTGTGTACGGAATGCAAAATCGGTCCAAATTGTCGTGGCTGATTGGTCAATTTTCGCCGCCAAGACGTGTTTTGGTTCGCTCGAGTCTATCATGGTTGCGTTACCTTATTGGTCACCTGCTTCTCTCTATCTTAGCGGTTAGAGTTCTACGTGGTGGTGAGGTATTCACTTGTCTTAATCTCGTCTTGAACGAGGATCACTGCGAGCTTCAATCTAAGGATAGCCGTTCCGTCGCCACGATGAACAAGAAGACTCGTCTCGCTCTTGCATGCCTCTCATCTTCAGCGGAAAACATTGAATACAAGGGACTCGTCTCTCGCAGTGATTTAAAATGACAAATATCGACAAGTTCAGAGTCCGCCCACTCGGAACTTCTGAATCTCTGCTGTTGGATACACATATATGTGTTCGAGACTCATATCAATGCGGACGTTGTGGGCCAGGAGTTATCACGCTACCGTCTTTTTTTGCAACATCCATCTCCGCCTCTTTATGATACTACGTACGAGAACCCGCATTGCCTGAGCTTGCCAGGAAACTCGCTTCCAAATGGGACCTTGTCACCACGAATCTCACATAAGACTCTTGACTGCGAAACGGGCCATACCAGTACAGCCGGTTCCATCGGTCATGAGGTAACTGATATGTTCTCTGTCATAGATGATCTTCCTAAGCAGGGCTACTTGAAGAAGGCGCAGATTGACAAACGGACCACACTATTAAAGTGAGCAACTAAATGAATCGCACGTCCAAATGATGCTAATGGCCAACCACTGTAGCCCGCCACCAATTGGAAGGAGTCGACTTCATCATGCATCGAGAAAATTCTTCAACTTCGAAGCCTGGGGGCCTATGGAAACACGATAATTCTATCAGGGGTCGCTCCTGGTACGTTGTTCCCAATATGCGTAAATGGAAACACAGTGCTCATCCAATAATAGCTAGCACCATATAATCATATCAAAGCAGCTGCCAGTTTTCAAAGAGGGAAGGGGGGGCCTACAACCGTGCTTACCGCCATTCTTCTTCTGCGAATATATTGTAACACTGGCATCAACTCAACGTTGACTCTCGAGGATTTCGTCGAACAATCACAAACAGACGAAATCTCCAGCTTGAAGTTACAAGGTGGTGAGGCAGTCTGCATGGAGTCCGACATGGACGTGTCTTTATTCTCGACAAACTTCATGGCGAAAAAGAGGCACCTCTTAACGAGTCGACTGTGCCATGGTTGTATTTCTCGAACTTCGACACCGGTAGCTCACGGAAGCTCTTTATTTGGCCAGTTCGACTCTGATTATGAAGCGGCTGATACCGTGCAAAGCGAAGGGCAGAGTATTTCTACCGATAACTCCGTGGAAAATCCCCATACCAGTCCCATACCAGTCAAGCTCCATACCCATTGAAGCTTATGGCGTTGCTTGCTGATATTAAAGAGCATTATAGCGAAGAGAAGAGGTTCGATAATCTACCAAATGAAAGCACTTGCACCACTAACATTCCTATCAGCATCTTTTTTCCTACTGAAGACGTAGTCTAGACCTCGTGGGCCGTCTTTTTCATGAGGAAGGCATCGCATATTGCCGGGTAGACGGAACTATCGATTCAGCACAGCGCAAGAAGGTGCTTCGGCAATTTCATGAAGACATGTCAATACGCGTCCTCTTATTAACCCAAGGTACGGGCTCGGGAGGGTAAGACTTCCCCGATACCAGCCCCTCGCAATATCACGATTGACATCCGCCCTTAATTGGCAACCAGTTTGAACAATCTCTCGGTGGCAAGCCGGGTCCACATTCTCAAACCACAGTGGAATCCGTCAATCGAGTCTCAAGCTATTGGTCGCGTTGTACGTCTTGGCCAGAACAAAATAGTTTGTATTGTGCGATACATAGTTCAAGAAATAATTGAAGAGGGCAAGTTCAGGCCGTAGTCCGACGCTAGGTAGATTTAGAAAGCTTACGCGTTATTCTGCAGGCAGTCGAGACTCGACAACATATGAAAGTGCAGCTGGCATATAAAGGCGGTTTCCATTCTGTGGGCGACCTTGGATCTTCTGAACGGCAGAGGAAAGTTAACAAAGTTTATGAGTTGGCGAGATCGTTGAATTTACGGTAAGGAGGCCAAAGCGCTAGTATAGTGATAAAGTACCGTTTGACTTGCGATTTTCGGAAGCTCGGAATTCTTGTAGTGCAAGGACCCATAGACCTCTACGGTCCAATAGAGAATTGTACATCTGCAAATTACTAGCGACCATATCCGGTAGCTTCTAGATGTTTATGCAAGGCTTCCTTCACACGTATAGTAGAACTACATCACTGCACAAGTGCCAGTGTGTCCGGTGCTCAGTGCGATTTTCCGCAAGACAAACCAGGCCGTTAATCAACACCCGATAACATTATAGTACATATTGATTAGAGCTGCTTAGGTCGTAGCTAACGCTCATGATTTGATGATTCAACAGTGGGAAGCTTTGATGCCTGCGGATCTCTCATTTATTTAGATCATCTCTCGCTTTCTCACACTTAAATTTGCTTGCTTTCCTTCCCTATGCTTACTTATTTAGTTGAATTCTATGACTCTGGCTGACCGTTTTATACTTGAGCGTAACACGCGCACTCTGTTTTCATCTATCTATTTAATTTCTCTCGAGGTTTAATTCATCTGTATAACACTGCATCTATACATGTTTGTGTCCTCCTGTTCGTATACTCCTTACTTGTGCACAGGAAAACATTGTATTTAAGTGAGAGGAAGTCATGTTACTGAACCTAGTACAGGAATATTGATATTCCGTGCTTATTCCTGATATACAGTGTACTAGTGTCTCTTTGCACTAGTAAGTCATTGGTGGTACCGTGGTAAACTCAATGGCAGGTACCATGGACTGCTTGCTTAAAGTCGCCACCTCCACAAAGCGATGGTTTAATAGGACCAATGCGATCTCGCCTTGCCCAAACAAACAAAACTTAACAATAATTATTCCGCTCTATCCCCGAGCTATTTGATTGGGGGTCATAGAATAAGCGAAAAGATCATATGACTGACATCATCATGACCCTCCACTGTCCTCGTTGCTCATAAATTAGCGGAAGAGTCCCAGGATCTCCGCTTTTACATCCAAGTTAAATTTTACACACGATAACTACCTGCGAACCTCACAACCAAAATGTACCCAGCCTTGATCAAGCATCAAATTGTGAAGCCATCGGCATTTCACATAACCAGACTCGCAAGAGCCTCGGTCTCTAACAAAACTCATTCAAGTTCCAAGGGCAATGAAGAATGTATGCACCACCTAATAGCTTCCCCTCTATCATCAAGTCAAAGTAACTCATCAGTTCTGCGTCTAGTCTTCGTTACTACCACCTTTCCTGATGATTATGAATCGTCCCTTAACTCCGACATCTTACAGGAACAGAGTCGGGCTATGAAAAGCCAAACCACGCCTGACCATTTCAATGCTGTAAGTACTGCCTATGACAGAAGACTACCTCACTCTGCAAGACACTAATTAGCTAGGCCGATATCGAGCAACACAAAGCTGATATTTACGAGAGTATCGTCCCCCAGGATTCAAAAGCAGCTATGAAGAAAAAGAATAATCAGGATTTGCCAGAGCAAGAGCCCAGTTTGGATGAAATGTAAAATAATGTCAACTTCTGTATGTAGTGATTTATCATACTTGGACCAAAATGTGAAAAGTTTTGATTGACAAACTCAACTTGATCAGTGTCCATCGTCAGCGGAGCTGATGTCAAGGGTCCCGCTGCTAGTCCAGTTTGTATAGGGGAGGTTATGCGGTACGAGGATCATATCCCGTCAGGTTATTCGTGTATCCATTGGCGAACTTCTTCGAAGTGTCTTGGGATCCTCGGTCAACATTTCCAGCACCCTGCGGACGTGGTAGTGTGGGGATTTCGAAGGAAAGAAGCATCGCGGAACGGACCGAGTGTATGCACTCGGATAGAACTATGTGTTTCCATAGCGCCATTTCCGGTCCAGACCATACAACTCGCCATCCAATGCACCTATTCCATCTTCATACATAATTGCCATCATGGCCTTCGACTGCGGGGTAGTTGCGACAATACAATTCCATTTTTAGCCTCCAGCTGGGGCTGACTATCAGGTGACTGGGAGCCCCGCGCTTAGCGCCCTGGATAGAAAGGGACGATTCCTTTCCTTTTAGGTTGATAAATCTTTCTCTTCACCTTTCGGCAGAATGACGGATCCTCTCGGCGCTACCGCAAGCATCCTGGGCATCGTTACGCCTGCGTTGCAAATTTCTCGGCTTCTACTCGATGACTTGAAAGCCATCAAGGATGCACCGACCAACATCAAAACTCTGACCGGCGACATTGAGTCCCTGGACATGGCACTTACCTCTATCAAGAGCGTCGATGATAATGAATGGGACTCTCTTGGGCCCGCCGTCCTCCAAAACGCAAAAGCTACAATTACTTCCAGTGCCGATGCTTGCAAGAGATTCAACGCGGATGTTCAGCGGTGGACCAGCCGCTCCAAAGACGGCAGTTTGTCATGGATCGATCGATCCAATATTGGGATCTTCAAAAAGACACGGCTCGCGTCGATGAGTGGGGAAATTCATACTTGCCAGACCAAGATTACCTCTGTGATGGGCATCGCAACTTTGTACGATGGTCCCTTTTCCCTCGAATAAATTACAAATGCTTACACAGCAGATGATTTATAGCTTCAAGACCATCCATCAAGGTCAGATCACAGAAGAGATAAGACAGTCAATTATGACCAAGCAAGGAGAACTGTTCGCTGCTTCGCGGGAAGGGCAGACCGAAGTTGCGAGGCTGGAAGACCAGCTGAAAGCTTTGAGCATACTCAGCGACCCCGAAGATGAAGAATATCAAGAAACTCTAGGGCAGTTGAAAGAACACCAAAGGACACTCGAAGCTTCCCAGAAGCTGATTGAGGAGTTAGTGAAAAAGCTTCAGGAGTCTTCTAAACAACCAATCAAGGACGGAGATCATTCGATACATGTCACGTTTGGAGCCCAGAACAGTGGAATGCAGACGGGAGTCAACCACGGTGTAATCAATTTTACTGCGAAATGAGGAGCAAGTTTGAGTAGTGACTTTGTTTTATTTTGGGATTTTATAACTGGCAATTCGAAGCAACTTGTTCTGAGAGTATTTATCTAGTCGCGATTCTGATTTTGTCATTCTGGAAACTCTTGTGATGCATAGCTATGGGAGACATATTTTCTAGAAATTCCGTTTATCCAATTCCAATCAGTTCGATACAGAGTACCAAAAACTTAATAATCAGCGTGGACGCTAAGAATAGACCTTCGTCAGAGGGTTTGCCAAATTGCCAATCACAATAGGTATAGATGGGCATTAGGCAACCAAATGAGATCATCCTGTTCTTACTTTGATCAGCCTCGTTAGGCCCCACTCTCTATTTCTGCTTCGAGGATCTTCTTCAAAGACGCAATTCTCTATTGAATCCCTCTCCGCGAAAAAATTCTGCGATGGTCTCTCAAACGAGGAGGAAGGCGTTCTCGAGACGATCAAGAACCGGATGTCGAACATGTCGGTAAGTTCAGCATAATATAATATTTTTTGGCATACTTCAAGTAGCATTATGTTAACCCTTATCAGAACCAGACGCATAAAGTGTGATGAAACTCCAGGATTTTGTCGCAACTGCACAGCAGCAGGATGGAGATGTGAAGGATACGATGTAGTTCGGCTGGTGCTTCCAACGGGAAAGGGCCAGGAGCCAGTTACATCTCTAGCACTCTACCAGCCCATCCAAACTTACCCTGGAGAAATTCCAGAGGAGCGAAGAGGATTTACATTTTTTAAAACTGCAACCGTGCCCAATATGACTGGTTTTTTCGACTCATGCTTGTGGGAGGACTTGATTCTCCCCATGAGCCATTCCGAACCAGCAGTTATTCATGCCATCGTCGCACTCGCTGCATTGCATGAAGACCTTCAATCGCGAGGAGCCCCTCTTTCACGCGAAAATTTGGCAAACCGTCGCCAGAAGTTCGCACTTGGCCAATATGGTCGATCTTTGGCTGCCTTGAATGAACGGCGATACTCGCAAGATCCAAGACTACGTGATGTGATTGTCGCTTGCTGCTTATTATTTGTATCCATCGATGTACTGCGTGGTCAATATGACCCGGCTCTACTGCATCTCAAACATGGGCTTGCAGTTATTGAGGAAGGACTTCAACTTGCTGGCAGGGGATCTGGAGTTACCACTTGTCGTACGGCCGCTGAACAGACTCTCTTGGCAACTATGACACGCTTGGAAACTCAGTCTGTGTTCTTTGGATTACCTCCTCTAATCAACTCTACTTTCAGCGTTTCGATTAATGACTCGGGTGGGAATTGCTTCAAGACCCTTCGGGAAGCACAAGGGGCCCTCGATAAACTGTTGGCCAGCAGTGTTCGCCTGTTTATGGCTGTTTACCAATTCCCAGTGAAAGATCGGGTAGCCCAGTTGCATCCGAAGTTGGCAGATACACAGAGCGATCTAATGGCTCAATTACGCGAGTTTGGGCAACAGCTTAAGCGGTCCATTACTCACTCACTCCGTCTAGAAGGATTGAAAGAACGGCGAGGACTTGACTTGGTTCTCTTGCACCACATCACGTTCTCAATACTGGCGGAGACTTTGCTATATGGCGAGGATCAGTCCGCTTACAATAATCATCTGAGAAGCTTCCAACGAATGATGGCCTTGTCGACTGAAATTTCCCAAAGCTTTAAAGATGAGAACAATTCAGGCACAAGACCCACCTTACTTCTGGATATGGGTATTATCCCATCGTTGTTTGTGGTAAGCTGGAGATGCAGGGACTCAAATCTAAGACACCAAGCTTTGGATGCTCTTGAAGAATGGCCTCACCGAGAAGGCCTTTGGGATTCGCGTCTACTTGCTATATTCGCACGCCAAATCTTTCAGCTTGAAAAAGAGAACCAGGCCGCATCGGGTGATCCGAACTCTTGGTCACAGATACAGAGCCATTCTCTAGAGGTATCAGATGATCAGTCACACGCAATACTCAGATATCAGACTCATGTCCCAGGGAAAGAAGCGCTAAAACAAAGAAGGGTCATCCCACTTGATGAAGAAATTTGAGCTGTCATTTACTGTATCTACTACATAAAGCTCAATAATGGAGTCCCTTGAAATGGGAGTACATCAGGTTTGCAGGTTGTGTTCTCGGCAGGGACCTGGCCATCAAAATACCTCTTGACATTTTCCAGTAAGCATGAAGATGGGCTGGCAATGGCAGTGTGCTAAAGGGTCACCAGTTAGTATTCTATTTTAAATATCAATGAGTCAGCCACACTTACTCCAACCGAGGCTTGAACCAGTACTACGGAGCCAGGAAACACTGATGACATCTTGTATGCTCTGTAGTATAGTCAGTTTAGTTCAGACGAGTCGGGTGCCCAAAGTCCAACATACCCTCTTTTGGGAGCGACAGGGTCGATCTCGGGAGTGACGAAAATAATTGGAAATGCGGTTCTCTTTGCATCCAGTATCGAACCTAACTTATATCAGCAGTGCATCGAGCATGTACCTATTCAAAGCATTCCACATACCTGGCAGTCTTCCACTGCTAGGTGGAGTACCATTAAAAGACCTACACATGACAGTGCCCGCATTGTTGGGCCACACTTCCCCAAAGAAGGAACTTTGTGCAGTCAAATTATCGACATAATTTCGATACTGGCTCAAGTCCTCGAATTGATTCCCCGCGTACCCATCTATACACTTTATCAGTGTGTTGACATCAGTCGTCCCATTCTTCCCACTTCCGTCGTTACAAGGATTCGCAGGTAAATTACCGTCCGTTACTGCGCTCACGTACGCGGAAATGTTGCCTTGTTCCAATCCTGATAGAACGTCTGCCAATTCGGGAAACTGGGACAAAGGAGTGTACATAGCTGACAAAACGTACTCCTTCAAATCTGAATACGTTGCCATCAATGGAATTCCACAGCCCTGTGAGGTTGGAATAGGGATTGGGTGGTTTTTCAACCCGGCCAGGAGGAGGTCGAGGCGGCTGCTAATGTTCTTCGCGGATGGACCCCAGAATGAACAATTAGATGCTCCACCTCGATAGCAGTATTTGCAGAACGAATCTAGTGCTTTGCTCGTGTCATAAAGATTAGAGCTCCAACCTAGGTTGTAATAGTCTGAAGCATCCACCACACCGTCAAGTACCATCTTCCCCACATTATCGGGGTAAAGTGATGCGAAAGTGACCCCTAGCACCGTGCCATAGCTCACGGCAAGATACGAAATCTTAGCTTCTTCCACTGGCTTTTGAGCTAACACTTGCTCCGCCTTGATGTATGTGAACAAGTCGTGAGCTACAGCAGGTGTACTGAGAAATGACGCGCTTCCATTTGGTCCTCCGACACTCGATGTGCACGCATTACCAAAGATCTCGGCCGCATAGTACTGAGTGCTCAGCGATGTTGAAGAAGCGAAGGAGACGTCCGGATAAAAAAGCTTTTCGAACTGGGCTCTTTCTTCCGGGTGATGAGGCCAGCAGTCTATAACGGGACCACTTTCGCCAACGCCACGGGGATCAAAGCCGACGATATTATGCCGTGAGCCCAATGCTTCGGATAATGTTGGACCAGCTGTAAGGACTAACTCCACTCCCGAGCCTCCAGGACCTCCTATAATACTTGTGAGTGAACACTGTAAGCTCTCGATTTTCTTCGCCAGTATTCGCCATACCTTGGTTAATCAACACATTTTGAGTATATTCTGTGGTATTGGGAGCTGCGAATTTGACAAAGGCAATTGCTGTGGTTCCTCTTGAGGTATCGCCGTAGTCCAAAGGAACTTTAAGTCGCGTGCATGTGAAATTGTCGAAGCAAGGTATCCAATTTAGATCATGAGAAGGAGTGATCTGGGAATCACGTTAACGGGTGCAATTTGACAAGATATCGTTCCTTGGGTGCGACTCACAGATGTCCAGTCATATACCATTGCCTTAGCATCGTGAGAAGCTAAAGCCAGAGGCAGGGTTGCACAGAAGAGAAGTACTGTAATAGAGTTTTGTAAAAAACGATACATGGTAAATGCCATTATCGAAGCCAGTGAGAGATATCTCAGACTCGATGTGTTTGATTTACTTCGAGGGTGTCCTGTTGGGTTATTTATGCTGGTCTTTCGTAAGGCCCCCTTCCAATATGATAGCATAGTCTCAGCCACTTTTTCATGATGCAATATCAATCCTCCATAGCTCGCGTGTCTATCAGGAACTATACTTATTTTCTCCAAATATAGCCAGGTAGTCGTGAGTTGTCAATAGTGTGATTTGATTGGCCAGCTCGTCTAGCTATGATCCACCAGGAGCGAACAGCGAAGGTTAAGGTTGGATGCCTTACTACTGAAATGGCATTTTTACCTCAAATTGATGTGCTATTAGATCAATCGTCTGCTATGGAGGTTTTCTGGAGTCCTGGTGCCTGGTGGTGTACCAAGAATACTATAGATCTACCTCAGTAATCACTTTAGTAAAGCTATCCCATCATTCATGCGAGTACCTTCACCGAGATATATCTTTGCGAGCCATTGTATATTCAGACGACTCTAACCATCACCAGGTTTGTGACTTGGCTGCAGCTCGGTTACAAAAATTGAAAACTTGACACATTCCATGAAACACTAATATCTCAGGCCTTGGGCAAAGAAGGAGGAAGGAAGGAAAGACACGAACAATGTCCATTTGATGCCTGACGAATTAGGCACCGATATGGTGCATCCTCGCTATGTAAGCCGTCATATATAACTACTACCCCACACTATGTCACTAGATATTAGCTTCGGGGAGTCAGCTATAGGTAATTGCTCCATTACTAGTGTCGAATACCATGGTAGATTACATTATCGAGAAATGGTCAAGTTCATGTATGTGCATAACTGCCCCAAGATGTACAAATTCTGAGTCAGCATCACGTGTACCCCCCAGATCTGGGGCCTCGGTCCCTTGTCCCAACAGAAATGACGAACGATTGTGATCGTGACGAGTGTGATTGATGATCGGCCCGTTCGGCATGAGCTGAACACTTCTATGGGGAAACCATTTTGCCAGTCGCAATTCTATCCTTTGTAATATCCTTGCCTCTCCTTATCAACTTTACGCCGAGTCCGGGGCTCCCGATTTCTCTCCCCTGAACAAAAAGAACATCATCGTCGGGCAGGACTATATTTGCTTATCGCTTATCAACTCAGCTAAGCCCAGCTGAAAGCAACATCAACCAGCGATTGACTGTCCGGTCTGACAGACGACGAAATTACATTCCTTTGCTCCCGTTCCAATTTATCAGAATGTCGACCGTTCTGTCTACACTTCAAGCCGGGGGCCTTCGCGACCTACTGTCAACTGTGGGTTCGTTGGCGACGTGGAAAACCTTGGCCTTGATTCTGGCCATCGTCAACCTCAAGAACCTCCCATTCGTTTGGCATGTAAGTTCCAACACCCGCTATAGCATCCTTCCTAGTACCGCAGCTTCGTCCCTGGATGCTGTGTAACAGAGTTGACCGATCTTTCCAGTTCCGCCTGTTGTACCATTTCTTGGTCAACCTACGCTTGAAGCCTAGCGCTCCCTTCTTCCCCAAGGGCAAGGCTATCGTGGATGTGCAGGGCAATCCCACACATCCGGTCTTCGTGTCATGTGGGATCACGTCGCGGACTCCGCTGCTAGAGACGGACTATAACATGCACAAGTCCAACAGCACCTACTTTACAGACTTGGATGTGTCGCGTACAGCACTCGTGAGCCGACTGTATAGCCCCGGTGTCGGCCTCGTGAGCAAAGAACTCGATAAGGAGTTCTCGGAAGCTGCTAAGAAGGAAGGCAAGCGTGCACCCAAGCGCAAGCCGATCATCATCGTACTTGGATCTGTATACTGCAGCTTCAAGCGCGAGATCAAGCCCTTCGAGCTGTACGAGGTGCATTCCAAGGTCATCTCGTGGGATAAGAAGTGGATGTACATCCTATCTTCTTTCATGCGCCCGGCTAGCAGAGCCGGCGGCGAGAAGACATTGCTCGCTACAGCTCTGAGCAAGTATGTCGTGAAGAAAGGACGACTGACGGTTGCGCCGGAGCGCATTCTACGCTTGGGCGGATTCCTGCCCACGCCACCCGTCGGGGACCAGACCCTAAGCGTGGCAGACTCGTCAACAGAAGCCTCGGCGATTGGCACCCCTGCCAGTGGTGAAGGGATCACCGCTACTGGAGGCGTTGATGGTTCGCTCGTACGGGAGGTTCTGAAGTTGAACGATGATCAAATTCCCAGTCGCGAGGCTCTCGAGGAGCAGCAGAAGGCAAACTCAGACTCATGGAGCACCGATGAGTGGACATGGGAACACATCGAACAGGAGCGGTTACGAGGGCTGGCAGTTGTTGAGGGATACATCAACCTGGACGAGAAGCTAAATGGGGAGTGGGCCTGAGAATCAATAGACTTCGATCTTTCGGGATAGACCTTAATAAATAATGAAAATAACCTAATTTTCAGACACAATGGCTCGATTGCGATGGCCCACGGCGGTTTGCAGTTGGTTTTTGCATTTGAAAATTAATCTGTTCTATAAACCGTATAGGATCGCTGCAAGTGTTCACAGGCGTGGCCCTGCGGGATCTCTTCGAGAGCAAGGTTATCTAGCTCTCACAATCCGATAGACTCGACAGAACATAAGATCTCTTGCATGTAAACGAGTAAGAAAGACAACAAGTTGACTAACTCACAAATGTCCCATGGTTCATCAGTAAGCTCGAATCGCACCACCGTCAGCTCCGGCAGTATCCGAAGCTCCAGCGTAGGCCTACTGTATTAGATACAACTATCGTGACCGAAAGGATGGAAATTGCCATATATAGTTTGAGTCAATACCGTCATGTACGGTACGGAGGCTCCAAGAGATACACGTGACATCACCTGACCTTTGACCATCGGCGAAGCTCTCACCTTGTTCCGTCGCAACAGCAATCACAGTCGCAAGTCGCTCAAACTGGGATATTACCCTCTTCTTTCTTCCGCTCAAATCTTTCAACCTTCTTCGACAACTGCATACTCCAAAGTAAGTGATGATACTTCTTGTTTTGCGGGGTTCTGCCTTCTTCCTTCTCATACTACCCCCTTACCTTACACCAAGCCCGGACATCACATTTAGCCGTCAGAAGATCCGAGACCGGCTGAAGCAGAGAGAGAGAGTCCAGTCCCGTCACGGCTCCTATGGACACTCACCAACTTAAGCCCACTTTTTCTTGTCTGATCGGACGGCCCCCATCCCCTGCCACACTCGATTGTGATTAGTCCAATCACAATCCCATTCCTCACCCTGATTTCCTCCCTGCTCTTAGATTATCAGGCCATCGTGCACCCACTCCACCCTCGCCCCCCCAGCACCTGCATGGTTGGCCCACTCTTGGTGGTCTAACTGTTCACTTTCCTCTTTTTTCTATGGCTCCTGGCGCCTGGCGAACCTAGCCTAACACCTTGTGCTCATTATTGCGGTCTTATTGGAACGGTTATCGACTCGTCCATTCCTGGGAACTCTGCAACCGCTTCCTTGTCTTCTTGCCCCTGTTCCTCACCTCCTTCCTCGCAGGAGACTGGTCGCCATTTGATCCTTCTAATTGGCGCTTTGGACTAAACCTTTTGCTTTGGCCCTTCCGCCCCTAGGGAAAAAAGAGCCTCCGAGCAGACCTTATCGCGCGATCCTCCTCCATACCACCTACGTCGACTCCTATCGCAATCTTCACGACTCTCTCCCATCCCTGAGCAGCTGGAGAACCCTTCAATAGCCCACGCTCACACCTTTCTTTTACCTACTCCGGCTTGCCGATCCCTGTCGCCTTTCCCCGACCGCTGGGAACCACACCCTATCGCCGTCGATCAGCGGTCGCTTTATTCGACGACGGCACCCGAACCTTTGACCTCCCTTCCTTACATTGACGTTCCTTCCTACTTTTCATGATGGCGGAAACTCTGGATCCGCCCCGTCTGGAACTCCCAGGAGGTGGTAACATCGTCGAGTTCGAGCCTGTTTCTATCACACCACCTCAGAGCGCCAACGGGAAGAAGGATGCGCCTGAAGGGGTGCCCTCGGAGTTGTCAGACCTCGAGCTCGATCCCAAGGCCACCGCAGTGCCTGGCGAACCTACGATTAAGCGGGAGGAATCTGAAGAAGCAGAAGAGCTTATCGAAGATATTGAACCCGACCATTACTATGGTGGTGGAAAGATTCCAGTATTCAAGCCAGTTAGTACTCCTAACTTGCAGAGTTCTTTCCATCCATGAGAGTTGGATCACTCTAGCACATTCTTTCTAGGATAGTCTCACTAACACGCGACTTACCTTCTCAGACCATGGACCAATTCCGCGACTTCCAGTCTTTTATCAAGAAGATTGACAAGTATGGAATGCAAGCGGGTATCGTGAAAGTGGTTCCTCCAAAGGAATGGTGAGTGCTTGGAATAATTCAGGGTGATGTGGATGATTATGCTCATATCTTCCTTCTTTTGAAGGACCGAATCACTCCGCCCATTAGACGATGCAGTGAAGACAATCCGTGTCAAGAATCCTATCATGCAGGAGTTCCATGGATCCCACGGCACATACACCCAAGCCAACATTGAACGACAGCGCACATACAACTTGCCCCAGTGGAAGGGTCTGTGCGAAGAAAGTAGCCACCAACCGCCTGCTCGCCGAGGAGAGCGACGTCGAAACCAAGAACGTGTCAATCGAGCCGCCCCCACACCGCGACCTCAAGTTTCTCGTCCAGAGGGCCAAAAGCGTCGCCCTGGCCGACCTCCCAAGCGTGGAAATCAAGTCAAAGTCAAAGATGAGCCTACCGATGATGATGATGCAGAGAAATCCAGACCCGAAGGCCCTCCGACCCCTGTTTCACCCGAATCTCTTCCTGTTGAGCCCAAAAGCGAGGACTTGAGTGATGGCGAATCCCTTCCGGCCGCCAAACCTAAAGGGAGACAGCCAAAGTCTGTAACGGCACGTCGCAAGAATAACCGCGGCGAGACCGTTGACCACGTGGACGAGGAAGCGTTCAAGGAGTTTGATTATCGCATCCACGATAACGAGGATTACACGGCAGAGAGATGTGAGGAGCTGGAGACTGCCTACTGGAAGTCGCTCATGTTCAACAACCCGATGTACGGTGCCGATATGCCGGGCTCCCTCTTCGACAGCTCGACCACTTCGTGGAACGTGGCCAAATTGCCCAACTTGCTTGATGTCCTTGGACAAAAGGTCCCCGGTGTCAACACGGCGTATCTGTATTTGGGAATGTGGAAGGCCACGTTCGCGTGGCATTTGGAAGACGTCGATCTATACAGTATCAACTACATCCACTTTGGTGCCCCGAAGCAGTGGTACAGCATTTCACAAGATGATGCGCCCAAGTTTGAGGCAGCCATGCGCAGCATCTGGTCCAGCGATGCCAAGAATTGTGATCAATTCTTGCGCCACAAGACCTACTTGGTCTCTCCCAGCTTGCTGAAGTCTCAGTATGGTATCACCGTCAACCGACTCGTCCACTACGAAGGAGAGTTTGTTATTACCTTCCCATATGGCTATCACTCCGGCTACAACATTGGTTACAACTGTGCTGAATCTGTCAACTTTGCCACGGAGCGATGGCTGGACTATGGTCGTATCGCCAAGAAGTGCAACTGTGAAGCCGACAGCGTCTGGATTGACGTGGATGAAATCGAGCGCAAGCTCCGCGGCGAAGCCACCCCCGATTACTATGGGGATTACGACAGCGAGCTCGAAGGGTTCGACTGTGCTTCTGATATGCTCACGCCTCCACGCAGTGTGCCCGACAAGCCTTCCACCCGTGGGCGAAAGCGGAAGAATGCGGGTGACGGGCCGCGAACCAAACGACTTAAACTCCACCTCGAAGGCCCGCGGAAGATCCCATGTTTACTGTGCCCGAACAATCTCGATTATGAAGATCTGTTGCCAACCGAAGATGGCAAGGGCCATGCTCACCGCCGATGTGCATTATTCATTGAGGAGACGTCGATTCTCCGAGATGCATCCGGCAACGAGGTTGTGTGTGATATCGACAAGATTCCCAAGGCTCGCCTGGGATTGAAATGTCTCTTCTGCCGCGAGGTTCGTGGAGCTTGCTTCCAATGCAACTTTGGCAAATGCACCCGAGCCTATCATGCCACATGCGCACTGCTGGCCGGTGTTCAGGTTGAGCATGGTGCAATTGCTGTCATTGCCGACGATGGCCAACAGTATTCACTGCCGAGTGTGGACCTCAAATGCAAATTCCACCGACAAAAGCGACCCACGGGAGTCTTGGTTGAACCATCTGATCTAGATCGCCGGGTCATTGAAGCTGCCGGTCGTCTATCGCAGGGAGATTTGATTCAGTTCCAAGCCGACAAGGAGATTAATGGCGCCATTGTGTTAGAGAATCGTCCGGAAGAGCGGAGTCTCTTATTGAAGGTTCTGCCGCGAGGGTAAGTTCTTTTCTTTTCTTTTTTCTTTTTTTCTTTTTGTTGGGAGGGGGAGAAACCTCCCCCCACTACGGAGGGGTTTCAATTGCCCCGAATTTCCCGAACAATACCCACGCCCATCCAATTATTGCTCCTCCCCCCTGGTTTTGCCCCTCTCGCCTTGCAACCCAAAACGAATTACCCAATACTGATAATTGTCAACAGAGATGTCATCGAGATGCCTTACCGCTGGATGCTGGTGGTACGCAAGAGCAACTTCGTGCCCCTCGCACCGGGCATCCAACCCCTCCCGGCCCACTTAGCGCGCAAGGCCGACTCGAGAAAGGAATTGGAGGCTGCCGTTCCGGTCGCAGGCAGTGCATTTGGCGACAGTCGATCTCCCTATCAGTGGGCTGAATTTGAGACGGTGGATGGAGCTAGGAACCAATTCGCCCCACCAGTCCGGGTGAACCTGGACAAAGATGAGCAGGTGTGGCATTACTTGGGCACGCAGTCCACCGAGAGTAGGGCACAGTATACGCACAACCCTAGCGTGCCCGTCCACAACCCGCGGGCCAATTTCCTGGACAGCGTCAAGTCGCTTGGCGTGGCTGGTGGTGTCAATGCTCGTGCATCGAAGATCCCCCCCCACCGTCCATTCCATTATGCTGCCACCGCTCCTGCCCCTCCTTACCAGCAAAATCTTTACGCCCAACACCGACCGTCGCTGCTACAACAAAACCAACATCTCCTCCCGCCAACCTTGAACGCTGTCCACTTCGTTGCCCCTCACCTACAATCTTCCTCCTCCTCCTCCTCTCCCTCCTCGTCATCGCTCCGACCGCCCTCGTTCGCCGCCGCCGCCTCTCCCTCCGCCTCCTCTTCCTTGCAGCACCTTGCCCCTCCCCCTCCCCCTGCCCCTGCTGCTGCTACCGGTGCTGCTGCTGCTGGACCTGCGATGCCGTCGGCCTTTCGAACTTTGCCGAATTCATCTATCCGCCATGCCCCCTACCCCACGGTCACCAAGTCGCATGCTCAGCAGCAGCACCACCTCACTTCCACCAATACCTTTGCCAACGTTCGTGACCTCATCGCCCGTCGCCGCCTCGCCCAGATCACTGAACATGCCAATGTGTTCGCCGGGTACACGATCGTCAGCCCGGAATTGGTGGTAGAAACTCTGCTGGGTCCTATGGGATCGATTCCTCCGCTCAATGGCCTCGAAAAACTCGAGCTGGCCATGGCCCAGCAGCGGGTGCAGCCCCGGGCGGCCGATGGGACCTTGTTGCCGCCCCAAACTCTCAATATGCGGGCAGATGAGGTCGCTCGGCTTCTTCAGATGCTTCGATTCTCGTTGGTGAGCCACCGCGAGCGATTGGATGTCATCCAGAAGAAAGAGTCGGAGGGGGTCAAGCAAGATATTGTCGATCAAGGGAGTGTTGCCGCGGCGCGGATGCCCGGGAAATATGCCTTTTTGGATCAGCAACGAGCCAAGGCCCCCAATGTGTATCAGTCCCCGTATAATATGCCGTCTGGTCTTTCCGAATATGCAAAGACCACCTACGGGCTGATCCCATCGCCGGATGAGCCGCCCAAGTCGTCCCTGGCCAATGACTTTTTTGCCAGCCTCTCCCAGGCGGATAAGGAGAAGATCATGAGGACATGCGGGAGCTTTGTGCAACGTGCCATTGAGCGGTCGACCAGTCACAGTCGGCATAGTTCAACGGCGTCGAATTTGCGATTGTCATCGGCCCTTGCACAACAGACGGAGAATCCAACCATTGACATCACAACGGTGGACGATCCCCCACTCTCCGGTCTGGACCTGCCTCTGCATGCCGATTCCCCTTGCTCCAGTTTTGGTCGGTCGCATATGCGGTTTCCTTCGCCCAATGACTTCCCCACCCACGGACCAGATCCTCAACCCGATCACCACGATCTCTTTGGTGATCAACAGGCCAACACTCGGTTCTGGCAGAACGGGCCGTGGGTCGCTGGCGACGGCAACACTCCAAACGAAGAGAATCGGCCCTTCTTCGGGCCACATCTCTTTGGACCTCATGAGCGACTCAAGCACGACTATGCATCCTCTGATATCTCCTTGGGCAAAGGGCCCGGCTCTCTACATTCGGTCGATATGGCCGGATTTGGACCCGATGTGGCCGACGATCTCCTCACGGGAGGACTCAGTCCATGAACTATGGGATCGACCTTGATTTTCTCGATTTCTTGATCTTGCCGAGTCCTTCCTCCTCGACCCTTGTACCTTCCCATTGTCCACCATCTCTTCTCGCGCTTTGCCTTCCCTGCGACTGTACTGCATCTACCTCATGTAACGACTTCACCGGACTGACGACTGCATGAATGGGCGTTTTCTTCTGCTCTTCTCCCACCCCCATTTTCGTTCCTGACCTCGATTCACGATCGTTCCGCACGACACGGGTCATGTTTCTTATGATTTATTCCATCTTTGTTTTCTGGAGTTTGATACTAGCTGGCTGGTTATGACTCAGCGTTTGATTATTGTTTTGATTTTCTTTCCCCCCTCCTGTCCCCCTCCTCTCTCCCTGGACACGGATTCCCGTTCGGAATGCTGCTCTGGTTGATTCTATCCACCAGACTGGCTGTATAGACTTGGAATCCGTTGACCCTCAAAAAATCACCCCATCCGCCCCCTTTCTCTTGACCCCGACTTGTCCTCCTTTCACACATCTTTGCCGCTTCGCCTCCCCAATTACTTCCCCCCGTTCTCCCCCCGATTCGCTCCCAACTGTTCGATATTTCAGGGCCTACTTCCGCCCGCCGACTCCGATGATCGATCTAGATCTCCTTTTCAGATCTCCCTCTAGATCCGTCTCCCCCCATGTCCGACTAGATACTCAAACAAGAAAAAAATTTCTCCCCCAAACCCACCGGACGTCCATATCTGTGCACCCACCATTTTCCATGTTTGATACCCCCCCTTTTTTCGCACCCTCTGCACTGGGGATGCCGACCGTGTGGCATCGTGGATTCTGTGGTCCACGTTTTGTTATCTGGATTGCCCGGTCTCTTCCCTTTTTGCTCCCCCTTTTTTTTCCTGTTCTGAGTGATGATTATCTTGGCGCTCATCGATGGCCCCGTGCGCTCTCCGGGGCGGCCATCTTATTCCGATGTGGCAGCCGTCACCCTCTGGGTGACCTTTTTTTCAATGATAGTGGAAATCACAAAAATGATATTCAAGTACACGAAATTTGTGGGTATAGCCCAGATAGCGTAGGCGCTAGGAAGATACAAGTGACTTAAATTATAAGTAAGGCGATAAGCAAGACCGAACAATCCACTTTGGGTGGGCCAAGTTTCATAAGGAGACCGGGGCGCACGCGACCAACCCGGAAACTTGGAAAGATAGCGTCGCTGCTTATCTGGGCCATGACTAACAACCATAATATGGATGAGTTTGTAGTAACATATAGTGTATAGTATGTACTATGTAGTACTTGAAAACAATACTCCGAGATGATTATGGCTAGAACATCACCAGCGTATACCTAATCAGTCTAACCGCTCTGAGTCTCCTGCCCGCTCCTATCGGCCTAAAGGACCCAGAATTCCGTCCGAACGTTGGACCCTGATAAGCCGTGTCTCGGACTGGGGCCTGGTATTTCCATGGTCCTTTATGCCTATTGGGAGAACCTTTCCACCCTCCGAGAAGCCAAAAAACCCAAATGCCAACAAACCCAATCCCTCGTCGACGCCCCAGCGCGCTCTCGCGGTCTCGGACCGCGATGCTTCCCCCGTTTATCACGTTTATCATGTCTATCATGCGGGGTTGCCGCCTCGTGGCTCATCTAGTTGATCCGTAGTTACTTTGTTCCTATCAAAGTGTGGCTCCAGCCTGCTTTCTTTTAAATAAATTCAAGCTTCTTCCTGATCTTTCCCCAGACTCTCCATTTTCCTGAGAACCCCACTCAAACCAAATCCTGTCACCCTTTGAGTGAAACCCTACTCCATCTTCTCCTGCCCTAGTGCCCTTAGTGCCTACTACTTCTGTCCTTCTGTTTTCTATTTCCTACTTCCTACATACCCCTAATACATAACCCTTCCTTCTCGACTGCCGTCTAATCCTCACCCCCACCATGCGGCAACACTCCGTCGACGCCTCCGCCGACGAGGCGTTGGCCCGCATGGGCTACAAGAGCGAGCTACCTCGTAACTTGTCCATGCTGAGTATCCTGGGTCTATCCTTTGCTATTATGGCCGCGCCATACGGCCTCAGCACCACCCTCTACATCACACTGGACGACGGCCTCTCCGTCACCATCATCTGGGGCTGGGTCTTCGTCACTCTCATCTCGATCGCCATCGCGGCCTCCCTCGCCGAGATTTGCGCCGTCTACCCCACCGCCGGTGGAGTATACTACTGGAGCGCAATGCTCTCCACCCGTCGCTGGGCACCGCTCATGTCCTTTATCGACGGCTGGTTGACACTCGTGGGCAACTGGACGGTCACACTGAGTATTATCTTCGGTGGTGGACAGCTTATCCTCAGCGCGATCCAACTGTGGAAGGAGGACTTTGTCGCGAATGCGTGGCAGACGGTACTCATGTTTTGGGCCGTGATGCTGGTCTGCACGCTCGTCAATATCTTTGGGTCGCGCTATTTAGACCTGATTAATAAGATTTGTATCTTTTGGACTGCTGCGAGCGTCATTATTATTTTGATCGTGCTGCTTACTATGGCGGATCACTTGAACTCGGGCGAGTTTGTCTTCGCCGAGTATGATTCCTCGCAGAGTGGATGGCCTGCTGGCTGGGCCTTTTTCGTTGGCTTGCTGCAGGCAGCGTATACGCTGACGGGATACGGTATGGTCGCGTCGATGTGTGAGGAAGTCCAGAACCCGCATCGCGAGGTCCCCAAGGCTATCGTGCTGTCCGTCGTTGCGGCTGGAGTCACGGGTCTGTTGTATCTGATTCCCGTGCTGTTCTCGATGCCCAATGTCGAAGTGCTGCGCCAGGTGGCGAGTGGACAGCCGATTGGAACGCTGTTCAAGGAAGTAACCGGCTCCGCTGGCGGTGGCTTTGGTCTGCTCTTCCTGATTCTGGGAATTATGTTGTTCGCGGGTATTGGCTCGTTGACCGCTGCCAGTCGCTGCACGTATGCCTTTGCGCGCGATGGAGCCATTCCAGGATTCCACCTGTGGCGTCGCGTTAACAAGAAGCTGGACGTGCCCGTGTGGGCGATCATCCTCTCCGCAGTGGTAGATTGCCTGTTGGGATTGATCTACTTTGGCTCCACGGCTGCCTTCAACTCTTTCACGGGTGTGGCCACGATTTGTCTGTCGACCTCGTACGGATTGCCCATTCTGATCTCGATGATCCGCAGCCGTGAGGATGTCAAGCGCTCCACCTTCTCTCTTGGTCCATTTGGATGGATCATCAATGCCATCACCGTCCTGTGGATCGTGCTGGCCGTCGTGCTCTTCTGCATGCCTTACACGTTGCCCGTTGATGCGTCCGGGATGAACTACGCGAGCGTGGTCTTTGCCGGGTTTGCTGCTATTAGTATCGTCTGGTACTTTGTGTATGCGCGCAAGCACTTTACCGGTCCTCCGGTCTCGAAGGAAGAAGTGATCGCAGCCACGGGAGTTATGACGGGCTCTGCAGTGGATACGGAGAATGCTATACTCGAAGTCAAGAAGATGCCCAGTAATTAAGTAGGAATCCACCGGAATGTGGAGTCTGGGGGATTTTCTTCTCTTTGGTCTTGTGTACATTAGCTTATGCCTTGGAAATATGACAATTCATTTTATAATTCATTCTTTCGTTTAGTTAAACTGTAGAATAATCCAATCATCTGCATACTCAAGTCTCTGGTTATTTGTCTAGTTGACCGTTGGGGCGGGAATCACAAGTGCCCTGACGATCTTCTTTCCGACAGCCGCGGTCCAACGCCCTCCCCCAAAGTTCAAACACGCCACCTGCTCGGCCTGTTCTCGAGGCACGAGACGCCTCTGACACGCTTCATTTCGACCTCTAGATGAACATTCCGTCGCATCTAGTAAATATACTGCCATTTCGAGTCCGGCAAGAGTCGCAAACGTGATCGGGAAAGCATTGCCCTTTTCCGAAGCGACTAAAAAGGAAGGACTACCAGAAGAAGGGGAAACAGGAACTAAAAAACCTCAAGGGCACCATCCAATTTCCCCCAGTCGAAAACGCCCCGGCCACTCAAAAGACTAGCTTCATCCACCCCCCTTTTGTCCCATTCCATTCCGATCATCGACACACGCCGTCTTCCTCTCTCCTACTCCTTCGCCGCGCGCTCCATGAGGCTCGTCCACGCCAGCCGATGCCCGACCCCGCTCCCATGAAGACAGGGCAGACTACCGGACCGCTTCTTCTCGCATCAGCATGTCGGATTCAGTAGGTGCGTGATTATCTGGATTTCATACTCCCCTTGGTTTCGTGGTTGCGCTGGTATTGACGTTCGTTTCGGGGTAGATCGCGTCTTCGTCCATGCCTTGAATACCGTGAAGAGGATTCCCCGGACGGGAACCGCGCGCCCGCCGGCTGCGGAGCGTTTGAAGCTATATGGCTTATATAAACAGAGTATGGGTGAGTGAATCTTGCGGGCCTGCTTTGGATACACGTATCGAGGGCGGATTGGCTTATAATCTCTGGTAGAGGGGGATGTTGAGGGCGTGATGGATCGCCCGATAGGGAATACCCCGGAGGTACACGCGGAGTGCGAGAAGTGGTATGTCGTTTTATGGGAATGGATAAACCACCCAGCCAGATCCTTAAATGATCATTCCTGTCTCTAATTTGGATGTTTGACTAACAAATCCCCGCTCTTCTCGCCGATAGGGATGCCTGGTACGCTCAGCGCGGGCTTACGCGCACCGAAGCCAAACGCCGCTACATCGGCACCCTTATCGACACCATGCATCGCTACGCCTCACAAACCCCGGAAGCACGCGAACTCGTATCAGAACTCGAGTTCGTTTGGGACCAGATTAAATACAACGCCTCCTCCTCATCCTCCTCCGGTCCACTCAACGCCGTCGGCGTTCCACCTTTATCACATCACCAAAACAGCGCATACGGCAGTATAGGCGGACGTCTCGCCCAATCACCTACAGAACAATATGAAAGGCCAGACATGCGGACAGACGATGCCCGCGACTCACGCCTACGCGTGCTCAGTCCCGTCAGCCAACCCGAAGAAGAAGAGTACTATCGCCGACGACGAGCCGCAAATGACCTCGACGAAGACGTAGAAGACGACGACGAAGATGAAGAATACGAAGAAGCCCGCGACAGTCTATACGAACCCCCAGACAACGCATCCACAAATACAGATACACATACACACACCGGCACGGACCGCACCGGCTCCCACGGCGACGACCGCCGCGCTCGCTCCCGCTCTCACAATCAAAACCACGCCAGACACAAATCCACCTCCGGAGTCAGCGATGGCACAAGCCTAACCGGTCCGGACTCGCAAGACCCGTCTAACCCACGTAATAGCCGCTGGCGCCGCCGCGTCGAACAAGCTCTCACCAAAATGACGGCTGAAATAGCCGCTGTCCGCGAGCAGATGGAGGCGCGGACGTTGGCGCATCGTCGTCGGTCTGGGGTGTGGGCTTGGCTGAAGTGGATGCTTTGGGCTGTCGTGCGCCAGATTATTTGGGATGTGGCGTTGTTGGGTGTGTTGTTGATTTGGATGCGGATGCGTGGGGATCGGAGGCTTGAGACGAAGTTGAAGGAGGGTTGGTCTGGTGTCAAGGCACGGCTGGGGCGGGTTAAACTTCTTCGCCGTGTGCCTGTGATGCCCTAGGTTTGTGGTTTGTATTACCCTCCACTGTTACCTGATCCAGACTACGTTGTTGTCCCCCCGACGTGGTGATATTGGGTCAGCACGATGGAACTGGTTGGTGGTTGGCTGTTTTGCATATTTTCATGAGTTCTTATTACCCCCCCCTCGTTTACCATTTGAGGAGTTCTTGTTGCACATGTTACTTATTGTGTTTTTTTCTTTTGTTCTGTACATATGGGTTTGAATTCGAGGTTCTGGTGTTTTTCCTTTTTCGATTTGTTTTGGTCTTCTTGGTCTTGTCTTGATATGGGGTTGTATGTAATTGGTCTGTGAGATCTATAGACTTGGTAGAGGGGTCGAATTAGAAGATAGCCTTATAGAGACAATTTGATATTGCTCAGATCCATAACGTTCTGTTCTATACGATGACGCTCTAATATTCACGCCCAGGGTCTTTAGGTAGTTTGCGCCGCTATGTCTTGGCTTATGGCCTGGCGGTGATGTTTACCGGGAAAGATGGCGCGACAGTGAGTATACAGCTGGGTCCAGTTAAGCAGAGAAATGTCAGCTAGCAACCAAGCATGAGGATCGAGTTGGACAGACCATCCCTGTTCAGCCAGTCCTGGGACCAGTATCAGTAGCTCGCATCTCGTTAGAGGGGTCTAATCCAGAGAACATAGGTCGTCTCGAGAACCCAAGCTATGAGCAACTTCAGCTGAAGTTTGAGAAGGAAGATACCAACTGCTTCGCAGTTTGCGAGAGAGACCACATTTCAAGCGGAAATCATAACCATTCCTGATGCCAATAGATATTTACACAAAACATACACCGGACGAGACAGACAGAGTAGATGAAACACAAGGACCGCTTGCGCATCTAGTTTAGAACAAACAGATAAGGAAAAAGAGAAGAAGAAGCCGGAGCCCTGGACGGCAGTATAGTAAGGCGGGCGAGTTAAATCGGGTGTTTATGAAGGAGGATTGAACCGGGAGAAGATTATATCATCTCGGCTCTTTTTAGTACTGCGGTCCGGGGTACTGGGCGTACTTCTGTTTGGGACGCAGGTGGACGGGGACCTGGTTCTCGGGGGCGCCGGGAATGGTCTTCTTCAGGCCCTGTAGGGATTGAAGAGAGGATGTTAGTTTTGGACAGTTGGATATGCGTAATGCATGTGTTGCATGCCAGCCTCAGTTGCACGTTGTATAGACTGGGGATGGAATTCATACCAGCTTGTCGAAGATGCAGTTGTTCAAGGACATCTCAGCCTTGCGGCACTCGAAGAGGTAGTGGTTGTTGTTCTCGAGGCAGTCGGCATGGGCCTTGAACTGGTCCAGGCAGTGGGTGTTAATGTCCTTGATACTGTTCCGAGATCAGTCAGCCGCCCTGCCCATTCCCCTCCAAGTCCCAGAATCGGCCGGTCCAATTCCTTTCCCAATCCACGCCGGGGAGAAATACATACACGCTAGCAGCGCAGCGCGTCACCTTGCGCCCCTCCTTCAAGCACTCGAACTCTCCGCGGCCATTAGCCTCGTCCTTGCACTTCATGTAATCGTCGTTGAAAGCCTTGCAGCGGTCGCCAATGAAGTACGCCGCACTAGTCAGGAATGCCGAAGTAGCGCCAATCTCCTCCACCTTGGGGATGTGGTCCGGCATGGGGGTGGTGTCCACGAGGACATGCTGGTTGAACCTGTTGGCCGAGGGATATCGCGGTTAGTCTTGGTTCTGGTGCGGCGGGACAGCATGGAAGGGGTAATTGGAGGAGGAGAGAAGCATACTGAGGGTCTCGCTGAGCCATTGTGTCGGTGGCTGGTCTGAATAAGGGTGGATGGGAGGTTAATTGACGAGGGCAGTGGACTTCGTGAAGCTGCGGGTTGCGGTGGAATTGAAAGGTCGGTTTCTTTGGGGACACGCTGATTGGTGGAGCGGGGATGCTGAGGTAATCACGTTGCTTGGAGGAAGTGTATGAGCGTAGCCTGTTGACTGGCAATTGGCAAAGATATAGGCAAAAATTCTTGTCATTAGGCAGAACAGGGTCTTCAGTGTAGCCTCAAGTCTAAGAAATTATTTAGCTCCCTTGATCCCCTACTTTTTCTCCAAAGTTTCCTCAAACGTGGTCCTTCACAACCTTTCCGGCGAATGTCAATATCACGTGACCTAAACAAAGCACAGCTCCGACGGTTGAGGTTCTCTTCTTCGCGAAGCTCTCCAGCGCTCATCAGCTCATCTGCCCTACCACCTCACTCTCCAATTGCTGGGGAATGCGATCTTGAGTTTTTCTTGATCTGCAATTGATTTGTCCGATATAACGCGACAGGCTTCGCTAATCTCGGTACTCCCAATTCAAGAATTGGACCTGCTTTTTTTTGCGACCTATCCTCGCACCTCATCAAGGATATTCCACCATGTCTCTCTTCAGCAATACTGCGACCCCCAGCCCCTTCGGCGCCCCGGCTAACAAGCCTAGCGCTTTCGGCGGTGGTCTTGGCTCCAGTACGACTACAGGAACCACATCAGGATTGTTCGGCGGTGCAACTCAGACTCAACAACAAACTACCACGGCACCCGGCCTTTTCGGCACGCCTGCGACATCCCAGACACCTAACTTGTTTGGCACGAGTACTGCGCAGAAACCAGCTGCCACAACCTTCGGTGCCACCACGCAACAGCAACAGCCCAGCCTGTTTTCCTCGACTACCGCACAGAAGCCAGCTACGAGCATGTTCGGTACCAATGCGCCGCAGCAACAAACGCAACAACCTGCAGGTGGACTCTTTGGAACGGCTTTCGGTGCCTCTGCCCAGCAGGCCCCGCAGCAGCAGCAACAACAGCAGCCACAGCAGTCGCAGTTCGGACAAACGACTATGGTTCAGCCACCAGGTCAGCCGCAGGAACAATCCCTATCAACAAGCCTGTGGTCTCCCGGTCGCGCCATTACTGGAGGTAAATAAACTCTTGGTTACACTTCAACTTTTACTACATACTAACTCGATTTATCATGATCAAAGTACACCGAACCGTCCCGATGCAAATCGCCATCGTCAAGGATAAATGGGATGCGCAAATTCGATCGTCTCCCTTCCGCGCCTATCTCTATAACCACGTTGGCGACGAAAACGCACCATTCTTCCAGCCCGGCTTCGAAGACGACGAGACGAAATGGGAGGAGGCCTTGCGGCAGCGCCCTGGGTCGGGTTATGTGCCCGTACTCATCAAGGGCTTCATTGACCTGGGCAAGCGTGCCCAGCGCCAGAAAGACTTCCTCGCCATGTTGCAGACACGCCTTCACGAAATCAACAACTGCTTGACCGACCTACTTTCACGACACGATCTGAAGATCTCCGTCAAGGTTGCGGATGCTCGCCGAAAGCACATTGTTCTGAGCAAGCGGTGCCTAGCCCTGGCGGCTAAGACGCAAATGCTGCGTAACCGCGGTTACGCTATGGACGACGCTGAGGAAGAGCTTAAGAAGAAATTGGTCCAGCTGGAGCGGTCTGTCTTCGATCCTTCTCTGACTGGTCGCGGCGAGGAGATCTGGGCTCGTATGCTAGCCATTCAAGAACACTCGAAGCGTCTGCAGGCTGAGATGGACCGTGCTGGTGCCAACGTGACGAATAATGCGGAGGATGAGATTGACGAGCACACTATGAAGACCGCCAAGAAGGTACGTTCTCATCCCAATCATTTCATCTTTAATTCGGACACTAATTCGCTATATTTACAGATCCTTGATGACTACCATGCTCAAATTCAGCACTTGCAGAAGGAGATGGAGGTGGTAAAGAAGGACTTTGAGGAGACGCAGAAGCTGCTTGGAAAATAGGTCAGCTTTTGCTTATGAGCCTGGATTCTCTTCGATCCTTGCCATCTGTATCTCTTCACATTCTGGAGGACTTGAATGATCATTGGGCATGGGAGCACCGGCGTTCTTGGGACGATCACATGTAATGCATAGTCAAATACAATTTTCCAAACCTGATGGACACTGCTTCTCTGTTTTGTCTGATACTATCTACGTCCTTGACAACGTAGGGCCTCTACTGAGGTTAGAGTAAAGCTGAGTCTACCTCCTTAAGGTCTGTTGGTTGATTTCAAGTGGCATCTTGCCATAGTCCAATTTTCCGTTACTCTATCCTCAAAAATAAAACCGAGATGAAAACCGGCATGTACAATCCATAATAATACAACATTTAGGCTAGATCTCGTGATATGCAGCTGGATCTCCGGAATCCCTCGAAATTGTTCTAGGTTATTCCCAGCTCAGCTGATAGATCTCCCGAGCCCAAATTTAAGAAATTTCCACATATCCCAATGCCTGAAAATGCACTCAAACATGGTAAAGGAGGTTTGGTTTGAGGATCATGGCGCAATGGAGGCAAGAGATAGGTGGAAGGGCGCAGCGATACGCTTAGAGGAACTTGCGGGCGAAGTCGATGGCGAAGGGGGCTAGTATGCGTCAGAACCGGTGATCAAGGACATGAGGATAGGATTGTAATTTGAAGGCCAGGTTGGGAGTGGCGCGATTGTGAGAATTGACTTACACAGGTAGAGGAGGATGCCGCCGAAGACAGCCATCTGGACGGTCTGGCTAGCCTCGATCTCACCGGCCTGGACAGAAGTCAGTGTTGATCCAAATGATATGTTTGTTCGAGAGGTAGTTCATACGCGGATCTCCTCCTTGGAAAGCTGTTCTTGGCCTAGACGTGAAGGATGGATGGTTAGATAAATGCGGTTTTGAGGTTTGATCTGGAGGTATGATGGCGGATGACATGTGTTGGAGTGAGTGTAAGAGTGGAAGCACATACCTGGGGCGAACATTTTGAGATATTAGAAGAATATTTGAGATGTTATTGTAGAGTGGAAGAAGAGGGAATGAAGTAATGTGAAGAACCCGCGGAAGTCGGGCGGACTTGGGGAAGAAAGAAATCACGGGAGCACAGACCAACCACTCCTTCTCTGATGCCCGCCTCGACCTTTTGCCTCTGCCTCTTTCTCTCTCCTTAACGTTCCTTATCCTTTTACAACTTCCTAAAGCTCTATCTGAGAATCCTTCGAGAGCTCTTGTTCATACCCATACAAGATTTTCATTGTCACTTGCCACCTGTGATTCACCTTTCGGATAGGTCTCGGAGACTACGCTGATAACCACCGCGTCTACTAACGGACGCTCAGCACTGGTTGGCTCTCTCCTCCGAATCTCGCTATAGAACACTCTCTGTCCATAATTTCCTGGCCTCCACTCCCTTTTACCGCATCACCTCCATCAAAATATGTCTGCTTCGCCCGAACACCAGGCTGGCTCAGCCGCCGCCTCCCCCGAGCCCGAAAAAGTCGCAACCCCAATTGCTGGCGATGACAACGAGACCGAGCAGCCTGCTGAGGTTGAGGATAATGACGATGCGCTCGAAGATCAGGACAACGATGATGATAACGAAGGTGGCATCTCCGACGACGAATCGATTCTATCCGAGGTCGATGAGGCGCAGTTTGAGGACTTCAACCCTGAGAATGTCGATGTCGAGGACCGTCCCCAGCTGGCGATTGATGAGGAGAACCTGAAGCTTATCGGTCGCCACAAGCGCAAGCGTACTGATGATGGAGAGGGCCGCTCGCGCCGCAAGGAGGGCCGTCGTGAGAAGAAGAGCCGCCGCGCGCAAGAGGAGGAGGATGCCGAAGACGGTTCCTCTCGTCGCAGGGAGCGCAAGAAGAAGGAGGCCTCGCCTGACACGGATGAGGAGACTCTTGACCCCGAGACTCGTGAGTATTATTGCCGGCATTGAAGAGAACAAATGCGTTCAGTTAGGGCTGACAGATTGGGATATTCTAGGTCGTCGCCGTGCTCTCGATCGTGCTATGGATGAGGCCATCCGCAAGCCTGGAAAGAGGAGATCTCGCAAGCAGGATGGAATTGTACGAAATACTGGTGGACCAATGTCTTATGCGCTCGCTAACAGTTTCAATAGGATCTTGAAGCTATGGCCGATGCTGAAATCGAAGATATGCGAAAGCGCATGACCCACGCCGCGCAGATGGATGCCATTAATCGTCAAGAGGGCAAGCCCGCTATGCATAAGCTCAAGCTCCTCCCCGAGGTTATTATGCTCCTCAACCGGAACCAGTACATCAACAGCTTGGTTGACCCCGAGATCAACCTTCTCGAGGCCGTTCGATTCTTCTTGGAGCCATTGGACGATGGCTCCATGCCTGCATACAATATCCAGCGTGACCTGTTGACTGCACTCACCAAATTGCCGATCCAGAAAGATGCTTTGATTGCCAGCGGAATTGGCAAGGTCGTTGTTTTCTATACCAAAAGCAAGCGCACTGAGCGACGCATCAAGGACATGGCCGAGAAGCTGCTGGCCGAGTGGACACGACCAATTCTCCAGCGCAGTGACGATTATTCGAAGCGTGTCTTCCAGCAGGCCGACTTTGATCCTACGTGAGTTTTGATGAACTTTGCCTCTGTCCGATATTCAATCCCATTTACTGATGATTCTTCTAGCAAAATCATCAAGCGCACCCAGACTCCCGCTGAGGTGGTGGCTGCCGAAGCTCGTGCACGCGAGAAGCTGCCTCCTCGTCTTGCCAACCGTGCCCGTGTTGACCGTACCAATGTGACCTATACCATCGTGCCTCGACAGACTGCAGTGCAAGAGAGCAAGTTTGCGCGACCACTGGGTAGCAGCGGCGAGGATCGATTCCGCAAGATGCAAGCCCGCAACAATGCTGCGCAGAAGGGGTCTCGTCGGTAAAATCGGATGGTTCTTCATGTCGCGATAATTTTTTCTCTTCTTCTCTGTTTCTCCTCGGGGTCTGCTACCGTCATCTGACGACTCCCAAATTTTTTCTGACATGGTGCGTCTGGCGTTCGGGATGGATCGGGAACTTCTACATTCTGAGCTTAGGGGCATGTAACATCGCGCCCGGTAGTTTATTTGCGCAACAAGTGATTCAACATATCTAATCGACCTAGACTCGTTAGATGTAGATATAGTAAGGACCAGTCAGAGAGTAGTAGATTACCAGCTTATCCTTTAATCGACGTCATCAGCATATATTTTCTGCGATGAAAATGTGTAGGGCGAGCGAGATCCGAGCTTCGTCCGAAGTTCAGCCGGCCGACAGAACGCCGATGCAGCAGATCCCGCGTGGTCACGTCATGCTTTTCGGTTTCTCGGTCTTTGCTTTCCTGCAACACCTTTAAGAGAACTCCAATTCCTCTCCAATTTTCCCCTCATCCCATTTTCAATCAACACACACACATCCATACATCCACTATGAAGTTGCTCACTAAGGAAGAAGAAGATGCCCACTACCGGTATGTTGATCCCCTCGGATCCCGGGCCTGCCTTCAATCTTTTCCACATCATGCCATACTAATACCAGCGCTTTTCCAACAGCTCCGTCGTCAAGGGCGGCTCCTTTGGTGGCATCCTCGGTCTTGCCGGCGGTGCCGCGGGCGTTATGCTCGCTGCGCGACGATACCACACAATTCGCAACCTGACCCTCCCCATGAAAGCCTTCTTGGTGACCTCATCCGGTACCTTCGTCGGTATCATCGCCGCCGACCACGCCTCCCGAGATTTCGAGAAGCAGCAAAACGCCGCCAAGATGTGGTACGAGAACCGCGAGGACCGTCTGCACGCCGAAGAGCTCCGCGGTCTGAGCTTCACCGACCGCGCTGTCGCCTTCGCCCGCCGCGAGAAGTACAAGATCGTCGGCGCTACCTGGATCGCCTCCATGATCGGCTCTTTCGTCCTAGTCGGTCGCAACCCGTATCTGTCTGGTCAGCAGAAGATTGTTCAGGCTCGTGTGTATGCTCAGGGTCTGACTTTGGCCGTGCTGTGCGCTTCTGCTGCGTTCGAGATCTCGGATCAGCGTCGGGGTCGGGGTCTACTTGATGCTGCTAAGAAGGATAAGAAGCAGCAGCTTGAGGATGCGACCGAGCCTGCTCCTGTACATGCCGGTAACAAGGATCAGGTTGATCTCTGGAAGGAGATGGTTGCTGCGGAGGAGCAGCGTCTTAAGTCCAAGCACCAGTCCCTGCATGTGAAGCACGAGGACCACCACGCGGTCGCTCAGGCAAAGGAGGAAGCTTCCGAGTCTGCCTCCGAGGACTCCAAGACTGAAGAGAAGTCCGAGTCCGAGTCCGAGTCTGAATCCAAGGAGGAGCCCAAGGCCGAGGACAAGAAGCAGGCTTAAATTTTGCCTTGCATGACAACAACCCGTCTACCTTCCCTCCCTTCTCATGTTGGCTCTGCCACACCATTTCTTTTCAACATGGCTACTTTCTAGCCTAATGTTGGCATTTGAATGACCCCCGTTCATTCTCCCACCCCAGAGCCTATTAAGGCTTTATGAACCACAATAGACTGAGAGACAGGACTGGGGTATCTTCCAAGAGGCTGGACCATTTTGGCTTCCCTTTTTGTCCATCCCTCGTACATATTTTCTGCATTTCTTCTCACCGGTGTTTTATTCTCTTTTTTCATAATGTCTCAAAATGGCTCGTGCGAGCTAAAAGTCTTCCCGGTAAAATCGTGTATGATACTTTACAAGGCGGATTTGGGATCTGTTTCTCTACTCTAATGAATGATATATATTTTCATGACTGTGTTCCCTCTCCCCTAAACTCCATCCTATTCCCTAACCAGGTTCTGCATTAAATGTAGTTAAACAAAATCTGGAATCCAACCTCTTTTTTCTCTCTTTTTCGTCATTTTCTTTCTAGAATGCGGCTCATCATTTCAGATCCGTGGGTTGTTCTTGATCCAGAAAAGCTTGGCATAGATCATCGATGATCACAGGAATACACACGATCGGCATCAGCTATGTCTGGTTGCTGATTGATTAGGTCTACTACTTAGAACTCTATTTCCAAGCAGTTTCCCATAGAATGGGATAATAACTCAGCTGGGAGAGTGCACGACTGAAGAACAACTTCAGTTTCTGCTATCGTGAAGTCGCCAGTTCGATCCTGGCTTGTCCCATTTCTTTTTTCTTTCAATTTTTTTTTTCGCTCACCATGTATCAATCGGCGATAATCTACCTAAACCTTGGCTCCACTTTAGATGGATGGGATGCTCGGTTCCATGTGCCTGGGCTTTTATTTTGTAAACGGCAGACCTGTGAATTACTTACCAAAGACTCAGGGCTGGTTATCAAAGTAAACCAGCAATTTCAGTATTTTCGCCGCATCCGAAGCTTTCTTTTCTAGTGGATAGTAAGATATATCTCAATTGGTATATAGTATGCGCTCCTGGTACCGCGGCAAGTGTTGATGTTGAAAGATTTCTCGTATTCTTAAAGGTAGTCCTCGAAAGTGAAGGTACGATGCTGAAGATACGCCCCGGCGGTGGCCAAAGCAAGCGGAATCATACAAAAGCAATTATATAGGCACTTGACCTGTTCATACTTCTATAGGAGCAGGATTCCCGGAAATACGATAGAATGTAAGGCCGTGCTGCAGAGCGTCGCACGACGAAATGTGGGAGCACGCACCATCGGCGGATCAATGTGCAAAGAATCGGGGCCAGGGGCTCGTCTTAATTGATAATAGGGTATAAGGCGGTGTTAGCGGTGTACGGAGTAGAATGTGGTGTGAGATGTGAGTCATGGGACACCGCTCAAGGTGGTCCTTGGCGTATTATCTTCCTAAAATTAGTATCTAAAACACAGGAGTCCTAGTCTCTAGTAAGTATCTGTGGTTTGACCAACAACTATATTAAATGTCAAGTACCCGTACTTGAGTACGATATCTCCAATTAGTTTGAATAAACGCTGAAGGGAGATTAATTATTTAGAGATATAATACATGCATATAGACTACAAACATCACAGTATGATCCTCTCACACTGCTCGACCGGCTTCAACCCAAAGCTCTTCATACCACCTTGCCAACTCAGCTCAATCGCGGTTTTAGCAAAGCCACGCAAGTTCGCTTCATAATCTCCAACTACCACCTCATCTACCCCTTCAACGCCCCCAGCCGTTGCAATTCGGCGTGCGAGATCGGCTGCATCTCGCAACGCAGTATTAGCGCCCATCGCTCCCGTCGGAGGCATAACATGAATGGCATCACCAAGCAGAGTAACTCGGCTAGAAGGCTCCCAAGGTGCGATCTCCGGCATAGCGGACAGGATCGAGCGAATGGCCGATTGACTCGAGTCCTGCATGTCGAAGATAGCTCGGAGTGATGGGTTCCAAGAGCTGGTAAGCTTGCGTGAGAGATCTGCTGATTCTTGCGGGTTTATATGCCACGATTTCTCTCGGGAGATGGGGATTTGTGAGCTTTGTGTGCAGAGTACCCAGTACATGTAAGGATCTGGTAGTTGCGGTTCAATGATTTCATTTACGTATGGAAAGTTGATCGACTCGAATAGGACGCATGGCTGAGACGGATCTTCAGGGTCGAGGACAAGACTCATCCCATGTCGATATTCCTCCGCAAGTTTGGCGAGGAATTCTGGGGTTGATGGGGTCTTTCCAAAGATGATTCGCGTGCCAGTATCCAGGCCTTGGAACGAGGGGAGGTACTGCTTGCGAACTTGAGAGCGGACACCATCAGCGCCAACTAGCAGGGATCCGTCCTCGGTACTTCCATCTGCAAAGTAAACCGTCACTTTGTCGGGGTGAATGGTGTACTGCTCGAGGCTTTTCCCGAAGAACACATGTCCCTCAAGTCCTGTTAGGAGGGCCTCGCGAAAGGTCGATCGATCCACTGTATAGGACTTGGACTGGGAACCGGCCGGTCTGAAGCCACCAGGGGAGGGGATATGTGTTCCATCAGGCCTGATTCGGACTCCAATGGCAGGTGTATCGGCGCAGGTTTTCTCGAAAAGAGTGAACAGCTCGGGTGTCAGGGCCTCTTTCAGCGCATCGACGCCATGTTTGGTGATTCTTAGTCTGTATCCCTGGGCGCGGAACGTGCTTTTCTCGTCTTGTTCAAATAGCTTGAATGGGATATTGTTCTTTTTCAGTGCCTGGGCTAAACAAATGCCTCCAAGGCCTGCTCCAACGATCAATACAGGCAATGGCATGATATGCGTGGTGGAGAAGTTGAGATAGGGTATCGATGGCTTGAGAACTCAAGATGAGATAGCCTTGGAGAGAGCGGAATGTGGGCTTGACTTTAAAGGTCCTAGCTAAAATTGAGTCATATTGCTAAAGTCATGGGGCTAAAATCTGACGGGGATTTGTTTCGTTGAAGGTCAACGTGGATCGGGCTACGATCATCCCGGTCGGAAGTTAGAACAACCCGAGCATCTGCCCGAGTGCATTTGAGGCTCTATCGGGTCGCTAGACCCCGATGTAATCATTTTTTGAAGGCCGATGAACATTCTCCGTAGCTCTATGGAATGGGTATTTGATTTTGAGTATATCCAGCTTTGAAAAAAATAGAAAGTACCGAGCAGTCTAGAATGTATCATCTTCAAGTCGCTCAGTCCGCCTGATCACGCTGGGGCTTTGGTCATCATCAAGCTCCTCTGTTAGATCGCCCGCCCCGGCAGTGGCTAGCAGGTCAGTGACGATCCGCTTGGAAGCTTCCTTGGCTATTGGAAACAATTAGTAAAGAACAATAGTTGAATCAATAAGGCAAGATCTTGATAGATGGTCACTTACCAGGTGTCTTCATCAGGCGGCTCTGAGGGATGTGGAAGTGCATGGTCTTCGGAGGACTCGGGCCAAAGTCCTCGTCGTCCAAATCATCATCGCTATCCCATACAGATTGATGGCCGCCATACTTCTTCGCAGGCGTCAACACACTAGTTCCTGGCTTTGGTGTCTCGCGAAGGCGGTTGCTGCTAGTACGCCGTTTGCGGTTCGTTCCTGGGGTTTCGGTGACACCCTTGATGGGCGAGAAAATCTCCGAATGAAGCCGCGGAGCTTCAAGCTCAGGGCTGGACAGCGGGGAGTCGTCAAAGGCATAACGAGAGGTAGAAGCTGCGGCCTTGGGTGTGACCGTGAACTTGGATTGCGTGCTGGCTCCATAGCCGACATTGCGGTATCCTTTACCGAGTGGAGTTGCCTGAACCCGATAGGTTTTGTCGAGAACGTGATGCAGCACGGGATCGGATGGTTTCTGATATTGAGAATCTCCATGCGATGCAGGTGCATACTTTGTTGATGACACAGGTGGAATGAATGGTGACGACATTGGGGTGACGGAGGCATCCGGTGGGAAAAACGGTTGACGTCCTGGAGTGGATGGAAGTTTTGATGAGTCGGGCATATCAAAAGGTGCATCTGCCTCATTGATCTGCTTTCTCAAATTCTCGTATGAGGAGGAACGATCAATCGAAGAAATCGTCATGTCTTCATCAGTAGGTTGACCTGTTGCACGGGGAGTACTGTGCGAGGAGATCGTGAGCTCGGTAAGGTCGATGTCATGCCCATGACCCGTATTGTGATCGTGGCGCCGCGAAGAGGGTGTTTCGTATGACTGGTCAGTCTCGTCCACGCTTGTGCTTTGGGTAACGTCGGCCGAGAGCTCTTCTTCGGTTGCCGTAGTGTCCTGTACCGTTTCATCGCCATCGGGTCGCTCCTCATATCCAGAGAGGGACACATTGGCGCTAGCTTCGAAGAATTGTTTCCAGAACTGGGCAGCTAGTCAATCCCCGCGCAGACAATCGTCTTGGGCATGAGATATAGATCGAGCTTACCTTTGCGCCTTCCCAAACATCGCGAGAATGCTCCGTATACTGTTCCACCAGAGGGAGAATACTCGTTGTAACGATTCGGTGGGCTTGACTGAAGTTGTGATCGATTTCTACCGGTAAATAAAACGATTAGCATTAAACACCCCGTTTGTTTATAGCGCCCAACCTACCTTGGAGTGTCAACGTGATTGACTGTTCCAACTTTTCAAGCTCCTCGGTGAGAGTGAGCGGTCTCTGGGACTGCGCAGATTGGTGGGACATCTTCACAAACCTGCTAGCAGAGGTTGTTGCTATCCAGTTGATAGAAAAGAAGCTACCAAGCTTCAAGCTTCAAAGAATCGGGAGACGCGCGGGGAACACGTCCCAAAGCGGTGTGTTTTTAGGGCCGGAGATAAGGGCATAAAGGCGTCATGTGCTGCGGGGTTTATGTAAGAAAGATCCAGGCATCATCATAGCGCTTCCAAGTTTCCCGACGCTCTTGTGAGGAGCAGCCAACTCAGAAGAAGAAAAGAATCATATCAGCAGAAGTGGGTTTGCATGCAATATGCCTGCTCCTATTGCAAAGGGTCAGTCTGCATCTTTCTTTTCCCCGACCACCCTCTTCATCCAGGCGGTGTACTCGACCTTATCAGCCCACCCACTCTAGTCGAGCATTTCTGACAAGTTTAATAGGGATTATCGTGACGGTATCCGTCCTGGTGGCAGCTGGAGTTGCTGTTTATCAGTCTCCACAGTTTCAACAGTGGGTGACCACCTCTCGACGTAAGATCGCCCTGGCCTTGCACAACCTAGGCGATGAGATCCAACCTCGCGACTCGTCCTCGCTCGCTCGAGAAGATATATCTATGACAGAAGAAGTTGGAGAGGCTGCAGAAGAGCGCAGACGCATTGCCAAGGCGGAGATTAGGAGGCGGGCCACCCTCCTAGAATCCCGCCGGAAGAGCAAAGACTCTCAGCAACACCTTGGCAGCTTCGACACTCTTGTAGACGTGGACGGAAACCTTCGCAGCTCGAGTAGCGACCTCGAACAGTTGGATACTAAACCCACCGGTCGCTCTTCTGGGGTGGACACTGGTAGTTCGCAGCCTGTCCACCGAGGAGTGACGTCCAACGAGACCGATAGCCCACGTATCGAACCACGCCAGCTCCATCTGGATATTCTGTCTGAGACGACGTCCAACCATCCCTCAGAGTCAATCATACAATTTACACCAACCTCCGAAGTGCCATCTGAATTGCTTTTTGATCCGTTCGCTAACTCCCCCGTACGAGCACAGACACCCGTGTCTGTCTCAGCATCCAGCCACACCGAGGGCAACGACCAGGTTTACTATGCTCACCCCGATTTGCAATCCCCATTTAACCAACCACAAGACTTGCTCACTGAGCTGGACGAGATCAGACAGGACAATCAGTTCCAGCATCCTGTTTCGTCGGCACCATCGATTGCTGGAAGCTATGGTCACATTGATGGTTTTAATGATTCGTCTTCTGATGGAACTATGAGTGACTTGGGTGGGCACTCGGTAGGAGGTATCGCAACTCCCGCCAGCTGGTCTGAGGTGGGAAGTGTAGTTAGCAACGATGATGCTGGTCATCATCCGCTTCTGTAATTTCTTTGTCGTTTTACTCGGGGGGTACTTGAACAAGATGGATGGATAGGACGGCGCTGGCAGGGTATAGGGTGATGGGATTAAGAGATTTATTTCTTTGCTCGGGGAAAGCGGCACACGGAGTTGGCTTTACAGTGTTTCTAGCACACGCAACACCTATTCATAAGACTATATTGATTAAAATCATGATTCAACTGGTTTTTAGTGTGCTTCTTATGGATACGTCTCTGAAGGGGCACTTCTTCGTACAAGTCTATACGCACAGAACCATGTCGGAGTGAGCCAAGATGGGGGAGGAAGATGAACATCTGGATTCCTAGTTACCCAGGCCAGCTACTAACCTTAAAACTTACTTACGCCGACTGACGAAGCTGGTAAGTGACAACCTCAGTTCTATTGTTGAACCTAGTGAATCGGAAAAGAGGAAAAAGTTCGCATTGTTGTATTAGCATATTTTTGGCTGAAACCCGTTGAAACACAATTTGATCACTCGAATAAATTCCGAATTCTCGATAAAATCAAAGCCTGTTCCGTCTGTATCGATTAAAGGCCGGAGCCTGCACTGTCGACACTCGAAGATATACTTGTTGATTCTACAGGTTAAAGCAATATGAGTTGTAGAATGTGTGTCTTATTACTGTATGTTCCCCCCAAGAACACAAACAGAGGGAGGTAAGTGTAGTTTTGATTCCTTGCTTACATCCCAGGAGGAGCACATAGTAAACAAGATTATCTTCTTGGCAATATCTGAATTCCAACAGGTTGTTGAACCATGTAAATCCTGAGGCATGCGCTAATTAGGGAGCTACGTGCGTTTTGAACTATGGATTATGTACGTTGATTCAACACTGCAGGCAGAAATGTTGCCTAGACTAATTGTTCTTTCAGAGATTCTTACACAATAGAAGAAGTGTCCCCTAGTTGTGGAGTAAAAAACTTGCTACACAGTAGTAGGTAAAATACTACGAAGGCGAAAGCTCTTTGTAGGGTCGTGTTGTCTGTATCCATCCGTACCGCCAACTTATCATTAGCGTACTGATCAATACCGTAGGCTTTGTGTATTGTAGCCCCTGTACGCCAAGTGTGACTACTCTCTGCCCAAATCAAGAGCTTGGAACTTCTTCCTCTCTTCACCCCCACAGAGAAAGATAAATCAATGGAACTGCCTCCAGGCCACCGGCTGAAAAAGCCGTCGACGTACAGTCGCGAGGCAGCCATAGCCGCTGTAACCCAGCTTTACAAATTTCTTACCTCTCTCTTGTATATAGAACTAACCGACATTCTCTACCCTCCACCCGGAGGATGGCCGCACATCACTCAGGAAAATGAGGCATTTGCCTCTCTCAAGAAAACCGACGAGGTAATCGAGCTGCTTCGTCACTTGCCCTACCTGGACTCCAGACGCGATACTTGGTTTATCAGACCCTGGAGCGATGCATGTGATTATGTGAACCAAGATCCTCGCAAATATTTGCCCGTCGTGCCCGATGACTTCGAGTTCCCTCCATGGGTGATCAATCTCACAGGTCATGGAAGATACGGTCAAGCTCTCATGTTTGGCACATCAGATGGTATGGTAACTCACTTTGCTCTCCGAAATACCTTCGATTTTAGATTCTAACAGGTGTTTCAGGTACGGCAACGGAATATGCCTCCGATGGGTTAATATATGAGCCAGATTACCCTAAGGGCGATCCGCGATATTGGCGCGTTCAATGTGAAGAAGAGACTGAGCCGCTTGTTGATCGCTTGAGCTTTTTTAAGCAGAGATATCAAAATCTCAATTGAATCCCACAAGTCCAGAAAGCTGGCGCGTGGCCAATTGTCTACCAATGGTACGAGGAGCCAAATCGCTCTTACGGCGATGATGACGGCAAGGTAGGTTACTTATCGCACCTTTTACCCCCAATATTAGCTTTCACATTCATATGATACTATCGGCAGGCGATTCGAGATATTTATTTCGAGAATGGGTGGCCCGGTTCATTTGATCGAGAGGCGTGCCATCAGGCACTCGAAAGATATTACCACGGTAGCTTGCCCTGACAGCTCGGGGAGCAGATCAAATAATATATTACAAGGACTCAGAGTTACATCTATTTTAGACCGAATATATCAAATGCCTGCGAAGGGCAATATGGACCAAAATAATCATAGGCGTGATAGGATTCCAAATTTCAATTTATGAGTCTGAAGTGGCTCTCTATGTCGGCGTCTGTTGAGTAGAATTTGTACCATCGAAGTTGCTGAGTCGCTCACTCGTAATCACATCGTCCGTCGCAGAGGCCAATACGGACGTTGTTGAGGCAACGGCAGGTGCAGGCATCAAGTTGGAACTTGAAGGGCGAAGAACTTTCAGATTAGGATCAACCTGTTCAAGCCCGGCTATCTGTTGTCCATAGTCATCTTCGCATCGAATCAATCCAAAATCTTTGTAGAGCTCTTCGTCCGTAGCTCTCCGACTGGAATTAGATCCGACCACCACGATCTCGTCAGGGTTGAGCAAAAAGTCTTGATGCCTCTTCCCCTTTGATGGCTTGTAGAGTGCCTGGTATTGAGTAAAATTTAATTCACAACAGTCTCTCTATCATGAGCAAAAATTCTATGATCGATCCATGGATACCTAATAATTCTTCATCTCTGACCATGGCCAACGTCTCCTACGTAGTGTGTACGTACATAAACGGGAGCCCGACTCTCGACGAATTTAGTAAACATACCGGGAAAATATCATCTGATCAGGCTCAGTAGGTGGGTCAGCTCAATTGCGAAATTATCACTGACCAGGTAATGTCCCTCAAGGGCGATCTCAGTTCTACTCAGCGAGCAAATGCGACGAGAGGGTGGGCACGCGAACAGAAGAAGGACTCGAACTACTCATCGCCCTTCTAGCTGATCTAGGCAATACAAAATTTAAGCTTGCCTGATATTAAAACTCGGGTTTTCTTGCTAGACTCCGCTCCAACATTATTTCCGGCGAGAATCTCAAAATTTCCCAAAATGGATCCTCAGGGCTCATTCAGGTAGGACGATCGGACTTAACAGCCAATCTCCGGAGAACCTCGTAATGTATGAAAGGCATCAAAAATCTATATAAATACTTCATGAGGAATTATGTTTTAATCAAGAAAGTGCAAGAGCCAGTTACTTATGTTTTCTTGCCTGTTTTATCTCTTAACATGAATACCGAACCTCGAACCATCGTGCTCATCACCGGGGCCAATCAAGGGATTGGCTATGCAGTGGCCAAAGGTCTTCTTGCTCATAAGAATTACTTTATTTTACTTGGCTCCCGAGATGCTTCCCGTGGTGCCAAAGCTGCAGCCGATCTCGATTCAACTGGTGAATTTGTTCAGCCCATTACCATCGACGTGGCAGACGATGCATCGATCCAGACAGCGGCGAACTTGGTGGCATCCAAGTACGGCCGACTAGATGTTCTTATCAACAATTCAGGAATCAACAACGAGATCGACATTCTGATCGAACAACACAAGAAGCAGCAGGAAGGAGCCGTCCCTCATCCTGAGTTAGTTGATCTGGACCAGCAACGCAAGCTCTTTCGCGATGTGTATGAAGTCAATCTCTTCGGCGCTGCCATGGTCACCGAGGCATTTACACCTCTCTTGAAGAAATCAACCGCTATCCCAGCCCGGATCGTCTTCGTGTCTTCACACACGGGCTCATTGGGTCTGCGAGTTGATCCCTCGGGCGCGGAATATGCAAAATGGTCTCGTCCTTCTTTCCCAGTCTACCGTAGTAGCAAAGCAGCTTTGAACATGTTGACTTTGCATTATGCGGCCAAGTTTCACGACAAGGGATGGAAGGTGAATGGGTCATGCCCGAATTTGACAGATACCAATTTTGCGCGAGGATGGGTGAAAGGGAGACCTGCCTCAGAGTCTGCAGTGAATATTGTGAGACTGGCGACTTTGTCGATTGATGGGGAGTCTGGAGTATACTCGGATGAGAAGGGCGTTGTACCCTGGTAGAGACTCGGTGATTTGGCAGATGTAGTTGTTGGATGTACCAGTATTCCAAGCTGTTAATCTGGAACTTTATTCGATAGTTAACGCTAACAGATGAGTCACGGTAATAATACCGTCTTGCTTCGTGGAACCACGTAGAATCTTTGGCGGGTTCCTTTCGATCTGGAATGATCGTTTTCGACCCCACCTCCAAAACAACATTCCTCCTCCACTTACCCGGCTTGTTAAAGTCAATAAAGTGCTGGAAGCAGGATGGCGCTAAACCTAACCCGTTCAATTATGAACTTATCTATGGTATGACCCACAGTTGGGGACTACCTTAGTCGTAGATCAGCGGAGAGGCGCTAGCTATAATAGGAGTGACTCTTTTGGGGCCCTATCTTCCAGCATATATGCCTTTTAAATTTGAATACGAAAGACTCAATAGCTTTGGTTTATACCTATTGATAATTGGTGGGAAGATCGAGGCATGAAGGCCGCCGAACGGCACATGTGAGCGGCGATAAATATCAGGTGACGTGAGGGAGGGGTACACGAGGGGCTGCCTCTAGGCACAGCGGGACAAATATCCACCATTTCCAACGCTTGAACTGCTTACAGTAACGTCGAAATGGCACGAATCTCAGATCTCGTTCAAGATTCTAAGCTAGAAACCTATTTCCTTCCGGACTGTAGTGTGGAAACGGTCCATAGGTTCCAAGAATCAGACCCAGCCTCTCGACAGCGCCTTGTGACCAGATCAGAGCATTGGCGGCGGCAAAAAAGGATCGGAGGTGGTGGGTTCGGTACCGTCTGGCTAGAGAAATGTATCAAAGGCGGGCGGCCAGGCGCCACACCTCAAGATGGTGCAGTTCGAGCAGTCAAGCAGATCGATATAGATACGCGACTAGGGTCGATCGAGTACAATCGTGAGTTGGAGGCAATTGCTAAGTTCTCGCACTCTCGTGTTAGTCTTCAGAAAGTCATTATGAGAGGATGTACTGACCACGGTAGTATGAACGATGCTTTGTTAAGTCATTCGGATGGTACGAAGGGCCCAGCCAGCTCTTCATAACAATGGAATACTTCGAAAATGGCGACCTTTTCGCGTATCTATATCAAAAACCGCCACTTCCAGAGGCTGAGGCGAAGGATATTACATACCAGATTCTCGATGGCCTGAGTATGATGCATGAAAATGGTTTTGCTCACCGAGACTTGAAACCACATGTGGGTTACTTTTCGAGTACGGAATAGAGAGGATTCACTAAAGCGAATATTTAGAATATCCTTATCAAATCACACCCTCCTGAAGAATGGTGGATCAAGCTTGCAGACTTTGGTATCACTAAACGTATCGAAGAAAGTTATGGGCAATCGACGACGCTAAAGGGTACCCCAAGATATCTTGCCCCTGAGATTTGGGGATTTGTTGAGCGAGGCAGTGCGTATGCCACGGATATCTGGGCTCTTGGGGAGATTTTATTCGAGATCATCACCAAGAAACCCGCGTTTGGGACTCCAGCATCGCTTGCAAGCTACAAAACTCAGCAACACTTCCCCGTCACGATGCTTACTAATGCTGATATCAGTCAAGCGGGCGTCGACTTTGTGCTTTCACTAATGCGTCCTTATCCCAGTCATCGAATAACAGCTACATCTGCAATGTCACACGTGTGGATACAATCGCTGCTGCCGTACTCCTATGAGTCTATGACAGCCATTCAAGACGAGCCACGAATTCCCTCTCCAGTCGCAATATTGACAAATGAGTTTGCATCATGGACTACAAAAAATTCCTCAGAAGCGCCAAAGGCTACTTATCGCGAAATACCTAGGTCAACAACCACATCAGATCTAGTAAACGCTACCCAAGGAAATACCAGTATGGCACAGGAAAGGAAGTCATATTCTTCTCTAGGGACTACAATACCACACTTTATGCAAGGCCAAGTCGGGGCCCTTGAGCTTAGCCCCACAGAACTCGGAAGTGAAAATCAGACTGGTCGCTCGCTCTATCGCCAGAAACGATACAAAGAGGCAGAGACTATGTTTCAACAACCTTTTCAAGGACGAGAGGTGCTAGGCCATGGCCATGAAGATATACTCAGTTCAGCATACCGGAATGGTCGCTCACTCTATGATCAGGAACGCTACGAAGAGGCAGAGATACTTTTTCGAGACGTTTTTCAAGGGCAAGAGAAGACACTAGGTTATGATCATGAAGCAACACTCAAATCTGCATACTGGCTTGGCTGTTCACTCTATGGCCAGAAGAGGTATCAAGAGGCAGAAACCATGTTTCGGCAAGCTTCTCGAGGACGAGAGAAGGTGCTAGGCCATAACCATGAAGACACACTCAATTCTGTATACCTGCATGGTTGCTCACTCCTTTCTCAGAATCGGTACAAAGAGGCAGAAACTATGTTTCGACAAGCTTTTCAAGGACGGGTGAAGGTGCTAGGCCCTGATCATGAAGCGACACTGCATTCTGCACACTGGCATGGTTACTCGCTCTATCGCCAGAAACGGTACAAAGAGGCAGAGGCTATGTTTCGACAAGCTTTTCAAGGACGAGAGAAGGTGCTAGGCCATAACCATGCCGACACACTCAATTCTTCATACCTGCTTGGTCGCTCACTTTATGAGCAGGAACGCTACGAAGAGGCAGGAATAATGTTTCGAGAAGTTTTTCAAGGGCAAGAGAAGGTTCTAGGTTATGATCATGAAGGAACACTCCATTCTGCACACTGGCTCGGCTGCTCGCTCTATGGCCAGGATCGGTACAAAGAGGCAGAAACCATGTTCCGACGAGCTTTTCAAGGACGAGAGCGGGTGCTAGGCCATGATCATGAAGACACACTCAATTCTGAATACCTTCTTGGCCGCTCACTCTATGATCAGGATCGGTACGAACAGGCAGCAAACATGTTTCAGCAAGCTTATGAAGGACGACAGAGGGTACTAGGGTATGGTCATAGAGACACACTCTTAGCTGATTCCTACCTGTTAAGGGCCCGTCAGCAGGCCCGTGAGCAAGCCCGTCGGCAGACCTCTGCTATTAGAAAACTTGGTCGGCTTTTTAAATAAATGAAGAAAATTTGTGACCTTTTCACCGGCCCTTTCATAAGAGTCATGGTGAGGAAGTCTGGTCATTGCTACAGATTCCGGGGGGATAGGGGGATATAGCAGCACAGATGTAGTGTATTGTATATATAGCCGCTTTGTGTAGAAAACAGTGACGTTCCATAATTTAACCCCCTGGATCCACACCGCCTGGCTCCCTTTTTACCGCCTACTATATCCGCTTAGCTAGAACACAGGTCAGGTTGAGCACATCGCTGTGAGACGGGAAATTTGCGTAATAATTTGTGTATAGATATTCTAATGGACATATAACTCTTTCATTTTGATTAATGCTCTATCCGTTCATATGGAAACTAATTATCTAGACTCTCTAAGTGGAAGCTTTTTAATTGCTCAAGCAGGTGCTTTATATAGACACGTTATAATTTATCACGTTCTGATATAGGGTTGAATTCCCTTATACCCTACCGCATATGGCAAATAAACACCGGCTGTTTCCTTCTCTATGATCCAGGGCGGCTACTCATATTTATTTTTTCTATCGTTATCCCCGTATATCGAAAGTAGCCTCCGGCGCTCTTCTGTTTTACACTAATCTTACAAACGCACTGTTAAGGATTTAGCTAGGATTCTCTAGATATACTAGCCGAGCTTTCTTGATATAGGACTTTAGTTCCGTAAAGAATTCTTTAATAGGGTTGAAATCCGGCGAATACGGCGGTAGGTATAGTGACCTAGGTATATCTACTTTTTCGAATTGCGGAGAGAAGTCCACCTTGAAACGGTCAAGTACTTGGTACCTGAGACTAGTATGTGATGTCTGTACTTATCCGAAGTACTGAGTACTCGCCCGGGTATTCTGCGGGCAGCCAAAGTGCCTCGGCATTTTCGGGGGAAGCTTAAAGAGTCTCCGCCCTTCGAAGTCAACTTCTTGTCTTCTCCTTCCTCCTCCATCTCTCCCTTCCCTTCTCAAACACCTGTGTGTTACTGTTTAATTTGTGAGTGAATCTATTCTTGCTGGGAAAATACCTGTATTGCACCTTGAAATCTCCCCGCATTACCTCGTCACAAACTTCCCCGCAATAACCGAAATCTCCTCTCCGCATCTCAGGGCGACTACGAACATAACGCGGCGGGCACTTACTGACCATCTCTTTGCAGTCCCTCTCTCTATAATTCACCATGGCCGCAGATCGTCTTAGCTCCATCTTGAGCCACCTCAAGGGCACCAGCAATGGACTGAGCGCTATGTAAGATCCGCGGCAACTCGGCAAAGCCAAGTCTCAGCAATGCTGACTACAGAATTAGTACCCAGAAGAACCCCGACGACGTCGTCATCACACTATCACTGCGCACTCCTTTGACCAAGGCTCGCAAGGGTGGCTTCAAGGATACCGAGTTGGACTATATTGTGTACGCTCTGTTGAAGGAGACTCTCGCTCAGTCCAAGATTGACCCTGCCCTGGTTGAGGATGTCTGCCTGGGTAATGTATGCATCTCCCGCTAGTCACAGAACTTATTAGGCCACCTCAGTTGCCTAACATCGATATAGGTCAACGAGGCCAAGGCCGCCTACATGGTCCGCGCCGCGTCGCTGGCCGCCGGAATCCCTCACACTGCTGGTGCCTCATCAGTGAACCGCTTCTGCTCGTCCGGCCTGAAGGCCGTGCAGGATATTGCCAACCAGATCTCCATGGGTGCCATCGATATTGGTATCGCCATGGGCGCAGAGCTGATGTCTGCCCCCGGCGACCGTCTCGACCGTCCCTTCAACGAGGAGGTCCTGCGCAACCAGGAGGCTGCCGACTGCATGCAGCCCATGGGTCAAACCTCCGAGAACGTTGGTAATGACTTTGGCATCTCGCGTGAGCAGCAAGATCGCTATGCTGCGGAGTCGTTCCGGCGTGCCGAGGCTGCCCAGAAGGCTGGCTGGTTCGATGATGAGATCGCTCCTATCTCCGTGAAGGTTAAGGACCCTAAGACTGGCGAGGTCCACCAGGTCACTCTCACTCGTGATGATGGAATTCGCCCCGGAACCACTTTCGAGTCTCTGTCGAAGATTCGCCCTGCGTTCCCTCAGTTCGGTGATAAGTCGACTGGTGGAAACTCCAGCCAGGTCACCGATGGTGGTATGTATCCTGTCTCGTGATGAAATATGATTAAGATAAAAAGACAATATACTAACTATTGATCACAGCTGCCTCCGTCCTCCTGATGCGCCGCTCCAAGGCCATCGAGCTGAACCAGCCCATCCTGGCCAAGTTCTGCGGCGCGACCGTTGCCGGTGTGCCCCCTCGCGTGATGGGTATCGGCCCTACCGCCGCTATCCCCAAGCTGCTGAGCAAGTTCAACCTGGACAAGAACGACATTGACATTTTCGAGATCAACGAGGCCTTCGCCTCGATGGCCGTATACTGTGTCCAAAATCTGGGCCTTGATCACGCCAAGGTTAACCCTCGTGGTGGCGCCATCGCCCTGGGCCACCCTCTCGGAGCCACTGGCGCGCGTCAGATCGCCACGATCCTCAGCGAGGCGCGCCGGACGAAGAAGAAGATTTTGGTCACCAGTATGTGCATTGGCACTGGCCAAGGTATGGCTGGATTGTTTGTCAATGAGCAGGTGTAAACATGTATGTTCCCCACAATATAGTCAGATAGTATGTACCACAGAGTCAATCGTACCGAATAAAAACATCATGCGAAACTCGTGCAATTCCCCTGTAATTTGCAGCCGAGCACTGGGGAATGGGATTCAACCCGTATTCGCGGCATGGGTCAATTTCAGGTATGGCTTGGGCTATCGTGGACGCGGTAAGAACTCAAATTGGGTGGGTGTGCAGTCTGGGGGCTAGTCTGGGCCAAAAGAGGATAAGCTTATTTGAGAGCTAACTTTGTCTCGATTATTTTCGTTTGCTCTCTAAATTCTGTGATTCCGGATTTAATTTCCCGTCAAAAAAAAGAAAGCTCGGATTACTTCGCCATTCTGAGATCGAAGGAGATCGGTTAACTAGCCTATACTTTCCTTTTTAGGTGAATTTCGAGGAAACATCCTTAACATTAATGACTATGATCATGAACGGTATTCCACAAATCATATAAACACGATCATGGTCCCAATCCCAACTCTACGCTCTCATCGTTTACCGACCTCATCCACAGAGACTCCCCTCGTGTTCAGTTCTTGGCTACAGTGGGACACAGGAACCGGACTGGCAGCCATCTCCGCTCGGTATTGGGCTGACAATTCGATAGTCGTGACTCGTGATATGTGATGGCTGCTGCGATACAAGTTCCATGGGCTGCGCCGCATCCGACCCCAGCTCTACCCCTGCATATCTTCCAGCCTGCCGCAAGCCTGCACAGCCTGACGATGATGATGCTGATTCCGCAGCATGGCGGGATATTTTGTCGTCGGTTGACACTGTGTCGGAGGATTATTAATAATCGGAGGAACATTCCCATATGTTCGCGGTTTGGTACCTAGTGGTAGTGGTAGTCGCGTAGGGCCGACCCGTGGCATCGATTCAAGATAGACGGTTGTATGGTTCTGGTTTCGGATTCAAGTGTAGCATCGCCACCAAATTACCCAAGAGACTAACTCATACGAGGCGAGTAGCATGCTGACAGTGTCCGTTGAACTGCTTCCACACACATCCAATGCCACGCCTAGTAATGCGCCGACGAGGACGAGTATAATCAGTGATGTAGTTAAGAAGCTGATTCACCATTTGGAAATAGGGGGTTGAGTTTGCTGCTCATATTGTCGGCCCTATCTATGACTCTGTCTCTCTCTCTCTCTAGAGGAACATGTCCTTGGTAAAGTCACCATGGTCGGTGGACTGGAGACATGAACAAAGAGAAAAGAAGCCAAGGACAAGAAAATCAGGGTCTAGTGGAGAAGAGTCAAGCCATGTCGGCGGTGCTCCTGTGGTGACTCCAAGATTTGAAGATATCCTCTCCACAGCTCGTAAGAGTGGGGCTGTGTTTAATTGTTTCTTGATCGGGTGGTGGTCTTTTAAAGTTCTGGCTGGGCGAGAAGTGGATTAGCAAGTTAGCAAGGGTCTTTTTGCCAAGGAGATGCGGCTCTCTGTGATGACTATCAGGAAAAAGGGCCATTCTGGGCAGACTTCACGCTGGGGCCCCCCGTGAATACGAGGTGGGCTATGGGAGACTGTAGGTTAATATGGAAAGGAAATGGGCCGATCCTTGATCCTTGCTTGAAGGCAGACTCAGCCTCGTGTTTAGAGTGTAGGGGCTATGCCTATGCCGATCAATATCATTTCTGCGTTAGTCTGCTTTGGGCCTGAGGGTTTGGGCACTGATGGATCTTAGAGAAGAGAAGAGATATTGTAAACAAATTAAGACAATATTTATTAGTGTTAGACAGAAGGAAAGGGGTTTTCATAACAGTTCGGAGTAAATAGGAACACGAAGCAGTCAGAACCCATCAACCTGGTCCCCTTCATTTTAGTGTGTAACTTTCATTTTCACCCTAATCAGTGGGGGCGAGGATCGCGAACGCTGTCACCCCATTCACACGCCCATTTAGGGTCAATTAGCATCTTCGCCAAGAGAAAGGATGTTCCTTTCCAGTCTTTTCATTGGAAGATATCAATCAACCTTCTCAGACAACTATGAGCTAAATCTCGTGTTGGAGTGGACTCGCCCTCCCGTCGATCGATGAGTTGGTGAACTAGTCACATCGTAAATTATTTTTAGCGAGTTCAATTTTCTCTCTTTTGCTTCTTTGGGGAAAGAAGCTGAAGAGTTTGATTCCCCTTTAAGAATCGTTCGTTTCTCCCTCCATCTGGCGTTGAGGCTGAATTTTGATTCTTCCCTCGTTTTCTCTTTCCCAACCCAACTGGGCTCATAACTATCAACAGTCAACAGACTATCTCCTTTTCCTTTCATTGACTTTTCTTTCCTTACAATACTCCAATCCTTCACATCCCTCTTCTCAATATGCAGCAATACGGCACAACTCCCCGCCAGGGGATGTCCAAATGGTGGTGCATCAGCTTCTTCATCGCCGCCATCATCTTCTTCATCATTGGCGGTGCTCTGATGGGCACCTATCTCAACTCCAGCTACTCCACTTGCTACTCGTCTTCCTACTATTCTTCCTACACCTACGACTACTCCTGCCTGGATGGCAACATGGGCGAATGGTACGGCGGTATCGCCATGATCGCTCTCGGCGGTGTCTGCAAGTTCATCGGCTGGGTTCTTCTCATCGTCTTCTGCGTGCAACGCCGTCGCTTCATCCAGACCAACATCACCTACGTTAACCAGACTCCCATGGAGCCCGTGCCTCAGCCGGGCTACGTTGCTCCCCAGCCGACCTATCCTCCTCAGCCTGTCGCTGCTCAGTTCCCTCACTCGCCTGCCAGCCCGGCGCCCTACCCAGCTAGCGTTGGCACTCCCCCTCCTAAGGAGGCCACTGCTACTGCCTTCAGATACTGTGGTCAGTGCGGTACCGCTGTGTCCAGCCGTTTCTGCCCTCAGTGTGGTACTGGCAACTAAGGGTTTACTACCTTTGGTGTGCTGTGTACACTCCGATATCTTGAAATGAAGTGAAGTGGGGAGGTTGAGATCTATGGAGGTGGATGGATATTTGCGACGGCGATGTCTTCATCGCCTTGAACGCTCTTGTCAGAGCACTACGTGACCAGCCACAAATGATATACCCTTGGAGTTTTTTATGTGAAGAAGTCAAAAGGACAATCTTTTATGTTATATAACCCTTTTTTTCTAATCGTCTGCTATTAATTTGCATTCTTGTCATGTCCACACCAATCACTGCACAATGAGTTTCTACATCGAGTGACGATGTCTTGATTGCGTACCGCGAGATTCGCACCATTTATTATCCACTTGAATACAAACTACCTTCATCAAAGATGTGCTGGATTATACCAATTATCGTATCTCATTGTAGGAAAGGCGGAGATCTAGACTCCAGCTCTTTGGAGACACTAGCAACGAAGCTATAGTTAGGGCTGACCCTGCCATAGCCAAGTAACTCCTTAGTGTCGGGAGCAAAGTCCACTAATACAAGGCATTCGAAGATTTAATTGGTGAAGTTTAAATGGACGGCAACAAGTCAATGATGTTGTAGTTGAATAGTAACCTGTATAGCATAATAACTAGACTATTTTGCTCAATACAAGGGCGAAGAATGGGACACACGAAGCTCATGGAACAATCATATTGTCTGGCAATTCATCAAGGTTAAATTCCCTACCTGACAGTGCATCAGATGTGTAAGCCAGACGAAGCCGTCTTGGACAGCGTATCGAGGTCTCAGTGTTTGGGAGGTTTCTCACTAGGTAGAAAGGACGTCAAACACAATCCTATCAGCAACAGCAAATTGATCCCCGAGCCTCGGGGTCTCGAACCCTGGCCAATCAATCTCGCCGTCTCCCCAGAAATGCTCCGAATAGCCTCATCTCGGACCCCGTCCATATCAAAGTCTCGCCACCATAACCTCTCCCTCCCCTTTACACACACCAACATTCAAATTTTTATTAATAATTGTAATAGAAAAGGTAAATTATTATTCAAAAAGAGAGAGTGAACCAAATCCCCCACCCAGCCAAGTTGAATTGGTGGATACATCAAGCAGGCTCCTCGCGAAGATCGGCCCCAAGATGCCAGAGGTACTGGGATCCGCACCGTCGCAAATAGAGATCGCAGGCGGGTATTGAATTCTTGGCTACCATTCGACCACAGGGGCAATTTGGTTGAAGGGGGAGGGTTTGAAGTGTTCTATAACTCTGAGAGTTAGCATGGGATGGGAAGGTGCGATGGGTGGAGGTGGGCGGTGCCTGCCTGATGAGGAAAGAGGAGGAGCAAACATGTAAACACGAAAACATGTGCATATCACTCATACTACCTAGGAGATAATGGACAGTTATACGTTCTGGTGAAACCTAGGGTACTGATTGAACTACTACTTTATGAAACCAGCAATACCTCTAGTCAACGGGACCGAATGATGATTCCTTGATCGAGTGTCTACAATAGACCTATATAGTTCGGGTATGATATTAGTCTTTGACTGTTCATATCCTCAAGGGCCACACTTTAACAATAGGTCTTCCACCAGGTTGTTAGTCTAGGCAGAGTCCAGCTACCAAAGACAGAATTTCTTCTCGCTCAGATACTTGGAGGTCCTATTGCATATGCAGGGCGGAATCCCCATAATCCACTCGAATGATTATATCTGGATTATCATGTTAATTTAGAGAGAAGGGCATATATTGAGACAATCATTAGGGTATCAAATCGAAAATGCAAATGCAAAGAAATATACAAGTCATAAACATCAAAGCCAAAGCCCATCCATATCCCCATCAAGCATCATCCTGCTTCTCCTTCGGACTCTCCTTCCGCATCCTCTCCTCCGCAGCTCTAGCCAAAATCTCCCTCCTAGACAACGACCCCGTCGCCGTCCCGGATGCGGATGCACTTCCAGCACTCCGTCCAGCTTCATCAACCCCCAATCCACCCAAAACAAACTCCCCACCGGTCCACCCCTGTTCATCAATAACCTCCTCCCCACTCTGCACCCTCTCCCAATCCCCCGGATCATAAAAGTCCTGCCCAGTCAACCGATTCCCACCAGACTTCCAATCCGCCCTCTCAACCTCCTTCTCAATCTGCGCCGTCAAATCCCAAAAGTCCCGGTCATGCGGACCGAACACGCAATGCGCCAACTCATGACACAGCGTCTTGCGAATAGTCCGGTAATCGCGGTACCCGTCGTACGCGTCCGTGCGAAGCCGCAACTCGATAACCTCGCCCTTGTTCCTGTTCAGTCCTAGCGTGCGCGATTCACTGGTCGTGTGCTCGGCGGGATTCATTTCTGTTAATAGCGGGACGGAGAATTTGTGTTTGGCCATTGCGGCGCGGATACCGGGATCGTCGCGGAGGCGTTTGAGGAATTCGAGGGAGCGTTCTGGGCGGGGCAGGTAGGAGAGTGGGAGGAGGCGGTGGAAGGTGTAGTTTGAGCTTGAGGATGAGAGTGTGTGGATACCTCCGCGGTTGGTGGTGGTGGCTTTGTGGTTTGTGCGCCGGGCTGCGGCGAGGGCGGAGGCGCGTGCTTCCTGGCGTTTGCGTATGGATTCGGATTGTTCATGCAGGTCCGCGATGGCTTTGGCTGGGGTGCCGAGGAGAGTGATTTTGAATTTGGGTGAGTCGAGGGGGAGAAGGGTTGTAAGAGGGGTTGTTGGGAAGGGCGCCTTTTGCATGCCGGGCTTGGGGGCAATAAGGAGCTTCTGGTTCTCCGTGGGTATGTTCAGGACAATTTCTATCTCTGCGGAGAGATCTTGTAATGTTGCCGAGGCGGAGAGCTGGAAGCTATGCGGGGTGCCATGGTGGTGCACGGTGAGGTTCATAGTCGAGTTCATGAGCAGTTCTTATATGTTCAAATGGCAGGACCAGAATAGAAATGTCGGGTTTGTCTAGAGAAGAAAGGGTGAGGATGGAAGGAAGTTCAGCGTTGTGTCTAAATAGATGGAAGAGCAGTCCCAAAACGGCAGGCGCTGAGGCGAATTTCGACGGGGTTCCACGGCGATAGCTTTGTCAGCGCGGAGATAAGGCCCCTGTGTGCCTGAGGCAGAATACAAAGTTGGAGAACCAGGGAGATAATGACGTGATACATGACTACAGCAAGCATATTCCAAGGACGAGAACTCAATAGTCAATGGTTATTCAGAGTAGCAATCCATTCGAGGTCATAACGCCGCAGACCATGTAGATAAGACATGTAGATACCATACCCCCCACCAAACTCCCTTTCCCTAGATATCAAGTGTGAAATGCAATAGGTGCAGAAATCAAGACCGAATAGACCAAGTAAAGCAGTCGTCGTGTTCCAAAATGCAATGCCAAAAAAGAGGGAAGATGCAATATGTGCAAGAAAAAAGTGTCCAAAATCACGTCGAGGGAAGAGTCCTGCTCGATCGAGAAACCGAAAAGAGAAAGATCAGGGCGAAAGTAGGCCCGTACTTCCAAAGGGGAAAAAGGAATTATTCTGCGTGACCAAGCATAAAACTGAACCGAGGAATCATTCGTATTTTCCATCGTCAGGCAAATGTAGAGTCAAGTTTGCAATGGTCTCGTCGGAGATCCACTCGGCTAAAGAAGGGAACCAAGTGTGACTGTCGCAGGTATAATCAGCATTTATTCGGGGATGCACAGAAATTGCAAGCAAGAAAGACTTACTTATGGAAGCTGGTCGTAGTCAAGGCCGACTCGGTATACTCCTCCATCAGCAGCGCATCATACTGGAAGGGCACCTTAGCCGGAGCCCCCTCGAAGGTCGTCCGACGCAGTGGATAGATATCCTTTAGTCGGTACTTGTGGAAGTTCTTGCACTGCCAGATATCCGGATGAGCATCGAGCTCGAGCCTACTCAGCCCCGTGATATCGATATACAATCCCGTCGTAATATCAATGAATCGCGCATCGATAATATTATGGCCCTGACCACGCTCACGCTGCCGCGACCATGGGTTGATATCCAGCAGATAATCGCGCTTCTCCTTGCCTCCAGGCGTCACGTATTCGACAATCGTTTGATTATAGTGGTCGGCCAGATAAGCGAGGGTTGTATCGGGGACTTGAGTATCCATATCCCAATCCCAGGGGAGAATCTGCATTAAGATCGCTCATGTCAGCTGACTGCGGTTTAGGGTTGACCGAAATCGGATTTCCGGCGCGTGCTCACCTTCCCGTTCCACCACCAGCCCAACAACGTTCCATGCGCAATCCACGTTTCCAGGTCATTCTCGTCGAAAAAGTTCAAGTACGCGCGAATCATGTGTGTCAAAGTCTCTGCGCGCTCCGTGTCGCTCACGGGCGTTGTGAAAAATCGAATGTCATAGTGGCCGAGGATATCGTCGCGACCGGGTTCGTGGAAGTATTTATATTCGGCGGAAGCATTGAGTCCGTACTTCAGCCATAAGGGGTCTTTGAGGGTAGGATCGGTGTAGGGTTTATTGCTGCTCCGGCTGCTATCGTCTCGAGCCTCGGGGCTGGGGAGTGCCGTCGCCGCTGTGGACCAGAGTACAGAGGCGAGCGTTGCCCACGTTCGCCACTGCATCTCCGGCCAAGTATGGGGGGGGGGTCGTGCGAATTGTTATGTGTCTATTGAATTGTGGAATTTGCGCGCATGGAAAAGCCAATGCTCATCGTGGAGCTGTCGGGAATTCTCAGATCAGATCGGAGCAAGAGAGCTAATCCGGGTCGTAGTTGTTGATTCGTTTCGCATGTATTGAGGAGCAAGACCGAATTATCTGGTTGATTTTCGCGCTGGACCCTAGGTTGAAATCGGTATATACAATAGCGAATAGCGAATAGCAATAATAGCAAAGGTAGGGACACTGGTGGAACCCCCAGGGTAATAAAAGCAATAGTTGAAGAATGAGCAAAATCAAGGAAGCGGATACGTTACACCGCGATCATAGAAATTTTTCAAAAGTCAGGACAGAAGAGAGGAAGGGGGGCGGAAATCAGGGAGAAGGGTCGGTGATAAGAAGACTCCGCAAGAACCAAGCACAGAACCAAGAACCCGTTCGACTTAGATCCGACCAATCCGGAGATCAGGGCCTTGGCCTTGTCCAGGGAGTCCCTAAGCAGAGCGTTCCAAGTGCCGTACAGGGTGCGAGCGGGGCGGATTGAGCCGGATAGGAACCCCCACCGATGGATCCAACAGTGGATAATTATTATAACAGATGGCAAGGTGGAAGGGGAAAAAAAGGGGAGGAGGAAGGAAGGAAGGAAGGAAGAGATCAGGAGAGGGGTTATAGACGGGGCCTAATAATATCGTCTACATTGTATCTAGTCTATTCTACGACCGGAGTAGCAGGGATTATTCACCAGGGAAAGGGTCTGATGGTCGAATTGAATTAGTGCATTTCATCTTTCCAACAGTCGATTCTGAGCACCAGCCTGCAGGAGGAATAATCACTCGAATAAGGAATGCGAATACGACGATCCGGGGAGGAAAGTCAACTTTCGTACTCCATGCCGGAGTGGGAAAAGGATGAAACCTTACGACGAGGGGGGGAAGACATGGGCTATGAGTACATTTCTCCGGGGAAATCACCCTGGAGGGTGACAGGGGATAGGGTAGGATGCGGGTGTCTTGGAACGTATCCCTTTGGAAAAAAGTCATGACTACAGAGGGACCACTTTACCTACTTGGCACTCGCGTGCCGGCTTACTCGGTTGAGAAAAGAGCGGGCTCCACTCCAGGAGCCGCCGAGTGCACTACAGTAGTACTAACTAGTACTTACTGCATGGGGGAATAGGGGGGAAATTAAGTAGGCCCGAGAGACCTTTGACTAAATCATGGTAACATGATAGTACCAAACAACCTGCTCATTCCGATGTATCATTATAAATTCCGTTCTATCCCTCGGCTCCAGGGTGACACGAAAGGAACGAAAAACGAGAGCGAGTGCATTTTCTTGGCACCTGCCAAGCCAGCCCCTTCGGTGCGTCGAGTGACTTTCAAATTTAGCGTCGCTGAAGGTCCTGACTTGGTGACAACCCCAAAACTGGCTGCCTAGACAGTACTAAAAAAGTATCAACTAGTTCGATTATAGGTAATTACTCGCACGGACTAACTAGTAACACTAATAATGCACAACAAAGTATCTATGAGCCCCTTGAGTACTGTAGAATAAATAGGAGTCTGTCCAATACATGGTCAACTTTCATGAGCCTTCCTGTTTAACTCAACGATATACTCCATATGTAGTCATTGTAGTGCCATCATGTTCAAACTAAGTCGGATAGGGTTATTCGTCCTCAGCCTTACGCCGCAGATCACAGGAGGAACGTTGGTTCAGCGATGATCCCAACCTTGCCTCCAAACGAAGAAGATCTTTGCCGCGATTATCATAGGGCTGAATGTTCCCAAGGGGCCAAAGGAGGACTCCCTGGTTTCTCCCTCTGCCACTCTACGAATACGAAAGTACTACACTTAACAATTCCTCAGGTATGATTGAATTCATCTATTCATCCAGAAACAAACGATCTACATCATAACTGGGGTGCCATTAAAAACAAAGAGAGAGAAAAAAGAAGAAAATGGTCCAACCAGCATCATCACCAGTCGGGTCTAGGAAGTCCGTGAAAAACATAAGGTTTCAAAAAAGGCCTTTTCGTCATCATGCGGGAGGGAAAGAACACAGCCCATCCAATTTTGCTTTTTCCAAGATGCAGCATGCTTTTCCTCCCGTCAATCACATAAATAAAAGAAAGCACCCGTAGATAGTCTAGGTAAGATCGACGATATCTACTGCTTCTCCTCGCCCTCAGCAGAGGCCTCACCCTCGGCGGGGGCATCCTGCATCTCGGCATCGCCAGACTCGGCGGCGAGCTTCTTCTTGTGCTCCTCCTCGGCCTTCTTGAGGTCCTCGGCAGCCTTCTTCATGGCCTCGAGCTCGGCACGCTTCTTGGCAGCGGCCTCCTCCTCGGCCTTGAGGACCGCAGCGCGCTCCTCCTCGGCCTTCTCCTTGTAGCGCTGGATGATGGGACCGGCAATGAAGCGGATCTCATCCATCTTGGCAACGTAGACGGACTTGGTGGTGTCATAACCGTCCTCGTACAGCCAGTCCTAAAGAAGACATTAGTTTATGATTACCCAACTGGCTCGTTTCAAGTTACTAACCTCGGTGTCGGTCAGCTTGGCCCGCAGCTTGTCCTTCTCCTCCTCATTGGCGAACTCAGAGTAGACGCCGTCGATCTTGTCACGGAGCTCGTAGATGGAAGCCTCGAGCTCGTTCTTCTTCTCGTCGGTCTCGGCAACGAGCTTGTCCTCCATGTACATAGAGTTCTCGCGCTCGGTCCAGGCCTCCTTGGTGGTCTGGTCGACACCGCCAGTGCCGGCGGCAATGGGCAGGTCGCCCTTGCGAACCTGCTTCTTGACCTTGCGGGTCTTCTTGGGCTGCTCCTCGCCGTTGGTGTCCATAGCCTGTAAATCGAATTGTTAGTGTCTGAAACATCGCCGCCAAACATAGTAAAAGGGAGTCAAAAAAAACGTACATCACCATCCTTCTGCTCACCCTCCTCGGGGATGGGCTCCTCAACCTCCATATCCTCAACGTAGTAGCCAGACTCGACGTTGAGAATACCGTGCAGGTTCAGGCGGGCCTTGAGCTTGCAGATCATGAAGTCATCGTTGGCATCAGCCTTGACGCCCTTCACGGAGAAACGGCCAATCCAGGGGTTGACCTTGCCGGGCAGCTGCTCGGGCTTAGCATAGCGAGCCTCGAGATCGAAGGGCTGCTTGCGGTAGAAGGTGAGAATCTTGGTCGAGGGCATAACGTTACCGCGGCTGAAGACGGTCAAGCTGGTGTCCTCATCCGGGATCTCGGGGGACTGCTCCCAAGTGAAGTCGATGGGGTAGTTGACAATGTCGTGGATGGCAAAGTCACGGACACGGAAGACGGGGGAGAGGGTAGCACAGCAGAAGGCGGCACCACGGGCAATAGCCTCGTCCTGGTTGAGGGTGAAGGACAAGGTCTTGCCGAAGAACTTGCTGATGGTCTCCTTGATGGAGGGGACACGGGTGCAACCACCGACCATCTCAATGTGATCGATGTCCTCAACGGTGAGCTTAGCCTCGGCGAGGGCCTGCTCGATAGGAACGGTGAGGCGGTTAAGGAGAGGGCTGACCATCTCCTCGAGCTCCTCGCGCTTGACCATGGCGCGGACATCGGTGTCCTCCATGAGGGACTCGATGCTCAGAGGAGCCTGGGGGTTGGCCGACAGAACCTTCTTGAGCTTCTCGGCGGCGGCCAGGGTACGGGACCAGGCCTTGGGGTTGGTGCGGATGTCAATCTTGAACTTCTCCTTGAACTCATCGGCGAAGCGCTCAGTGAGAGCCTGGTCGAAGTTACGGCCACCAAAGTGACGGTCACAGGCGGTAGCCTTGACGTTGAGCTCGCCCTTGCGGAACTCGACAACGGTGGCAGTGTAGTCGCTGTAACCAATGTCGATGAAGACAACACGACGGGGCTTCTCCTCGGGACCGGGAAGGTCGAGCTTGGTGATACCGTAACCCAGAGCGGTAGCGGTGGTGTCGTTGATCAGACGGAGGACGTTGAGACCGGCGATCTCACCGGCGTCGATCATGGCACGGCGCTGAACATCGCTGAACCAGGCGGGAACACTGATGGTGACATCGGAGACGGGGAGCTTGAGTTCCTTGGAGGTGATATCCTTGATCTTGGTCAAGTACATAGCAACCAGCTGGGTCGCAGTGAACTTCTCCTTCTTGCCGAGGTAGTTGACCTCGACACCAGCCAATCCATTGACATCACAGATGGAGGAGGAGTTGAACTGCTGCTCGACCTGGACATCGGGGTCGTTGAAAGAACGGCCGATCAGGCGCTTAAGGGAGCCGATAGTGTTCTTGAGGTTGGAAGTCTCTTGCGTCTTGGCGGCCTCGCCGATGGCTCTGCTGCGGGAATTGAATCCGACCAGGGAACTGTAAAACAGCGAGAAAAAAAAACTTGTTAGCGGATGTTCTCAAATCTGAAGTCTGATGTGAACGAGGTTGGGCAGCCAGGAGGGGCTTAATTGGATGACCACTTACGGAGTCTGACGGTTGGAAACCTCATTGACAATCTAAAAATTCCAAATAGAACTTCGATCAGTACCAATCCATTATGATTCTCCCTTCGAAAGAACGGTGATACCCAAAAGCCACGGAATGGGGAGGAGTTCTCCAGTGAGGCTGGGCTTCGCGGGGCAAACACTTACAATGTCAATACCCTTGTTCCGGGCAACACCGATCTTAGTGCTCTGCGCACCAAAATCAATACCGACAACAGACATTGTGGGCGGAGAGTATGTGAGGGGGTATATCGGGGGAAAAGAATGGAGGGGTGGGAGGATGAGGAGAGGAAGTCAGAGACGGAGAGAAGTTTGGAGGGGAGAATTTGCACGCCACTCCACTAATATGATTGGAGGGGATTGATAACCAGCGATACTCGAGCGGTCAGGAGTGTCTTTTTGGTCGGAGGGAAATTTATGGATCAGACAGGGTTAAGGGGGATGAGAAGATGCAGAAATCAAATGCTAAATCGAGGAAATCTATTGTCTACGCGCCGTGGCTTCTATAATGTGTGCCTAAATATGAGTCGTCTTTACTCCGAAATGTGCGCCCATCGAACCTTCTGGCGGCTACTGGATCTTTTCTTGGCCTTCACCGCCTGGAGGGGGCGGGGCAAAAAAAATTGATTTTTCACCGCCCGGTGGGGTATTACATAATGCAGTCAGGGTCATGGTCGGTTTTCCGAGGCGTTGGTTGGCAGAACGGAGATACATTGAAGGGGGAAACTTTGCTGATCAGGCACCGATTTATTATTCGTATAGAGGATAATACTATCTTGGCCCTGCAGCTTCCTATGCATCAAGTCACACCACTGTGAGAAAGAGAGAGAAAAACAAAACAATCTCCTATCAGCCAAGAGAAGACGAACATTGCCAAGGGGAGACGGGTACAGATCATAAGAATAAGTACGAATGGCTGGAACAATGTGGCAAAAGAACGGAGGCAAGGAACTGTAAAAGTGGGACGAAACAACTTGACGTCAGACCCAGAATAATATCTTTCACACCATCTCACCGGAAAAATCGGAAACCCGCGACCCTCGCCGAGATGCCCTTGCAGCCTTCCCTCGTGGCTCATGCATCTCCATAGACTGCAGGGAGACACGATTGGTGGAGATAGACTCTCGGAGACCAGGTTGGACCTTTGCAGGTTCAATGTCAAGGGCCTCGGTGACAGCCCCAGCGGGCTCGTGTACAACAGACCACGATTCATCAGAGCTGGGCTTGTCTTCGATGATCGACATCCCAATGGAATCCCCGACCTGGCGGGCATAGTAGAGCTTTCGCTGGTCCTCTTCGCTCATCAGGCTCTCCACGTTATGTGGTAGAGAAACTGTGTTAGAACCGCAGTCCGATGACCCGCTGAACAAAGAGTCCGATGAATAGCGAAACTGGCCGGGGATATGGATCCGAGGAACGTGAGGCAGAGGAGTCTCCAGCTGAGGTAGAACCGGCCCTGGTCTTGGCTCACGAGTGCTGATATAACAGCCGTCGAGCACTTGCTCGGCAGGAGCAAATCGTCCTTTAACTTTCTCAGAGGGTCGAACTGGAACTGATCTCCGGCGTACAGGCCCGGCACGAAAAGTGTCGACGTCGACATTCAATTCATCACCCTTGGCTCGTGCCAGTGCCACTGCCTCTGCTGGCGTAGTATTCATATCTGCCGCGGCTGCATCAGCCCGTGGTCCACCCCAAGTGCGCTGCCCGGCTGTGAAAATGCCATATACCATGTAAAGCCAGTTGAAGAAAGGGTTCACGACAAACATCAGTGGGTACAACCAAGCCTTGAAACGTTTCAGCTGCAGCCCAAAGTAGAACATCAGCAAATAGTTCAGCCCCAGCGAGACTCCAATGAACCCGACTGGCAGGTCCTCGACTTTCTTCGACGTTGTGATGAGAGCGATCACCATGATGAAGAACAGCAGGGCAGTTGTGCGAATGGTGTTCTGCAGGAACCGCACTATACAGAGCATTGGGTATCGCGTCCATAGTCGCACATCCGTAAGCATGCAGACTTCGTTGGTGATGAAGCCCAGAAACCACCGACGACGTTGCTTCAAGAGACTCTTGAAGGTCCGCACTGCCTCGGTTTTGCAAAAGGCCCCGGTGCACATCTGGATCTGATAGGGCTTCTTCGCCCCGATCATGAAAAGATGAGTAAGCCAACGATCCTCTCCTAGATGGCACTTTCCATAATCAAAGAGGTCATCACATTGCTCTGCCTTGTCCGCAAAATAGTATTTGGCCATCTTGCGGAAGGCCGAGAATCGAAGAATTGTCAGTGCTCCCGGGAGACATGTCACCGCACCACATCCAGACTCGACCGACCGCTCGAAGAGTTGCCCATGGATATATTCCATGTCCTGAAGAATTGTGAGAAGAGAATTCTTTTCCGTCGTGGAGGTAATGATCCCGGTCATGGCCAACATGTTATGCTTGCTGCCAGGTTTCAGCTCCATATCGTACATGAAATTCTGCAGGCAGTATTGATCAAGAATGCAGTCCGAGTCAATGAACAATACGAATAGATCGTCATGCCGCTTCAGATATTCGGCATAGACCTTGTCGATGAGCTTGAAGGTCTGTTTTTGGCAGTTTCGCTTTCCTCCATGTTTGAAGCGCGAGACCGTAATTCGTGCGCGTTTGTAGACAACATCGATACTCTGAGGATAGCTTTTGAGAGATATCGGAATCCCAAGATGATGAAGGACTCGAAGGTAGGGCTCGTCCACTGCACCGCCGTCCCAAGAAAGAAACACATGGATGCAAGACGAGGGATAGTCGCTGTCAACCACGGAATCGACGGCCTTAATCAGGACCTCGGGGTCTTCCTTGTATACAGGCATCACAACCACGGTTTTCGGAGCATTCCGTTCATCCAGGGCCTCTTTGATTCTCCTTTTCCTTCCAAGGTGGTTGGTGACGAGCCCATAAACACAGAATAGCCACGGCCCGATAAGAAGAATGGAGAAGGACCAAAAAGCGAACCACTGGAACACAGTCGCCATGCGAGCAGGGAAGTATTTGGTGACATGAGGTGGCAGTGGCAGCGTAACCACCATCACAGGAAGAAATGCCAGCCTGCCGAGTGTTTGTCTTGTCAGCCATCTCATCTCATTTAATAAATTCAGGTCAACTTGATCGAGGTCGGCGTACCGGAAAACCGTGAAAAGCACAATCATCGCTGCTGCAAGAGCCTTTATGCTCCAGTGATCCGCTTTGAGATATACTTTGATCAGACAATAAAGAAATGCGGCAAGCCAGAGTATCCATTCGAAAGCGGCAGCCAGCATCAATGGGCCGACGATGGCCATGTAAGCAATCTGAGGGACCAGGTCAGAATCAAGTCACAGTATCGCCAGTGCCAACATACATCCTTGGCCGGCCAGCCATTTCCTGGTGCGATATCCCCGGTTTCTGTCATTTTCGTAGATGATCGCCAGGAATTTCACCGTGATCTCGTGGGAAGGACTTTCAAATGGAGATCGGCATCCTCTCACACGGGCTGGTATAAAGCAGCAGCTCGAGGATGCTATAATCTAGAATGATATCAAATGATGCTTGCAAATTGGCCGTCGCAACGATAATTCAGTGGAGATGAGATAGGCAGATGGCAAGTCAAAGGCAGCCAGGGTCGACAAGCAAATTCTGACATTGGGACGACGAGAGTGTGAGGCAGCGGCAGATGAGAGCAGAAGGCAGGCACGACCAGGTCCGGCCCCAGGGTATCTGCCTGATGTTTTGTTTGTTCCGAGGCCATTGTTCTCCTACTTGCAAACCCCACATACGCATGACAATCGAGCCATGGTTGCCTAAGCTAGGCTGCAAGTACAAATCATCTACTTGGCCTCGACTCTCCAGTCTACAACACAACCATCCATACAATAATTGCGGAGGATTCTTATACAAAGTGGATCCTCCAACTAGGCCGCATTCAGCCTAGTTCTGCAGCCTCAGGCAACAACGCAGCTTCCGCGCGCCGAAAAAAAATCCCATCCCCGCTGAGCTCTTTTATTAAGACAGTTCACTGCGCCCTTCGCCGAATTGGTTCTTCAACTTCTCTTCCGACCTCTCTCCATCTCCCCTTTTGAACCGAAATTCTCCAATCCCTTCTCCTGTTGCTGAACCTTTCGTCGCGACTGAACCATCCTCTTACTCTTACATCCCGAGCCGCAATTACTCCGATTTGAGTCACCTCAATCGCACATCTTACACCACCACAATGGCTGATGAGCAGAAGCCCGTCGCTAACGCGGCCGCCGAGCAGGATGTCCAGAATGTCCTTGCCGAGCTGAAGGAGAACGGTGCCTCCGCCGAGACTGAGAACACCGACAAGGTCGACGCCGACGAGGCGCGCATTGTCGCCGAAGCCGCCAAGCTCGGTGAAAAGTCAGAGCAGTCTGAGGAGAAGTCTCAGCAGCAGCGCGATTCGCGCCCTCAGCGTGGTGGCCGTGGTGGTCGCTTCACCCGCGCCAACAACGCCAAGTTCGACCCTTCCTCCCAGAAGGAGACTGACGACCCGGTCGAGATCCGCAAGCAGGTAAGAATCTAAACTGATCTTGAGGGAGTTGTGAAAGAATGGGCTCTCTAATACGATTGGAATAGGTTGAGTTCTATTTCTCCGATTCGAACCTGCCAATGGACAAGTTCCTTCTCTCCAAGGTTGGCGGCAGCGCCAACAACGCCGTGCCCCTCAGCCTCCTTCACTCCTTCAAGCGCATGCGTCGCTTCCAACCCTTCGAGGCCATCGTCAAGGCTCTCAAGGACTCGGATGTCCTGGAGCTGACCGATGACGACACCGCCATCAAGCGCAAGGTCCCTCTGCCCGAGTCCGTGAACAACGACAACAACGCAGAGGCCGTCAAGGTCTTTGAGGACAAGGCCATGGCCCGCAGCATCTACGCTAAGGGCTTCGGCAACTTCGGCGACGAGGAGTCGACCACCCAGCTCGACATCGAGGCTTTCTTCGAGCCCTACGGCCCCATCAAGGCCGTCCGCCTGCGCCGCACTCAGGACAAGACCTTCAAGGCCAGCGTCTTCGTGGAGTTCGCCGACGAGGAGAAGCAGAAGGCCTTCCTGGAGCTTGCCGAGAAGCCCAAGTGGAATGGCCAGGAGCTCGTCGTGAAGAGCAAGAAGGAGTACTGCGACGAGAAGGTTGCGGACATCAAGGCCGGCAAGGTCTTCGCCAACACTGGCCGCGGTGGTCGTGGTGGTCGTGGCGGCCGTGGCCGTGGCGGTCGGGGTGGACGCGGTGGTCGTGGTGGTCGCGATAGCCGCGATGACAAGCGCGACTGGCGTGAGCGCCGTGATGAGGACCAGAAGAGCGGCTTCAAGAAGGACGCCCGGGGCGTTCCCGTCGTGCAGGCTACCGGTGAGAAGCGCGCTCGCGAGGATGAGTCCAACGGTGACCACCCCGCTAAGAAGGTGGATGCCAAGGAGTAGATGGATCGCTCGTCGCCTCAATTTGCATTTTTCTTATGGGTTGGCCGGGATCAAAAAGTGTGATGATACGAACACAGTTACATAGGCGTTTATGTTTCATCAATTATTCTGATTTCATCATAATTTCAAGTCCGACTCTTTCGTTTGTATGCGCGTAGAGGTGTTCGCTCTGCGACTGAAGGTCCGAATACAACATATCACGAGTCTCGAGATTTTACGATACAAGCCTAGAACTCCAAATCATAGGCCAAAGTATCATCGCATAGCTCCTCTCTCATCTTGTGAACTCTGCAGGTAATGTCAGTAACATTTCAGCCTTCTGGTTAGAAGATTCAAATCTAATCAACGTACTCCAAATGAGCCGGATGCACGGCATAAGAAGCAACATGCTCCGGCTTCTCCAGAACCGCCACAAGACCCATATCGAATCCCTGTGCACGAGGGAGACAGATAGGAAGAGGCTGCCCGCATTCCATCGAGACCAGTCCTGTATCGGCAGTGTTAGAGAAAGCTTGAACTCCTGACCCTTGACGAGGATGACCGACCTGGAATCTTGCCAACCATACCCTTGGCCTTTTGAGTCCAGACACTCAGTTGAGCTGGTGTCACGCCTTGCTTGAGGCGAAAGAGAACTGTTTGAATTGAAGTTAGTTATTGGGATGTGACGTAGATGTCTATCGCCCCGCATTCTTGGGATCGGAGGGGTTAGGAGGAGGGATGGGTTAAGTGGGTGCTCACCGATGTGGTAGACGGGCATTATGGGGGATCTACTGCCGGTAGTAGAGGGTTATATAATTGATGTAGAAAGTAGATTGGGTAAGGTTATAAGTTGACGCTTAATATGTCGGAATGGAAGGGCTGTTTATTAGTGGCAATGTCCGAGGGCGCGGGGCATCGGGAAAGCTCCGATACTCGCGTCCAACCGGCTGGTGTATACATCGGACATCTCAAGTCCGGCAGAACAAAGAGGCTAAAGTGCTTTGCTGTTTATGATCTGGAAAGTTCGAGATTGTGATGCATTCTTATTGTCTTATCGGACACTAGAAGTTGGGGCAAGGCACACTTCTTATAGCTATATCTGTATCCGCATTATACCAGAAACCTCTCATATTTCTCAACCCACGTCAAAGGCAGCGGTATAATCATAAGTCTACACAACCTGAAAGTCAACCGACTTACTAAAGATAGACATCGCTACCTAATAACAAGCTATAGTATTCCACAAAAATCTAGATAGAACTTGAGTTCGGTAGCCATCGCTACTCAGAGTATTTATCAAAACTTCTTCATTATAGAGGTAAGCCTACTTTAATGCCTCTGAAAATATAGATGAAATCCATTTCTCCTTAGATTCATCTCATCTCAATGTACTTTGCTAATAGAAATGCAATTTTGCCCTTTTCGGGAACAAGTGTGGAGCCAGGCGGCGGGGAATTTTATGCCTGCTCATCACCATGACTCCGCGACGATCATAGCTCCAACCAACTTGACCCTCTCTTCTCTGCCCCTCATTTACAGTTGACGGGTATTGAAGCTACTATCTAGTTCTTCAACCTCACTTTTGAGCTTCGCTATCTCTGAAAATGTTCAAGAAGAAGCCTACTGTACGGGAAACCCCTCTCTCCCCGCACTGCCCCTCCATTCGGAGCTATCGAAGCCCGCGCGCTATTAAAAAATATCAATGGGGAAATCTATGGACTAACCAACTATTAGATCAAAAACCTCTCCCCTCTACGGTCGTCGGACCGGAGGAAGATCGCCGACCAAATCATCAAAGACTACCAGATCACCGTCCCGACAGCTGCGGCTGAAATCCCCGCCGAAGGAGCGACTACGCCAACGCTCGCTTCAATTCGAAATACCCTTCTTCCGGAAAATGCCTTGACTGCGCGCTTTACAACAACGGCAGGTCCTGATCTGCGTGAGGTTCAGGGTATCGTGTACGTTGGCACACATCCAGATGGAGACGAACGAGTGCTCTGGTTCAAGGTCGAACATGGGCCCGGGTCGGACAAGCGCCTCTACCCAACGGTTTATACTTTATGGCACAATTCAAACTTGGTGCCTTTGCTGTATACTCCGGAAATGGTTATGCGGAAGCTTCATGGCGGTGCAGACCTTATGACGCCTGGGTTGGCAAATGAGCCACCCTTCCCCGAGCGAGCGGTCAAGGGAGCAGTGGTTGCTGTGGCCGGGCTGGATAAGCATACTGTGCCTCTATTTGTGGGTGTTTGTGAGATTGATGTCTCTGCATTGGGAGAGGTCCAAGGCACCAAGGGTCATGCCGTTCGAGGTATTCATTGGGAAGGTGATGAGCTGTGGGCTTGGAGCTCGTCATCCCGGCCTGGTCGTCCAGCTCCGGAGTACCTGAAGGGCTGGGATGAAGAGGAAGATGATACTGAAGAGGTGGAGGAAGCTGTTGGTGCGCTCACACTCGAAGAGAATAGCGATGAAGTTAGAGAGGCTTCAGATGAGGCTCCTGTGGCTGAAGAAGAAGCGCCCGCGGTGCAGGAAAAAGAGCCCACAACCAAAGGTACGGATCTCTTCGACTATTCATACTGGCTAGTACTAACATCATCCAGAAATTGATGACGCCTTTGTCAATGCTTTCATCTATGCTATCTACAAGCTCAAGCAGGACAACCCATCAGTCCCCAACCACGGCCTCACACTGCCCGTCTCGCCTTCAATCTTGATCGCCAACCTCGTCACACCTTACCTCCCCATCTCATCCGCACAACAAGCTCAATACTACAACATTAAAAAGACCAGCTGGAAGAATGTTAAAAAATTCATCAAGCATCTCGATAAGATGCAACTGGTCAAGTCGAAGGACCGTAGCGGCCAGGAGACATACATCCTGGACATCGATTTCGGCGACCGCCGCATCGAGCAATTCGTCCCATACAAGCTCCCATCAAAGAACGCCCTCGAGTCCTCCGCCAAATCCTCAACCTCGGAAGCAGCCAAAAAGCCCACCGCAGCGGACGACGCCGATCACACCGTGGGACAAACCCTAAACGTCCAAACTCTTTACCGACCAACAGCAAAACTAACCCCAGACATCTTCCCGGCCTCATCATCAAGCAACCCCAAAAACTACTACAAATACACCGACGTCTCCACCCATCTAGACCAATACCTCCAATCACAAAACCTCATCTCCCCCGAAAACCGCCGCATCATCAATCTAAACCCCTACCTCGCAAACACAATCTTCACTTCCTCGTCCCCAGAAGACCAAGGAACTCTCAAACGCGGCAAAGTCACCCGCGACGGCCTCCTCAAGCGCCTGCTAGAAGACCACACCTTCTTACAACCGCACTACGCCATTCTGAAGCCCGGCCAGACCCTCGCAGACGTTAAGCCCAAGGCTGGTGCTACGCCGAAGGCCCTCGTGACGCTGGAGAAACGCACGGGATCCAAGACTGTCACTAAGGTGACTAATTTGGAGATCTTTGGGATTGTGCCGAGTCTTTTGGCGGAGGAGTTGCAGAAGAAGTGTGCTAGTAGTACTAGTGTGACGCAGGCTGTTGGTGCGCCGAAGGGGGTTATGGAGGTTCTTGTGCAGGGGGATCAGAGGAAGATTGTTGACAGTGCTCTTTCGAGGAGGGGGTTGAAGAGTCAGTGGGTGGAGGTTGTGGATAAGACTAAGAAGAAGAAATAGTTGCATAGTTGTGGAGAGAGAATGGGATCAATTTCGCAGGTTATATTTTCTGGCATTTTCTGCGTTGGAATGAATACAATTTCCGTGCATCTGAGATACTCGCAGGTACAAGTGATCCCACGTCTATCTATATGAGGTCAAATTTCAAGATAACCCCCATTCTACAATTAAGGTTTACGTATCTGGTAGTAATTGAGAGCAGTCAAACAAGTCCATTCATGAAAAAAGTATATAAAAGAGATCTAGAAAGAAGTCCGGATCTCTTATCCCTCTATGAGAGAAAGAAAAGAAAAAGAAAAATGGTAACAGCATATGTTTACACAGCGCTCCGGGAAACCCAAAATCCTCACCAAGGGACGGGATACCTGATCCAGGCCAAGAAGAAGACGATCAAGAGAGAAGAAAATGAATCATCAGATATGAACAAAAACAATCAAGAGAAACCAACCAAAGATTGGCACTCAACTATTCCGCTCATGTCTGGCTGCGCGAGGCGCTTTTTAGACGGTAAGGTCACGCGCGTGCACCTTCTTGTCGCTGACGAGCCACTTGAGGGTCTGACGAAGCATGTTGAGGAACTGCTCGGCGGTCAGGGAGCTCAGATAAGAAGACCAGTCCTTGGAGTTGTAGGAGCTAGACTCGGAAGAGGAGGAGCTAGAGCCAGAGCTGGTGGTAGAACCAGTAGTGGTAGAGCCGGAGCTAGACGAGTCCGAGGAGCCCGAGGAGGAAGAGGAGGAGGAAGAGGAAGAATCCGAGCTGCTGGCAGCAGGAGTCGAGCTAGCGGCGGACTGGCCTCCCGCGCTGGCGGTGACGGTGACGGTGTCATCAGCGCTAGGAGTCTGGACATTGGGCGAGTCAGTAAACTGAGCTGATACAGTGGCAGTGGCATATTCGGTGGCAGTTGCATAATCGGTGACGGTGGAGGCCTGGTTCTCAGTGCCGGAGGGGGCAGTGAACTGGGGACGGCCCGAGGGAGCGGCACCGTGGCCTGGACGACGACCGTGCGAGGACGGACGGGGCAGGCGGGTGGAGTTGGAGAAGGGCGGGATGGATGAAGGGCTCCGGATGGGGGTGGCACTGGCACTGGGGGTGACACTAACGGGGGAAGCGCTGGAGATCACTCCGACGGAGGCCACGGTGGACGAGGGAGCGGCAGTGGTGGCAGCAGCAGCGGTAGTGGTAGCGGCCACGGAGGCAGCGGTGGTGGTCGAGTCCGAGGAAGAGGCGGCACCGGTGTACAGAGCAGGGCCGGGGATAGTGTAGGAGCTCAGGGACTGGTAGATGTTGACCAGGATGCCGGGGTCAGTATCCTTGTAGAGAGCGGTACCGAGGGTGCCGGTGGGAGAGTCGCTGCCGCCGCCGGTGACCTTCAGGTTGAGACACTGGGGGTAGTTCTGAGCGCCGTCGGTGTTCTCGGCAGAGTGGAGAGCGATGATCTCGTGGCGGAGGACGTAGTTACCGGCCTCAATGGTGCTGGGGATAGTGACGGTACGGCTGTTGTTGTTGCTGATCAGGTTGTCGGAGGCCCAAGTACCGGGAACGGTGGTGTCATCAATGAGACCGCCCTCGTCGATCTTGAAGAACTTCAGGGTGGTCTTGTCGACGGTGGAGCAGTCACCATTGCAGTTGGCCAAGTAGGTGATGACGGGGCCGTGGTGAGACTCGGGCCAGGTAGTCCACTGGAGCTCGACGCTGCCACCGGCCTTGACGGGGGCGGAGATAGCACCGGGCTCAGCGCTCTTGTGGCAAATGATGTCCGAAGAAGCATACGAAGAGCCATCAACGTAGCCCAAGTCGGTAGCAGTGTCGGACCAGGCAATGGTGTCGGGAGGGTTGGACTCGTAGGGGTACTGAGTAACCAGATATCCACCGTAGTAGGTACCGTCAACAACGGCACCGGAGACGTAACCGTGACCAGCGACCAGAGCGGCCGAGCCGAGGACAACACCGGCAATCTTGGAGAAAGACATTGTTTGAGTCGGTTGGTGAGAAAATGAAACGCACAGCGTTTTTTGGACCCGCGAGGGAAATGGAAAAAAAAGAGTCGAAAAAGAACGAAAATGGGGACTTCAGTCAATGAAGTCAACCCAAGGGAAGAGAATGGAAAGGTACTAGACCTTGAAGGAAAGAAAGAATGGAGTGTATAGAGACTGTTGATAGAAAAAAAAAAAAGAGGGAGGATTGATCGCGTTGCTTTATATGCTGCTCGTCGGTCGAGGCTCGCCCGGCATCATAGCTCCTTTGGGATGCACGAGCAAGCCACAGCAGCAGCATCAACTCCACCGGGACCTGACAGTTCCTTGATGGTCGAAGACCCCTTAATTCAAAGGATGTCTCTGTCATGGACTGAAGATGGATGGATTCCACCAAAAGGGACGGTCGGTCATAGGTGGAGAATCTCTGGCGACCGAAAGGGTAGCTCTCCGAGGTCCCAGATAGATGAACATTCCAGTCTGGTGGGTGGCTGTTAGACAGTTAGACTGGTTTGCTCTCCACCGGGGTTAATTAGGCTATACTCAGTATACTCAATGCATCCATTTTGAGGGGATGTCTGGGGCTCATTCAAACCGCTAGTCGGTAACCGTCGATCTTGGGCGGCAGTCTGCGACGGTCTAGGTTTCATCCTGATGGCCACTCCCCCTCAGATTGGCAGTTGGTCCCTGCGTCGGTGGATGAGATATATCATCATCACTTGCATCACTTTTACCGAGTCTGGCATCCAAGCTCCTGCCCGATGTTGTTTGGGTGGTTGATGTTTGATGTTTGAGGAGGTTAATTTCGGTCCAGGGAGAAGCTTGGTTTGGGGTCACCCTCGTCACCCACGAGGTGAAGGCTAGACCGGGTCGGTTAATTCATGGATATCCAGCATGATAAAGGATGTGACGAGCAGGTATGGTTTGTTTTATGCATCCATCTCTGGTGTCAAATTATGAAACGGGCACGGAGTAAACAGTGACCTCGAGCTTGATCATGACAACATTGAATCCCTTCAAGTCATGGTTAGTCATCATAGCTTCAGTTGGAAACTAGTTAGTTAGTTAGTTACCTAGGTTGGTTAGTAAACTAAAGAGTCGTTAAGGTGAATCAAAGCCGTTGCGACCGGCGCAGAGTTAGTGGGTTAGTGACTGTTAGTGTTAGTTAGGTCCATTCTCCCGGCCCACTGCGAAGATCCCCGTCAAGAGGGGGCTGGGGGGGAGGCTTTGGGAATATGCTTTCAAGCTCGTGCCATTCCACCACATTGGCGGCAAACTGAACCATCCCGATCCACATTTAGATCATATTACAGTCACCAACATGCGTTCGAACCGCCGGGACTCCAGCTGTCGGTGAGGATGTAATTTCCCCTGCAGCGATGGACGAGGAAGGGGGTGGCAGCTCCGGCGCGTAGTCGGGGAATTTTTCTGAAACCTTCGGCGGGCTCGGCACGCCGGGCAGGGCTAGGAAGTCCGGTCAAGGAGAACATCTCAGGAAGCCCAGACCGTGAACGAGTTTTCCCAGCGGACGTTGGCGCCTGGTCTTGGCTGCGGGCCTCCTTCATTCAATGTGCAATACGCGCTCCGTAGTCTCCATTAGTCTATCAAAAACCTCCCTTCTTCGGTGACCAGGCCCGAGACATTCTTCGGAGCATCCCTCCATATCTCCTACTCAGTACTTACGGAGTGGAATTGCTTGCGAATTCTTCATTCTCTTCTTCGTCATTGGGAAAAAACATCATCGCCACTAGAGAACGCACTGTGCACTAGGCCATGCCGGCTCTTGTAGCACTGACCTTCTCGGGCGCGAGGTCGGCGAGAAGTGCAGCGGGCTGGCTGGAGTCTTGTTAAGCCCCGGTTAGATGCATTGTCTGAAAGGTTATTTTTTTAGAATCCAAATGTCTAAAGTGGGCGATATCGGATGTACAGCTCAAACTTTGATCTAGATAGCACGGAGAGGAGATCAGTAGGTAAATGCCTTTGGTTGATGACAATTACTTCTGAGGCACCTTGGAAGCCCCCACATTCCTGGCGGGGAGATTGGAGATCACAGCAGTTCAACCAATGGAATAATACAAAGACAATGGGATTTTATGACTGCGGGAGTTTAGGTAGGAAGAGTTTGGTTCTATTGCTAATAAGAGAGAGAAATGTACGAGCTCAATGCATTCATGGCCAGGCCAATGGAAACCCGGCGATCTAAGTATATAGGTCTAGCCGGCAGGTTACCTTGGATATATGTATCCACCTTCGTAGCTTTGACCCGACCGGAATAGAAGCAACAAAGGTACCCGTTGAGAAGCTGATAGACGTTAACGGGTCCTTTAAATCGGCCGTGCCATTCTAGTAATTTCTCTAGTCGAGCCGACACATCAACGGTTTCCCTTCGGTTGTGGAAAGGCTAGCTGCAGGAAAGTTAAGACCAATTGCCGGTGCCGACCCTCGCACACTGATTCGAGACCTCGTTCTTGAGTGACGTGCATTACGTAGCGTACCACAATCCTTACTATCAATGCGGAGCACTGTCTACCGGCATTGGGGGCATATCAAAGTCGATATGTTACATATAAGGTACGGGGTGGTTGGGATGAATAGCAACCCGAACAAGACTAGGCGATCCGATCCGCATCTATTATGCTTTTATCGCCATTATCAGTTATCGCACTGGTATCACCCGGGGGAAGATAGTGGCACAAGCCCGCGATAGCGTGACACAAAGCGTATGCGAGAGGTGCCCTGAGACAATGATTTTCATGATAATTGGGTTTGTGTTCGTCATCACCGAGCGGCTGGGAATTTAGATCCATGCAGGTCGGGGCAAAAACCGACTGTGCCTACTGTGCCTAAGGGATCAGTGCGGCCCCGTCGTCGATGTTGTACTCCAGAGGTAATCCGCAAATGCCGTTACCAAAGAAATAGCGTGGGGGGAGCAGGATTCGAAGAGAGAGTACTATAATCATCGGCCATTGCGTTGTTGATCATTCCTAGGGGAGTTGAGTGCATCACGAACCCACGATTTGTGGCTGACTTGAAGCCACGAGGACTAATGCCAAGGTCAAGGAACGTGTCAATATGCTAGGAGAACCGAGATAGGTAGGACTGTCATGTATGTGGTCTAAAATAGGCGCGAATCTACCATAATAAATAATAATATCAGCTTAGAGGGTGTTCTTCATCGAACGTGGTCGACCTGTAAAGAAGTCCAGAGATGAGATTATGGAATGCGCCACTCCGGGCGGATAGGGTATCCGGTGTAATAGAATACGGGCATTGGCCTATCTTTTGGCGGTGAATTGCCTGCCAAGCTATAAATATCGGGTATCTGGTAAGACCAAATTGGTAACGAGCGTATTGGCCCGTCACCGCTGGAGTGGCAGCCTCAGGTGTCGATGGCTGATCGTGGTGGGAAAATGGTTGATTCGAACAGGAAGGAGGAAAAAGAAAACAGCACACAAGAAAAAGGCCATATGTCTGTGATGGAAAGGGGTAGATGCAGCAAAATTTTATTTTCTTATACACTACGATAGTATAGTTGTTTTCCAACCGGAAAAAAAGACCGCAACACAAAACTACTAGCTTTGGCCGACCAAGAGGAATTAAGAGTACTTCGAGTCCACGTTCTGTTGAGAGGGTTTCTTTCTGCCGGTCTGGATCGCCGCTCACACTTTTCCCGCTCTCCTTTCTCGACTCCACAAGGCAGTCACTTTCCTCTTACCCCAGCAACGACGACCACGACACTCTTCGTATATATACACGCCTGATATACTCCTGTTCCAGGAGCCATGGTCTTGGGAGACCGGTCCTGGTGCATCGCGTGAATCTCATCGACTCCAACCGTCTGATCGGCTCTCATTTCCACCCCTAATTCCTCCCACCGACGTACGTTCCTCCGAACTCCGCCGCCCGCCCCCCCAACCGTCTACACACGCGACAAGCCAACATCGTCCCAAGTCGAGCACAGTGCGAGAGTGGTCGGTCGCTTCCATATCCCCGTCGTGATACTTGGAGCCTATTCGAGCCAGAAGGGTATACAAAGTATGGGACCAGCAGAGACACCATCCTCACCCGCCTTCCCTGCCCTGGACCCCATCATCATGGACGACGAGATGGAGTCCACCTTCCGCAACGCCAACATGGACTTTCTCGACCCATCCAAACTTGATATGCCCTCAGAGTCTGCCGGAGGGGACTTTGACGATTTGTTCTCCCATGTCACCCATTCTCGCCCTCACGGGGCTCCAGAGTCGTCAAAGCGCTACCGCGACCAGCACCCCCTGAGGCAACAACCGATTATGACCGCCGATTCCCCTGCAGAGTCGCCTGAAAACTCGAGTCGCAGTTCGTCATCTGAATCTCCGCGAAACCACTTGCGCCACGCCTCCATCGCATCCACCAACTCCGCCGCCCATAGTGAGAACCCGCACATTTCGACAGGATTTGCGGCAGAAGACTGGATGCGCCCCGATCTTTCGTCCGTTAAAGAGGAATCGCCCTTCACGATAGATCCGTCATATCCTATGGATGGCGGTGTTTCCATGGATCACCCCGACTTGGAGTTTAGCAACAAGGCCATGGATGCCGCGTTTGACTTTGAGAGTGCGGCAAGCAGTCCCAGTCCATTGAAGACGGAGAACGCACCTCAACTTAACGGGCACAAGAAATCTAAACAGCAGATTTGGAGTCCGTCCAATGTTTCGGCTGTTCCACCATCTAATGATGTACAGACCGCATCTTCGGTGAGTCATCTTCCCTATGAATGGCACGGGTTAAGCATACAGATCGAATTCTAACATGATATCCAAATAGGTTTCCCAGGGTGCAAGCCAATTCTACCCATTTGGATACAAGGAACAGTCTCCCTTTGGAGGTCAATTCACCAATGGCACTGACAGATTGTCTGCACCCCAGTGGTCTGGTCAATCTCCGTCATCATTGTTGGAGGAAAGCTTTGGAGGCATCAATATGAATGGACAGTCTCCGATGAATGCTTCCATGTCACCAAACATGAACTTTGGCTCGCCCAGCGCTTTTCCATTCCCGGCCAACTTCGCATCTTCACCGGCTCAACCGCAGATGGAAGCCGCCAACTCCGCACAGCCTGTGTTGACCGTTCACCCCACCTCCCTTAAATCGCGTGTCGAAACCCAAATCCCAATTCGCTTGACACTTTCTCCGCTGCCGGCCGGCGTAAAGAAGTTGCGCCTCCCCTCACACACCATCTCCAAACTCAAATTCCTCGCCCCTCCCTCCACTGAATCTACCCCCGACACCCTCCAATTATACACGAGTTTGGTGTGTACGAGTGCAATGCAGGATCGAGACAAGCTGAAACGGGCATTTGCACGCACCCGTGGCGAAAGAAATCCCGCAGGCGCAAACGGAACGGAGGAAGAACGTCCATTGGATGGTGGAGATGTCAAGATCTGCACGGGCTGTATCCAACGAGAGCGGAAGCGTGCTTCTCGGAAGAAGCAACGAAAGCCTGAAGAGGATGAGCTCTTCCAAAAGGATGAGGAGAAGCGTGTCATTGTATTCAACACCAGCGAAATCAAAGAGTGGACTGAGCCACCCAAGACCGCTGGTGTCGGTTACGGTGAAATGCCTCCGGACCCTCCGGGATCCATGCAGGTTGAACTGCCCATGCGAATTGCTTGCTACTGTCGACACCAGAACGAGAAGCTCGGATTCCAGGTCATCTTCACTGTTAAAGATCATTTGGACAACGTTGTGGCGCAGGCGATCACCAACTCCATTATGATTACGGATGACCACAAGACACAAGCACCTTCTGCTCCCCCAGCAGCTGGCCCTTCGCCCTCTCTGCCGGATGGAAGTCAGTTGCCGGGTGTCGGGGTCTTTTCATCGGGCGACAATGGCAAAACTACAAATGGTGCATTCGCATCCCCACAGTCTCCCACAGACCTCCAGGGCCTCCAGCAAAGGTTCAATTCTCAGTATCAGCTCACTCCCAGCTCTTTTGCTCCGGCTCAAGCAGTCCCCAGTGGCGTGCCCTCGAATTCTCAAACGCCTCGAAACCTGTCTCGACAGGCGTCGCCTACCGACTTCCAGGGCCCGCAGACTAAGCGACGGAAGCATAGCAGCTCCGGCCGACTTCCTTCAGAGTTGACCATGACTCGAATGGAGACACCTCAGTCATCTAGCTCGGCTATGAGTAATGCTGCACAGCTTGCGGCAGCTCGTGGCTTCGCCTCACCAACTGAACGGCCATTCGTGGCCCCGTCGTCAATGTCTGGGCAATACGGCAATGGACCCCCCACCCCGAACCAGAGCAATGACAACAATCCCTTCTTCAACCCGACGCCTGCTCAACGACAGAGCCTGGATAGCCTGGCTCAGCAAAACTTGGTTTCTGCGCCAAACTCTGCTCACCCTAGCCGTCCTGGAACTCCCGGCGCATCTGGCCGTAATGCTTTCCAGGACCAGAATCTTGCGCTCGCGCTCGGTGCTACGTCTGCGAATCAGATATGGCCTTCTCTCGCAACCACTCCAAACCGGTTGCCCTCCGTCATTCACAAATTGGTCCCTGCCGAGGGTTCAATCACTGGAGGTACAGAAGTCACCCTGTTGGGAAGTGGCTTCTATCCCGGCATGGAGGTGGTCTTTGGCGATACATTGGCAACTACTACTACCTTCTGGGGTGACAAGTGCCTCAACTGCCTCACCCCTCCCGCTCTCCAGCCAGGATTGGTGTCGGTGGTCTTCAAGCACGAGCATCCTACTTTTGGACAAGTGCAGCAGCCTCAACCGCTCATGCCCAAACAGCAACTTTTCTTCCGATATGTTGATGATCGTGAGCTCCAGATGTATCGCCTGGCTCTCAACATTCTTGGACAGAAGTTGGGTAGCCAAGCGGATGCATTCCAAACGGCCCAACAGATTATGGGAAGCGACCCGAACGCTATCTTCAATATGCAGAAGGACATGCAAGGTGGTGGTTCCTCTGGCGGTCACCAACGCCAGGTGCCCGGGCACGAGTCTCAAGGCAAGCTTAGCGATCTTGACTCCAAGATGCTGACCTACCTCGAGTACATTGACCTCGACGACAACCCTCGGCCGCCGCGCTACAACTCTCGTAGCGCCACGGGCCAGTCTCTTCTTCATTTCGCAGCTTCGTTGGGTCTGACTCGATTTGTCGCGGGCCTATTGGCACGTGGTGCAAACCCCGATGTACAGGATAACACTGGCAATGCGCCCATGCACTTGGCTGCGCTTCACGGTCATGCCCACATCGTTAACCGACTTCGCCTGGCAGGTGCCAATGCCAATGCTCGTAGCGTGCGTGGCTTCACTCCTGCAGACTTGGCGACAACCCTCCCTGCCCACCAGGCTGCTCTTCTCCCCTCTCGCCACTACCGCTCGCGTAGCGTTGGATCCCTCACATCGCGTCGGAGACGCAGCAGCTCTGCTTCTCTCAATTCACTTTGGGAGGCGTCGTCGGCATCGGGCTCACTGGGTCATACTGTCGATGATTCGGAAGAGCTTGATGACAGTGAAGAGATTGACAGCGATGATTCCGAAGCTCCCCTGTTCTTCAGTGCTTCCCGGCGGTCAAGTATGCACCAAGATGCTATTCCCCCCGTTGTGGACGGTGGTGAGCAGCCTGCTGCACCCGATGCGCGCGGGTTCACCACGGCAGCAATCGTTGCCTGGCGTAACCACCTTGCGGGGCAGATCAATCAGTTCCAGCAGAGCGTGGCCAATGCCTTCCCCAACATTCCTGCGTTGCCTCCTATGCCCGCTATGCCTACTATGCCTGCTATGCCCGCTATGCCGGACTACCAGGCCAATCACATGATGCGTCGCATCACAAACCTCGTACCTCATCGACCCACGGCTCGAGACGGATGGTGGGATTTGCTGAAGGGGAACAACACTGCCGCTCAAACCCAGAACCAGCCGCCTTCGTACGATGAGTTATATCCGCACCAGCAAGATGATGCAGAGGCGACGGAGCTGAAGAAATCATCTCTCTTGCGTGCTGCCACGGAGGCTGCCATGGACCAACACTTTGAAGCACAAACCACCCTCCCGTCTGCGTCTACATCAACCGCGGCTGCTACAATTGAGCCCAGCACCCATGCAGTCAACGATGATCTTAAAGATATTACCATTGGAAGCAAGCTCATCTCACGAGAACAACAGAAGCATCTCCGAGAGCACCAGGCCCGCCGCATGAAGGGTCTAGGCAGCGACCGGAACCTCTATTTTATTTGGGTAAGTCAACGTACATATCCACATGTCTAAGCCTAGGATTTCATTACTAACTTTTCCTTCTAGATTCCTCTTCTGCTTCTAGTTATTTGCGCTTGGGTTCGGAATTACGTGCCCGGTATCTGGCAAGGCGTCACGGACAGCTATGACTTTGTGAAGGCTCGCTACACACAGCAGGCTGTGGGATTGGGCATTTAGGGACCGTTTTTCATTTTTCTTTTGTCGATTCATTTTCATTACTTTACCTTTTTGAACCTTCTTGGGGCCCTTGGTATATTTGGATCCGGTGTTTCTTTTTCTCTTTTTGCTTGAGCGAATTGTCGCGACCTGGCACTTTTTATCTTTTTGGTTGTTGGCTCCTGTGCTTTAACATTCATTCTTGGTTTCGCGCATAATGAGAGGATACGACTATATACATATATTCGAGCTTGCAAAGGCGATGCATTGTTCTTTCGAGATAGGGGCTGCATAGGTAGACATTTCAAGTGTTTCTAAGTATTCTGTTCCTCGTGAGCGTACGGCGACGGCGGACGATGCCGAACTTATGAAACCCACAATTCTAGCCCTTTTACACATATAACCAATTTATACTCTTTAGGGAGGTTCGTTTCCCACTAGGCTTAGCGTCGTCGAATTGACATCCTTTTTACTCTCTTATGAAATTCCGTTCCGAAAATTGATTCTAGGTGATTTTTGTGAATCGCCCGAGGAGATCGCTTAGCCCTGTAGCCTCTGGGATCCGTCCCTGCCACCACATTACAACGGCGGTGGTAATCCCGCCTAGAGCCACGGCCGTGAGAGTCAAGTTGCGCAGACATTGAATGATGCGCCCTTTAACGAGTTCATCTGCGCGCTCGGCGTAACTTCCCGGAGTATTGGTGTGGGGAAAGGGCTCGTCAGGAACAGGCTTGTCGAGGAACTATCTCTGTCATCAGCCACAGTTTTGAGAAAACCCTAGATTCTTCCCGAATCATACCTTGCAAAGCGGCTCCCAGCCATCCTCGACGGACCACTCAAGCAAATTATCCTTAGGCACCATACCCCGAACCATGTTGCAGTGGTCACGATAGACCCACTTGGCATTTTGCTGGATACTATCTGTGGTGGTGACGCCGTGGAACACGCATGGATATCCATATCTTAAGTAAAGACTGTATAGCCAATGAAACTCCGAGGAGAACCATTGCATTCCCCACATGATCCATGATTGATCGACCCCTTGGACGATGGTTTTGTCGATACTGCGGTACCAGGCATTCATATCGGGACGCAAATTGAGAACCACTTTAGCATCTGGGTAGGCGGCTAGCAGCTCGGGGGCAAAGAAGAGGCATAAGGAGTCAACCACAGCTTGGCTATCACCTATGAGAATATCGAACTCCGCGCTGGTAATCTGCACGTCGCCATCGCGAGCACCGTTGTATTTCCGCCGCAGTAGCTCATTACAGAGTTGCAACTTGCTGCCATCTGGCTCGAAGACTAAATCCCAGCCATGATATGTTTGCAGACCCAGACTTCGCAAGCCCACGCTTAATGACTCGGTTCCGGTACGTGGTAAGCCCAGGCAAAGTACCTCGACGGGCTTGCTGCGTTTGTGCGGAGCCGGTTCGGGGAATCCGTATAGTAATCGTTGGAGGGCGTACATTGTGGCTTGGAAAAAGGTGAAACTAGCGTGAGGCTAGGAAGAAGCAGGGTCTTCCACTTAAGTAGTAGCTATAATCGGTCGCCTGATTCTCAGAGCAGGCCGATTGGGGGCCTGAAGCAAGGGAACCAGCTAAGGCCAGGATATGACGTACTCTCACGTTGCTATAGTAACTTCTTTTGCCTTTCCTATGAGCTTCAGCGTTTATAAGAATTTGAGCCCTGAATACTACTTGAAAAAAAGAAGTTTATTAGGCGACCCATATCGATGTTATGTTCCTGGGAACGCTTCCTTCAGTCGACTATTACGAGCTTGAATGGGTTTTATCGCAGGGCTTATGGAGTGCCAGAGACGTTTGGCAGGCTCATTACTCTTGCGACACACGAAGAAGAATTCCTGCAAAACCAGGACTGCACTATCCCAATCTTTTAGGGAAAGCTGCTTCGCGGATGCTCTCAACCCTGTAAGACACCATTTATGAGATTCAAGGCCTGGACTAGCAAGAGCCCCCAAGAAGAGAGACCAAAATATCAAGTCCGGTGCGGTTGTCTCCAGTTCGGAGCGGCTTTTTTCAAGACTTTGTCGAAGTTTCCGGTTGAGATATCCTATGCAGGGTTTCCCTTCGAATTTCCAAATTCGTACCACAGAATAGAGCAGGATTGAGGTCCTGATTGTGTCTTGAACGGGAGTTAAAGTGCAATCGTAAGGTAGAGAGTATAACTGGCGGACCAAAAGAAGTAGATAGTCATTTTCTAATGGCAGAGACCGCGTATCTGTACCTTCAATACTCTCATAATGTGAGATAAGTCGTTGGAATGATCGAAGAATAGAGTGTAGCTCGGGACAGATATTCTGGGACAAGTCCGAGCTAAAGAACCGTGCCCCGACAGTGGAGGAGGTGTTGTGACTTTTGAAAAGGGCAGAATCGGCTTGTGTTCTAAGCATCCACTTTCTGGAGAGGTCGAAGATTGGAGGTGAGCTTTTGAGGATTCCGTAGAATAGCTCACAGCTATTGGTGATAAGTATGTTGGTGAATTCCTTGAATCAATCTGGGCGTGGCTTACCAGTATATGGTGGAAATAGTCAGATCTCCCAAAGCATCTATCCCTCCTAGTTCGCTGATGATTGCTTTTAACCCAGCGACGTGTGCTTCGACTGCTTTCAAATTGCCTTGGGCCGCCTAGACGTTGTTACTGATTAGAATTTGTCACCGCGAACATATACGAAGGGATCAAATAACTGACCTCTATACAAAATAGATTAGTGACTAAGAGGATCGTAAATTCTGAACGAATTTCAGAGGGACGGGTCAAGATCTCCTGCAATGACTTTATTGCCCGAGAACGTAGTTGAAGCATATCTTTGGCACACCGGTTCACGTCTCGCATTGGTGCACCCCGTATGTACAAATTTGTGGTACGACTAGCAGCACTCAGGAACATGATGACTTCTGCCAGGGCTGGCTGGCTGAGAGCTTGTCGAAAGAACCAAATGGTCATATCTGTTGCACTGAATGGGAAAGACACTTTGGAGACATAGATCTTGTCTGTGGAGGTAATAAGCGTCTATCCGCTGGGAACTCTGCTGTATTCGACCGACAGGGACGGTTGAACTAGGATGTTGAGTATACTTACAATAGTCAAAGTAGAGATCCATATCCTCATTCATATCAAGGCATAGCGAGGGATACGCCTCTACCATGCCGGCTTTAGGAGATTGAACAATCACAGGCCCATAGAGATTGAATTCATCGCTGGTTGGCGACTCGTCTTTCCTTCCACTAGGGGGGTGGGATAAAACAGAATCTCGGATGACAGGGTAATGCCTCTTCGGAAACGGCGTAATGGAAGATTTCAACTTCTCAAGCTTTGTTTCTTTTCGAAGCCGATGACTACGGGATCGTATGAAGGCGTGTTTTGTCCGATAAAGAGTGGAATCCCTAGCCTGGGATGATTCATCTTCGTAATCCACCCAGAGGAAGTCCACGGGCCGCTGCGCGGTTTGCCTACAAGGCTTCGGCGGCATTTTAAAGTTGTGCTGAGTTGATTTTTCAGGTGTACTCGGGGACAGTGTACCAAATAGAATAGTCAAATGTGCTAGAGATGATAAATGAGCAATTAAGGTGGCGTTCATGAGTGAACCGAAGACGACGAGGCCTGATCAGCCCCCCGAAAGCTTGTCGCGCTGGGGGCCTTAACCCCACTAGACCGCTCCTACTTGGCGGCTACTGACTGCATAGGCACTCATGCATATGTATCATTTTCACTTGTGTACCCACCCTTTTTTTGACTGTAGATAATAATTTTATTTTTGTGGCTAGTCGCCAAAGCTGGTCATTAGACTCAACTATTTTAACCGGGTTAGTTAGAGAGGCAGGTTCAGTAAAGCTTAATAGCAGAATTTCCACCATGTAAAACAAGAGGCCAGCAGTACAGGTGTTTATTCTCTCTTCTGCCACAATAATTAATACTTAGCTAAGTGCCGGTATAGTGGATGCGCCACCTGTCGAGGCGAGCCTCTTCACTACACTCCGCAAGGGCTGAAAGTGACTCCGAGCCAGCAAATTCTGCCTATCTGGATGGTTTATCTACCAATGTCAGAGTACCCCGGCCTCCTGAGATAGAGCAACCAGTTGAGATTTCGAATCGATGATATTTATCGTGTAGGATAGGTGGGTAACATGGTAGTAGGTACTATTGGAGTAAAGCATTAGTCGGGATGCTAACGAGGTGCTAGGATCGGGAGAGGGTTAATGAGAAATCAAAAAATGCCGATTGCTAGACCTTGGGGCATTTCAAGCTGGTATATGTCGCCATCTTTCAATAGCGACGAGATCTCCACTGAACAATTGTTTGGTGGCCACTGTAATGCGTTACCAGTCCAAATTCAGAGCCTAGGGCAGCGCAAAAGTTAAATTATTTCCTTAATCCCAAGACTTTTCTGCCAGGTAGAAAACTACCAGTGTTGCTTAATCCCAACCACATCAGCCTTATTTTGTATATATACCACCTGTTTGATCAAGAGTCTCCAAGATACGTCTGCGACAGTACAGCTACCTTTGGAATCGCCTCGATTAATATACACTATGAAGCTCCTTTCTGTGCATTATTTTCGGAAAATCTGCCTCGCGGCTCCCCGCCTCCATTCTTAACCCTGCCCACTTTTATCTAAACTCTAGAGCGCTTATTCTGACAACCCTGCCCTCAAACCAAGTAATCTCTCCGAATATTGAAATCACGCATTTCATGTTAAGTATCTAACTGCCACATAGCCCATTATGGAAGCCAGGGCCCCTCTATCCCGTGATGACTACCCGATCGGATGGATATGCGCCTTCCCCGTAGAGACAGCAACTGCGAAGCTGATGTTAGACGAAATACAACCCGGTCAAGCTCACTGCCCAGTTGATCAAAATGCATATGTATATTGCAATGTACCTAGTGCCCAGTTGACCGTACAAAACCGTTGCCATAGCCCCACGACGTGGCACCAATCATATATCAGATATCACCAGGCTGCTTAGAGTGGCGCAGTTCCCTGAGCCTCCTTAGGCACCATGCTTCCGCTTTTCAGGCTCCTGATCCGTAGCAGTATATATCAATCACTGGGATTGCTAAAACTGACACTGGATCGAATCATACTCAGTCGACCACACAATTCCCTGGTATTACTGGCTCAACTTTTGCTTCGGTCATGGTGGATCCCGGAACTTCCTTGGCGATTGTTAGCCTTGCTTTGCAGTTAACCAAAGGGTTTTTACGCTACTATGAGCTCTGGAAAAACAGTGACGATGACCTTATCGAGCTTCAACGCTCTTTGCTGTGGTTAGCCAACATTTTTACGCGCTTAGACATCACGCTACGAAAGCCCAGCCTCCAAGAAGACATAGTCTCCGTTATTCGAATTACGATGAAGGGTTGTGAAGACAACTTAAAGAAGCTCCAAGAAATACTTCAAAGAGTCGAAAAGAAGGGCTTGAGACAAGGTTCGGAGACAAAATTCAAGATCATGAATAGGAGGATTCTTTATTTCCACTGTGAAAAGGAGATACAGAGGGTCAAGACGATTTTGGACGATCTTCGCGAGGATTTAAAGCTGGCCATCAGTCTTTTAGAGTTGTGAGTATTGATGAGATTTGTAGCTTCTCTATATCCTGACAGTCTTTTAGGAACACCTCGGCGACGAGTTTAGAGGATCTTCGTCAGACGCATATCGAACTGAATGCTTTGAAGAAAAGCATTGAAGATGAGTCGAGAAAGAGCGAGGCTCTAGCGGAACGTTAGTCTTCTTACTGAAAGTATTGGCAGCAACGCTGACGGTATAAATAGGAGATGCAAAAGAGAGAAAAAAAGCTCTTACGATGAGCTGGCTCAGTCCTTGCGATATTTCAACTGCTCACTTATCTGCCGTGGACCAACGCGAACCAGGCACTGGACAATGGTTTCTTCAGGGACCGTTGTTTACAAATTGGAAATCGGAAGGGAGTCAACATCTTTGGATTTCAGGAGACGGTAAGAATATCTTCGTCCCATTGTCATGACAAGATGACTAAGGTTTATTAGTTGGGTGTGGAAAAACAGTGCTGTGGTAGGTCTTCCTTTTGAAAGAATTAAATTTACGGCAAGCTGATAATGTTTTATCAGTGCCTCGATAATTGAGGAACTCCGAAGGGCAAGACCTGACCAAAACGGAAGCCCCGACAATGTAATCTACTTTTACTTTGCCTTCAATGATCCCAACCGTCAAGACATCTTAACATTATTGAAATCTTTGTTGGCACAGTCGTGTGTGGATGATGCCACACTGGACCTTGTGGAATCTGTGCGCCGTCACTACAGTCCAGATCCGCCATCGACTCAGGTCTTGATAGCTACGTTCTTGGAAGCCTTGAATGTGCTTCTAGAAATAGGAGTGGACCAAAGCCACAAGAACAATGCAGTCCAACCAAACCATTCATATGTCATTTTGGATGGGTTAGACGAGGTTCCTTACGGCCCTGAACGATCGAAAATTCTTCGCTTGCTTCGAGAGGTCTCCGCCCTGGAACATTCCCGTCTTCATTTCCTTGTCTGCAGTCGGCAAGAAATAGATATCCAGTCAGCTTTGCTGAGCAGTTCCCGATGGCGATCTTTCAGCATCCCCCACGCCAATGTTGAAGAGGATCTGGATGTCTATATCACTGCCCAGATCTCTTCGAGCCCAAAACTACAGTCCCAGCCTGAAAGCATTAAAATAGAAATCAAGAATAAATTGGTGCATGGTGCAAGCGGCATGTGAGTCACTTACTAGCAGGAAATCTACTGACGTTATGATATTGACACTCCTACAGGTTCCGATGGGCTGCACTCCAAATGCAAGAGTTGAAAATGAAGAGGATATTACGGAGCAAAGACATAAAAATGGTCCTCTCATCTTTGCCAAAAGATTTGGACTCCACTTATGCGAGGATTCTTTCTTCCATTGACCCTTCCTTAGCGGACGAAGCCATGGCAGCTCTCGAGTGGTTGGCGTGTGCAAGTCGCCCACTGTTTCTCGAAGAACTGAGTGAGGCTTGCATTATACGACCCGACGATGCAGAACCCTTTGAGGAAGGCCAACGCTTAATCGGCTTGGACATTATGGAGCTCCTCCCGGGACTGACGAGAATACACCCAGCGCCCGAGCCTTCCACGCTTTCGCGGAACCGGTATCATACCGTCAGCCTCGCTCATTTCTCGGTTATGGAATACCTGTCCAGTTCACGAGCTTTAGCTGGCTTTGCTTCGAGCTATCATATCAACTTCAGTCTTGCCCAGCGACATATTACCAGAGGTTGTTTAGCATATATCGCTCGTGTCTCACAACTCCCGCTTGCATCTTATCAGATTGCTACCCAGTATCCTCTAGCCTTATATGCCTACGCACGATGGTCCCTCCACGCTTCATACATGTCAACAGATTCTCTCAATGAGATATGCACCGAAATATTGGGACTCTTTAATTCCGGGAAGGTCTGTCTGCAATGGAGTACCTGTGCCTTAAAGACATTAGAATTGCGTGAGAAAAATCAGCCAGTTTCGCTTCCAGTCCCCTTCGACGCTTTCAAGTCATGTCTATGGCCAAGGTACTATCTGCTCTGTCATGCCGCCATTACAGGGAATGAAGTCATCGTGAAAGCACTTTTGGGTGGTGGACTGGAAATCCGGGGTGGCTCCATCATGGGCGAGCCTCTTAGGCTTGCTATAACATCCCGTCATTGGGGCCTTGCAAATATTCTTTTGACAGCAGGGTACCAACCAAGCAAGGACGAGATGCTCCATGCAGTTCGACATGCACCGGAGGGGCTTTTTTGGGCCATTATGAAGAATGCACCAGTTTTGGAACTCCATGATATGCTGGCCGCCGTGAACGCCGCAATTAACCATGCAAAGTTCCGAAATGCAGACTTGTTGCTGAACCAGCTTTTCACGGGGGAGTTAACTCATCATTATAAACCTGACCTAAATATTGCCGAACTGCGGGTGAAACTGTGCTCTCTCATTCTCAAAAAGGCTACACAACTCAACTCGTCAGTTTTGATTCGGTACCTTCTTGGATATCTCCAAAATTATATCCCCGGGCGCCTGGATATGAGCCCTCTTCTGTTGGAAGCCACCATTCAAGGAAATGATAAAGTAGCGGAGGAATTTCGGTGTTGCTCTTGGGCTCAACTCAGCGAGACCAGCCTAGAGTTCTACCACAACTGGAATCACGTCCTAGTCCCAGACAAGACTTGCTTTGACTTGCTTGAGCTTTACCACCGTTGCTGTCAACATGGGATATCATACAAAACGGAAGTACTGGGGGCATCGCCCCGCCCGGCCCCAACGTGGAATTTTCCTTCTGGAGCTTTCGATACATCCAGGCAAATTTCGTACATGGAATTCTGGACAAAGCTCTTTATATGTTTTGAAGCATTCCGCAAAGCGGGCTACCCAGACGTCAGTTCCAGGAATTCCTCCAAACGTTATCGCGGGCCACTTAAACCCTGTGATCGGCTTCTCGTCTACCAAATATTGATGGGACCCCACTCCTCTGTTCTCTGGTCTCTTTATTGCATTAATTTGATGCAACGGCAAAGGCTTGGACTCCTTGCTGGATATCTGACACAATCCTCAGATTCCCCATATCACCGTTCGAGGACTCGGCTTTCCAATCTTTTCTTCTCGGACATAATTGTCTCTATTTTAGGTGACCTTCTCCACGAAACTATCAGCCATCACCCCGACAACGAAAATCATGCAGCAATACACACCGAGGTCCTGCCAAATATACGCTACAGTATGAGAAAATTGCATGATCATCGTAAAAGACGGAGTCCCCAATTCTGCGCTTGCGGAAGCCAATTGCGGAGACCTCGCGGGCAGTCCCTACCTATCATCAGATTGCATGGGCAATCTACAACCCTCCGCAAGGCCGAGGATGTTCCTCTTTCCAAACAGGATATCATCTTCAAAATAGAATCCCATCAGATCCACGTTTTTCTAATTGTGGTTGAATTCGACACGCCTCTGGGTCTTTTTGATTTCTTGGATCATCTTTCTTTCCATTCTCTTTTTTTGTTGTATTTTCTTTCATTCAGGGCCAATGATCTTCTTCCCGACAGAATGTGCCAAATGGTCCACAAATCTTCTATTGACATGATGACGTCATCAGGTGCAGGTTCTCAAACCAGCATGCAACCTCTGCTTCAATTCCGGGTCCGAGGTCTCGATACGAATAAAAAGGCAGAGCCTAGCGCCAAGACAGTTTCATCGGCCAAAGAAATCATGAATGGTGGTAAATTCTTAGCGGTGCATATATGGGATCAATTGTCAAGGGAGGACCTACACCAGCTATTGATGGAAGGTCCCACGTTATTCACATGATAGTGATTGATAGATAGTGTAGATAGACTTCCTCGCCAACCTCTCTGAATTTATTCCAATTCACCATGGAATCTTTTCTTAGCCTAGCTTACCAATACCAGCCCGGTACCCTGAATTTTGCTTGGTTTGTTCGTGTTATCCAGTGGGACACATGACTGTCTTACATTCACGGTCCCCAGGTCCGATAGACTTAGGTTCCTATATCCCCCTAGATAACCAATCAATCCGCCTCCTGCTCTCTTATCAAGGTGTTCTTATAAAGGGGGGATACATCGATCATACTTGTCAAAATGGTGGTAAATTACCACTCGGCAAGTCTCATTTCGAAGCCCTTCTTCCACAAGAAGGGACCCCTAAACGCGCCATCCGCACAGAAGGATATTGCATTGGTTTGTTCAATCAATCACTTCACTCCCTATTATTCATACTAGAGACATGATACCATTGTTACTTACTTACTTCTCAATCCTGAAGCTTGGGACTACCCTACGACAAATGAAATCTCTGTTTAGGGAATTGCCTCTGTGTAGGTATTGCTCCCGATGCATCATGAGGGTCGTGGCATTATGGCACTCACTTTTGAAAGTCATTACCCCGAGGCCTACCTTTTTAGGGATTCCGACCAAAGTAATTATGATATTTACAACAGTTCAATGTAGCAGGAGAAGCATCTTCTATATTTGGGGGCCAGGCATATTGTGATTATGGAGTGGGTCCCTTAATACACTAGCAAACGAGCGATTCTTAGGACGAAGGGAAGGAGGTGGGTCCCTCTTGATTTCGTTGCGTATTTGTTATACTGCACAATATCTATTCTTTGGCCACTAATGGACTTTCTGAACTCATCTGTCGATGGCTGTCCTCGCAGGGAAGTACAAAGTCACATCTGTCGGGGCTGAAAACGCCTCCGCTATGGGGGCGAAAACGGTTCGGCGCGGCGCTAGCTACAGGACGATCTTTTTCCCATGGGGGTTTTGATCATGCTGTAAGATTGACCAGTCAGAGTAATAAAAAATGCGCCGTTGGCGAAACTACTGGGAACCTTCCCCGGGCCCGGTCTCGTGGAGGGCTTATTGCGGAGAGACATACGTCCTCCCAGGCATCAACTAATGCAAGGCTAGATCGGATGTGTATAATATTCCGCAACTGACTGGGGTCCCTGGCCTCCACGGTGACCCTTAATCCTGAATACCTTGGAACACCAGCTACTGAGGTTGAAACCCCACCTTTGCCCATTCGTGCGTCCAATTCCTTTTCCAAGGACATATCACTCCCCTTCTAAGCTAATATTCTGTCCTTGACAGCCGAATAATGGGGATAGTCGATGGTCGACGTCGCCTGCTTGATTTGCGCCATAAGAGAGCAGAATCAACCATCTCACTTGCAAACACCCAGCCTTCGAGCATATCCGATCAAAACTCAACGCCAGGATCCACAAGCTGGTTTCGGGTTCCCAAAAAGGGAATCAATCTGACATCTGTCAATGAAGAGATAGAGGAGCTTCTAAAGACACAAAATCACATCACTACTCAGCTCCACGAGGCCCAGCGCCTTCGTCAGCTCAAAAAGCCCGTGTTAGATCCGACTGAGATGACTTGGATTGACGGCACAATCTCAGATATTGAGGAAGCCACTCGTGATGTTGCCATCTTTCTAGAGCCGGCGCGTGTCGAGAAAGCGACCAGTAATGGGAAACTCAGTCTGGGGACGCAGATCCGCTGGGCGTATCGGGACGGCCAGCGAGCCCGGGATAAAAAGCATCGCCTCCTAGCATGCCATTCTAGTTTGATGGCGGTTTTGGCCCATCTACAGCGAGTGACTCTCCCAGAGGCGACTACCATACATGAGCTGGGAGCGGAAATGTCGACAAAGGGTGCGATCGCTAGCTCTCTAAGCCTCCAGAGCTCTGTCGACGGTTTCTATCAGTCCAGGGAAGGCAAGCAGGACACTGTATCCTCAGTGTCTCTGAATAGAGAGATGTCCGATCTACTGGCATGGCGTCGATCCAAGGGGACTAACACTTCATGAATCGTTTGTCTCGAGCCATCCAGAATCAAGCCTTTGTGTCAATTTTGCATGTATTCCCAGAAGTCTCGACTTTCATTCTCTCTCATTAATCAATAATTACCGATACCTTAATACATGAAGCTATATCACAGGAACATACTACTTAAAAAGGCTCAAATCTGTGCCTTTGTCTCATCCAAAAGTCTCTGGGGAACAGCCAAGTGTCTTCCCTGCTCATCATAAACTTTGACCACGGATGGCAACAATGTGATCTGGTTTGAGTTTTTGCTGACCATTGACCAGTGGAATTCAAATGAGCATGGTTGTGAAAATAGCCAGATACCAAGCCTGGATGCTTCTCGAAAGACGGTATGAATGTGAGCGAGGCGGTCCGTTTTAGGGAAACGCGGGTCACCGTATGGCGCAAAAGTCCGATTAAAGTCATCCGCGATCTTTGTAATGTCTTCATTGTTTACAGCCAGATCGGTCGATTGAGAAGTCTGGCCTCGAGTATAGATATGCGAGGCCAACATGCGCCAGGCAAACGCCGCGCGATCATCAGCTATACCAATCAGTTACAGTACTTTCAAAAGAGGGCAAGGTTGACGTACCGGAAATACGAGACTCGTTTTCTCGAGTTTCTTGATCAAGCCTGTAACAGGCTGGCAGGAGAGATCGGGCTTGGTTCCCAGGACGGATACTTTGTAGGAGAGAATGTATGAGAACATGAGTGAGAACAGTTCTCTGAGTCCGGGGGTTGGAAAGCAAAGAAGCCAACGGCGTGCCCAAGAAGGGCGATTCATAGTCGCCGATACGGACGTTGTCTTCCTGGTTCGGTCGGAGAGCGGAATCTGGCCGGGAGTAATAGTTGTCGATATGCAAGCTTGCTTGATCAAAGAAAGTCTGGATTCGCATACAGACGGTGTTGTCGTCCGCAGGGTCGGGAACATAAGGGGATAACTCAAAAGACCCCCATGTCACGACATTTGGAGACACGTAGGAGATTCCCTCATATCTTGAGCTGACAGCGGAATTTTGATTTTTGCTAAGATTCCTCGAGGGATCTTCTAGGGACCCAAGAGTCTCCGAAGGGGAATGCTTTCTCGTCTCGTCAGTGTTAGACACTCTTTTACGACGGCGGAGGAGCAGAAAAGCGACCAAGAAAGCTATGATGAAGCCACCAAGGAAGGAGCCCACAATAGAGCCTGCAAGAGTTCCAGTACTGTATCTACTCCCAGAGGAGCTGCTTTGTGAAGCATGGTCACTTGTAGAACGAAGGGTGCCAGAGGGGGTGCTCGAAGTCGAAGAAACAGTCGTAGAAGAGTGGAGGAGTGATGAAGTGCTAAGGCTGGTTGTTGCAGACTGTGAATACACAGTGGAAGAGGAAGTCTCTAAACTGCTGGTACTGGATGAAGAAGTTGTAGTAGTCAGGGAACTAACGGATGAGGAAGCAGTCTGAGAAGAAATAATAGATGCACTTGTTTCAACCGCAACCCCACTCGCTGGGGTACCTGCTCCAGACATTCTTAGTGATCAAATTTTTGATCCTTAAAAGTATGATACTGAAGGGTTGAAGGAATTCTTGCGTCGCATCGTATTGCCTTTAAGAAATGCTCCTATGTGAGTGGGGCCTTTAACGACTGGGGTCTTAAAAGGGCATGAGCAGTGGATTGTTACAGAACGGGGCCATGCACCTCACTAGTCGAGGGCCGTAAATTAGTCGAACGCCCACTACAGCTGTGAGGCGTGATGGGACCAACAACCCTGCCAGGGGGCGGAGTAGTTGACTGAATGGGAAAAAAAGCACTTAATTATTCTTGCCCTTTATTTCCAGCATTAAATCAAGTTCAGTACTAATGTTCATTGAAATAACAACAGCCGCTTTAGCTTTATCCCCCATTCTTGACCTCCAGAATTGAATGCGCTCTACCCCAAAACATGTCCGAGAAGGAGGTCTTGATCATAAGAGGTGAAGGTGATGGTCAAGATGGATGGTCTCCAGACATTGTTGTAGGTGTCGACTTTGGAATGACCTATACAGGTAAGCTAGCTTTGAACAAATGCTAGGAGCAGCTAGAGGAAATTCCATTTGCCTTAGCTAGGCTAACAATTCTTTATGATCATATGTATAGGTGTCGCCTATTCCTCTGCACCAGAATGGCTTCCTCCGAAAACAATTCAACGTTGGCCTGGAAAATTACCAGGGGAGCTCTCAAATAAAGTACCGACTTGCATAGAGTACGACGAAGAATCGGGGAATGTGAAAAACTGGGGCTTCTTATGTGACCCAGAAGATAAGGGCTCCAACGTGAAGGAATTCTTCAAGCTACATCTTGCGCCTCAGTACCATGATGACTACCCGGGATGCCCGACTCGTCTCGAAGCGCAACGCTGGTTCCGAGACTACATCCAGTGTGTCTATCGGCATGTGATATCTCACTTCGCCTCCACGATTCCTCAGTTTGTCTCGCGTCATGTCGAATTTCTCTTTAGTGTGCCAACAACGTGGAAAGATGTACGAATGGTGGAGGAAACTCGAAAGATTCTCGAACAAGTAATTTGCACCAAGACTCCAATGCATCGTGTCTCAATTGGCTTGACCGAAGCAGAGGCAGCTGCCGTCTATGCTGGAAATGAACATTACCAGGTCAGGAGCGCTAAATTTGGTCCTAGAGTTTTCGAGTGTTCCCCAGCTCATAAAAATGAATAACATAGGAAGAAGATACTCTGCTTGTCTGCGATGCTGGCGGGGGAACCACCGTAAGGAGTTCTTGCGCTAATATGGATCTGAGAACATCATCTAATTCACGCAACAGGATGTTAATGTGCTAAAGTTGACCTCCTCGCGCGGAGAGCCAACTAGACTCGAGCAACTTGGTCACGTTGAAGGTACTTACTTACTGCTGAAGGCTTTTGTGAACAGACTTACCAAGTACTGATGGCATGTCAGGTCTTCCCATTGGCTCTGTCTTCATCGATAGGTTTATGCATCAACTTATGTGTGAAAAGCTGGAACAGATACGTCAACACTTGCAGCTTGCACCCAGTGAGGCTGCTTGGAAAATGACTTCAGGGCGCTTTCAAAGACTTAAATGCGCTTTTGGCACTGAAGCAACCTTGACTCCATGGCTGAAGCTAGATGTACCCTCCCTGGAGTCCGATGCCGATTTTCCCGAAGCCGACGTATATAACGGGCAAATGCAAATTGCATGGTGGGTAAGTCTCTGTTGTCTTTGATGTGGAGTTTTGACTGAATTGTACAAAGGGACGACCTTAAGAAATCATTTGATCTGAAGGTTGATGAAATTATCAATCTTGTTGATGGTCATATCCAACAAATGCACGATAAATACCCCAATGACAATATTGTACGTCGAATTCCCTTCAATGATTCGACCTGTCTTTTATTTCTGACAAGATTATAGCGTTATATGGTACTTTCTGGTGGTTTTGGTAGTTCCCCCTACGTCAGGCAGCGCCTTGTTGAGAGTTTGACTGTGGTGGGACCCAAGAGCCATCCAAATGCGGAAGGTATGCATATTCTTGTTGCTGATGAGCCATAAGTCCGAAGATTCAACTCTCAATATTCAAGCTCAGTTTTAGGTCAGATCATGTTAACGCAACATAGGCAGCTTGTCGTGGTTCACGGCTTAGTCCTGGATCGAATACAAAAGATCAAGAGTGGCGTGGTCACCTTTGGATCTCGGTGCTCTCCCGTAAGCTATGGCATTATTTGTGACAAAATCTACCACCCGGAGAAGCATATTGGGGAGCCAGTGCGCCATGACCCAAGAGATAAGACGACCTATGCAATTGACCAAATTGACTGGCTTGTTATTCAGGTCAGTACCGAGGCAGTCCGCTTATTGATCTTCCCATGATCCAGGCTTTAAAAACAGCTAATACTTTATCTCATCAACTCAGGGACGTCCAATTCCAAGTACTGGCTTTTCCAAGCAATTCCAACTCAAAATGGATCCCGGTCGAGAAAGTACCCCCTGGAGAGTAAGCATCGTCATGTCTGCCCTTCCACCTGACCAACTACCCCACAATCTGAGCCGCAAGGGGTCTCAACGAATTTGCGATCTTGATATCTCGACAGATAGCGTGGACAAGAAGTTGAAAAATCGACACTGGTATAGCATGAAGCCAGCTTTTTGGAGAACAACCTTTGACGTGAGGGTGGTAGTCGGGCCAGCCGATCTCTCCTTTCAACTGTGGTCACGAGACAAAAGGATCCAAGCAAGCAAACATGAGCCTATTGCTGTGCAATGGATGCCAGCCAGTGACTTCAACTAATGGCGAATCTTCGATGCTATTGTAAAGATAAATATTGATAATACATTGAATTTTTATTTGAATACAGTTACGCTGCGGTTATTTAGATCTTCATCTAGAGTGTGAAGTAGTAGCACGAGATCGTGCGCCTACTTTCGACTTTCACTAGAGCGGCAAAGCCACCCCGTTTTTCAAGGCAAGTGGCATAGAACTTAATCATATTTGATGGCTTTTCAATTACTAATAATGTTCGCTCGCTGCGCTCAGATAGAAAATACTGCTTTTATATTGCTTTCTTCCAAAGCCAGAAAACTTTGCTTTGTGGGAAAGCATCCCCCATTCCTCCATGCAAAGGCAATATCAGGCGCCCAGGCCGTAATTAGAAGTTCTCTTGACAGCGTCCTGGCGCCAGAGATCGTGGGTGTGTCTTTAACATGTTTATGGCATAATATCCTTACAAAATTGGTACCAATTCAGGGGTAGGCACATATAATGTTCGACAGACTGTCTAGCTGTGAGGGCCTAGTGGAACGGTTCAACTACTGTACAAAATGCATTTGATCAGCCACTCAGCACCGCCACTTGAAGACAGAAGAGACAGGCTCATTTCCGTCTAGACTCCACATTTGCCCCCACTGTCATCAAAATAATTTGAGGATGAAGGACCTTTCAAATGGCTCAGCACTGTCCAGTTCCTATTCACTTCTAGAAGCCATGACCCCGGACTAGTGACCAAGTTCGAATGGTCAAACCAAGCCTTGTATCGCGTGCTTCTCCAATCGGAGCTTGTCGAGGTTATATCTGGTGATAAATGCCGATAGACATCATCGTCGAGATGTTATGATCTCCCGGAACTCGGTAACTGCGGCTTGGAATCAATTATGAAGACACGTGTAGGCCCACAAGATGGATTTGCAAAGACAAAATCAAGCGCTCCAATCGCGGTTGATCCCATATTATTCATCGTTAGAAGCCTCTTTCCGACAGTTTGGATATCCCAAGGCCCGGGGTCTCTAGGTCTCGCCACAGAACTGGTTAGGGATGTGATCGATCACTCTAAGGAGAGAAGGGGTGGATCCCTGCTATACTCTTTCTGTAGGCTACCGATCCACTATGAGCAGTCTAATATAGAAAGCTGTCATCTCATTCGATATTCACCTGCATTAGATCGTGCTTCTCAGTCACGAACACCGCCAAACACGAGGTTTATTCGCGGCTAATCGGACCCACAAATTGCGCGATCACAGTGCTTCGGCCAGTTCACATCGCGAATCGCAACCTTTCACATTATCACGTCATTGGGGCCAAACAGTTGCCATCCTGCACGGACGATTTAAGGTGTGATTCGTGATAAAAAGGAAAAATTCGTCGCGTGCGCAGTCTTCATATAGCCAAGTCTTAGATCGACTAGTACTCGATCTTAGTTTCCTATATATCCTAATGGATCTTGCTATCGATCGGTGGTTCATTGCCTGCGGCATCACGATTATTCCTCCCAGAGGAGACGATCCTCAAAATGACGCTCACCGATGAGCAGCTCGATATGATAGGTATCGCGGGGCGTGTCACCTCAGTCCTGTCTATTTTAGGGTCATTCATTATCATCGGAGCATTTTGTTTATCACGATACTTTCGAAGTCCTATCCATCGGATCATTTTCTTTAATTCTTTTTACAATTTGGTAGACTCGGCTGGGACGATGATATCAGTATCGGGACCTGCTGCAGGAGATACTTCATCCTTGTGCCAATTTCAGGGGTTTGCACTTCAAATGTACCGTCTCAGTGATACTCCGTTGCCACATGGGAGCAGGGCTGATTGTCCCACTACAGGTTTCCACTTGCAGATGTTATGTGGACATTTGCAATGAGTCTTGACACATACCTCGTCGTTTTCCATCACTTTGACGCACATTCCTTACAAAAGCTTGAATATAAGTACATCGGAGCGATCTCCGCGTTGACTGGCATACCTGCAATCGTCTTTCTTTTCATCAGAACACCTGCTAGAGGCCCAATATATGGCGGTGAAACTGTGAGCTTGACTTTTTCTCTTAAGCCTGTGCTCTATAATATTGACTGGTTGATCTGAAAGATTTGGTGTTCTATATCACCTAGCTGGATGCTAATTCGGCTTGTACTATATTATATTCCCGTGTGGTATGTACATCTTGTGATGTGCTTTGTTCTATTGCTGCCCAGACTAATCATTACGGTCTTATAGGATCGTCATCGGTATTGTGCTGATTATCTACTTTTTGATCGGTATCGAAATATCAAGACTACGGGACGAATTCAAATTGACCGAGGACGATCACATTGCTCTGACCTCCCACTCGACGAGCAGCCGGCCGTTTGATAATAATGACAGCACCGTCACGACAATTGTCGAATCAGACATGACCAATAAACCCGAACTCGCATCTGAGTCACACATAATAAGTGAATCGTCGTTGGAGCGAACTTCCACCCTGCGACAACCGTCGAGACATTTTGGCTCCGGTAATCATAGCCAGCCAACCCAGAGGCGCATGTCGTTCAAACAATATATTCTCATGCCATCGCTATTTTTCCTTGCCCTTCTAGCGACATGGGTTACGCCAACCATCAATCGTGTGTCTTTGTTTGTTCGACCAGATCACCACTCATACCCGCTCTATTTGGCTGTGAGTGTGTTAGGGTCTTTGCGGGGTTTCTGGAATGGCATCATCTTTATTACCATGGGGATGAAAGGCTGGAAGAGGCGGGCCATAGAGAGAAGGGATTTGAGAAAACCAGTGAGTTAGTATGAGACTGTGTATAAGATCTTGCAGATGATGATTCAGGCACTGATCACTGTTATGATTGTAGGCTAGAGGAAGGGTTCGATGAACTGCTATATATACTATTATTTATAATAATCGATGCCAATTTTGTGTCATAACATACATAACCCTTTCCGGAAGGCTCCGGAGTGCAGGCGCTAAGAAATCCCGAAGACTCTTTTCGCCTAATATATTCAAAAGCCACGAAGGACTTTAAGTCATCGGGTGCTCTAGAAGTCTGACAAGGTATACCACCCCGACCCATCCAGCCAATCAAGAATGACGTTGGCAATCTGAAGAGTTTGGGAAGGAATGGCGAAAGGCCTGAGGTGTGAAACCCATGCGTGAATAATCTCTTTAGTGACCAAGCTATCCCAAAAGAGAGGGTCTTCCTTGGGATAAAGCAATCGTGGCTTGAAATTAGAGTTAAGATTTAGGTTCTCGCTCAACTCCCGATGACCCGTTGTGTAGCAGCGGGGCTGCTCTTAATAACGATGGCATTAGGATAAAGATTCTCTGCACAGAAGAAAATAACAGTTTACATTAATTTTACGAAGAGCCGTGAGTAGAGCTCGAGGCTCCTAGGTAATAAGGCCATAAATCATGCGACCGCAATGGTATGATGTGGGTGACGACAACTCGGCAGATTTCAGACCCTTCGGTTTCGCGATCTTCGCTCGCTCCGAGACGCCCGGTTCTTCACCAGTTCAGGCTAATAAGCGACCAGTTACGAAATCAAAGGAGGTCTGTTCTCAACCACCCCGATCCCAACAGCACCGGCGTCACGGGGTGTATGTCCTCCGATTCGCACTGAGGTCGTATGCTACCGGAACCTGACCGACGCTGTGGAGTGCAGCAAGGAATCCCATCCCACGCTCCCCCACTTCCATGCGTTGGTTCGTATATTGTATTGGGCCAAGGAACGTGGCCCATCTCTTGGCAGCCTTCTTGGCAATTGGAAATGCGAGACAAGGCCGAATAAGCCTTTGATATTTACTTCATGCCAAGTCGTTCCGAAGATCTCTGATAGGTTCTTGGACCCGGGGGATGAGGCTGTTAATAAAAGAAAAGTGTCCGGTGACATCCGTTGAGATCTCACAAATACAGACGGTACCATCAGGTCTGTTATGTACACAGAAATCGAATGTTGCTTCAATCCTGTACAGGACATCCCCGTCTGGCCCGCAATTCTCTTTGACCCGATCCCGACTATGGCAATCTCCGGCCCGAAGAGCCAATGAAATCGGCCCGAGAGTAAGTGATCTCCAACAGGTGGCTCCAACTAAAACCCATTTAGTTTTACCCCGTGGCAACATTGGAGAGAATAGCCTTTCTCTGTGACTAACCCCACGATTCGAGGAGCCCGGTCAAGGAAAAATCAGAATTGCTTGATGTGTGCTCGGTGAATACCAGCAAGCCCAAATTCGAAGTCCCGGTGGGAGGTTAGATATAGTAAAAACAAAATACGGAGATATTTCGGCATTATAATTCTGAAAATACCAACAGAAAGATGGGGCATTATTCTAGCCTTGCCCTAAATACATTTTGGTCATGAGTATGTACTGCATACAGTATGTATGTCTCTCAGACACTCGGACAACTTCCTACATGACCCGTCCCAGATATGTTAAACCCCCAATCCGTACACAGAAGTACAACTCCGACGGACTCGGGTGCTGCAGGAAGGTCGGGGTACCTGCCCATGGGGGACGAGTTTCCCCCAAGGCTAGTGCTCTCCGATGGGGCCAGCGGCGAGATCATCAAGTCACAGAAAGAGTTGGAAATCCTGCGACCCAGATGAAGAGCGCGTACCCACCGGTATGTAATCATGAAGCCCACAAACATAATTCAATCGAAATTATCTTGCGGGGTCTCCGCGGCCCTCATACGAGAGTGCTACATGCCGAGGGCGAACGGATATAAACCGAGGGACTCTTCTTTTTCTTCCCTCCCCAGAGTGCCTTTCTACCATCAGTACATCTCACCTGGTCAAAATGGTCTCCCTATTCAGAGGCAAAGCCCTTCGGGTGGCTCAGGCGCTTCTCATTGTAGCTCCTGGTATGTATTCTGCTTTTTCATGCTCGATGTATCAGGATACTAACGTGGATCCTTCTTTGCAGCTTTCATTGTCTTCGGTTATAACCAATCCGGACTGGGTCCCCTCGCAACTTTGCAGAGCTGGGTCAAGGTCTTCCCTGAAATCGACACTATCAACACGGAGGGTGCCCAGCGCTCAAAGAACTCTACAAGCAAAGGTGTTGTGATTGCGTCTATGCAACTTGGTGCCCTTGTGGGAGCTCTCTCATGTACAGCATTGGGTGATCGACTTGGTCGACGAAAGACTATCTTCCTTGGTGGTATCCTTACAATCATTGGTCAATTGCTACAGACTGCCGCCTACGGTCTACCTCAGTTCATCGTCGGTCGTGTTATCCTTGGTCTTGGTATTGGTCAATTCAGCGTTGCCGTCCCTGTCTGGCAATCCGAATGTACTTCGGCCAAACACCGTGGGCAACACGTTATTGTTGACGGCATCTGTATCTGCTTGGGTTACACCCTGTGCAATTGGATCGACTTTGGCCTCAGCAAAGTCAGTGGCTCTCTGCAATGGCGGGTTCCACTTGTGGTCTCCTTCTTCTTCTCACTGATTGTCTTGGCCGCGGTTTTCCTGCTTCCCGAGTCTCCTCGATGGCTCGTCAGTGTTGGCCGTATCGAAGAGGCCACGGAGAGTCTTGCTGCCTACAAGGGTGTCCCGGATGACGACGAGTCGGTCCGTGTCGAAATCTCCGGTATTGAGACTTCGTTGGAAGTTTCAGCCGATAGTGCCTCCCTCAAAGATATCTTCAACTTCAACAAGCCCGATGAGGAGCGCCTGCTGTACCGCTTCTGCCTGTGTGTTGCGCTGCAGTTTTTCCAGCAGATGTGCGGTGGAAACTTGATCTCGACATACATTTCCACTATCTTCGAAGAGGATCTAGGCATGACCAGTGATCTTGCTCGTATTCTGAGCTCTTGTGCCATGACCTGGAAGTTCCTATGCTCTTTCATCGCCTTCTTCGCTATTGACAGACTCGGTCGCCGAAAGATCTTTATGATTAGCGGTACCGGCATGTCCGTCTGCATGATGGTTCTGGCCATCACGAATAGTTTCAAAGATAACCGTGCTGCATCGATCACGTCTGCCTTTTTCATGTTCTTGTTCAACAGCTTCTACCCCGTTGGATTCCTCGGTGGAAACTTCCTCTATTGCACTGAGGTCGCTCCAATGCGTCTGCGTGTCGCCATGTCCGCCATCTCTACTGCCAATCACTGGCTGTGGAACTTTGTGGTTGTCATGATCACGCCAGTGGCCCTGGATACTATCGGGTACAGATATTATATTGTTTATGCCGTTATCTCAGCTTGCATTCCTGTCTCGGTCTACTTCTTCTACCCCGAGACCATGAATCGTAACCTCGAGGCATTGAACCATGTGTTCCGTGATGCCTCCACACCTTGGCAAATTGTCAATATGGCTCGCCACCTACCTCAGGGTGAGGCTGCTGAGGTGGATGTGTGGATGCGGGCAGAGGAAAAGGGGATTGTTGAGCAGAAGGAGGACGCTTAAAAATGGGCTTAGATGTGCATATACTGGAATGCTTTTATGATGATGATGATAGAAGATAGCGAGTGTGAATGTATTTATCAATAAGAACTGCAATGCGCTTTTGTCTTTCTTGAAGTCCCGTATCATTGTTAACTTGACTCGAAATTCGTCCCAAAATGGTGAATTAACATGTAAGGAAAGTCGTTGTTGCTTTGAGTAGCCATACCTTGAAAAATGAGGGAGTACCTAGAGCTCCATCGAAAGTAAAGTGAAATCAGATGATTTTCAAATAATCCTTGAAGTGTATTGAAAAATGGATAATGTGCTAAGTATACATTGGCATAACCTGAACCAGAAATCTATGTAGATGAATCGGACAGGTACAAAAAAAAGGGTAATAGATCGTGACAATATGTAGTGTCGGTCATTAGGACATGGGATGGATACACGCATGAAGGGGAATCGAAGGATGAAAGAAGTAGGCACAGAAATGAAGAAAAAAATGCAGGTACCAATATGCATTTTTAGTACAGTCCGTGGTGGTCATCAATCACGCACCGACGAGAGTCTGCACTGCTTGGGGGAATGGATGCTGAGCGTCAAACTGGTCAAGCTCGCTTCCGTCGCCGCTATAGCCGATGTTATCACGGTTATCATCGACAATGCGCCCGTACTCGAGGAGGAGGAGGTAGAGGTAAATCTCCAGATCCGCGTCACGCAGGACAAGATGGGCCCATTCGCGACTTTGGGAGGCAATCACCTCGGCCTCGAGGTCATGACGTGGAACGGAGGGTTCGTGGCTCGGGTGGGAAGTCTCGGAGGCAGGAGGTTCAAGCCCGATGAAGTAGGTCATCAGGGAGTAGAGATCCCCATAGCGGTTGTCCATGGGGACGAAGTGGCGCCAGGCGAAAAGGCGGGAGTCGTGCCATTCACGGAAGATCGTAGCCTTGAGACCGAGCGACTTGCTTTGATGGAAGGCGCGCCAGCGACCGGAGAAGCTGTGGCCGTCAATGTCCACCAGATACTTGGCCTTGAACTGTTCAGAGAATGCCTTGGGCTCCTTATAGGTCCAGACGCCCTCGTAGAAAGAGCAGTCAGGGATACAGCCCCATGCCTCGGTGAAACCAACGTCGAAGTAAGTTGCGGCAAAGTCGGAGGGGCGGAAGTTATCGATCTGCTGGTAGTGGTCATGGCTGTCCTTGGCGAGGATGGAAACCTTCTCCAAGTCCATCTCTGTGGCGTTGGCAATGCGCACAAAGCGTTGGCGATGGAGGCGGGACCAGTTGTCTTCCACCTGAATGCCACCAGAAGTCACGCCGCGCCAGAGCAGAGAGTCGGACTTGTCGTCCCACTCAAAGTCGTGCTTCGAGTTGTATACATAGCGCTCGTCCTTCAAGAAATACATGTTTGCAGGGAAGAGGATGTCGTTGTTCACGCTGACCTTGCATTCGCCAAATACGGGAAGCAGTTTTCTCGAGATCGTATTGCTCGAAGCGGAGAAGAGGAATCCATGCTTGTCTCCGAGATCAGGTCCCACCGTGCAGAGGTCCGTAGAGCCGGTGAAGTTGGAGATCAGGTCGCCATATGAGGATTTGAATAGCTTGTCTGCATCTGCCACCGTCAAGTTGGCGTCTCGGGCAGGGGACTCCGGAGGGCAGGACTCCTTGGCGAAATCCATATAGGGCTTTCCAGCAACGGAGAACCAACCAGGATCCAATTCCTCGTTAATGCCAGCCTCTTCGTTGTACAACTCATCCAGACCCTGCGTAAACTCATCCGCTGCATCGGGAGGCGTGGCCCTTGTACTCTCCTCGACTTTCAAGTATTTCTGGATATCCTCATAGCTCGCCATAACGCGAGGCTGGTCCATTGTGTTCATCGCGATATCCATGTCCGGCAGATGTTTGGCGAGCTTTTCCACGGCCGCGGCCAGAGTTTCCACACGCCATCCCTCCGAGTGCGATACTACCTTGTGATCGCGAATCCGTACACCTGCGATTCCCGGACTCTGCTGCAGGCGCGCCGCCATTTGCCGGATTTCCTTGGGTGGCAGTGCCCAGAACGGGCGCAAATCTCCGGTGATTTGCTGGAAGTCGTCGACATTATGGACATTATTTTCGCGCGCGTACTGGTACCACTCCTTAAAGCCGGGAGGAGGGTGACGTCCGTAGGTCTGGCGATACTTGGCGACGGTCTGGCGGAAGTTGGTCGAGCGACTATCCTCATATTCCTGCCAGCGATGATTCGCCTCGTTCATCAATTCGCCAATCGGGTGCTGGTCGTGTGCAAGGTTACCCTCGGGTTGCTTGGTTTTGGGGCGGAATAGCGACAGGCCCGGCAGACGAATGATGCTGTGGTCGACGGCGCGGGTCAGGAAGATGAGGTTGACGAGACAGATCAGCGATGCAGCGACAGCCAGAGTCAAGTAGAGCGACTTGCGCCGCCCCACGAAACTGTTTGCGCCGAGCATTCTGAGGGCGAAGGGGAGAGGGGGAGGGAATTCCTAGGGCTACACCGGAGGCGGGATCCGGGCGCCAGGACGGGGACTTGAGGAGACTCCTGGAATGCGAAGAGTGAGAGGGACAGAATCGCACATTAAAGAAAAGGCAGACCAAAAGGAGACTGTCGGCTATGGGGGAGACATGGCAGAGAGAGAAATGAGAGAGAAGAAGAGCAGGAGAGAATACGAGCCCCTAAGCAAACCAGAAGTGGAGTGAGAGGCCAAAGTTCTTTTTGGGACCATCAAAAGCCATTTTCGGGGGTTGTACTCCGGACTTTGGCCATACTACTACTGTAGTAGTAGTAGTCTGTAGTCCACTTGTTAGGCTGTTCGCAACTAACAGGATTGACCAACCAACTATCAGGGGCTCAATTCGGTCATTGGGGCCATTGAGGGCCAGCCGCCGCCACTGGGAATCGAAACTACGAATCTTCTGGTGGCGCGAATCTAGTACAGTAACTATTTCTTCAACTCTACCTAGTACAACTTTTTGTATACTCCGTCACCTGTCAAAACTCCCCTCGTGCTCGACTCTCCACCTTAACTTTGTCTGATTCAGATCATTCAAAAGGGTTCACTCCCTTGCGGCTTAAACTGGAGTCTCGACCCCCTCGAAACGGTCCAGTTCAACTGCCCATCCCCGAAAGAATCCTAGCGGCCTTTGGCGTTGGCTTGGTGCCCGCCCGTGATTGGACTCGGTGCTGCCAAGAAACTTGTCGGAGGACTCCGCTATCGCCGAGGAACCCACGAATCACACCCTCGCTGGTTATGGCCGAGGACTTTCCCTTCTCGCGCGGCTGAGAGGTTGTCCCAGACCATGGCCTCGAAGCGTCCGCGCGCTGCTTTTGAGGCCGATCAGGCCGCACAAGCGGGACAGGCTCCCTATGCCTTTTACGGGACGCCCTTACCTCCACTAGAAGCTGGTGGGCGAGATGATGGCTCGTACATGCCGATATGGAAACAAGAGGTGACGGATGAGCGGGGACGGAAGCGGCTCCATGGCGCTTTCACTGGCGGCTTCAGTGCTGGGTAAACTATTTCACGTGGTACAGACAGGACTATTTACAGTTGGCTAACCCATGGTATTTGTTATAGCTACTTCAACACCGTCGGCTCCAAGGAAGGATGGACTCCCGCGACCTTTGTCTCGTCCCGCCAGAACCGCGCGCGCGATGCGAAACAGACCACAGAGCAACGGCCGGAGGATTTCATGGACGAGGAGGACCTGCGGGAACAGGAGGAATCACGACAACTACAAACGACGGAAGGCTTTGCTGGGTTTGGGTTGACGGATGCCGATGCGACGCGAAGAGCGGGTCTCATGGACCTGCTCAAGACTGGCGGAGAGACCATGGGAGTGAAACTGCTGAAGCGGATGGGCTGGCGCGAGGGCCAGGGCATTGGTCCCAAGGTCCGGCGTAGAGCCAATTTGGACGAGGGCGCCGCGGCCAAAGGTCAAGGCGCAGAACAGACATATCTGTTCGCCCCAGAGAATCCCCCGATGGTCTCTTTCATTCGCAAAACCGACTTCAAAGGCCTGGGTTTCGAGGGCGAGACCCGTCTGGAGGCGCCAGACACTGTCCGTGATGAACAGCACGAGGACTCGGATTCATTCTTTGGAGATCGACTGTCTATGGACAAGAAATCCAAGTCGAAAACGAAGACGAAAGACTCACGCCGAGGCGGATTTGGAGTTGGCATTCTCAACGATACTGGATCGGACGATGAAGACCCTTACTCTTTAGGACCGCAAATAGCCTACAACAAGACTATCGGCGGTGACAAGAAAAAGAAGAAGAAGACCAAGGCTGAAGGAGGCATACCAACGATCGCGTCTGCCAATCCTCTACTTGATACTAAGCCTGTGTTCATATCGAAAAAGGTTGCGGCGGCCCGCACGACGGGAGGCTTCAGGAAATGTCGTGATGGGCGATTGCCGCTGGACGGGTTCGTTCTGGCCGATAGCTTGTCGGGGCTGTCAATCTCGGACAAGAAGTACGAACCTCCTCAAATCCCAGAGGGATGGAAGTCTACCAAACAACCTACGAAAACCGAGCGAGACGCATCCAACTATGTCTCTACGGCGGATGCTGCTAAAGCATCGTCACTGGATCCTACGAAGCGAGCGGCAGCCCTTGGAGAAGCCCAACTCCCAGGGAAATCTATCTTTGATTGGATGACGCCCGAAGCTCGTGAGCGCATTGCGAAGCTCACTGGAAACACCAACCTACCTCCAGCTTTGGGTGAGAAGGCTCCAAAGGGCTTCGAGACTTCGGATGCTCAAAAACGAAAAGATCTGTGGGATCTTGTCCCCAAATTGGACAAACAGACCGCCGTCCAAGCCTTGACTCGTGCTGTCAGTGGGTGGATGCCCTATTCAGAAGACGAGAACAAACGAGCACGCTACCGAAAGTTCCTCGAAGTGCGAGCGGAGGTTCGCGACACCCTTCCAGACCGCGTTCCCGGTTCCAGTACCGACGACTGGGTGAACGAGATGCAAGAGTTTGCGCGGGCTGCCGAAGTCTTCAAGCCCATGACTGGGATCATGGCTTCACGATTTACATCGGCTTCCTCGGGTCCCAAGGTTGCCTCCGATGCGCCTGACCGTCCAGGCGAATCTCCTCTTAGTCGGCCTACAGAGAAACCAGATTCTCCAGCTGTGGCAGCTGCCAAGATTGGCATGTTTGGGCAAATGACCCGCAGCTCAATATCGTTCTATCCATCTCGTCTGTTATGCAAGCGCTTCAACGTCAAACCGCCAGATCATGTACAGCTTGATCCTGGAGAACACCCCGGCGGCTCGGAGAGTGGACCTGGAACTCGCTTCCAGTCTGGCGGTTACCAGACCGACGCTGCTGCACGCAAGGAGCTCGTCTCGCAGGAAGTGATGAACATGATCTTGATGGAATCCGGTCGCCAGCCACAGCCTCCAGTTGCTAGCTCCGACACCGCTGGATCCAGCTTGCAGCCTGCAGTGGAGGTACCGCCCGTCCGAGTCGTTGAACCAGAGCGAAATGAAGCTCTTGAGGCCGAGCGACCGGGCGATGCAGTGTTCAAGGCCATCTTTGGCAGCGAAGACGAGGATGAAGATTAATAGCTCCGACTCCAAATTGGGGATACGACCTCTCTATGTATCCATAGATAGTATATGAAATTATTAAAGTATTAGAATACCTTCAAATGTCGACTGATCGTAAGCGTCAAAATAAGTAAAAGTGAAGTTGTGCCGTGCAACGATTGTACGATCTCCAACTCGACCGCATTCTGGCGGAGGCCCAATTGCCTGACATCATCATAAATGCTTGTCTGAAGCCACTAGATCCGGGGAATGTATCCGGCTCTCGTGTCTCTCTTCGTTTAATTCATTCGTTTTACCTTCCTCCCCCCACGAACTTGTCCTTGAGTTTTGTGGCCTTTTGTTATTTTCTTTGGGCGCTTTCGCCTCCCCCTCATCCAAAGAAAAAGTCCGGGAGCTTGGATCGCTTCCACTTCCACTTCCAGTTGGCCCCCTCCCCTCACAACCTTCTCACCCTGTACCCACGCCCCCCTCTCTCCTTGGCTTATGGAGTGTTCAAGTCGCATGCAAGATGGTAAGTCGCACCTTTCCATGTTGCCCCCAGTTTCTCCTCTGCGGTTTGAAAAGAGAAGTGCCTGGTAGATGCCCGATGCTTGATGACGAATGTCCGATGTCTGTCACTGTCACACGACTCGGTGACTCCTCAAGCTCTCCGCATCTACTAGGCCACAACCCTTGATCATAATCAAGGGATCTATCCTTAACTTGGCGTTGTCAAACTAACTATCTTCCCCATTTAACAGGGTTGCTGCTCGTCCGTGCCGTCGCATGACGACGACCATCCTCATGAAGACAGAGCCATACCAGACGATCGCACTACACAAGCAACTCGTAATGCCAGCACCGATACATCAGCAACGGCACAAACCACTCGTCGCCGCGTGCGACGCGCCCCAGCCCTCCCGCTGAGCGAGCACTACAACCAACCCGTGCGCTTACACGTCTGGTATAGTAAGCGCCGCACCTGGAATCGCGCCGACCTAGACCGCGAGCGCCGCGAGTTCTTCGAAACTCGAGTCACCGGCCGACCCGAAGTATGGGCCGCGCTATCCACCGCGATCACCCTGATGCGTGGGGGTGATCTCACCACGGCGCAGAGCATAGTTGATGCGGCGGGAGTGACTATCCCCACTGGCGATCTATGTGAGGGTTGCTACGATGAGCAGGGCGTTTTGTATCGCCTGCCACAGTGCATCGTTAGTGATCCGGAGAATATGGTGCAGACGAATATGTCTGCTGCGAATAATCCTGCGCGAGATAGCCAGGTCACGCAGGAGGAAGAGGATACGGAGGCCATGTCGGATGGGAAACTTGCTACGGACGATGCCTCGGGTGATGAATTGATTAGGGAGGATATTGAGCGGAGGAGGGATGAGAAGGGTAAGACTAGTGAACGGGACTTGATCCGCGTTCAGGCCCGACTGAGTGATCGTGGTGGTCCCGATTTGGTGCTTTCCATGGGCAAGGGCCAGAGTGTTGGATTTCTGGCTCGCAAGATCCAGCAGGAGGCAGGGGTATGTCTTTCGGTGTTGATCTGGCAGGTGATTTCGTTCTGACTGTTATCTAGATTCCCAATCACCGGCGGGTGCGCATCGCCTACCTGGGTCGTATGCTACAGGAGCATGACTCGTTACTCGGTCAAGGCTGGCAGTCTGGCCATGTTGTCAATGCCCTAATTGCTTCTCGTGGCCCACTCTGACGGAAGAAGTTGGCCTCTTTCTTTCCCTTCGTCCAAAAGGGACGTCTCTCGCCTTTTGAACCTTCCTGATTATCTATCCAGCGTTTGGCGTCACTCCCATCTGAATTTTCTCTGCATAATACCCCATTGTCTTGTGATTTACTCTATTTGATCTCTCCCTTTCTTCTCTTCCCATTTTTGCTTCATGCTCGTCGGTCTTCTTTCTATTACAACCTAGCTTACTTTTCGATCTAATGATGTGATGTGTCTCCTCTACTTCATGTGTGGTAGTGTGCGTCTACACAAATTGGACGTCCTAGTTGCGTGTGTCCTTATGTTTAGAGGTTGAGTGGGCTACTTTAGTCTTAAATTTAGTCTTAATAATATGGCCAACTTCGAGATAATGTTAACAAAAATGTTCCATGACGATTTTCAAACTAAAAGGTTTCGAACTATAGCCATTGAAGTATCTCCAGTGCTATCTATCATCCAGATCAAATCTAAAAAGCCAAAAAAGAAGAGGTGTGCATCATCCGTGAATCGAACACGGGCCTCGTCGATGGCAACGACGAATTCTACCACTAGACCAATGATGCTGGTTCATGTAAGGAGGACCGCTTTTTGGCTTTATGGCCAGGTTTTCCATTGGCGTCTAGATTAAGCTTAGCGTCCTCTTAGAAGCATTAAGAGAACACTCGAACGAACATAGATAGCGGCTATCCGTGGCCTGAATTACAGTAATGGCCCCAATACCTCATTGTGTTTCTACATTACTCTAGTATGACAAATTATTCTATAACAAGTGGGGTAATTGGAAGTTCCAATCCATTTCACCTATTTTGGTATTTGATTATATATATTTGTGCTGTTGGGGGTGTAGTGTCCTCCGCCGAAGAGGTTGTCCGACCATGCCCAGGGGTATGTCCATAAGTAAGGCTTCATATCCTTCTGCACTCACTGTGCCAATAAACCAACCAAAAACAACACCAACCAAGCCAAAAAACCGAATCCTAGGTAGGAGAGATTATTCCCACATGATTTATTGTGCAAGAGTGGCATGCGCTGCACCGAGACCCGGCCAACAATGACATACAGTCTGTCGTATGGATGCTCCCCATAGTGCACAGTTCAAAGGACCACCAGGTTTGCCAGTGAACCCAATCTTTCATGTTACCGTAGTGTCGTAATGGAATGACAGCAGGGAACTGTTGTCCCCGGAACTTGTCGACTGTACTGACATGTATGCAATCAACGCTGAGCTCGGGACGTTGATCGTAGACGAGTGTTAAGCCGTAGCCAAGAAGCGAATAAGCTAGCGAAGGAGACATACAAAGTAGCGAGGGCAGCAACCGTTGTGGCAGCATGATACCTAGCCAGCCAAGATACCAGGAACCGGATAGTGATCGAACTCATTCGGCTGGCAACCCCTATGATAGAATATTCTGATCGAGATATCGAGTCGCACTAAAGTTCTAAAGTTCCCTCTGCTTGGTGTGAGAGATGGGGGTACTTGGACTATCCAATGACGACGTCCTTCGCCTCGCAAAGGAAGCAAGAGGGAAACGCTAGTCCCGGAGATCTCCAGCGCGGGAAGACCCCCAACCAACAGGGGAATCTCCGTCATGTTGGTCTCACAAGTTGGTAAAAACCACGATACATCCCCAAGACTTTTAGGTCGTTTTGTATGGCATGCCGAATCAACACCGTGCCAGGGCCTGTGTATTTCCACTGGTTCTTTCGTGCATTAAAGAGCAGCTCTCAAACGGTCCTGAAGTGCATAGATGTAGGTAGTTGTGTATATCGTCACGCATAATGAAATAATAGGGCAAGACATAATCACAGGAATCAGAGGGCATTTCCAAAGCTCTCTAAATCGCCGAGGAAGACTATTTTATAAACTTGAATGACATATAGTGTATTGAGTGACTATCAATAAACCCCTCGGATAGGGAGAGGAAAGAGAGAAGATCTCACAGGACCAGGAAAGGCCTTTTATAGACAGACTCGTCAAACAAAGAAGGAAGACAAACAGGGAAAACAGGGTACCAGTGGCGGAGATCTCCGCAGTGATGGGTATATGACCGCCATCGTATCACCAGCCAATTAGACCAGCCTACCGTTGTCCGCCTCTTTACCCCTGGGCGTCGTACCAGAGCGCCGCTTGAGCACACGACAGAAGAACGAAGCGCCATTACGAATCCCTCTCACCAATGATGTTGGGTTGTAGTGCTTGACACGGAACATGTAGTACATGAGCACGGTGCCAAAGATATTGAAGCCGATATATGCCCAGCCAATTCCAAAATTGCGCCAGCGTTCACTGTAGTCTATTCATTTATCAGTCATTAGAGCTCAAGTAATGGAAAGATAGACCGTGGAAACACAGAGGTGAATCGACGTACAAATATTGCTCGAAGCAAGGTATTGATCGGCGTTACTGAGTTGACAGTACTCGCAGTTGCTTGTAGCCGTGGGATTGTAAAGCTGTCCTCCCGCGGCCGTGACATACTGATTCAAATATGCACCGCATGTGAGGCCGGATGGAGGATTGAATACGCTCAGCTCAGCCTCGGCACATTCAATCTTCCTAGCGTGCAAACCAGTAGCTGTGATACCCGCGATCAAGTAAGTCAGTGGGGAAGCCCTGTACATGAAGATCCAGAATCCTATATAGAGACCGAGTCAGTGAAATGTTTTCACATTATTAGAAGGCCTCTTAGTCTTACCCGGTAAGGCGCTTGGTGGCTGCATGACTCCGTTGAAGGTGAGGGTCATGATGAACATCAAGGTTGCGATGGTGCCGCCAGTCTCAGCGTCAGGAAGGGCGGCGATGATGAAAGACGCAAAGGTAGACGTGAAGATGTAAAACTGAACGACAAACAGAAGCATTAAGCCCTGTCTCTGCGAGGCCTGCCCTGCACCATAGATCGGGTAGTAGTAGCAAGCCCATGCGATTATACCAACGAAGACTTGATATGGGATCTCGACGATGACATTGGAAATGAGGAATGCGGCCCATGAGTAAGCTTTGGAAGGACGCTCACGGACTTCATAAAGAGACCGCTGGACGACAAACTTGGGCATAATCCTGTACAAAAGGCGTCAGAACAAACCCCAAAACAATGTTAAATGATGTGTATCACTTACTGTTGAACCAGCGTCGAGAAAATCGAAGTCAACATGAATGCACTGAAAAGAACATCCTGGAATCCTTGAAGCGAACCATCTGGTTTGAAGAAGGTGAAACCGATGAAAAGAGAGGACAGGGTGGCAAGCATTATCTTGGCCCACACGTAGCTCGGCTCGCGCCAGAAGCCCTGGAACGAACGGTGTGTGACGCACCACAACTGCGATAAGAACGGCATAGCATATTCACCATGCTGAGACTCATCCTCACTTGCGGTAGCCGACGCTCGTTCATCATGGATCCGATCAATCTCTGCTTGCACACCCTTTGCCTGTTGGCTCTCATTCCAGACAACAGACCAGTCCTTTGTGGATTTACCAGAAGCACCAGCGCCGATGATTTCAAGCATATACTCGGCAGGCTTTTTCTGTCAGTCAAGGAAGAGCATAATATTGGAGTAGGAACTTCTTACATTCTCAGAGGAGCCACAAACCCTTGCTCCGTTGCTTTCAAAGTAATCCAAGAGCGTTCGAGATTGGTCACCAATTTCACCAAAGTAGACTGTCTTTCCTCCCTTCGCCAAGAAGAGTAGGCGATCGAACTGCTGGAATAGTAACGCAGAAGGTTGATGGATTGTTGAAAGAACGGCCTGACCATGCTGTGCTAGCTTTCGCAGGAACGCACAGATGGCCCAAGAGCTTTGAGAATCCAGTCCACTTGTCGGTTCGTCGAGGAAAATGAGAAGTGCAGGTTTAGCAGCGAGCTCAACCCCGATAGTCAGGAGTTTGCGCTAGATTATGGGAAAGTGATTTATTAGCAAGTGGTCAATCGGCTCCTGATTAGTTGGGGAATTACCTGCTCCACGTTCAATCCCTCTCCTGGAATACCCACGATAGCATCTGCAAAGTCTTGCATACCGAGCATGTCGATGACATCTTCCACATACTGGTACTTCTCCTTCATTGACACAGACTTTGGTTGACGAAGCGTAGCACTGAACCGTAACGCCTCGCGAACAGTCGTGGTCGGGAGATGAAGATCCTGCTGTTGGACATAACCGGTCTTCCTCTGGAAGCTAGTGTCTAGGGGCTTCCCGTTGACGAGCATATCACCAGTAACAACTCCAATTGAAACACGCTTGGCTAGGACATCAAGCAGCGTAGTCTTTCCAGCACCGGAGACACCCATTAAAGCTGTAAGCGTCCCAGGTTTAACCCATCCAGAAACATGATCCAAGAGTCGTCGCTGGCCACCCTTGACAGGAATATCGTAGCACACGTTTCGCCAAGTGAAGATGTCATGCTGTGATGGAATAGCCGAAGTGTCATCTTTCTGAGATGAGTTCTTCGTGACAGGAGTAATCTCAGCTGCGCTACCTGCTTTTCCACCTTTCTCGAGATGTCGCAAATGTGCAGGCACATGACCTCTTCGGAAAACAAGGAATTCGGCCGTAGAAGATGTAGCAGAGTTGAGCTCAGAGGCAATCAAGTACAATGCCATGAAGAAAATCCAGAAGGCGATGAGGATACCCAGATTTCTCCAAATATGCGCGTAGGTATACCGGTACTGGGTTTCTATGTAGGCATCTCCAGAAACGGTTCTTTCTCCAGCAACAGCGCCTCGAACGGAACAGATGAAAGAGTCGCCGGTCAAATTTGGGTACCCAGGAATGAACTGAGAACACTCGAACTGCCGTCCGTGGAACTCGTTTGCGACCAGGGCCTCGAAGGTGTAGAAAATCGGATTGATCCAACGGATCCAGCTGAACCAAGGGATTTTGCTCATCTCAGGCGCAGTGATGACGAAGCCCGTGTAGATGACAATGGCCAACACGATGACTCCAGCCATGGACATAGCTTGTGCTAGGGTCTTGGTTGATGCTGCCAAAGTTCGGAAGACACCTGACATTGCCAACGTACTGAGGAAAGTGAAGAGGAAAAAGATGAAGAATTGAGAAGGTTCATATCGCTGTATCAAGTTAGAACTATTTGGTAGATGCCAAGGGAAAGAACACATACCAGGCTTGCCAAGAAGTAGAATATGATGTTGAACACCACCGCTGACACGAATTTGACTGGTATGTCCGCGACAATTCCCCCTAAAGCTTCGGCAAAGGGATGCACAAAGGCATAAGAGGCTTGCTTCTCAATGACAGGTCGTTGATCGTAGAGCGAATTGATCTCGGTAATACTGATAAGAGCGTTCATCCTAGAGGTAAAGTGAGACTTGGTACATTATTGTATTGGTCCATGGGGTCTTACAAAACCGAGAAGAACAGAGCGGCGCCTTTGCTTTGGAACCCCGCGGATGCGTTTGGAGTTCTGAAAGAAACGGATTTAGCATTGAGTAGAGAGGCAAAGGCCAAGACCGAAAGAGAGATTTACCCGAAATAAATTGAACCGATGATCAAAGACATGACAATTCGTCCAATGACAGTTGTCAGAGTAGAAGGCTTATCGTTCCAGATGCTACCACAGCCTGTTAGTTTGATGTTCTCGAAGAATCCAGCACTTTCTCAAAAATGGGATGATATACCGTTGATAAGCTCTTTTCACGCAAAGACGGACCTGCATCGGAATCGATATGACATATGGACTCTTCGGCCGGACATGCTTTGCCTGTCGCATTCGCTTGGTCTCGTCAAAGTCTCGCCCTGCAGTTCCACCGAGTGGATATTCCTCGCGATACTGCGCAATCTCCTTCTGAAGGTAACCGCACTGGGGACTCTTCTTCCAGTATGCTTCAAACTCGTCCGGAGTGCGAGGGACTTTATTTTCCATGCCCTCCCGAGCAGTTCGCTCTTGTGGATTAGTCACTGAAGTGAGGAAGTCACCGGTCGTTTGACGAGGAGGGCACTCCCAGCCCATATCGATAAAGTAGTCTCTGGCTGTACCGCAAGGTCCGAAGAAGATTTCTCTTCCTTCATAGAGCACGATGACCTTGTCGAAAACATCGTAGATTGCTTGGGAGGCTTGATAGATTGCAACCGAATGACAAGAACCAGTCAAGTTTGCTGAGACTCGCAGTGACTTGGCAAATTCTAGGGCACTCGCAGAATCTAAACCGCGAGTGCTATTATCCCATGCTCCGACTGGGGCTCCGGACACTAACAGAGTTAGATTGGAACAGGCAGAAATTCATAGTTGGTGGGTAACTTACATCCCATCTCGGCGATACTGAAAGGTCGTTAGCCTTTAGTTCTCACAAAACGAGGAAGTTATAGCATACCTGACTCGCTTTCGTTCACCTCCCGAGACACCTCTGATATAATCGTCGCCAACTGGGATGCTTGTTAGCCCTACTTTCCATCCGAAGGACCACGGAAGGGGCATGTCCGACAATCATACTAACCTTTGGTATTGTACGTGTGGCTGAGGCCAAAGACAGCCATAGCGACCTGTGTGATATGCTTGGCAAATTTGACTCGACTGACTCCATTGAGTCGATTCTCAGGTGTGCGAGCTGCGGCCGCAAACTCCAGCGTTTCGCCGACTGTGAGATGTGGGAAGTGCTTATCAACTTCTTGATTGTAGAGAACCTCTCCTTTGAATTCGCGATGCATTCTCTCCATGGGAATACCATTGTACTGGATATCGGAGCCTTTGCCCACTTTAAGCCCATGCAGTTCTCCAGACAAGGTCTTCAGGAAGGTAGAGCAACCACTACCAGGCCGTCCTAGGACGATCAGCAGTTCGCCGCTCTTCAGCACTCCGTCAAAGTTGCGAAGGATTTGCTTCTGCGAATGACTCTTCCCAAAGGAGATATACTCCTGCAGCCGGAATGGAGCCAGTGGCACTGAACCAACGTTGTTCTGATACTGAAGGGCGGAGCCAGAGCCAGCAATGTTTAAATTTTGCCAGACAACACCTGTCGACTTGCGCAGAGGCACTCCTTGCTTGTCCATCAGCTTCAGCATCATCCTAGCCCATTTGTAATGGTCGAATTGGTCACTCGTAGGATCGAGGACGGGGTCACCGAGCTCAACATCTTCCAGGGTATCTTTCTTTTCAATGCCGCCCATGCCAGCAACTCCAGAGTCCGCAGCGCGGTGACGAGGGAAATTGGAGGCAATACGGGTCAATTCTTCCCGGTCTTCAGGGCGGATGTATTCAAACACAGCTCTTTCATTGTCGGGGACTGCCTCGGAGCTCGATCGGCCGTGAGGAGGGGAGCTGGCTGGGGTGATCTCGGGTTCTTCATCTTTGTCGCCCATCCTGCACAAAGTCGATAGGTTTACGTTTTTTGGAGAGGAGTGAGGCTGGCAGTTACTCGAAATAGGCGTAACTGCGAGGTTGAATAATTGGAATAAACTACATCAGAAAAGAACAAAGTTCGAGTGCACCGATGGCCCTTATACGTGGTATCCCCTAAAAGTTGCAGGGTCGTTCTGTGAACATCACCGGCCTCGACGCCCAATCCATTCTTCAGAATGTTGCCCTGAGCCACAATTCTGTAGCTCTGGGCTCCATAGATGCAATGTTCCAATTCGATATGTTGCAGAGTCATGATGTCAAGACCTAGCGGAGCCTCATTCTCCACTGGTATTGGATGGCGGCCAGCGGCTACAGTATGGAGAAGCCAAATGCGGCGATTCGAATGGTCTGATTAGTTCTGAGCTCCATCCTCTCTTTTTCGTCTCAGGTACCAAGCAACTGGAATTAATACTTACGATACTACTGGCTCATCAGATTCGAGTTTAATTTCGCTTGCAGGGAATGACAAAGCATCATTGACCTGGTGCTCTTTGAGATGATCGACACCTCAGGCAACAAGTCTTAGACAACCAGTGCAAACAGTGCAAACCCGCTATCAGAACAGAAAAAAAAATGATTTATCGCCGAGATCGACGGAGCTCAGGAAGACAACCACCATTCATATTGGCACAATGGCGGATATTCAAAAGACTCCTTTTGTGAGGGAGCTTGCCTCAAGTGGTATGCTCACTTTAAACCCAGCCTAAATCTGAAAAAAATTCTGTCCTAACATGTTACCTTTCTAGACCGCAAGGTCCGCGACAAGGCCCTTGAGTCGCTCACACAGTTCTTGCGCGCGCGCAACGATCTTAGCCTCGTCGACCTCGTCAAGCTATGGAAGGGTCTCTTCTTCTGTAAGTCTGAATCAGTGCTCTATCAATTGGACATGTTCGAGTCTTAACTAACAGTTTTATCTTCCAGGCTTCTACCACTCTGACCGACCTCTCACGCAACAAGCCCTCGCCCGCGCACTCTCCTACTCCCTCGTCCCCTCTCTCCCCCACGCTACCCTCCACCGCTTCCTGCGCGCCTTCTGGATCACCATCGGCCGGGACTTCCACTCCCTGGACCGCTTGCGACTGGACAAGTACCTTTTCCTGATCCGTTGCTACGTCGGAGTCGCATTCGAGATCTTCGTCAAGGGCTCGCACAAGACCGAGAACGGGGATGCCAAAAAGCGCAAGCGCCAAGATAACGGCAAGCAGGGCCGCGGCAAGAAGCAAAAGAAGCAGGCCGAGAGCGAGCCTGCTCCCGCAGAGACCGAGACTGCAGAGGGAGATGGCAAGTGGGCTGATCTCGAGGCTTATATCTCCATCATCGAGGAAGGTCCTCTATGCCCTGTCAACTTTGACCCTGATAATTCGTCCAAGCCCGTTGTCGATGAGAAGGATCCAAACTTTATTCCCATGCCGCATGGTCCGGATGGCTTGCGCTATCATCTAATTGACCTTTGGGTTGATGAGTTGGAGAAGGTCTTGGAGTTTGAGGGAGGTGAGAGTGACTCGGAGGGTGAAGCGAAGAATAGGAAGATCAAGGGTGATGTGCCCATGGAGCTGCTTTTACGGCCGTTGGAGAAATTGCGCACGGAGAGCCCATACAAGCCTGTGCGGACGAGAGCCATTGACGCTCTTGACGACGACCGGTTGGTGGAGTGGGGAATTCGTACGAGGGAGGAGGAAGAGGAGGAAGACAGCGAAGGCGAGTGGGGTGGTTTCGATGATTAGTGGGTGCCAAAAGCAGCCATTTGATCTCGAGTTTCTGTACAGCATCTTTATAGCGAAACATGAACCTGGTTTAAAAGTACTCTAGATAATGATTTCCGAAGACATATCTTACCTACGAAATGTGTCCGCACAGAAGAACAATAATGATAAGTAACATCTAGCTCAAGTTCAAAAGATTATGTACACAGCTTAGATCGAAAATTTAGGTAGTCTCGAGAGCAGCCAGCAGACAACAAATGTTGGGAGGAACGCGTATTAACACATTGTCAAAGCAAAAACAAAAGAGAAAGAAACGGTATATTTGACTGCCACTCTTGCGCAAGGGTATCATGAGTGTGGATAGCAAGAAGGGCCCAAGGCACACTGTACAATATAGGTATATTAAAAATCCACGAAAAGCAAAGATAAAAGAGTGACTGGTGAACATATCACCTCGGCCCATCAGCTTCGTACGCATGTCTCGATTTCGCGAGCACTGTGCCCAGACCTTGGTGGATCTCGCACTGAAACGCTTCAAAGGGAACCCGTTCACCGTCGATGCTGATATATCCCTCCTTTTGGTGGGGCACAAGGCGATATGCAATGGCCTTGCGGATCTTGACGTCCGGCATATCGAAGAAGCCGCCGGTTTCAATCTCAGTCATCATCTTGAGCGAGGTGCCGCGGCTGACGGTTCCGTCAATGGTGACAATGTCCATGAGACCATCGTTGGGAAGCGAGGCAGGGAAGAAATTGGTATCCTTGGACATGATTGCCATGTTTCCAGCATAGAAGTTACCCATGGTATCGCCTGGGACAACCTCCCAGTCCTGGGGAAGCTCGTCCTGAACGGTGCCGAACTGAAGTTCTGGCAATACTGGTGATTGCTTGGCAGCATCAAGGCGGGCTTGCTCGGCAAGAGGACCGTCCTCTTCCTCCTTGGCTCTGAAAGCGGCGTAGTGCTCTTTGATCGCTTGTTTGTCATCCATTTCAACTTTGATGGCCAGGTCACAAGGCCAGATCGTGCGTTGCAACAGACGGACTAGGAAGCCGTATGTGAACCTCTGAGCACCCATCCAGCGAATATGATCGGTACCGAGGTCACACTCGGCAACAATACCAAAGGACTGGGAAAGGAACGACAAGGTGCGTGTGTTCTGCTGCGTGACCGAGACCAGGTCTAGAGGGGTCCGCAGGCCCTTGACGATGCACAGCGCCGCGATCGAGTTACTACCTGTACCCTGACAGTTCCAAGTCAAACCATTTCCGGAACCACAGGGAAGAAGTGCCACGGCCACTTTAGCCAATGCTTCGCGGCCATTGGGCCGTTTGCCTAGCCCATTGAAGACCTCGTATGGGAGACCGTCACCAGAACAACAGACAATCGCATCGTACGCGTCAATGTCGAGTTGTTCCGCAATCTCAATGGCATGTCCACGGTATTCCGTGCTCTGTACATCCACTTGACACCGTGCGGCGGCGAAGATTGGCGCAGCGTATCTCTGGTAAAGGCTCGGGGCGTTGCCTTTGCCACCAAAGGGGTTGATCAAGACCTTGAGTCGCTTTCTGCGCTGGGCGGTGCCGTATGCTAGGTCGAGCAATTTGTTCATCCAAGCCTCGATGGCGGGCTTCTCTTTCTCGCCGACGGGATAATGGAGGGCGGTTACGGAGACGTCATCCTTGGACGAATGTTGAGCATAGGTGATGACTAGGCTCGACGGGTTGATCTCGGCGTCAAGGACATTATACAAAGAGATCGCATGCGTAGTCTTGGTCTTAGCTTCTGCAGCGAATGGGACATGATGATTAGCACTGATAAAGTTTCAATGCGGATCGCCGGAGGGGCAAAAGAAAGAGGGTCCAGCTTACTCGACTTGCATAAACCGCAGCAGCCACGGGCCGATTTGCGATGGGGGCGATCATCTTAGGCGCTGGTCAACTATAACAGTCCGGTCGCAAAGCCCCCAGGCGCAATTCATGTAACTTACCGACAATCAGCAGGGAGTCGCTGCTCAGGGTGAGTGAGACGGCCTTGTCAAGGACTAGGGTCGAGTCATGCTCCAGTTGTGTTTCCGGATGTTCTGTGGCTAGATCGGAGGAGGACATTCTGGGGGGGGGATAGATAAAGAAGTAATTCAGCGCATGACAGAAGAAACCATGCGCAATGGAGACGTCTAGGGAGAGAAGAGGATAAAAGATAATGGGGACTGGTCAGATCAAAGATCAACACCCGCGAGTTCCGGTTCCTGGGGGGCTGCAGGTGGCCCATGCGCGCCTCGGATCTTAGGGGAGTCGACGGCAGTGCAACTCGCTTCCCTGTGGTAATTTTCCGAAGTGTTTCAGGCTAATCAAGATACGGAGTAGTACAGACATAATTCTTTGTACATCTCTCGTACATAAAACTGGAATCTAGCAAATACTGTACAATCACTTGTATAGCCAAGACCATTATCTATTTCACTACTCCCCGGTCTCAATACATGATAGAAAGGATAACATAAAAAATAGAACACAAACTTTGTCTGGGGAGAGAGAAGAAATAAGTTAAAAAGGAGACATCATATAGACTGTAGCCCGCTGGAAAAAAGAAACAAAATCTACTCATGCCGTCGCCGCCTTGAGGCCCTTCAGAGAGCCCAGGCTCAACGCTAGACCCTGCGAGCGACTGCGGATACGAACGAAACCAGTGATAGGCCCGTCATCACCCTCCTTTTCAATGCTCAGGTTGGCCAAAGCATCCTCACCTAAAGAGAAAATATGTTAGTGTTTGATCAATCAACTTGGCTTTAGAGACAAGGGGACATACCGAATACACTCCGTGCGTAGAGGTTGGCGCTCAAGAAGCGACAGTCACCCTTGAGCGATGCTTCCGGCGTCAAGCAAGCCATGTTGGTGCTCTCCATCAGCTGCTTAAGGAACTCACGCAGAGTCTTGGCCTTGGAGTTGATGTTGACCTTATTCTCCCACTCAAACTCGGTCCACATGGTTCGGAACTGAGTCTCAGTGCAGTGGGCGGGTTGGATGTAGTCCATAATGTCGGCATGGATATCGTTAAGAATGACTACGTGGGTCTCGGTGGAGCTAGCACCGTCGTAGACAATGTTACCAAAGATAACACCGGTGTCGGTGGAAGAAACCTTGACGGTAGCCTGGACGTTCAGGAAATCGCGGGGGCCCAAGTTATGCGTAGACGGCCGCTCAACAACCTTGAGATCACCGAGAGTGGCAAACTCGACGGACAGGTTTTGCAGAGTTTCGGCGGTCTGGTTGACCAAGAGCACGTCCAGGACGATATCGAATTGGTGAACGGTAACGTAGGCCTCGGCATAGACGGAGTCGGAGAAACCAGTCAATTGCACAACACGACTCAGCTTTGAGGAAACGTTCTCTGTGACAGCATCACCACCGGTGGCCTTGGCCAGATCCATCTCGATCTCTTCGGCGCCCTCCACACTGTTCTTCTTGGTGAACTGACGGATGGGAATGGCGTCGTCGATCTGCACAGCACTCTTAGCCTTCTCCACAGCTTCCTTTGCAGCCCGCTTCTTGTCCTCAACCTGGACCATGGCGCGGAACGCTTTGCGAGTGTCCTCAAGGAAAGTAGTCTCAAGCTCCTTCTTTTCAGAGAACTCAGCAAGGGAGCGGACGCAGGTCATGATACGGTCGACAGAGTCCTCGTCGATCGGAGCCTTGACAAAGTGTGACTGGCCCACGCGCAAGATGGAAATCATGATAAGCATGGCCTCGGCGCGGAGAGCATTGGTGCGGGCAGCATCTTGGGAGACTTCGGAGTGGCGCATAACCAGCTTGGTCAGAGTGGAAGACAGAACGGTGGCCAGGTAGTAGTCACCGTCAAGGATGAGTTGACGAAGAGGGGGCTTCTGGGCGGCCTTGACAGCCTCAAGACGAGCAGCGGCGGCAGACTGGCTGGTGAGAGCGCTCTCAGTAGCATATGTGCCGTCAGCCAGAACCTTACGAGATCCGGTAGGAGCGGCCTTGGTGTGACCATTAGCCTGCTCTTGCAAGAGCGCACTGTCATCGGGGACCTCATCAAGGAGTCGCTGCTCAGAGGCCAGGATAGGGATTTCACCCAGACTGGCGCGGATCTTCTTCCAAGCTTCCCGAATATCATTCTCCTCCAGAGAGTATTCTCCAACAACCCAAAGAACACCACGGTACACCTTACCAGCGCGGACCTCGCTCAAGGTGGACACCAAACGGTCAACAATAGATCCACGCAGGTCGGGGAACTTCTCGACGACCTCCTTGACGAACGAAATAACATCCACAGCCGAGTTGTTGTTGAAGTCAGCAATGAAGTCCATGAGGAGATCGACGACGCTAGCGGCGATTTCGGAGAACTTGATGGCACAGTTGTGTATTGACTGCACGAGGAGTTGACGGTATTCGCTGTTCTGCTCATACTGCTCGTTTACGGTCTTGGCGAGTTCCTTCTTCAGCAACATGACAATCTCCTCAACGTTCTTGCTTGAAACCATCTCCAAGGCGATGCCGAGAGCCTTCCGGCGGACATCGATGTCGGGGCTAGTGAGGACTCGCAGAATCTCCATGGTCAGCTCATCCAAAACACCCTCGTTGCGAATCCGGAGCTGGTCAACACGATCCAATACAATGAGCTTGACATTGTTATCCGCCTCGCGGATCGCAAGCTCGATCAACTTGCCGGCGGCGGCTTTCACGGCGACAGGGTTGCTGGTCAGGGCTGTAAGAGAGGTGGCGGCTTCGTAAACGACAGTGCTGGTGGGAGCATCGAGGAGCTCAAGCATGAGTTTCAAGTATCGTGACTAGTAGTATTCGTTAGCACAAGGCAGACACCTAACCCCCACCGTGATGGATAAGTGTCCAACCCACCTTGTTCTGGGTGTTCTGAACAGCATCCTTCCGCAAGAACTCAAGCTCAGCCAGCTGAAGAAGCTCATCGGTGTTAGGAATAGTATCGAAAGTTGTACCAAGGTACTCGAGGGCCTTCTCGTGGCTAATAGACATGAGGGCGGCGAAGGCATTGCGCTTGCAAGTGCCATCCGTCTCGGCTTCGAGGAAGGTCTGAAGCAACTCGGGCGCATCTGGGATGAGAGCCTCGGAGTGCTGGAAGATGGAAGCAACTGCCCATGCGGCGTTCTTGCGCACATAGGCGTGGCGGTGTTCCAGACACGAGCGGGCCGAGGAAAGGAGGGGTTCGATGAGTTCGGGTTCGCGCAGCTTGCACAGGAAGCGGAGAGTGTTTCCTCGGACGTATTCGTTAGGGTGCTGCAAGTCGTTGCGGATGCCGTTGCTAAACAAGAAAGAAAAAGAAGTCAATTGAACGAGTTCATAGAGTGACACCGAAAGAGTTGGGATTTGTCTTACCAGACCAAGATCATCTCCTGCTTCAGCTTACCATTCGAATCGAGCTTCGGGCAAATCTCATAGTAGAAATACAACAACTTCTTCAAAGACTTGCTCTTCGCAGGCATAACGAAACGAATGATATGCATCAGCAGCTGGGGCATGGGGTCGCCATTGAGCATGATCGTGATAATTGTCCGCATTGTCTCCATCTTCGTCTCGTCATTGCCCTTCTCTAGCTGGAGTTTCAACTCCTGAATGGTCGGCTGGTCCGCCGTATTGTCCAAGTGGACCAGACTGTACGCATTTTCGAGGAAGGACGCCATGGTGGTGGGATTGTGAGGGGACGGCCGTGGTCGAAGGGGAGCTGCAAGTTGTCAGGTCGGGGGAATGTTTTGGACACCTCAGCGGACAACTCGCCCAGTTTGTAGAACGTACCAGAGGAACGGGTCTCCCAGGAATAGGAGTTTCAGACCAATGTCAGAAACGCGCAATTAAAGTAGTCCAACACCCCTCGCCGGCCAGAAAATCATGGGCGTGTTGGTTTTGAGATGCGCAAATGGGGGGAGTGGGAGCATCAACCTGTCCCTTTGCCCCGGTCCCTCTGTGTGGATGACTAAGCCGGCCGCTTTTCTGGAAGTCCGCCTTTTGAACTGTTCATCGCGGCCAAACTCGAGGACTAAACACCTACCCCACTCCCAAAGATGTCGACGAACGAGACATTTTACCTCCGTTACTAGTAAGGATGATGATGCGATGACAAGCCCAAGTCTACTCGGCTGCTGACAGCTCTTTCACAGCTCGGGTCACTCTGGGCGGTTCGGGCACGAGTTCCTAGGTGGGTGATAGCCTCCCAATGCCTCTCCATGAGAGTACAGCGCCCTAAGCCATTGCGCTAACATTCGCTCTAGAATTCGATTTCCGAACCATTGCCGATGGCAACAGCGCTGCTGTGCGATATGCGAACAACTCAAACTACCGAAATGACTCCCTCATCCGTAAAGAGAGTGAGTGGGAGGATCCCCGCGCCGGCGCCAATGCAAGCGATCTGACTCGGAAATAGTGTGTGTGAGCTCGGCAATGATCGAGGAGATCAAGCGCATCATCAAGCAGAGTGAGATCTTGAAGTACGAAGCCAATCTTCCGAGGAGAGGAGACACGGGACCAGACGCTGACACTCGACCCTAGGGAGGACGACTCCAAGTGGCCCCAGAAGAACAAGGACGGACGTCAGGAGCTGGAGATTCGTCTAGGAAATGAGCACATTTCGTTCGAGGTAAGACCCAAGTGGGCAAGACCTGGCGCGACTACCACCGAGAGGCTGCAATGTTCTAATTCCTTTACAGACCGCGAAGATCGGCTCTTTGGTGGATGTGACAGAGTCTGCAGACCCCGAAGGCCTCCGAGTCTTCTATTACCTGGTGCAGGACCTTAAGGCGCTGGTTTTCTCGCTCATTTCTCTGCATTTCAAGGTATGGCCCGCTTGGCTTATTGTCTTTGGGTCCACTTTAGGTCAACACTAACGGCGATCTCTCAACCTACAGATTAAGCCTATCTAAACCCGAGGCATTTAGAGTTTGAAATTGGTTATTTTTTATGATACCGGGCGTTCGATCGAGGCTTTCTTGCATGGGTTCATCATGAAGCGGACCCACAGGCAGATAATACAAAACACGTGCTTTTCCAGGAGCTCCCTATCCTCGATGAATATTTATAATGTAGTCATTGTAAATCTCATGGGTTATTATAACCCCCTAACCGTATCCCAATCACATATATCATCGTCGCATGCTTGTCCGCGATTGCCGCGCGCCCACGCTGTACCTGACGTATATATTGCAGCCTGAGGCCACCAACGCCTCCCCCGCGCTCGCATGACCCCATGATGGGCCCCCCGGTCAGGACTGGACCTACAGACAATCCTTCTTTCCTTCAAGATTCCTTCCCCCCGAACCCCAAACCTCTCTCCCCTTCAACTCCCTTCCTTTCTTTCTGTTATCTTGCTTAGTGATTTTTTCTCTTTTCGTTACTGGCGCCTAGCTCGATCCGATGTCTGCTCTCCTCCTTCCTTGATCCCGCCCCCAATGCCGACCCCGAGTGACAACCGCCCAACTTCGATCGCCGAGGTGATCTCCACCCGTACTTGCCCACCGGAACTGGACCGCGTCTCGGCCTGGAGAGACTCACCAGATTCAACCGTTTCCGCCAGCGAGGCACTTGAAGATGCTCTAACTCCGGCCAGCGCGACCGCGCCCTCCGTGCTGAGTCGTTCCGACGATGACAGCGCGCTCTTGGCGTCTGACCCGCTGAAAGTGGAGAGCAAGATAGCCGGCGCGACGGACGACGAGACTACTACACGCGAGCGATCTACTTCACCTACAGAGTTATGCGCTCGCAGTCGGTCGTCTGTCATGCCACCGAACTCTTCATTGTTGCGTTATGAATTTTCAAATGTTCGCGTAAGTCTTACGGCCCAACAACATTCCCAACGCCACGCTATACCCGGTGACTGACCTATTACCACAGCTCCTGCCAAACCATTCTTCGTCCTATCTCCGCTCTGGGAGCAGATTCGTCGGCACCCAAATGTCCGACAAACAGGTGTACAATGTTGACGTGGAAATAAAGCACGTGGACATGGCCGAGTCCTATCTTTGTGGCTATCTTCGCATCCAAGGTTAGTGACTCACCCGCATCTCAACCGTGACTCGGATATCAGTCTAACCGTCGTGTCCCTTTGATTCAATCCGAAATAGGCCTTACAGAAGATCACCCTACCTTGACTACATTCTTTGAAGGAGAGATCATCGGTACTAAACACACGTTCCAGACTCGCAATGAGGAATGGGGTGCCAACGAGAAGACGGATATCCACCACTGGTCCCGTTTCCCCGCTTGGAAACCACTTGCCAAACAGGCGAAGCGAACTGATTTCACCTACCGCAACTTTGCCCAGCGCGAGCACGTGTTCATGAGATGGAAGGAATATTTCCTTGTCCCAGACCATCGGGTGCGAACCATCTCTGGCGCTAGCTTCGAGGGATTCTACTACATCTGCTTCAATCAGATTGAAGGATCTGTCAGCGGTGTTTACTTCCATGCCAAGAGCGAGCGGTAGGTCACTAATACTCCAATAGGTGAGACTGGATTTTTTTTTGGCTGACTTTCCTACCAGATTCCAACAACTTGAGCTAAAGCACGTCGAAGATCGTGGATGTGCGCCAGCAGTTGAATTCCGCTAAGATTTACGAAGCTTGTCTTCTGGCGCTTGAATGATTCAGACCCGCCATTTCAAAGCATTGATTCGCCTTCTCAACGCACCTGTTTTTTTTTTCGTCTCTTTTACTCCTAACGGTACGGCATGGCTGAGCGCATCCCTCTCCGCACCTTCATCACTACATTCGACCTACCAAGAAGCTTGGCCATTTCCTCCTCTACAGATCGATCTTACATCAAGCCCTCATTATTCTCTGATCCTTGCAATATCTCCTTACTCAAACTCTCCTCCGCTTTCTCTGTTTGTTGGACACCCGTGATCCCACGGCCTCATTGAACATCATACTCTCCACATACCACATATACCCCCACATCGGTCACCTCCTGGCGCCAGCTCTTGTCAACCTGTATCTCATCTCATGCCTCACGAAACCCTCGATCTCGGAAATGGCGTTTTTTCTCTTTTCTCTTTTCTTTGGGGGCGAGATGGGTTCCTTTCTTTGTTCCGAGTCTTTTCACCTTACGACATTTTTATTAACCTCACCCGCCATCTACATCTATTCCTGTCTTATTGTTTTGTCAGATGTATTCAATCACCAGGCTAGGATAGGCCGTGCAGCCCGCTTGAGAAAATCAATACTCAGGTTTTCCTGGACTAAACTCAAGATACTTGTGCTTCATCTGACCTCGTAGATGTGTCGTTAGATAGTATTGATAGGTTTGGGCCGGAGCAATGCAGAAAATAAACGCTCATGTGTTCCTCGTAGGATGCGAATCTAATTTCTCCATGGATGCCTTGCTTCATAGATTGAGATTACGGAAAGGAAAAGAAGAATTCATGTTCCGAAAATTGCTCAACAGTATGCACGCAATAGAGTCAAATGCTAAAACCAAGTCGTTTTCGTACACACAGAACATCATACAATTAACTAGCACACAGACCCAGCGCCAAACGAAAACCAGAAACCCTAGAATGACCAGCAGACTCAGCTTCGTATATGCGAGTAAAATGAGGGGGAAAGATAGACATCGCAACGCAGATGATCAGAGAAAACCAGAAAAAAAATCAGCACAGGAGGGGGTATCACATGCGATGCCGTTTGAGGATAGGTACGATTCAAGATCGAAATCGAGATCGAGCGAGTGTGTGGTGAAATGGAAGATTGAAAGATTTTTTCCCAACAAATATATGAGCGCTAGTGCCATGAAGGCTAGCAAATGGTGAAATGCCACGGTGAGAGGCAGAAATAAAATATTAGAAGATTCGGTGGGTATAGGATCAGGCATAGGTCGAGCCCTGGCGACTAATAGAGCTTGAACTGGTGTAGCTACCGCTCTCGCTACTGGGCGTTGCAGGTTCGAGGACGACTTGCTGACGAATTGAGACGATCCATTCGTGTTGGAGTAGTTCGGCGGCAGTAGGTCGCCGCAAGGGGTCGCACTCGAAGCAGCGGCGCACAAAGTCGATTCCTGTGTCGCTGAGTTGGTCTTGCGTGGGTAGAGCTGGCTGGTTACCCTGTGCGATGTTGTACATGATCGCCCATTCATTGTCAAGGGTAGACCAGGGACGGCGACCGGTCGCCATTTCCAGGATAACACATCCCAAGGACCAGATATCAACGGCGCCTTGTCGATTCACCAGGTCGGGTGAGTCACCGCGAATGACCTCGGGAGACATGTACATCGGAGTACCCGTGGTGGTCTTCTGGTTCTTACCCCGCTGGGTGGCTATTTGAGCATCCTTTCCGAGAATGCCGCCGTTGGGACCGTCCATGGGGGCTACTGTACGACCCGACCGGGCGATGATCTTTGCAGCACCGAAATCAACGTATTTGATAATTCCGTTGTGATCCAGCAGGATATTCTCAGGTTTGATGTCGCGGTGAACAATACCTGCTTGGTGGAGATAGGCCAAACCCTCGAGAAGTTGAAGAGCATAAACCATGATGACTGTTTCATCTTCGATGCGGCCGTGCTCCAACAAGCTGGCAAGTGAGCCGCCCGAGCAGTACTCCATGAAGATGTACACCTTGTCACGATGCACTTCAATACCGTGATAAGAGACGATATTGGGATGATCCAAAACTTCCAGAACACCCATTTCATCGCGAATTTGCTGTGCAATTTTGGGGATGAGCTGGGGATCCTGCAGACGGATCTCCTTGACAGCCATCAGGTAATTGCTGTCCAGGTTGATAGCCACGTAGACAGAGCCGAAAGTACCTCCACCAATGAACTGGCCCTGCTGCCAACGCAAAGTGACGTTCGTGGCAGAGGATGAGAGTACCGTCAGAGAGCGGTCGGCCTCGTTGGAGCTCTCGAGGACCCTACCGAGTGCCTGCTGTTTGGCGTCAGCTCTGCGGTCCTCGATATCCGCCACTCGAGCAAGCCATTGTTCGCGGATCAGCTTTGAAGCTTCATCATCGCTCAGTATGCGACCGGCACCGACCTTGCGATAGCCGGCGCGCTCCTCCATGCGCTGTTTCTCAGCCTGCGCAGCAAGAGAAGAACGAGCACCCATGATATCAAAGTGAGAGATCAGCAGGGACATGCAGCCCGCCACCTTCGACCGCAGACGGCCAAACTCTTCCTCGTCCATGGATAGCAGGTGTCGGCTGGAGGTGATGGCCATTGCGAACTCCAGAGCCGCCACCGCCCACTTGAAGGTCTTCCGATCCGCAGCATCGCACTCATCACAAATGAAGGAAACCCAGTCTAGAGACAGCTCGACTAGACGGGCACTGTTCATAGCACGTCGGTTGGAGTCAACATAGTTAGATGAACGCTTACCAAATTCAGTTGCAAATGCATAGCAAGCCTGAATCAAGTCGTTGTTCTCCCACGTTTTCTCCCGCAGTTGGTCCTTGATTACTGCCACGCTATCCATAATAGCCATGGACAGTTTGAAAGAGATTTTCTTAATCTTGTTCAACTCCACGTTCACACGGCCCAAATTGGCGCGCTGTTCGATCGCCATATCGAGCTGGATGCCCGTGAGCTGGGCCAACTCCATCCGGGCATTCTGCAGTCGCTCCTGCATGCCCTCGACGACAAGCCGCAGCTTTCCAAGACGCACATCGGTCGGTTGCTCCAAGAAATCAATCTTCATCTCTTTGCCAGCCCATGCCAATGGCTTTTCAGGGCGAATGACCAACACGTACGGAATATGTGGTCCGTCCTTTGTGGACTCATCTTCTCGGAATGAGGTGGCAAGGATTGCTTGGATATCAGCGGGTCGGTTCCACAGCGAATGGTGTGCAATCAGGTAGACTCCCTTCTGACCAACGGAGGTGGGCGATGTGACAAGGAAGTGATCGGAGACGAGTAGCGCCTCGAAGAATTCGTAAGCGATGTCGGTCGTCAGGTTGTATTCGGTAGCGTTTTCGAAGAGTTGACAGAGGAACTTTGAGAATCGGTACAATTTCCGCTGGCGAATACGTGTTGAATCCAATATGCTCTTGTAACGCTTGTCCATATCCGCAACGCTCTCGTTATGTCTCGGTACGAGCTCGCGCTCGAAGTGGATCATGAGCCGCTGAAGTGACTTCGCAGTCAAAGCACTGTAGAAATCGAAGTGTTAGTTGCTAGTAAATCTCTCGAGGGGTTTAGGCGTTGACATACCTGAATTGTTCAGCCACCTCAATATCGCCGTTCTCAATTTGTCGGCCAATAACATAAGAAAACTCCCACTCTTGTTCAAGAATTTCAGCTTCCTTGAACGTGTTCTTGTTCGCGTTCAACTTCCAGTTCAATATCCGGAAATAGTACTTCATCGCATCCAAAACCACAGAATCAAAGTTCTCGTCAACGCAGGGCGGAAGATCCCAGCCGGGTTCCGGCCGCGAGATTTCCAGGTAACGTTGTTTGATTTGCGTAGCCACCCGCATCAAGATCTGGAACTGTGAAATCATTTGATCCACCAAGATGGGAGATTGCTGGGCAGGGTCCTTCATATTCTTCGCGTAAGACAGTCGAACGCGAATAATCTCTTGAATCAGCCGCGACGGGAAGTTGATCAGAGTCAAGAGCTCTTCAATGTATGGCGGTAAATGGCGGGCAGCAAAGGCCTGCGCATTCTCAATCAACGTGCCTTTTGCCTTCTGAATGACTCTACCAAGTCCATTCAGCATGCTATGGTCCCCTTGAAGCGTCTTCAGACCGTCTTCCTTCATGATGCGATCCAAGAAAGAGGAGTCCTCGGAGAGCTCGCTGTTTTCGTGTTTCTTTCTGGGCTGGCTGAAATCCAGCGCATCGTTACCGACCCAGCTTTGCAAGACGGCCAGTTCAGTGTTGATGAGAGCTGTGATATTATGCCAAGCAAAGATGGCTGCACGGCTAGAATAGAATTCCTCCGAGGCGGTACGAGGATTCGCGGCTTCCATTTCCTTGGAGGTAGAATAGAGAACCTCGCATTTCTCAACCTTCGCTACAACATCCTCCACCTGTTTTCTGGGCGGCTTGCCGATTTCAGTTTCACCCTTGATCTGGAAGTTGATGATCTCTTCAATCAAAGGGCCAAGCTGTGCCCTGGAATCCTCAATGAGCTTCCGCTGCAGGGCAATGCTTCGTCCACAAGTTCTCGCTCGTACACCTATCCAGAGCGCATGACCTAGGGCAGCCGAGCGCTTTGATTCCGTCGAGTCGATCAACCGTTGTTTCTCTTGTCTAACGACATCTCCCTTTAGCACGGAAGCCAGCATTGAATGCCACTCCAACCGTTCCTGATTCTTTGGGTGCTTCAATTCTTCTATCGTCGGCATATTGTCATCGGGGAGAAATAATTGGGTATCGGGGTCGTAAGAATCGTCATCAAAGGGCACCTCCGAGGAGGGCGAGGGGTCCTCAAGATCTGCATCTGCCACCATCATGTTGGCGGATTGCGAGTCGTCAAAGTGGTGGTACCAGGCCTGCGGATTGGCCCGAATGCGCTGAACGTAAGCCTTTTCCTGGGCGCGATACTGCGCGTTTGGATCGCGTCGAGTACCCCTTTTCGTAGAGGAGGATCGTTGCCGGTCGCTCTGGAGACTGATGTACTGCGGTGGACGGCGTTGGGGGGCATACGTATTGGAGGGAGTTCTTGCGGGAGCCGACGGGCGTTGAAGGCGCGGATCACCGGCCATGTCAGCTTTGTCAAGGACAGCAGAGGCTCCAACACTAGCCCCTCGTGGCCGGGCAGTTGGAGTACTGGACCATGAGGAGCCCAGGCTCGAGGCGTGTGAGGGAGGGGAGGATGTGATGGTCGTGGCCGGAGTCTGGACCTGAGCCCCGTCGATAAAGGGCTCACCGAAGGATGAATTGGCCCTCAAAGGGTATTGAGGGGGGAACTCATCCGAGGATCCCGAGCCATCTGAGTCATGGCTGACAATGTCGGGATGCTCCATGGTGGACCGTGTGATGCAAGAAAGCTCTGGCGATGGGGAAGGACGGAGCTCAGAGAGACGATAGGAATGATAGGAAGTGATAGGGGCCGTGTGGCGGTGCGGGTGGCGGGGGGCCCAATGACAGGCCTGTCTGCCCATGGGGATCCCTGCTTTTTGCTCTCTCCATCTTGGCCTTTCAGCTCGCAATGACACCGATCGACTGCTTGTCCTACCCTATTTAGTTGGTGCATGAGTAACGCTCATGTACGTGGCAGTGTGCTGATGTCTTGTTTGATATTAAATAACATCCCTGTGCCCTGTCCCTAGTCAGCTGCCCAGACCAAGAATTGGTTGAACATGACACCAGTCTGGTGTGATATATAGGACAAGAAACCGAAAGAGTGAAGAAAAAACCCGAGATCGCTTTTTTGATGCATGAATTAGATCTAAGTAGCTACGAGCTTTTTGTAAGAAAATACTTCTTAGTCGTCTGATGACACATCGCTGTCATAGAAAATATTGATTCTATCTAGAAATTCTGTTCCCTTGGTCTTTTAAAGCCTGCTAAGTATAGGGATCACAAGGAGACGAGAAAATAATAATCTAGACAAAATCTGGAATTTTGGCCTTCTTCCTGGTTTTCATAAAATTTCACTCATGCATACTTTTAGTCGTGGCTCCGAATGGAGAGTATATGTACCTATGCGCTTTCAAAAGAGGGGGCTCGGTGAATGCTTGATCCAACCGTTGACAGATCAGATCTATCTTTCAAAACAAATATGCATGACAAAACCTGATCTTTGAGACTATTATTTGACAAATATATACCTACCACCTCAAGCTATATAGCAAATGTCAGATACCTTTGCGTTGATCTTTACCCAGCCCAGAGCCCTTGAGACCAATACTGCTACCGGATAGTTATTTGCTTGTGTACTATTAATCAATAAGAAAACGTGTTCTATGGATAGACAGAAGTGTTTGACAATATTTTGAGTACATGTTATAAGATACCGGGTCCAGGGCATATTACTGAGGAAAGCCAAGCTGAGGGAACGAGCTTCTGTAAAAGCAGATCTCCCTATTTACCATGCTTCTTACTCCAATAGGTTATATATCTTGTTGTTATAAAGGTGTTTCAATTCTAGGGATTTTTCCACAGCCTGAAGCTGCTAAACTCGAGGGTGGGATGAAGAAACTACTGAATAGCCTGAACCTTAAAGAGCCCAAGGTATTTTTCGTACTCTATTTACAATATATACAATAGAATAACCAATGGATGGAAGTATTTATGTCAACAATATGCATAGTAACTTTCGAATGTACTGTAAGGGGCTGAAGGCAAACAAAGTAACTCGTTTTCACTCCAGTCACTATCCTAGCCAGGTCTACATTTGTTTCTCCGAGACTGTGTCATGATCTGATATCATGGTTAGTTAGCATAACTATTTGTTTCCAAGCTTTGGCTCTCTAGGTCCTGGCCAGCATTTATCGGCAGTAGTCTTCCAGGGGTTACAGGGTTCAGACTACTTCCAGCCAAGCAGCGTAGCCCCCAAGATAGTAATAGTGTCTGATAGTGTCTATAGGGCTTGGTACATTCTTCCAAGTCGACTTCCATACGTAACGCTCAGCCTTTCCCGCATAATGGGACTGTTACTTCCCGCTCATGGCAGGGTTCCTGCAGGAATCATAGCTGTAGAAGGCCGTGATCAGCGAACTCCTGGGGTCAGCCAAGGAAAGCTCGGCTCAGCCTCAAGAACAATGTTTACTTTATGTACTTGCATGGCCTGTGCGATATAGTAGGGCCCTCCATCTCCACCTCGATGCTCGTTAGATCGGTAGATCATCACCACTTCTCCATGCTTGTCGATCAGTGGACCCTGACCAGGGCTGGTAATTTTCTATCATATAGAACTTGAGAAGTCAATATAGACGGACGGTCATTTGCAGTCAGAAACGAATAATAGATCTCATATTCTCAAAATGGCCCTTGATATGACGAGCACGACATGCACTAGCGAATGAGACTGTGCCCGAGGCGACACGGCCACCTCCAACGTCTCATCGAAGGAAGGAATCGACTTTGGGCGAGATGTCCATCAACCAAGGTCCAAGAGGCGAGGAGAAGTCAATAGCGGCACAGATAGATCCTGCATCTCGACGTCAGTCAAACGAACTCTCTGGGGAGGGTGACCAGTCGAAGCCCGCTGGAAGCGATGCCAAGAAGAAGGTCGGGATGCCGACTTCAAGCCCTACACCAGCTTACGCCTCCACAACCAATGAGCACTTGAAGGCTTATCATGGCTTGGCACTCCGCGGACCGCGTGGCAGGGAGCAAAACCGTCGCACTGCGCCCCATGCGTTCTCGGAGGGAGGTCATGTCCCTGGCAAGTGGAGTAGGGGTCTCCATTATCCCGGACCCGGAGAATGGGAAGTGACTACTCCTAATTTGGAAATCCTCTAGACTCGCATTATATGCATTTGAAATGCGAGGGGTGATGGCAATCATTGAACGGCTCAAGCTTCAAAAATCGATGCTCGACCTTCGAGGCTCAGGCCATGTACCGGCGGAATGGTTGTACTGGTGGAAGTCTCATGATTTGCATATTCTTTGGTGTCGTCAGAGGCGGGAAGTATAGAGAGGGAATTGCCAAGAGCCAGACTTTGTTTTATTTGGGAACGAATAAAATACGAAGTGTCTGATGATATGAAAGGGTGATGCTTAGGGAGTGAGGTCCGAAGGGCGAAGGTTCGGACGAGGCAACGATAAGCAGCTCTGACAGGCCGAGTGATCGGGCGCTGATTGGCTGATCATAAGGTGTCTGATAAGACCTTTTTGGGATAGATGTACCTTACAATATTCAGGATTACACTTTTGAGCACGACAAGCTCTTTCCGAAGAGTTCAATTTCTAATTGTCTTATAGAGTCGGCAAATTTATGTTACATATTCATAGTTTGAAACAATTATCGTCTAAAACTCCGCGGCAGGCGACGCTGTTGTCGTGTTTAGTACCTTTGCGGACCAGTCGCAAGATGCTTTTAAGGATGAGGGTGCAGATAAGCACTGTAGCCGTTGATTGGCCCACTGTGGACTTGCATATCTACAGCCAGTCGTAGACCTCCACCGCGGGTATCCTTAATTCCCACCCATTGTTTTATTGTTTTTTAAATTTTTTCTCTTGTTGATATGGCTGATTAGGCTGGCTGATTACTGGCGATTAGAGCGGTTTCCCTGTCAATTCCCATTATTCGCCTCCATCTGTCACTCAAATAACCCAATCGTGCTATCACCCTAGCGATTCCGAACCCCTGCTTATCGCTCCTGCACTCTCCAATGCTGACGAGCCCTATTCGGCGTCACACTTCAATTCCCCTGGTCTGCCACGGCATACAGAAAAGAAATACCCTTACGGTACCTGGCTGGGATCGGAGAATTTCTGTAAACATTTGCAGTATAACATCATGCTATGCATTAAGATCTAAGCACAGTCTCTCTGCCAACAAGCAAAAAATGATAGTTTCTTCTTTGCTTCATTGCGGCATCTTTACTAGAGTCAATTGTATACCCCGTAATTATACTCCTACCCCATCCCGTAAATCCCCGTCCCGGATCCATACAACCATGCCCACAGTCCTCCTAAATCCCGGACATGGCTGAAATGGGGCTGGCTTGGCCCTGGCTATCAGTTCGATCCGATGAATCATGCCAGTAATCATCATGACCACAAGCTGGTTCCCACTATCGCGGAGCCCAAGATCGAATGCGATGCTGCGCTTTCTAGCGTGGCCGATGGTGGGGCCCTGCGTGTCTGGCCTAGACATACGAAATATTGCCTGTCGCTATTTAATTATCAGACCCAGTCCCTGCAGGTGCTGGATAGATCAGCTTTTCTTTTTTCCAATCCATCTTCCCCTTTCCAGCTCCGCAGGCCGGTTGGTTTAAGAATCATCTTCCTTGGATCTATCCTTTTCCTTGACTTTGCTCCCCTTTGGTCGTCCTATCTACTCGGTTGACCTTCGGAATCCCTAAGCCTATCATCGCCTCCCCTGTCCTTGAGTGACCTATCTGGCTGTGCCGGTTATCGTGCTCCCCTATTGTGAAACACTTACACACGTCTAAACACATCTGGTATCACCATGTCTGCATACCCGGTGGCCTACAACGGCTCCGCCACGGGCACTGGTGGTGACTCGTTGACGGAGGACCTGAACATCTATTACAATGTAAGCATTGATGAGAATTGAGTGTATTCAATTCAAAGGTGATGACTGACAAGGACTATCTAGGCCGGTGATATTGCTTGGGTAGTAACTTCATCCGCCCTCGTCTTGCTCATGATTCCCGGTGTTGGGTAAGTTGCTCTTGAGATACAAGCTGTCGAAGGGTCAAGCCTTGCTAACACGTCGTTTCATAGTTTCTTCTACTCCGGTCTCGCTCGTCGCAAGTCTGCCCTCTCTTTGATATGGCTGTCCATCATGTCGGTCGGTGTGGTTTCGTTCCAATGGTTCTTCTGGGGTTACTCTTTGTCTTTCTCCCACACTGCTGGAAAGTTCATCGGTGATCTGTCCAACTTCGGTATGAAGGATGTTCTGGCGGCGCCATCTGTTGGCAGCTCCAAGGTCCCGGATATCCTGTTTGCCATCTTCCAGGGCATGTTCGCTGCTATTACGTGAGTACTATAATCAACTGGGACGGGATCTTGCTAGGAATGGCTCATTGACTTCATATAGTGTTGCTCTCGCCGTCGGTGCCGTTGCTGAGCGTGGTCGCATGCTGCCCTGCATCATCTTCATGTTCATCTGGACTACCGTTATCTACGATCCCATTGCTTGCTGGACCTGGAATGCTTCCGGTTGGGTCTTCAAGCTGGGTGGTCTCGACTTCGCCGGTGGTACTCCCGTCCACATCGCTTCCGGTTCCGCTGCTCTGGCTTACTCCCTGATGCTGGGCAAGCGTCGCGGCCACGGCACTCACGAGCTCAACTACCGTCCTCACAACGTCACTCACGTCGTTATTGGAACTGTCTTCCTCTGGGTTGGATGGTTCGGCTTCAACGCTGGTTCCGCCCTGTCCGCTAACCTGCGCGCTGTCATGGCTGCCGTCGTGACTAACCTCGCTGCCTCCGTTGGTGGTGTTACCTGGTGCTTGCTCGACTACCGTCTGGAGCGCAAGTGGTCTACTGTCGGTTTCTGCTCCGGTGTTATCGCCGGTCTGGTCGCCATTACTCCTGGCTCTGGCTTCGTTACTCCCTGGGCTGCCTTCATCTTCGGTGTTGTCGGTGCCATTGCCTGCAACTACGCCACCAAGCTGAAGTTCCTGCTCCGCGTTGATGATGCCCTGGATATCTTCGCTGTCCACGCCGTTGGCGGTCTGGTCGGCAACCTGCTCACCGGTCTCTTTGCTGCGTAAGTCAAGCCTTCTATCGGTTTATTACGGCACTATACTAATTGCTATTAGTGACTACATTGCGCACCTCGACGGCGTCACCGAGATCCCCGGTGGCTGGATCAACCACAACTACATTCAGCTCGGTTACCAGCTTGCTGACTCCGTCACTGGATTTGCCTACTCCTTTGTTGGAACCTGCATTATCCTGTTCATCATGAACCTCATTCCCGGTCTTAGCCTGCGTGCTCCTGAGGAGGATGAGATCCTGGGTATCGATGATGCCGAGATTGGCGAGTTTGCCGTAAGTTATACCTCAAATCTTCTGCATACAATACATTCTTTGCTAACTAATATCCCCAGTATGACTACGTCGAGGTTACTCGCGACATTGTCAACGGCGTTGAGAGCAGCGATGCTGGCTCCAAGCGTACCATGACTCCCACTGGAGAGCAAACTACCACCATTGACACCAAGGCTTGATTGATCTCGCCTTGCAACTCACTCCTTCTTTAATACTTTAATTTTTTTTTTAACTTTTCTAACTCTCGGTGCGGTCCTTGTCAATCCTGTGTCCATCTTCATCATTAAGCAAAACGGATTGTGGGCTTTGGATACTCTGTATCGCTTTCATTTCTCTTGGCTCTGAGCTATTTTTCCCCCTTCATTTTTTTTTCTTAGCATGTTCCAGATACCCTTTCAAATACAAGAATAAAAAACCAAGATATCGCTATCACTATTTCCTCATTGCGAAGTTGTGCCTGTAGTTGAAATGAACGTTAGAGCATCCCTTACCGTAAGCAATGAGCGATCCACGGGTAAGGCTGTTTCAGTCCTGGAGAGCTCGGAGCTCCTTCCAAGAGCTTCCCGCGCGAACCCCCGCGACTTGCGACCCGCGCCCCCGCGACCTCTCGTTCTGTTTTCTCACTCCCACGCCCACCCCCGCGATCGCTGACAAATCGAATACTACTTCTATTTCCATTCTTGATCGCTCAGCAACAGTCCTACAGACTCGAGATGGCCTCGGTCGGGGCCTCCGCAGACACACCTGCGTTCCCGCAGGACCCGGCGGAGTTTGATAGCGACCCACGCATCTCGTGGTCCATGGTCGATGAAAAGTTCATCCTGGAAACTGAGGATGGGCAGGAGTTTGAGTATGATACCGGCATCAAGCGCTGGGTTCAGAAGGTATGTTTTGTATAATATTGGGCTCTGCTCGTTCCTTAATTCTGCGAGCCTCGCAATTCCGTCGGGACTGTAAAATCGGCATTGTTGTCCTTGTACCTTTGGGTGCTAACTTAATATGCCATTTTAGGTTGATGAGGAGCTTCTTAAGCAACAGCAAGAGGCCTACAAGGTTGCAGGCGTTGACGAAGATGAGGTGGTTAACCCCCGTGAAATGAAAAAGCGGAAGCTGCCAGCTGGCGATGTAAGTGCTCCGATAATTCAGGTTGTGTTAAAAAAAAGTTTTCGGCTTTATTCCTAATCTTCTTCTAGGCAAAGGGAAACAAGGCAAAGAAGCCGCGTGTAAATCACGCGGTTTGGGTCACTGGCCTGCCTGTGGACACCGATCGGGATGAAATTGAACAAAAGTTCGCTCGTTGGGGTGTCATCGCCCGAGAAATTGATAGCGGCGGTCCACGCATCAAGATGTACTACGATGAGAGTGGCAAATTCAAGGGTGAAGCCCTGGTGGTCTACTTCCGTCCAGAATCCGTCTCCCTAGCCATTCAGATGGTTGACGAGACTGATTTCCGCGAGGGCAACGTTCCCTTGGCAGGAAAGGAGCCGATGAGAGTGCAGGCAGCTGAACTGTCTTTTAAAAATCAAACGGAGGCCCCGGCCAAGTCTGCGCCTCGTGACAGGCGTAAGATCATAGAGCGGACGGAGGAATTGAACCGGTTTGTGTTGCTCTTGACCGATGTTTTCTTTGTTTAGCGCTAACATTCATTATCCACGCAGTTTGTTGACGGATTGGGATGATGACGACCCGTTTGCCCGGAATAATATTGGCGTCCGCCAGGAACGGACGGTAGTCCTGAAAGGCCTGTTCACGTTGGAGGAGCTCCAGGTAAGCCCGTCTATTATATTCTTATTGGCTACGAATCTAGTGAGACTGACTCTTACTACAAAGACCGATGTCGAGGCAATTCTGGACATCAAAGACGATGTTCGAAACGAATGCTCCAAGTTCGGAGAGGTCACTAATGTAGTGCTCTACGACCTGGAGCCAGCAGGAGTGGTGACCGTAAAATTTGCCGAACACGAGGATGCCCAAAAATGCATTGCAGTATGTGTTTACCCTCCCTTTTTCTTGACATCTCTTTCAGTCCTATATCTTCCGAGGGATTCGATACCTATCTCAGAACTCTTTCAATTGTCTGATCTTTTCTGACGCTAATGTTCCTTCTAGCGCCTGGATGGCCGATTCTTCGGCGGCACCCAGATTAAGGCCTACCTCCAGGTCGGACGTGAGAAGTTTAAGAAGACCAATGAGCGACGGGCAGCTCTGGAGGACATGGCGGAGCGGGGCCTTGATGCCGAGAACGAGGAAGAGAACCAGCGATTGCAAGGGTTCGGAGACTGGCTGGAGAGTGAGAAGTAAGAGTATCTTGCCCATCAAAGAGCCAGGAACATGATCGCAATAGACGGACAGGACGGTGTATCTCTCAAGTGTAATGATAGTGTTGTCATCTCATAGCTAATGACTAATCCATGCATGGTTTGGCCCAACGATACCCAAAAGCAAACAGAACAAACAAAAGTCCAAAGTGTGGTTCGCGCACTTCCCATCAAGTGAGATCACCTGATCCCCACCTGACTGGCCCAATTGCACTAACCCCAATCGGGACATCTCCCCCCCCCTGAACGTTCCTTTTGGCCTGGTTTGTTGTTGATCCCCACGCCCACACACCGACCTTTTCCTCCTCTCCTCCTCTCCATCTCCTGGACTTCTGGTCATCAACCCTCCTCGTCCTCCTTTCCAATACCCTTCTCCCACTTCATACCGCCAATTTCCATCCACAATGCGTGAGATTGTACGTCCAACCCCGATCCGACGCGTCCTGTGTTTTCCCTTTACCCCTGAAGGTCGACAAACCCCACCTGTTCAGCCTGTGCTAACCTCCTCTTTTTCGACGACTATCTAGGTCCACCTCCAGACCGGCCAGTGTGTAAGTGACGTCCAGAAACACGTGGAGGATGAAGTGAGGAATGTGATGGTTTGACTAACCGGAATTTGGGGGGTTTGTAGGGTAACCAAATCGGTGCCGCTTTCTGGTACGTGCCACGCCCGTCAAAAAACTCCCCAGCACAACAAAGCAACACCCCAATTGCGAGTTTATATGGACAAAACATACTGACTCGAACTACAGGCAGACCATTGCTGGTGAGCACGGCCTTGACGGCGATGGCCAGTAAGTTTCTTCGATAACCTCCCCTCGACAATACTACTCGACGCGGAATGGCGGTCTGATATTTTTGGCTAGCTACAACGGTACCTCCGACCTCCAGCTGGAGCGCCTGAACGTCTACTTCACCCACGTAAGTTACATGTCTATCGAAGAGATACTCGGTGTCGAATCTAATCAATGGATCTTCGGTTTTTCTAGGCTAGCGGTGACAAGTACGTTCCCCGTGCCGTTCTGGTCGATCTCGAGCCCGGTACCATGGACGCTGTCCGTGCCGGTCCCTTTGGCAAGCTCTTCCGTCCCGACAACTTCGTCTTCGGTCAGTCCGGTGCCGGTAACAACTGGGCCAAGGGTCACTACACCGAGGGTGCCGAGCTCGTCGACCAGGTCGTCGATGTCGTCCGTCGTGAGGCCGAGGCTTGCGACTGCCTCCAGGGTTTCCAGATCACCCACTCCCTGGGTGGTGGTACCGGTGCCGGTATGGGTACACTCCTGATCTCCAAGATCCGTGAGGAGTTCCCCGACCGTATGATGGCTACTTTCTCCGTCGTCCCCTCCCCCAAGGTCTCCGACACCGTTGTCGAGCCTTACAACGCCACTCTGTCCGTCCACCAGCTCGTTGAGCACTCCGACGAGACCTTCTGTATTGACAACGAGGTATGAACCCATTGTCAGGGAATATCTGTTGCTCTGCTGCTCTCTTGGGGATCAACTAACTCAATCTCTTCTGTTTCTCTAGGCTCTGTACGACATCTGCATGCGCACCCTCAAGCTCAACTCCCCCTCCTACGGTGACCTGAACCACCTGGTCTCTGCCGTCATGTCCGGTGTCACCACCTCCCTCCGTTTCCCCGGTCAGCTCAACTCCGATCTCCGCAAGCTGGCTGTCAACATGGTTCCCTTCCCTCGTCTGCACTTCTTCATGGTCGGCTTCGCTCCCCTGACCAGCCGCGGTGCCCACCAGTACCGCCAGGTCAGCGTTCCCGAGCTGACCCAGCAGATGTTCGACCCCAAGAACATGATGGCTGCTTCTGACTTCCGCAACGGCCGTTACCTCACCTGCTCTGCTCTCTTCCGCGGTAAGGTCTCCATGAAGGAGGTTGAGGACCAGATGCGCAACATCCAGAACAAGAACACCAGCTACTTCGTTGAGTGGATTCCCAACAACGTTCAGACCGCTCTGTGCTCCGTTCCTCCCCGTGGTCTCCGCATGTCCTCCACCTTCGTCGGTAACTCGACCTCCATCCAGGAGCTGTTCAAGCGTATTGGCGATCAGTTCACTGCCATGTTCCGTCGCAAGGCTTTCTTGCATTGGTACACTGGTGAGGGTATGGACGAGATGGAGTTCACTGAAGCTGAGAGCAACATGAACGATCTCGTCTCCGAGTACCAGCAGTACCAGGAAGCCTCCATCTCCGAGGGCGAGGAGGAGTAGTAAGCAATCCCTTTTCCAAGAATACTTCGCTGATGGATACATCATACTGACCTTTTTTTTAGCCTCGCTGAGGAGGGCGGTCTCGAGGAGGAGGTCTAAATTTGCTGATTACCCAGCATTTTTGAGACTTGCTCGCAGTAATACCCTTCGATAAAGCCTACATTCTCTTATGTGTACGGGGCTAGGCTCCACACGGGTCCGGCTCCGACCCCAAGTATCTTGTTTGAGCGCCTAATGTACCCCTTTTTTATTCTGTCTCTATTTTTTCCTGTCGGTTTCTGGTGGTTTTTCCCCACCGCCGGGCCAGAATACATACTGGAAAAGCAATTGACGAAATGACTTTGATTGTCTGGGATTCATCATCATAGTAGAGAGGCATCGTGTGTCTCGTCTATTTGTAGGATCATACTCATGGCAGTATAAGAAACTCTCGTGACACTACGTCCCTTACGATTATAAAATAGTATAAGGACACGGAGATTACTATCCGTGAGTAGCGGTTTTGCATAGGTATACAGTGGAGTCTCATAAGATAAATTGAGATGTCTTACTAGAGCTCTCTAAAAAGATGATCTTTAAAAATAGAGAAGGCTGAAGGGTATCTACCTAGGCCTTTCTTTCTGACTAATGCTTCAGGATTTTGAACTATCACTGTATAAGGGCTATTGAATGTATTATGTGCTTAGCATCATGGTGCCACACAACTTTCATATAGTGCAATGAGTATGAGCCTATCTGTATTGATTAGGTCGTAATAAAGTTTCGCTTGTCTACAACGAACATGACCTTCCCTTCTATCTCACCCAAGATTGCTGAGCTTCCCTCAGAGTCTCCATTCTCGTGCCCCTACTCAATGGAATGGGCACTTTCCAGTCCGATACCCCTTGAACTCCTCCATGGACTCATCAATCGCTTTCCGCCCCTTACCCTCGAAGTACTTCGGGCCAACGTCTTTAATACTATACCCTTGAGGATAATACTTATCACCCTCGTCACCAGGCACAGGTCGACCAAGAATCCGGGTTAGCAACGCAGTGGGACCCCAGCGATTCCAGAATGTCGGCTTGACATAATAAGGCGCCGCTTCCCACTGGGTGAGGAAGAACCGGTTATTCTCATCGGGTTTATCAGTGTGAGAAATAGAGCGCAAGAAGTACGGCCGAGGCAGAGATAGATACCGCAAGAACAGCTTGCGGATGGTGAGCAGGCTTGAGAAGACAACGACCGCGATGGAAGAAGGTGCGTCGTAACTATAAACACTCGTTAGTCGCAAATATCAAAATATCAAAAGGTCGGAGTTAGAATGGGAAAGTTGCAACATACAGCATCGCCTTCCGCAACCGCTCATCCATCATAAACGAAACAAACTGCAATCCAACCGGATGCAACACCTCGGGCAACATATACAGCAACACGGCCGTAGTCTGATCAGCCGTCTCCCGATTCTTCGCATCAGGCACCATACACTTCTCCTCATATTCCTCACTCCACGCAGTAATTTCCTCCAACCACTGAATTCCATCCTTGAATCCCGTCGCACCAGACGGCAACTTCTCGTACCCAATACCCAACGCATCACCGGCACTCTTCCAGAACGTGCCGATAGCGCAGCGCTCTAGATCGCTGAGCTGGCGCCACTCGTACCGGTTGATGAAGCGGATTGGTTCGAGGGCGAAGAGGGCGAGTGTGTAGAGCATGTCGTCGTCGAGGATTTTGCCCGAGGCTCGGTAGCCGGCGTGCAGGAAGCGGGTGCGGGCGAAGGAGGTGTAGGCTCGTGCGGAGGTTGGGTTGTTGCCGACCATTTCTTGGACGAGGGCGCTTGTGTCTGTGTATCGCTTGAGAGATGTTTCTGGGCTGGAGAATTGGCTGGTCTTGGTGAGGACGTGGGAGATTGTTGGGATGCCGTAGGTCTGGGTGGTTGTCAGATACGTTGATGATACATGGGAAGGGTTTGTTGTTGGATGATAGGTATCATCCATGGGTATAGCTTGGACATACCCTGAACAAGGCAAATTGCAGCGATTTGATAAACATAAACGGGAACTCGAGCTGTGCGACAGCTTTCTGGATCTCGAATGCGTGGTCGTCGGTCATATTGGCCATGTCTTCCCGAGTGGCATAGGGGTACTTTTTGTACATATTTCGCACTCGCTGGTAGCGCAAGCTACCCGTGAGAAGAGGATAGCCTACCAGTAAGCCCAGAGCGTAGGGGAGCCATTGTCGAGGGGCAGAGTCGAGGAGGGCCCTCACTGCGTCAGTCAGTGACTGCGACGCCAAAGAAGTCGCGTTGTCCATGGGTGTTGCAGGGGTCTCTCAAGGTCCAGAGTGCGTGAGGTGCCTTTGCCAAAGAGTCCAGGGGAGGTACGGGCCTTTTTTGAGCTAAAAATCTGACCAGCAAAGCGACAACCAGCGCTTGTCAGCATTTATTAGCAGTTGTTGTTCGTCCCGTGTCGTGAAATCGGCGGCTTGTGATTTGGCTTGAGGCGTGCGGGGGGCCCGCCACGATTGAACTCGATTGGTCGAAGCTCTGCAGAGATGGAGTGGGAAGTTAGCACTAAGGAACAACTAAGTAGATACTAATTATGAAAAGACTCGGCATATTTTGAGAGAAAGAGGATATGCATTTTCTATGCTTCGGTGTTTTATTCATCTTTTGTTCATACTTCACAATTAATACCTCGATATTTAATCTTCAAGCATGAGCCCCGGTGCAGCTCCCTCTAATGAACACAACAAGACGAAATCTCATCTTTACAGATCCCATGCAACTAGCATAAATATAATAGCAGCAGAGTATGTACTCATCTATCAGCACGGACCGAGGGCATCTTCATCTCCATGGGCCGCGGGCCGGGGCTGTCGGTATCATATGCAACGCGCACGATCATCCTTGTTCGCCTGGCCCCCCTCCTGTTCAAAGTTTAAATATCTTTAAATGAAAAGAAACCTTTGACTGTGCCTAGCGCCTGAAATACCAGAGTTCCATCGCTCTGAGTGGTGGGAAGACTACGGCTGTAAATGCAGCTCCAGTCCACAGGCCCAAGTCCGCCCCGGAGGCAATCTGGGCAAGAAGGCCACGATAATAGACTTGGTTCTGGATAACCACCTGTTAGCTTATACCTATTGAATTGTCAGAGATAGGATGTGTAACTTACCATTCCAATAATGGCCCCCACCCATCCAACTATAAACGAGACGCCCGCCGCAATCCCCACGGGCAGTCGCTGCGGCGAATTCCACGCCGACCAGTCATACCCCTTCAACCGACGGAAGAACACGTCCTCCTCCATGACGATAATTAACCAAATCATCACCCAATACCCAATAAGCGGTAAGAACCCCTTAAACACTTCGTACAACGAATTCCGACCCCCCATCGCACAAGCGGTATAAATCACAGTCGCCAGCGTGGTAAAGACTGGCCGGGGAACACGCCAGAAGAAGCCACCCAGCATCTGGAGATTCATTCCCATAGAATACGCCCCGGGCGTGTTATTAGCGACCAGCGCCAGCACGTTGATCACTGCGCAGAATTTGCCGAACCCTCCGAGGGCATCATATGCTGCCATCAGGAGACCTCCTGGAGTGGAGCCGTACTTGTCGAGGTAGGTGGGCGAGCTCGCCATCATCGTGCCTAGTCCGATGCCGAGGAGCAAGGTGATTATCATTGCTTGGGAGCTGCCTAGCACCGTTACGGCGAAGGTACGCCAGCGCTTTATTTGCGGTGGGTAGTAAACGTAGTAGTCTGCGGCAAGTGGAGCCCATGCGAGGGCAATGGATAGAGCTAGAGAGAAGAAGGTGACTCGTTTGGCATTGAGTCGGCCGCGTGAAACGGGCGTGTGGACTTCAAAGTCGAAATGAGGGCCTGCAGAGCCGAGCATCACGCAGAGAACCATTAATTGAGGGACCCATGCAAATCTAGATGAACGGTTAGGACATGTTGAGCCTACTATTTCATGGCCGTACTTACCGTTCATAGATCTGGAAAATGCGCATTCCAAACATGGCCATTATCCAGCTCGAGAGGGCCACCACGACGATGCCCACCAGTACTGAAAGGTGTCCACCGGACACCCGAGAGAGAATCTGGCCACCGGTCACACAATTGACCATGCTATAACCAAGATTGGTGAGGATGTTCAGCGCGCTGCAGACTTTACTTGGATAGTACCCCATGAAGTAGCGGGCGACAATCTATCACAATTAGCACCAGCCATAGCTCTCCCCATCATGGAATGGGTATGAAATTACCAAAGTTCTATTCCCACTTCGAGGTCCCCAAGTGCTCATATATCCTACCGTCATAGTCCCGACCAAATTCCCCAGAATCGCGCAAATAGCCGCATCCTTGAAGCTCAGCCCTAATACCAAAGTTCCCATCGACCCGACAGTGATATTATTCGTCGCCAAGCTCATGCTGAACCAGAGAATCATCATGTGCAGTGACGTTGACGAAGTCACCGGCTCCCTTTCTTCCAGTGGTACAGGCTCGATGCCTCTGGTTTCCACGCCTTTCATGTTGGTGATCCATCGCCGAAATCTCGTTTGTGGTTTGGGGTCGTGGACGGTTTCCTTGATTGGTTCGCTTGAGGAGCTGTTGATGAGCTCATGTTGGCTTATGCTGTGTAGGGAGGGTGATCCATGGATTTTTTCAATGTCGTCGATCTTCATTGTTTGTGGTTGTTTTGTTGTGCTTGGGGAGGTTGATTTTCTGCCCTGATACTACCTCGAGAGGTCCGTCTGGCTTGTTGAAGTATGTGCAATTCAGGCCGACAGACTACTGACGAGACTGAAGCTCGTATATACCGTGATATATACCCTCCAATACAGTCCAGCACCTCAATGAAAGAGAATCGGAAAAAAAATCGGGTTAGTCGATTCGCGGATGACGATCAAAAGGTGAGCTCGGGCATGATAGATATAGGAAGAAAATCAAAAATTCCAATAATCAGATCCAGGAAAAGAAGAATGGCCCTCTCCACGTACTTCCAATTTTACCCTGTCCACCGTGGAACCCAATCCTGACATCACCCTGTCTTGGAGGAAGGCTACATACACGCTCCCTGGTGTAACACCCGCACCACTATGATACCGGCATTCCTCAGCAATCAAGGACGCAGGCCAGCTGGTCCGGGCACCGATCCAATGACCTCGCCAGAAGGCATGTCCATCTGAAGGAACAAAAAGAATCAAGAGAATCAAGCTCACACTGTATCAGGATGATGCTAGGATGTGGAGAAACGGCTGTTGTCAAGCTTGACGCATGTGGGGAAACATCAAAACGCAAGTCGTGCCAAACTAATGCATGTTGCCATCGGTTCCTGCCCTATCTGTTCGATGATGCCATCGAGCCAAGGATGGCTTGACTTGCTTTCTCCGAGCCCAGTACCGCGCGAGCGAGGGACACCGCGACGAGCTTTTTCACAGGATCGTCGATGTATTTCCCAATTTGGAAGGTCAGCATACCCTAAAGCTCCGGGAATCCTTTCACTGGAATGTTGGCCCTGTAAGGAGAGCTGATCTTTTCCCTTGTTCCTATACGGTGGTCATATTGATGGAGCTTTTCGGAGAATCGGAATTGCTTTGCTTCAAAGTTTCTCTTTTGCACGGTCAATATGGCCCCCGCTAGAATGTGCAGCCTTTCTATGCATCTTTGGGGGGTTTTGAGTTGATGATTGGCTCATGTGAGGAGCCTTAACAAAGATACCAATGAAGGGAGGACTCTGACGCGGCTCTTTTGTCTTACTATGCTTCTTTCTGTCCATAATTTTTCCTACATGAGCAACAAGGTTTTATGAATTCGCTCCCCAGGTTCCCCTCGGCTTCGGAGGTTTGTCCGGAAACAAAGATCCGATTATACTTTCTCCGAGTCTGCACAGGTCATGCACGATCGATTGAAAAGTTTAAGCTCTCATCTAGGGGGTTTGGTTCTTGGTAGCTACTACCGACAATCGGCGCCAAATTGCCAGCTTTTTTGCTCGCTGACATCTGGCCAAGTGACCAGCACAATCATCCCAATCCTCTACAGGACAGGGAAACAATACTCCCAAATTATGCCCAATTACGTACAAAGTAGCTCACTCTGATAGCAATCTGCCTCGAAATAGAACAAGTCAAGCTTTGCGCTCTCCTTTCTGTTCCACAAGTTGTTCTATTATGCGCATAACCTGCTCGAAAACAACATCGCCCTTCTCCTGCATACTCGAACACACGCGACAGATGTTCGATGACAAGGCCTTTGAGATGCTGGGTTGATCTGCCGAAGGATCGACTGCTAGCTCATACAAGTGGCTGCTGACTTATGAATTAAATCTACAGCTTTTCGGCTTTGTTGGCGACTCTGGAGTGTGCTTGTCTGTCGTGTATATTCTCCGAGGGTCTGCCCTTTCTTTAAGGCAATAGATAGTACTCCATGTGAATATATCATTTTAAGATGTAAATCAACATGTTTGCTCAGCATGATCCTCACTGTACCTGAACAACCTTCTCATTTGATCTATAAAGGAACCTAAGAGAAGCCCCTTAACTTGACACCGCAACACGCTTTCCCAAGCATATCAAACTGATATAGTCTTGATAATTGTTGTAAGATATACAAAGGCTACCTAATCTCCGTAGGAGAAGCCATAACCTAAGTGTTTTTGCTATACTAAGATCGATATATCATATTCCAGATAACAATTGTCTCTATCAGTAGCAATTCATCGCTAATGCAGATACATGATCTGTGCCGAAAATGCCTCCAAACTGATACATCCCAATGGATTCCACCTCCCATTCATCGTGAATCCAACCCTCAATCCTAACTGACGCGTATACAAGATTACCTCCTACTGAAACCTCGTCATCAAAAACGGATCAGAAACATCCGACCCCCGTCCCCTAACCCAAACATCAACAATCTGCGACCCATCCCGATCCCTTTCCGAATCAACAACAAAATACCACCCATAAAACGCAGCCGCCACACAAGAATGATTAGGAAACACCCTCACCATCTGTCCCACACTAAGCGGAATACTCCTCTGCACGCCAGCCTCCCACGCCACAATCCCATGTTCCTGGCTAATCCGATCAACAATCAGCCTCGGCGCACCGGGATCTTCATTCCGTCTCCATGAAGAAAGAACACCCCAGCCGGGGTAATTCGCGCAGGGCTCGCGGCCTAACGCGAGTGTACCAGCGGCAATCAGGGCTTCGGGTTTCTCGCGCTCGCCGTCGTTATACACGCTGCACACCTCTGCGACGATGGACATGGCGATTTCTTCTTCGAATTTGCCGGCGCCGTCTCTGGCGTTCGTTGATACCTGTTGCATATCCAGGATGGGGTAGTTGCCGGCGTGAAGTTCGATTTTGATCTTTGCGTCTGCGTTTTCGGGACACGGGTTGCGCAGGAGGGCTTTTAGTTCTTCGGCCTCGGGAGAAATAGTATTTTCACCGACAAGATTATGCGAGGATGAGATCTGTGGCGTTGCGCCGACGCTGATGATCAGCTCGCGATCCTGTGGGAGAAGGGGCAGCCACATGTTCAGCGCGACTTTGCAACCCTGGATCTCGGCGATGAGGTGCGTCATCGCTTCCGCAGCGCTCTTTGCATTATAGCTCAGACTACTGTGTGAGTATAAACCCAGTAGACGCACCCAGCCCTCTGCTTCGGCGTCGGCGAGCTTCTCCAGGAGCCCGTTCTTGTTCAGGGAGACGGGCGGCAGTCCCGCGCGGTGGTAGCCGGTGTCTACCTTGACGAAGACGCAGGCGGGGAATTTGGTTACTTCGAAGAATTGGCGTAGATAGGGGATTTGATCTGGATGGTCGATCATGACGGAGATGCTATCTTCACCGATTTCGGCAGCTAGTTCTGCGAGGCGTGGGACGTGCGAGGGCACGAGGGGGATGCCGTAGAGGACGTTGACGGGACGTTTTAGAATCTTGAGGCCTTTTAGTAGACGATGCAGCATTTCGATTTCGAGAAGTGTCGAGGCGATGAATTTAGTTTCTGGATCGCCGTTTTCCATTTGCATTCTGGCGATTTGGAAGGTCTATCGATGATGTTAGAGAAGGCTCAAGTAGTATGGTTGTACGCATAGAGATATGTATGTAGAGTAGATCAAATTACCTTGTGTGTCTTGACATGTGCTCTGAACCCAACACCTAGAGCTTTGACTGTCTTCTTCATCCGCTCGCAATGCCGGCGAATGATGGCTCGGTCGAGCACGGCGGCTGGCTTGGGGACATCTGCGATATCCTTGCCGATCCAACGCCGGAACAATTCATCCTGAGAGGGGAGTGTGAGTGAATCCATGGCGAGTACAAGAGTTGGAAATTAGTTGACCAGATTGTAAGTGAGTTAGATGTTGGAGTAAGATGACAATTGGGAGAGGGCGAGTTGGAGTGCCTATGGCGGGGAGTGGAAATGTGGGGCACACAGGCAGACAGTTAAACAGTTGAGGCTGAACCTTTTCCCTAGTTTTGGCTACGTACTCGATGGAGGAGAACGATTACTGGGGATCTATTTTCAAAAAGACCGTCCGAAAGATATCAAAGAACAGAAATGAACGGATTATAAATGAGATTAAGGGTGTACCCCTCAAGGTGAGCTAAGACCAAGATAAAACGACATCGGCCAGCCCCAAAAAACGCCAAATCAATCCAAAAAAAAAGGAATTACAAAAAGCCTCAACCACCCCCAGTACAAGAATGCAAATGAGGTTCACAAATGCAAAAGAAAGATGGTTGTTAGTCTATGAAGGAGGTTCTTTTAGTCCCCAACAATAGTACACGGTACGCCGGCTCCAATTCCGCCAACAAACCAGAAAACACAGCGACAGAAGGGACGGACACACGAAGATTGAGGAGAGCATTAACAAAAGGAATTAAAAACGAAGATACCCGAGATCGGAAATTGGACAATTGTAACCAAAGAGATGAGGGCCACAGAGATGAATGTGTGGAGAGCCCGGGATATCAGGGACAAGGAAGGAAATCCGACAACGCCGTTCCTCGGAATGCTTTTTTTTTGAAGTAGAGGAATTCAAACTATCATGAACGGTATTGAAAGTTGATGGTGGGGGTTGTATATTACACCTGTGAGTGGCTTTGACTGGTGTGAGACCGCTGGGAGAAGGAGCGGCGTCCCCGACTCGACGGCGCTCGCTCTGCAGTCGCCGGAGGCGCATGTTCAAAGAATGGAATAAGGTCCGGATTTTGACTGGGAGGGGTCTTGGAGTTTGTAGAGTACTCGCTGACGATGCGGTCATCTGCCGCTGTGTCAGGGTGAATCTCGATACCCTGCTGGTTGTCCAGACCGCCGTGCACAGCGTTGGTAGGGAAGGTGATCGAGTCGGCCTCGTCGTGGTTCCGCTCAATGGGAGACCAGCCGGCGATACTACCAGCCACGACACCAGCCATAGCGGCAGCAGGTCCGAACGTCGAGTTCGAGCGTGACCGGGTATTGCGACGCGAGCGAGTCTCGGGGCTAGAGGGACCGGGAGGTGGGCTTCCATTGTCGCCATTAGGTGTGGGTGGGATGGAAGATTCACGAGAGCGAGAGCCGCTGCGAGATCGTGGCAAGAATTCTTGCGGGTGCTGCAGCTTGTGGCGGATGTGTCGCAGGCGACCACCGCGGACGGTCTTGATGAACTGCAATTGGTCGCGAATCTCCTCCAAGGCCGGATTCCAATCGTAACGGCGGTCCTCGTCCGAGATCACAAGCTCAGGTCCCTTCTTCTGGTGACGACCATGCCAGCTGTGTGGAATAAGCTTGCTAACGAATTCGTCGGGGATGAGGCGGATAACCACAGCGATGGGTACAGAAAGAGCACCCAGGACAAGGCTAACGGCCCACTGGGAGCCCTGGTTGAGACGCCTCACCGAGAATGCAGTGCCACCAACGAAGATGATCAGAACTTGACCTCCGATGATAATGATCTGAATACCAATAAACCATTTGTTGCGCCAAATACCCTCAAGAATGTTAAGCTTGTTGTCAATGCGACGGGAGTTGTACTGGTTGAAGATTTGCATAAAGACGAAAGTGTTGAAGACCACGGTTTTCATGCGGGCATCGTCCCAAGAAGGGAAGATAGACTTGCCGGCAAAGTTCAGCACGAGCGTCACAACCAGCTGGTAGATCGACTGTCCGATGATCATCTTCCACATGGTGAGAGTGATAAGCGGAGCAGCCTTGGATTCCGGTCGACGGTCAAGAACGTAGGGCGATGGTGGGTCTGTTGCAAGAGCAAGAGCGGCAAAAGTATCCATAATCAGGTTAACCCAAAGCAACTGCACTGCACTGAGGACGGAATTCTCCGAGCTGCTAGCAACTGCCGAGACAAAAGTAAGGATCACAGCAGTGATATTGACCGTGATCTGGAATTGGAGGAACTTCTTGACCGCATCGCTGACAGTACGACCCCATGACATGGCCTTGACAATGGATGCAAAGTTATCGTCCATCAGAATGATATCCGATGCCTCCTTGGCCACTTCGGTACCGGTGATACCCATAGCGAAACCGACATCCGCATTCTTCAAAGCCTGGGCGTCATTGGTACCGTCACCAGTGACGGCAACAGTCTCGCCAAGTTTCTTCAGAGCGTTCACGAGGATCTTCTTGTCTTCAGGGCTAGATCGGCCAATTACTTGCAATCTAGGAAGGATCTGGTTCATTTGACGTGTGCTGAGCTTGCGGAACTTCGGGCCCTCGATAGCAATACCACCAGGTGTGTAGATACCACACTCTTGAGCAATAGCCTTGGCCGTCATGATGTTGTCACCAGTGACCATACGAACGAAGACACCAGCACGCTGACACGTGTGCACCGCCTCTGCAACACCAGGTCGAAGAGGATCCTGAATACCAAAGATGCCAATGATCGTCATATCCTTGAATATGGGCTCGAAGGTTGCCTGGGTGCGATCAGCTTCCGAAGTGGGCGCACCACGTGGGGGCCACTGCTCGAAATCACGGTAGGTGAGAGCAATGCATCGCAGGGAACGGTTGGCGTAGGTTGTCATGATGTTGTCCAGCGTAGACCGGTTCTCATCCGTCAGAGGCGTCTCGGTGAGGGTGTCGGTGGGATCACGGATAATTCGAGTGGACTTGGCCATCAAGATTTCGGCAGCACCCTTGACTAGCATGCGATACTTTCCATTTTCCAGCTGAACGACCACTGCCATGCACTTGCGACTCGAGTCGAACGGGAACATCTGCGGGATCTTTGCACTTGCTCGGGCTTCTGCTGGAGGCCCCATGCCCATGAAATCACGAGCAAAGGTCAGCAGGGCAGTCTCAGTCTTGGAGCCGATGAAGGTTTTGACACCTTCCTGTTCTCCTTCGAATGCAGTAGAGTTGAGAACGATTGACTGCATCAGAAGATCCTTGACAGAAGGTGACAAAGTCTTGACAAACTCGGCAGCGGAAACATCACCAGGTTGGTTGGATTGGTTGGTGCCAGACTTGTCTCCAAAGCGTGATGTCGTTCCCAGGGTCGCCGAAACGACGCTCATTTTATTCACTGTCAGGGTACCAGTCTTGTCGGAGCAGATGGTTGTCGCATTACCCATGGTCTCGCACGCCTTGAGGAAACGTACCAGGTTGTTATCTTTGATCATTCGCGTCGTTGCAAAGGCTAGTGCAAGGGTTACTGCTAGCGGTAAACCCTCGGGTACAGCGACGACGACAATGGTCACGGCGACAATGAAGATCTGAAGGAAAGCCTGTCCCTTGGCATCGGCACCGCCCTCGATATTCTTGAGTCGAACGAGGAACTTGATGAAAAGCACAACAAACAGTAGAAGACCAGAGGCCAGACCAAGCTTGGCAATGTACTCGGCCAGCTTATTCAACTTGGTTTGAAGAGGAGTCGTTTCGCCTTCCTCCTGGAGAGACATCATTGTGCGACCGTGAGTGGTATGAACACCGACAGCAGTAACGAGGAACGTTCCCACACCCTCGGAGACCTTGGCGCCGGAGACGATAAAGGGATCCATTTTGCGGAGATCTTCGTGTTTTTCGATTGCTCGGTAGACTTCGTCACCAGGAGTTTTTCGTAGGAGATCAGATTCACCCGTAGCCGAAGATTCGTCGCATTTCACATCGTGGCCTGCGATCAGGATACCATCGACGGGGACAAGGTCACCGGGTTCGAGGTGCATCACATCGCCGACGAGCACATCGTGAATCGAAATTTCAATGGTCTTGCCTGATCGAATAACCTGGACCAGTCTGTTTTCCTTTTTCTTATTCAATTTGGCAAATTGTCGTTCCTTCTGCCAATCATTTGCAGCACCAACCGTAACCACAATGATGATAGCAACAAGAATGGCAAGACCTTCCACCCATTCCACACCCGGCTCACCAGGTTTCGCTGGATGGAGTGACTGCGGGATACCCACGGCCAGTGAAATAACCGCGGCAACCGTCAGCAAGATCAGCACTTTATCGTTATACGCAATCCAAGCCAGTTCCCAAATGGTCTTGAGCTTCCGTTCCGGCAGCACGTTATTGCCGTATACTCGCTTTCGGTCTACGAATGACCCGTCGGCTTCTGATGCCGCCGCTGCACCTCCTTCGGGAATCGAGGGAGGTGGACGCGTTGGCGAAACTGACTTGGGCATCGAGTCCGACGACGTGACATCGCTCAACTCGACTACACCATCTAGGGTCGTCTCGTCCACGCTCAGTCCACTCCGAACATCCGTCCGCAAGCCTTTTTCCAGTCCTCGTAGTCCGCCGAGTTGTCGGAATGCGCCGAAGTTCTTTGGATTCAAAAGCTTGTTAAGCTGGCCTGGGGAGAAGGCGAACTTGTTGTTCTCCACCTCAAATTCATCTTCACGGCCCGGGTCCGGAGTGAGGGCATCCTCGTCATCGACGTTGGTGTTTTTTGTCACCTCAGAGTTGGATCCTTGCGAGGCACTTGGCACGTAGGTCTCGCCACCATATGTGCTGGAGGTTTGACTGGTGTCTTCGGACTCCAACGAGTTACCGCGGGATCGCGTACCGGGCACCGATAGGAAGTGGGAATGCGCCTCGGGGGCTTTGGCCTTTGGGGACGAGATGTTATGAGGCGAGGTTGGCCGGCTTTCACGGTCTCGTTCGCGGTCTCGAGCTTCGGAGGAGGCATTGGAGCGCAGGGAGGCCGGGGATCGCATGTCCGTAGGGGAACCGGAGCCATTGTGGTGTGCGGTAGTGTCGGAGGAGTCGATCGTGTCGGTATTCAGCCGGAGCGATGGCTGCTCGGGGTCGGAGAGGATCTGCACCGGGGGCTCGTTCGTATTAGAGGAGCTCACCGCAGAGGTATCGATGGTGATGGTAGGCGCGCGCTCCCTCCGCAACGGCGTCGTGGGAGACTGAGCCGGCTCGTCGGCCCCTCGACGCGGGTCGGACATGATGAAGGATTGGGTCGAGCCGAGCGCGATTCACGCGAGCAGCACATTCACGAGCCAGTCGTGTTTTGCATGAGTGGGACAGGAGGGTTGTCCGGGTGAAAGAGAGCAGCTGAAATCAGGAAAATCCAAGTGCGAGGGGAGGGCCTGATTCCTAGATTCAAGGCCTGTGGATAATCAGGCTATTGGGCAAAGAGGGCCATGGGCAGCAAAAGTGGGAGGCTGCGGGATTGGGAAGAGGCGCAGGAGGCGTACGTGTGGAAGAGGAGGAGGAGGAGTATGTGTACGGAGTAGATTGGACTAGGAAATCCGTGGAGAATACATAGGAAGGAGAGAAGGAGAAGCGGTTTGCGGTGGTGGCCAGTAGATCACAGAGCTCCGCCGCAAGCAGTCAAGTCACGAGTTTAGCGATTATCCTCCCGGCCATTTTCCTCTTGAATTATTATTCCTTCAGTTACTACTACAGTACTACTACTACTACTACTACCACTAACTACACTCCGTCCAACAAAGTTTACTCCCATCTTTCCATCGACCCCTTTGCAGATCCACTACGGTCTCGACTGGGGATTTCCCCCAATGACAGCCAATAGTGGTGGCGATTGTTCTCCCAAACGGCCAAGTCCATCAAGTACCCGCACCTGCAGCTTCTCCACTTGGCTCAACAGCACAGCCCCAGTGGTGGATCGAAAGTTCAATTCCTTTTCGCTGCGCTGGCGGGTTTACCTGTCAACCAGGCATTGGACTCCTTCGAAGGCGACTACACACCGACTAACGACTAGGAAGAGTCCATTTAACAGACCCAATGGCGTGGTCCTACGACTCTCTCTCTCTCTCAATTGTTGACCAGTTTCCCATCCCGTTATTGTGACATTATCGTCGGAGCGAACACAGTCCCCTTTTTTTGCACTGCCTCTGCCAAGACCGCGTCCGGGGGCAGAGGCGAATCACTCGGCGGGCGAATGGGAGTTTGGGCAAATAAGGGGGAGGGGCAATCATCATGAGCGTGTCATACAAGGGAAAAACAAGGAGAACTGGACTAACTGACTTTGGCTGTATTCTATAGTGACTTTGCTACTACGGTATCCTTGATTTTCAATCTCTATTACCGGGGATTATGTACTACTATGTACTACTTCCCGTCCACTATACGGACTATAAATTAAGCGATCGTTCCCCCAGCCCGTTCGGAGATGACGTCTCCTAGATACGCCACCTTCGTTTTACACCCCTTCTTTAGTTAACTTGTTCCGGCCTCGATGCACGGCACCGACAACCACAAATCAATAATTCAATAGTATGATTAATATCACAGAATTCTCCACTCCCTACTTCAATGTAATGATCCAATCAATCTTCAAGTCCCCTAGGAAACAAATGCAGGCGACATACTGTACTTAATCGCGGAGTCTCATGCCCAATCTTATCGATGGATTAACGCCCGCAGCCCAATGCATACAACATTTCCTGGATCTGAAGCGAGGCGGACATTGCTACTAGTTTCAGTCAGCATCCGTGATCTACGGTATCCATACGTAGTAAGCTTACTACTTTCTTGGTGATCTGTTGTTCTGGAATGTTTTAGAAGACAGGGATACGTTGGAGTGGAGCATGATCCATTGGAGCATCCCCAAGTCGGGAGTCTACTGCGAATAAATACCTAGACTATCCAGATGGCCCCTTACAAATATGTCGAACCCAATAATTCTTTGTACCCTTAACTGACCCTATCGCTTTATTGGCAATTCAATAGTTGATTTTGGCCCTCGGTCCTGTCTTAGATCTCTCCGTAGCACGGAAAGGAGACAGGGCGGAGGATATCGGACAATTCGTATTTGGATGATATACTTCGTATTGCGGCCTCACCCTGAGATGGTTGAATCGGGTTCAACCTAGGGGTTCAACTAGTTTCAACTTGGCCCAAACAGACCAAAAAGATAAGTATATGAGACTACAAGACTAAACAAACTGTTTACCAATACTGCAGTCAGAACCTTGGCCAGTCATCAGTCATCAGCCTCTTGAGGTTCCAGTTCCCTGGATCTCCCTCCTAACTCCATACTTGGCTAAACCCGATTTGGAAGTTATTCACAGAAGTACTTGAGATAGCCATAGAGATTCATCAATGCGAAACCATTCAAGCATTACCAAGCCAGGATAAGCACTAACAGTCTTCTCGAAGTAACCTTCTTGATGACCAGTTCATCATCGTCCTACTCTCAGCAATCTCGAATCAACAGTATAAAAGCAGGGCTCTAACGATGGAACAATCAATTGCTCTCTAGTCTCTACTCCCCTCTCAAACTTGCATCATATTTCATCATAAAATCCCCACCAGCCAACCTTAAACCCTGATACTCCGACTATCACTCTTTACAGTATCTCCCAAAGACTCCAAATGGCCAACCCCATCAACACCTACGGCTTCACAGCCGTCCCCGCCTCCGCCCAAGCCCTCCTAACCTCCACCTCGGCCTATCCACCTCCAACCACCGCCCCAATTCCCATCTTCGTCTCCGACACTCCAATCCCCAACACGCCACTCGCAACTCGCATCGACGCCTACGCCAAGGCCCACCTACCAACGCCAACGTACAACCACTCCCTGCGCGTGTACCACTTCGGACTGGCGATTAAACGGTACCGCTTCCCGTTCCCGGATTGGGACTTTTCGGACGAAACGTACTTTTTGGCGTGTGCGTTGCATGATATCGGGACGACGGAGGAGAATATCCAGGCTACGCGCTTGAGCTTTGAGTTTTCGGGCGGGTATTTGGCGCTGGATTTATTGCAGAATACCAAGTCTAGCCAGAGTCAGGACCAGACTTCCGTTGCACCGCGCGATCAAGCGGAGAGCGTTGCGGAGGCGATTATTCGGCATCAGGATTTGTGTACCGTGGGCAAAATTACTGCCGTGGGACAGCTGTTGCAGCTCGCAACCATCTTTGGTAGGTTATATTTCCATATAGAACCGGACTAGCGAGCCTGAGAGTCCTACCCTATACACATTGCACTGCCTCATTCACTTCCCTCCTTCCCCATTCGTCTCGTTTCCTCCCAAGACCAGGACCAGGATCCGATACCTAGACCGCTTCACTTTCTTCACCTCCTGGGGATCTACACCGATGATGCCGATGGATACATCATCGCCGCCCCAGCCCCGAGTTATGTGCCCAACATGATTAAACTTTATTTTCCCTCTTTCTCTGACGGATCGCCTTTGATCTATGATCTATCCCGACGTTTTCGATGCGGATTTTAACTTACATATGTGACAGATAACACGGGTGCATACTCCGATTTGGTCCACCCAGACACTATCAAGGACGTTTCAGCGCATTTCCCCCGGCACCATTGGAGCGATTGCTTTGCGGCAACGATTCATCGGGAGAATGGGCTGAAACCTTGGGCTCATACTACGGCCTTGGGAGAGGAGGAGTTCCCTGCCAAGGTTTTGGGGAATACCTTGATGCGGCCGTACGAATAGGGGGTTTAGGGGGTCTCGGATGGGAGGCTTGGAGTTACCTTACTGAGTTCGTGGCGTGTGGGTTGCCTCGGGATAAATTGAAAATGACCTGATACTGAGATATCGTACGAGAGGAATGAATTTACGCGAGAAATGATCACTTGCAGTTTGTTATTGAGGGGGCCGGAAAAAGAAGAGAATGGTGCCACATCCCCCGTTTGCATTTCCAAATCCCAGTACGCAGTAGAGATCCTAGCTCTACCTATCCTATCCATTCCCATTGGCCCGAATAAAACCTCGCTCCAGTCCATGTCCAGTATGGTCTCAGTGAGGTTCAATAGTGTATCCACTTTCTCTCCACCCTAATCCACTCCATCAATGCTAATGTACATTCCCACAACGCGACACAGCCTCACCGTCTCACCCGTCTCATCGCCCCAATCTACTCCCTGTTCTGAAGCAGCGCAGCCTCATCGTCCTCGGAGACGTCGACCCGCCAAATACTCAACGTCTGCCCATTTGGAAAGCTCTGGTCGTTTTTCGGGTCGGCTAGAACCATTGCCTTGCCTGCCAAGGCTAGACAGTCCATGAGCTCGGACATGCGCTGCGCCTCCGTGAAGCTGGTCGTCAGGTAGGCGTTGTTGGCAACCCAAATGGACACGGTCATGCATTGGGTGAGCAGATTGGGCTTGTCGAGGGAGTGGCTAGCGTAGTACAAGGCATTGTGGTAGTCGAGGATGATTTCGGGGAGATAGGTCCGGCGAATGTGTTTGTAGTCTCGTTCTTCGTCCGCTGTAGCGAGAATCAGCATGGGTCGTTCTTCAACGTATGAATCAGAAGAAAAGACTAGGACTTACCATTCTCGGATTCTCCAAGCCACTCCTCCACGATCAGTCCTACGCAGTATTCGATTTCCTGCACCAGAGCCCCGAGTTCTGCCAGGAAGTCCCTGACAGTACCGGAATCCCGCCGGCGTTTGGTCCTAAATTGAGTCAGATTGAAGCTTTGAAGGTGTTCACACAGAAGAATACTCACTTCGAGGACTGGTCGTATACGATAGCGAACTGCTCCAAAGCATCAAAGCCAAGAGCCATGACCTCAAGATTCCACATATGAACAGCTTGTTGATATGCGTTTCGGTGAGCAGTGGTGATGGCGCCATTGCTGCTGGACAGACTGCGTCGGTGAGCATGACTGCGCTTGGCCTTGATCGGACTCAAGGGTGCGTCCTCCAGCGATGGGGCCAGATCCGGGTACTCAAACACATCCACGTTGAAGGTTTCGTAAGAAAGGTCCGCCATGCGCATGCGACGACCCAGCTCGCGAGCAGCGGCAAGTTTGCCGGCGACTAGATATAAGTTAGAGACTGCGAAGAATAATTAAGAGACCGTGATTTGACATACCAAAGAACTTGCGGTACAGCCAGGTTCCGCGGGTACAAATCTTAGACCACTGGCCGCCTACGCTCCGGAGCCACTCCAGATTACGTATCATCTTCTCATCCTCGGGTGCGATACTCGTCCCAATGAGGTCCTTCTTGGGCGGCATCAACACACGAGTGCCGTCCGGTAGTCGCCTGACTCGGGAGTATCCAGTGAGGCCGGCGGAGTGCTCGATTGAGGAGACACCACCCCTGAGCCATGACCACTGTGCGTCGAGGACAGCATTGATATCGACGCCATGTTTCTGCGTAGCTCGGATTTGGTACCGTCTATCTTCTGGATCCGTAATCTCAATCAGAATCTTGGCGAGGACGCTGTGGCCCATCTCCATCGGCAGAAGAGAAGCGTACGATGGGATCAGGTCAGGCAAGCCCTTCTCTTGCAGATAGGCAATGTAACCGGTCGTGATGACAGAAGCTGCCTCCGTGAACTGGCTATCTCCATGTGCGTATCCGATCGAATTGACAATCACATAAATGTGAGTCGCCATCTGTACGGCATCAAGGTCTTCGGCCGTGATGACCATTGCATTGTCCACGTGAGAGGCCGCCAAGTCGGGAATGTAAGAGGACCTTCCAAGCTTTTTGATGCCGACCTGGGAGACCGCTTGGGAGAGCTGGTTGAAGAATGCATCATAACTCTTACTCAGGATAGCAGCTTGGATATGACGGAATGGCTCGCGCGTCTCGGTGCCCAGCGTCTCGTTACCACGCAGATATTCGATGAACTTTTGCAGATCCGCATGTCCAGCTGGCTCCGGCTTGAATGCAACAGGGATACCAGGGGACTGGCTCAATTTGCGCTGGAACTGTCGGCAGAATCCTTGGTACCGCGAGAGGACGATGCGGTTAAAGTACACGTAGAGATAGTCGTCCCACGTCTTGCAAATCTTGGATGCCGGTTCTGATTCTCCGCAGAGAAGCGCGTAAACTGCTTTCTCGTAGTCACAGGTGTTTGGATCCTTGGTCAGAGCATGACAAGCAGCACGCCACGAGTCTTGGGCGCGACTGTTCTTCAAGCGGGTCAATCCATCATCTGCCGGAGTACGTGTGGTGGCAGTAGCCGCATCAACACTGGAACCGCAGAGACTGACGGCTCTCCAGCTCTCAAGACGGCTCTGAGCCCATTCGCGAATGGTAGTCCAGTTCTCGCCCCGGCGCAGCATCTTCCAGCAAGCCATCCACGTAGCCCGCTCGTAGGAATTATCCTGCGTCTGCAAGCTGAGCTTCTGGCGAGTCAGAGCGTCGGGATCTAACTGTGTAATCAGTGTCGCTTGCGTCTCCTTGTTCAAAAGACTGCGGGATATGGCAGGGTCATTCGGTTCCAGAGGTTGCGGCCAAGCGCGGAGTCGCTTGTGGCCCTTGATGGCTTCCTTTGTGAACAGCCAACCATGTGCCCACAAACCCTGGCCTCGCTCAGCTTGATCTTCCAGTTCTTTGATCATGTTGTCAATCTCCTGGGGTCCCGCCTTTGCTGTTTCCTCCAGCCATCGCATGGAGACCACACACTCGAGCGCGTACTGATCCGCATTCAGGAATTCCTCCCAGATTTCACGATCCGACGAATACCGGTGCAGATTCTGGAAAGCCTCACACTGGCCTTCTTTGAAGCTCGCGCGACTGGCAGGGTCGTCGATACTGATCAGATTGAGAAGCAGGCGCCAGGTGTCGACCTGTAGCTGCAAGCGACGCGCTTCGGTGTCGGCTGGAGTATCCTCGATCGCGGCACTGTTCCGGAAGCCTGACTTGGCCTTTTTGATGGTTTGCTGTCGGTTGAGCTCGTTGATGGCATTCTGCGTGAGGTCCCGGTAGCTCTCCACAAGCTTGTAAGCTGCCTGGACGTTTTGGAATTCATCGGTGGTGTTCTTTCGTTTGAATTGATCCAGCTTCTCGGCGAAGGCCTCGATCTGGCGGGTGACACGATCCGCGGTCTTGCGAAGGGGTTGCAACATTTCCTGGGCACTGGTGCTCGACTCGGTGAACAGCTTGGGGGATGCTGAGGAGAAGAATCAATAAGCTATGGCGATCGCATTAAGAGCCAAAACACAGTATTAGAACAAACCTTGCAACCTGTTTCTATTGCCCTTGGTGGATTTCAGGCTAGATTCCAGCACACGAACTCCGGATCCATTCTCCGCAGCATCGCCGTTGACTTGGTGAAGCTCATCGTCCATTTCTTCATCCATGGCCTCATCCTCATCTTCGAATTGTGGTTGATCCTCGTAAGACTCCTCATCCTCCATGAGCTGATCCCCCTCGTCATCCTCGTCAATGCTGATGATTTCTGGTTCCTTGGCCGGAGCCTATAGACAAGGAATTAGCTGCAATGAAACCTAGCAAGGCGAAGGGCGCGCTTACCTGTGATCGCAGCGTGGTGGCACCCGACGCAGCTGATCTTGCCGACCTAGTAAGGGGAGCCATGGCTTGCAGTGATTCGAGCAAGCTTCCAAGGCCGGAGATGTTTGGGGTTGTGATGGGGGAAGAGAACGGGAATTCGTGTTTGTCTCTTTTGGTTTTGGGCGCGTTAGGCCATTCGCCTAAAACGGTTTAGCGTGTCGGCACGGGATTTTTTCTTATTTAATCGGCCAGCAATTTTCGCCCTTCCTCTTCTTTTTTTTCTTCTTCAACAAATGTCATATAGGCAGTCATTAGAGTCTCGGAACGAAAGTTTTCAATGGTCGTTCAGGTCCATCGCGGCCTCTCAGCGTGCTCAAGATTGTCTTAGAGCAATCTAGCAGTCCCTTTAAACAGTCTAGTTCCTGCCAGTTGGGAGCTCAGCTTATAGGGGCCTGTTACATGCCATTGCGATCCATTACAACGTGCGATATGCAATTTTGCAAGTCGCCTGTAGAATTTATCGTAATTTCTCTATGCTATCTATGTCTGGCTCTGGCTTTCTGCCGCTTGCGCTCGTTGCTTCATCTTCAATCGCAGTAGATGCGCTTTGGGGCAGCTCACGGTCGAAGCCTGGTCGCCTTGCTGCTGATAGAAGGCATTGCAACACTCATAAAGGGCATCAATCTGTGCCTGGCATTTTTCCTCTTTGTAGGAATTCTTGGTCAAGCAATCTGGAATTGGATTAGTTCCCACATATGAACAAGGGGAATGTGGAAGTGTGGCTGCAGGCTAGGTACCTTGAATGGCGCACTAGGTTTGTATAAGCAAGCTTCTTAAGCCATTTATCATAGACAGATGTTCCAAGGTTTTGGGGGAGACTTACGGCTCGTGGATGACAAGGAGGGTCGTGAGACAGATCTTGCTTGAGATTCCCCTGTAGCACAAAAAGTCAATCCTTTGAGATGTTCCTATTTGTCTCTTTTCGTTTTCACTCTTTCTTTGGGAAGTTGCCATACCATGATTGGCAAAGTAAATGCGCAAGACAGAAGCTCATAGAAGCATCACGGTTCCAAGGAAAGCCGGGATGGGACGCTTTGTCCTTAGCTAAGCAGTCCGTTCCGCCCGCAGATTTACCTGTTCGCAATAATAGATTCTCCGCTTTCTGTGGGGCGAGTCGCCATTCTGCCGTTGATATCTCTCTTCTTTCCCTCTTTGCCTTCTAACCTCTCTTGACCTTTCTACCTTACCGTCATTTCCACTAGGTAAGTCGACCTTCTCATACGATAAGCCTTATTTACACCTCGTTAACTGATATCTAATAGAGTCAAACCTCCACTTTGAACCATTTCCATCAATTTCCAACGTGTTCGTGCCCCGCGTTCCTTACCCTTCTAGCGCGCAACGACCCTCTGACTCAAGCGCAGTCTTTCCACAAAACCAGCAACCATGTCGGCTGAGCAAGAAGCTGGCGCCGGCCCCAGTGAGCACTTGAATATCAAGGTCACGGACAATAACAACGAGGTCTTTTTTAAGATCAAGCGGTCAACACAGTTGAAGAAGCTTATGGACGCTTTCTGTGACCGTCAAGGAAAGCAGATGTCCACTGTGCGCTTCTTGTTCGATGGTACCCGAGTGCGACCAGAAGATACCCCTGATACAGTATGTTTTTGATATCCATATCTCTACAAATGACTATTGGATGATGAAGATAACTAATACATTCACACACTCTACAGCTCGATATGGCCGACGGGGACACCCTTGAGGTCCACCAGGAGCAGATCGGTGGTTGAGCGTACCCGGGTCCCATTAATTTGCACATCCGAGGTAACCTTGCGCAGTGGATTGGGTCATCGAGTGTGTCGCAACTTGGCAGATCGAGGGAAAAGTGTGCGGCAAAGCGAACCAGCCATCGCGAGGAGTTTCCCGCTTGTTTTGTTTCACGAGGATACGAATTTCACCGAAATGGCCACTTGATCGTGGTTTTCTACATACCTAACCTATTCCTACCAAATCTTGAATTCGAATGGTATCATGGTATAGATTGACTTTCCTAGCTGGAGATTGCTATTGCTCCTTAGCGGTAAAATGATTTAGCCATTTCCTATATTACAAGTATATATCGAAATGGCAAAGCCTAGCGCCAAAAGGCCGATCGACCAGCTTCGGCAAAGCTGAGCCATAGAGAAGGATTCAACAAAAGTCCCAGCAATGATCCTCAAGCCCACCGAGAGAACAACCAACTCAAGCGCCATGTAAAATCGCCGCATACACATTTATACAAGTGAATATAGAGGAAAAAATAATCCCCAATGAAGAATAGGCAACGCATACCCAGACAGAAGAAAAGTAGTCGAGCAGCAAAAGGGCTAATCAGTCCAAACCGAAGCCTTAACCCGCTCCTCTTCCTCCTTCGCCTTGGCCAACTCCTCCCGCTCCCGATTCCGCCGCCGAATCTCCTGCTCCTTCACAGACCGATCGTAAGCCCTCTGCTCCTCCGTCCGCTTCGGCGCCCGAATCCCCAACGCACCCGCAATCAATCGCCCCGCCACGGCAGTCTGCTTCTCAGGCCTCCGGCCCAGATTATTCTGCCCCGCGGCGGGGGATGCAGAGCCTGCACCAGCCCATGGGTACGAGGTCTGCGGCGAGATAGGCGTTGGTGGGGGATCAAGCGGTCCCTCTGCACTGATTGCGGGCGAGAGGACGGACGGAGATGTCAGGTTTGACGTGGAGGCTGGCTCCTCGTCGTCGCTGGCTTCGTCTTCCCAGGAGTCTGCGACGGGCTGCTTTTTGGGTTTCGGGGCGGATTTGGTTGTTGAGGGTTTGCTGGGGATTGGTCGGGGGATATCTTGTACTGGTCCTTTCTTGCCAATGGCCAGGTCGCGGAGTGTCGATTGGAGCTCGGCGCTTGGATCAGACATGGCACGTGAGAGGGTTGTTTGGTTGGGTTTGTTGAGCGAGGGGGGAGACCCGGACAGGTTGTGTATAGGACGGGTGGTATATATGGTAATGTATAACGAGGTTGTTAAATAGGTTCGAGGTATAGAATGCGGAGGCGAGAGTCTTAAAGTCAAAGATCGCAGGCAATGGCGTCAGAGATGGAGGGGGTTTAGCGCATCCTTGGTCGATCGTGGAGAAACGGACGGGGCTAGACCAACCCGGGAAGAGGGCGAGCCTCGGGCGGGGTTGGGTTCACATGGCACCAGTTATGCATTATATTCTATTCGATATATACTTTGGGGATTTGCAGACTTGCATGATTCAATAGGTAGGGATATCGCTTAGCGATCCGTTATCTGGATTAACGTGAAGGGAAAATGACGTAGAACTTGCGTCCGAATATATTCATCATCGAACCTAGCCGGAAGTATATACATCGTTTCTTCTTCTAGTTGTTTAGATCTATGTACAATCTATGAATCAACAAGTAGAGTAGTCTATTTGTTCTCAGCCAGAGAAATCACCTTCTTGGCTGCAGCTTCAAATCCATCAAATGCATGTAGAGGGAGCCCACTTTCGGCAATCTACCAGACAATCCTTGTTAGTTCGCCTCTAATCAACGGATCCATGAACTTACCATTTTCTGACCGAGCTCCTCGTTGGTCCCACGCAGCCGCACCACGACGGGTACTTGCATATCCAGATCTCGGAATGCCATAATGATACCCTCCGCAATCATGTCGCAGCGCGTCAAGCCGCCGAAGATATTGACAAAGACAGCCTTCACTCGTGGGTCGGAACAGATGATTCGGAAGGACGACTTGACGGTCTCGGAGGTGGCTTTACCACCAGTGTCGAGGAAGTTGGCGCAGTGTCCGCCATGGATGGTGAGAGCATCGACTGTGTTCATGGCAAGTCCGGCGCCGTTCACTGGTAGAAACTGTCAGCAGATATCCTCCTTGAGGAGCGAGAGATGCCTGATACGTACCTAGTGTACCGATGCTACCTTCTCCTTGAAGTCTGTTGATGATTAGCACGGCCTCAAATGTTGTGGGTATCATGATCGTACTTGACGTAGACAATTCCATCCTTCTCAGCCTCGACCTCCTCGAGAACCTCCTCCGCCTTGTTTCGCAGACTGTGGATGGCTTCTTGACGCCCGGAGCTGCGGTATGCTGCGTCGTCAAATCCAAAGTGGGCACCGTGAACTTCCAAGTTGCCTTCAGCGGAGAGTCCGATGCGAGTCTCCAAAACAAAGGCCTCCTTCTCCTTGAAGATCTCCCACAGCGCCCGGACCAGGCTGGCCAACTTGCCCTGGGCTGAAGCGGGAAGACCTAAGTGCGACACCACTTCGGAAATCACCGACTGACCTTCAAAATTGGCTAGCTTGTAGCTGAAAGGAAATTTGCGAGACCGAGCTGGCTCAAACTCGGGACCTGGGGATGCCACGATGCACGGGGACAGAGCGGTTCGATCCACAGAGATGGAGACGGATCCGTCGGAGCTGGAGACCGTCTCGTTGACGGGGATCGACTTTTGCTTGAGGATATCGAGGGCCTGGAACTGCTTGATGTAGAGGTTGCGCTTCTGCTGGACAGCCGACTGTGAGGTTGGAGTAAAGCGTCTCATTGTATGGAACCCGCGCTTTTGCGAGACTGGAAAAGTAGACTGCTTGTTGTCAGCTCAACTCGAGTGAAGATCATACCGTTAGAACTCACGCTTGTGCCCGGTCGAGTAGCCTTATTGCCCAACAGAGTCTTCATTCCTTCGCCAAACTTTTCAGGATGGTTAACCATGACAGCTCCAGCCCGTTCCAGAGCCTGGTATTTGGTCTGACCATCAGGTTCACCAGGTGCAGCCCAAGCTCCCGCATGTCCCATAATCCGTCCCGGGGGTGCTTCCAAACCGCCAACAAGAGCCATGATGGGCCTGTCTAGAGTCAGTACAATGGTCTCAGCTCACTCCATCTAATGAGAGTCAGACATACTTGGGATCGGCAGTTCTCCGTCGGTAATCCTTGATCCACTCAGCCGCATCCATCTCCGCAGTGCCTCCAATCTCACCGACGAGAATGATACCTTCGGTGTCTTCATCGTGTTCAAAGATCTTTAACGCGTCAACAAAGTTAGTTCCTGCCAACACATCGCCACCCATGCTGATGCACAGACTTTGACCGAGGCCAGCTCGTGTAGTTGAAGCGACAGTTTCGTAGCTCAGCGTCCCCGACTTGGCTACAATGCCGACATTGCCGGGTGCGAAGCACGGCAAAGGCTGGAAGCCGATTCGGCACTTGCCGATGGCAGAGATGATCCCGGGGCAGTTTGCGCCGACGAGACGAGTTTTGGACTGAGTTTGCAGCATAGAGTGGATCTATATGGAGAGTTAGAAATCATCATCGTAATCCCACTGCAACAAACGTGCTTACCCGGAGAATGTCATGGATCGGAACGTGCTCGGCCACGGCTACCACGAGAGGAATCTCCGCCTCGATAGCCTCTTCAATAGCTTGAGCAGTCTGGTTCCCTGGAACGTAGATGGCAGAGGCGTCCGGCTTTGCTTTTTCTTGAGCCTGAACAGCTCCGAAATGTAGATTAGCAAGTGAACATGTAGACCGAACATGCTGCTTCTCCTCGTACCACTTTGACAGAGGGGAACACCGGGAGTCCCAGGTGCTCTCCCTCCACGCCAGGCTTAACTCCGCCCACAATCTTGGTGCCCCATTCCAGAGATTCCTTGACGTTGGCCGTCGCCTGTCTTCCTGTAGAGAATTTTTAGCGATGACTCCGAGTCGAACGACATCAAAACAAACGTACCAGTAAATCCTTGGAATAAAACACGCGTATGAGCCCCAATCTTCAAATTGGGCAGAGTATCCGCATAACTGGCATTTCGCGGGGAGCTTGAGAACCGTCTGGTCCAGCGCATCCCCATTTGGGGGGCGCGTCTTGGCAGACTGCGCAGAGCCATGGGGGAGGACCGGCCGAGGCAACAATTCGAGGCGAAACGCGACTGGGCTACACAACTTGAGCCACCAATTTCTAGCCGTAGAGGTTCTTATATGCACCGCTGCTACTTGTACGTGCTTGTTCTCATGGAAGACCTTCGGGTGACTTGTTCCAGTTAAGACGGCTACTCGTTGCAAGTCGGCTATCCGGTCTCGGCGTTTCCCCACACGGCGGATCTCCGACCCGTTGGAGTCAGCCGCCTGCAAAATCAGGCACCAATATAATTCTCGGGAAGTATACACTCGGATGGCTTCAGACGGGATCAACACAGAACTCCATTTTCATCACTCTATGTATCATCTAAGGGTAGATATCTACTGTAACATGATGCGGACACTCTACAGAAGGTCTGGGGTCTCTGGAAATGCAAATTACCCCGATGGGGCTTACGGAAAAATCATGGATGGGGGGTTCTCGCGGCTGGAGGGGAGTTGCAAAAGGAAGAAAAATTTCTAGGGCCTCCAGAAGGTCCCAAAACAGAATCTTATATACTCTGGGGAATCCGCACTAGCAGAAGCGAGGTCCCAATCGGGGTTAGTGGCAGGACCCCGTTTTTCATAAATATCTCCCTTACCCCAGACTTCTCCAGCTTTTTTTCCCTCCTCAACCTTTTCAACCTTCCAACTCTCCTCCCATCCTCGGACATCCATTCCACCCTTGGTCCTTCATTCTATACCCAACCATCTTATACCAACCATCTATTACTCTTATCCTCCATCAAACTTCTCCATCTTCTTCTCACTCAACCTCGTGCCATCCAACCTTGGTCCCCTCCCACATCAGGTCATCACCCTCATCTACTCTCATCCACCTGACACGTACACAATACGTCCCTCTTGACGTGACGTGTCTATCATCATGACTCTTATCTACCTTGACCATCTCATAACATCATATGACTTGACCAACACATACCTGGGACCTCAACCTACTTCCATCAACACATGACCTGACCTCAACATACATCAAGTCTTTCCTACACCTAGTCACTACTCTACATCAAGTCCATTCAACCATTGAAACACATCCACTCTTGGACTTGATTCAACTTCTGGCACCTGGTTCAACATCTTGGCTACGATGACTTCGAGGCAACGTATATGAGCTTGATACATCCTCTTGTTGATACTCACCACTGACCCTTCATCATATCAGACCACTACATCCAGCTTCCACAGTGTCTATCACAACAAAACACATTAGACCACTCTATCCTTTCTCTACTGTGTCCATCAAAACACATCCACTTGGAAGATTCACCTCGAAGTCTCGCTCGCATACCCCCTCAATCACCTGTTGTAACTTGGGAAGGCGGAGGACGAGCGGTGGGGAGGCAAAAGCCGCTGGCGAAGCTCAGGGTGAAGAAGCACCGAGCACGACCCTCGACCCTACCTACCTTCGAACCGAATACGAACTTGCGGTGTGGAGGGACAAGCCGCCGGGAAACAAAAGCTCAGGATGAAGAAGCATCGAGCATGTGGTGTGGAGGGACAAGCCGCTGGTTAGGAAGCTCAGGGTGAAGAAGCACCGAGCAAAACATGGTGACTACGTGGCGAGGAAGCGCCAGCCTGTCGAAACCACAAAAAAACATACACATACACAAGCACAAACCAAAAAAAAAAACAACAAAAGACAAAACATCAAAAGACAAAACATCAAAAGACAAAACATCAAAAGACAAAACAACAAAAGACAAAACATCAAAAGACAAAACATCAAAAGACAAAACATCAAAAGACAAAACATCAAAAGACAAAACATCAAAAGAACAAAACACAACACAAAACAAAACAAAAAACGGACGCATCTGGCATTGCCGATGGATCAACTCGGCCTTGAGACTTGACACTATTTCATCATTCTACACAAGCCAATCAAACATTCTTTTCATCGTCAAGTAGTTCTGTCTATTAAACTATGGAGTCTTCTTGTAAGGAAAAAGGTTGAAAGCCTAGCATGCATACTGCTACCCATGTAACTGCGGCTAATGATAGACACGGTACACTTCATTTTGCGTGATAAGCAAAATGTACTCGGGGAAGGGGATTCCTAGAATACCACCAAGAGCCTCGATGAGACTTTGAGAAAGATTAGCACAAACCTTTTGCTGATTACCAGCAATAATAGAGCAGGTAACTCTGGCGATAGGAGGTATCTCAATGTTTGGAATTTGTGAATCTTTGTACAATTATTTACAATCTGGATCTGCCATCGACAACCATGATACAACTACTTAACCGAACAGACCAAGTTTTGTATGAGAGCCTCTGTGACAGCAAACGGCGGAAACCCATCCTCCTCATCAGCAATCCGAAGAGTGACGAATACCTCATGAATCTTCTCCAAAAGCCGAAGATCCTCATGAACATACTTGGCGGAAGTCATTTTGATGCGCTGGTACAACGCAAAGACTGCAGTCAGAATGAACTGCGCGTAAATCCTGTAAGATAAATATAGTACAGACGAGTTATTCAAATGATCTGAAAAATCCATCCAGTCGCAAGACATACCAGAATGTTTCTTTCATGATGAGATGATGAATTCGACAGACGTATAATAGTGTCAAGCGGGAAGCCTGATAACAAAGTTCCATGCTGGAGGATGGAGGTGACATGGCCGAGTCGTTGCTACCACTGATACTAGCTCCGTGAATCTTGGACAGACAATGGTAATATTCCAGATGCGTGTTTACACCTCGCAAACTAAGATCGTGGAGTAAGGTGTCTGGTACCTCGCCCTTCGCATATCTATCTGGCTGGCAGACGGCCGGGAATTGAGCCTTCAGATCGCTCAGTTCCTCGTCCAGTTGCCGGATTAAATGTAAACGGGTGCTTTCGGGGAGTCGCAGACTTGATGGTGAGTAGAGAAGGCGGTAGATTTTGGATTTGAGTATTGCGAGACGGAGATCTGTGGGGTAGAGAAGCTCTTGGAGGGATAAGGGCGAGTGGAAGAATTGGTGGTCGGAGGTTACGGATACGTATGTTGCTGGTAGATCTAGGTCGCAATCGGAGTCGTTGATGATTGGTGGTTGGCATCGACGGAGAGACATTTCTTTGTCGATGGAGTAGCACACCCAGAAGAGAGCGCGGAGATGGTGGTGAGCTCGGATTTGCTCGGGGTCTGAGGAAGCTGGTTTGTTGATGTTGCCTTTGAGATTATAGAGGATTCGTACTGCTAGGGACATTAAAAGCTCTGCTGTCTGTGGTTGGCCTTGAGGAGCGAGATCGGCAGCCTGTACATTGTCAGAAAATCTCATCGTGGTCCACTTGATAGCATGCAGAACCAACAAGAATCAACACGGCCTCCAAGACCCGAATGTTGGTATGTTCCATGACCAGCTGGGGCAGCATCGAAAGTACAGCTTGCATGTAGGCACTGGAATCCGCCTCGGTAAATGCAGGCTCATGATGACGAAGTCGAGTGATAAAAGCTGTCAGGGCAGTTAAACATGCCTGGTTGGCCGCATCGATCGTCCCTCCGTGCAGACCCAAATCGTTGGCATCTAGAAGGCGTTTCAAAGCCACGGTATCCACCATCGGAAATATCACATAGAGCTTGTTGTTTTCATAATATTCAAGTGACTGTTTCATCATCAGGCGGGAAGGCCATTTCGGCGTAATCACCTTGGCTGGGGTTGTTAGTGGTGAATCGAGCGACAGCTTTAGCCCGTGAGCAAAGGCATCAAAATTAAAAAGCGTGTCCAGTCGCCTGTCGGGATCAACCCCAGGCATACAAAACTGAAGATGCCATTGAAAGGCAGTCAATGTAGTCTCGAACCCGCATGGATCGAAGACACTGACAGTCGGCGCTGCTGGGCTGGAAGATTGAGAGCGAGTCTGGTAGTCCCTTTCCAGGCGTAGAGTTTCTTTTAATTGTTTAATTTGAGCCTTGGCTTCTTCAAGCTGTCTATATCTAGAATCAGGAAAATTGTACACTTGAAGAAATAAGCAAACAAGGTATATCAGGTGCAAACTTACTCGCGGGGGCTTTTCCGCTGAGGTAAACGAGTAAAGAGGCAAGCTACGCCAGCCAACCGACAATTCTCACAGGCAGGTTTCGCCCTATCGCAACGAATCTATGAGACAACGACGGGTCAGCATCCGCCATTGTCTTTCCCTTAGTGAGGCGGGGGCGGGTCCCGACCTTTCGATGCCGGCAGAGGTTGCAGGCGCTCTTGGGGGCGTCTGTGCCACTCATAGGGGCGATGTTCCATCGGGGGTTGGGGGGTGCCGCAAGAAGTCTTAGCCCCCGTAGCGACCCTAGTGATAGTTAGTTAGATGGTGCGGGTCTTGCAGCGCTGAGTAATCGGTGGTGGGTGCTCCGAGAGCCAAGACTGAGCTACTCCATTTTAGTGGTGATAGGTGGATGTACAAATAGATGATTCGATTCCCTGAATAATTTTAGGTAGCAAGCTGCACCCATACATATACGTGGGATGTACTCAAGGTATGCGACTACATCTACCTATGCCTGATTTGATGGGCATTCAAGATATATAGAAGTCTGAATCCGCTATCTCTTGTGCAGGAGAATTGCTTGGCACGAATCACACCGATAGTTCCAAATTCCCCTAAGGTTGCGAAGATCTATGACTAACTAACTAACTAACTAACTAACTAGTTAGTAGTCTATGGATCTAAGCAATTACAGAAGACGGTTATTTTAGAACTTTGATGGTTGCTTGGTAAATAGTTCAATGTTGGCTAAGGGCCAGATCGAAAGCTGCACCAGGATCCTTTGCCGAGTTAATCACCGGATTACGCTCAGTAAGATATACCGCAGTTGAAAATTAAAAGAATGGAGATGCCAAGGGTCTAGCTTTCGACGCTCCGATGGACCCTGTATTATTTGTCACATGATGAACAAACGCCTAGGAGACACTAAAAGATTCGAAACCCTCTCCCCTTAATCCTTTTTGCAATTCAATTCAAGTCGAACTCGTATATTCAACCCACAATACTAACTCTATATCAACAAATTATTTAGTACCGTCAATGTCGTGAAACATCCCATTATCGACCTGCCCAAGCCTGTATTGTTGTCTCAACATTATACACCCCCAATCAAGCAACCCCCTGCTTAAACATCACAGAACAGCTCGAAGCTGCGGTAATACTCCTCTCCACTCAAGCAGGTCCCAACAGTAACTTCCTGCTTGGTAAGGTGGCACTCCAGATCACTGTAGATGTACACTGATAAACGGTCAGAACTTGTAATTATCATGGAATCAATTTGAAGGGTCAAGAAACTTACAAGTACATCCGTCATCGGCACCCTCAAAGCTCACGGAGCGAACAACATCGTTCTCATCCAAGAGGTTGCACTGGGAAAGCTGGTCACCGTAGATACCCTCCTCCCCGAGGTTGAGGGTTGTACAACCCGGTTCGCCCCAGAGACGAAGTTGGGCGTAGCGGTGAGCAGGGTTTCCAGCTGCGGAGGCAGCGCCTGCAAGGGCGATGGCAGAGGCGGCAATGGTTGCGAAGTACATTTTTGTGGGTGGTGGTTCTTTGAGAAAATTGGGGTTTAGATGTGGAATGGAGGAGGTAGGATGGGAATTGTTATTGATGATTGCTTGTTGATAGGTTTGGTTTCGAGGATTATCAGCAGCTCTTAAGTAGTTTTTTTGGAGGTTGATATGATGCTTGCTGGGCTTACTTGCGTTCTTCGGCTCCTACCGACTCGTGGTTCTGCTGTATGCGAAGGAAAGACATGGTACGTAAACTTGTTCTAGAATCTGACTAGATTTGAGTGCATTCTAGAGATCAGGCGTGATGTTGCGTGGTGTCGGCCTGATACCTTAGCCTTGTCTCAGTGGATTGTCAATGTGTCGGAACTATCGGTATACCGATATGTAATTCAGCCATAGACTCTAACATCAACTACCATCTACTACGAATTGAAAATTATACTCCTGTATCCACCAAACCATCTATCTAATTGAATTGTTCATTGAAACTAAAGCAACTTGCTAGTATTTCTCTACTGTATCTCAATGTCGATCCCGAACCCCACCAAGATAATTGCGGGGACAGAAAGATCCTCGTCGATCATTAACATGTAAGTTACTCTATTTTTATCCTTGCATCCATTACGTTAGCCACACATCAAGGCAACTGTTTCCAACCCCGCATGTCTCGCAAAGCGGGCAAATCAAGCACCAGAAGCCAAGCAAACCATGCAGATGTAACATGAACTGTAGCCAAGACACTGATCTACATTGTCAGCAGCGTTAAGCCATCAAGCCACAAGAATTTGGGGTACATATGGTGTCAAGATTGATAAAATTGCTACGTTCCGGCGAGGCCACCCGCGGGTGGCTGAGTGGTGCCGCAACTGATCGGACCAGGTGTGCTGTATGTCTCAGCATTCCACAGATGTACAGTGAGCTAATAGCCTTACAAAGTAGAGCTTACTAGTACCCCACTCGGGATGCCCGGAATCGGTCGAGATTCAAAGATCTTTTATTATCCATCTTGCTCTTCACGTGGCTCATTAGGTGGCTGGGGTATAGTTCGTGGAGAATGCTACTATGTATAGATCAAGGTCTCACTGAAGAGTAGATACGGGTATGCTCTCATTTCCATGTGGATGATAGATCGTAGAAGATTCCAATAAATACAAGTCGCAGAATTTCATCTCTTCAATATTCATTGAGATGAAGCTTCTTTCCAACGAACTTCCGTTTCGCGGGCTTGTCACCACGTTCGCGCTCTGCGCTGACACCCTTAAGTGCATGCAGAAGCATGCCAGCATCGAAGAATCCATCTAAGCACATCGTCAGCTTTTGTGTCTTTTGTTCCTCTACGGAAAGACCGAAAAAGAATGTCTCGGGAATAAGGAAATACTCACATCCACCCATTCCATCATCCTCTATCTCCCCGCTATCCGTCGTGGTAGTCGGTGTATCCGCTCCACGGTTATCCCCGCGAACAACCCGACCGCGTCGATTATTATCAGCCTGTAAACGCTCTGCCAGCATCTCAGTTTCCCGGGCACGGCTGGTCCGTGGGCTGGTGGCCTTGCGATTGGTCGCGCGCAGCAATTTTCTAATTTCGAATAGGTATGACTCGAGAGTGTGCATTAACCGTGCTGTTTGGCGGTGCTTGGACGAGGCGCAGAATGAGATGGAGTCGTCTTTGATAATGTATCCAATACCGAAGCCGTCAGCGGATGTCGGGCCGAATCCAAAGTGTCGTAGACAGGGGTTGCCGCAGTTTGAGGTTGACAGTACGGTGGTGTTGATCTTGTCCCAGCCAGCATCGCTGAAGATGGTGGGTGTGGGGGAGAGTAGGAGTACGCAGTCCACGGATGCTGCCGGTGCCGGGTGATGAGGAGAAGCAGTCCTCTGATGTCTCGGAGAGCATCCCCTCGCTGGGGCTTGAGTAACCACCCGCAGAGCTGCTGTCCTGGAATAGGCCTTCGTCAAATGACCGTTGCCACAGGCAATACAGAGCGTAAAGATGACGGTCTTGGCCCTGTCCCTTGGAGCAGTCCTTTGTCATGGCAGTATGTTTTTGGGTTGCAGTGCGCAGGGCATCAATCTTGTGCTCTGCCGGGTTCTCACCCCAGAATGTCTTAACAAATTCAACGGCTTCGGGTGTCACGGTGCGCACGGCTTCGGTACGACCATGCAAATACATTTTCGTCATAGCTGGTTCATAGGTATTCTCAACGCGACCGTAGAGACCATAGTATGCCGCCTGGAAAGCCATCTGCACGAATGCATCGGGCGAGAATCCCATGGAAGTGATGAAGTTCTTGCCGAAGCCTTCAAAGTCCAGGACCTGGAACTCGTGCTGGTATAGCAGGTCTGACAGGTGAGATTCGGCAAATCGCAAAGCAATATTCAACTCCGGAGTCATATCCCACTCCAGCTTGCGAGGTGTGGTGCTGACATTTCCAAAGCTGCGGGGGTCACGTTTGGCAGGGTCGGGGCTCGTAGTAGCCCACAGGCTTGGGGCCTGGCCGTTGATCGTCTTGGCGAATCGAAGAATAGTGTCGGTATAAACATCACTGGCGAACCGTAGAACGGTATGACCATCCACGCCCGTGTGCTCAAAGTTGATACCAGCACTGCCATTGTTGCAAACGATTATTTGAAGTTTGTCATACCATCGGTTGGTGCATGTGCCGACCTGAACGCCCTTGATCACTTCGCTTGTGCCGCAGAGCATATTAGCACAAAGCTCGGCCGTACTCGAAGGTTCGGTATCATCAAGACATAACACGAATAGGGCGGTATCGACAATGTTCAGGCACTCGGCGTTGTTTGAAGCAGGATCCTTGGTCATGATATCTCGCAAGCCTGACCATACCTTACGGTTCTCAGTGCTAAGGACGCCCAGTGCTCCTTTAGCGGCTTCTTGAATTGGAGTTTGTGCCGCATCTTCGATGATGACGTGTAAGTTGAGCGAGATGTCTTTCTCCGTCATGATCAAATCGCTGTTGTCATCCAGGACATCAAACCAATAGAACTGTCCACGGCACATCACCACCATATGCCTGGCTGAAGGGTCTTGACTGATGACACAGCCATTGTCGGTTGGGAGACGGGCGGTTCCAAACATGCGAGAGTACTGGTACATGCACAGAGGAGTGCCACGAACGGTATCTGGTGGAAGCTCCTCTCTTCTAACAGCGCGGACGAAAGAGAGGGCAGACACGACTAAGGAGGCCGCGCGGGTCACCTGGTGGTTTCGAGCAGGAGTAGGGTCATCCTCCAATAGGAAGAATGGGTTCAGATTGAGGACGACCGCTGATTAAACGTCAGTTGTGAATGAATGCACAGTGACAAAATTTCTCTAGACTCACGGTTGTCAAAGTTCAGGTAAGAATCATACCCTGGGGACTATTAGCGTCTAATGGATTACAACATCTCGAGGCATTTCACTTACAAAATTGCTCGATATAACTTGTTTTGGAGGAAGCATATGTCTTCAGCTTCTCTTGAAGGATGGGTCCATCGGTCTTTAAAAAGTCCTTCACCGCTGCCTTGGTCTCCTCATGTTCTCGAATGGTCTGCAAGGCCGAAAGAGCTTCAAGATGTCTCCGACAGGTATCCTCGAGAGCAGGGATAGGGAGTTTAGGAAGAGAGTCTTGATTGGCAAATGTCAGACCCTTTTCCTTGGATGTGTGAACCTTCACAGCCTCTGATGAGGGTCGCTCAGGAGACACATTTGGCCTCACGACGGTATGTCCCTGGGACTCAGCCGCGGTGATCTTAACTGAGTCGGAATCCATGGCATTCCCAAGAGGCTTTGGTGCTGTAAAGAAACGGACTGCCGTTGGTGAGTAGGACATGATGATTAGTGACTGATTTATTTTCTCTTTTCGATCAAGCGTAGGACGAGGCGAGGCAAGTGGGGAGAGAAAGGAGACGCAAGGCAGTGCGGTAGAAATAGTGGCAGTCTTGTAGGCAGTATGGTGGCATGGAGACTACCTCATAAGAGTATAAAGGGATGGATAGTATAGAATTATATCAAATGCGATCAAGGGGAAAAGAGGACTAAAGGGAAGCCGGGCAGGAGACCGGAGATGCTTTATACGAGCAGGAACTATAGAGCAGCTCCGAAACTCCACGGAAGCCGTGGAATAGTGGAGCCGACTCGGGCTGAAGGGGCCAACGGAGAAAAGGACTTACGGGGAATGACAAGCAGGCGGCGGGAGATGTGGGCTTTCCTGAGACTGGCCGTGCTGAATAGCGCCGGAGGAACGGATGAGCCTCTCTGGGAACTGCGCAGATGATTCCAGCCAAGCAACGTGCAGCCTGCAAAATCTAAAGAGGTTTAGTGGTTGACTCGACTGACGCGGTAAAATAACGAGATAAGAGTTAAAATGAAACGGTGAGTGATAGAAAAAGAGGAAATTTTGGCAGTTTTAATGCGTGACAAGGGTTTAAGCTTGATTCTTTGAGGGGAAACTCACCCGACCTTAACCAGACGAACCTCGAGGGTCCGTGTGTGCGAACAGGTGAGCAGTCTGATCAGGTATTACTCAGTCGGTCAGCTGAGGAGAGACCAAAATTAAGCAATCTGAAGACCCTTGAAGAAAAAGAGTGACCGTGAGTGATTTTGCCGGAGTCCGTAATACTGAAAACACCGCGTTGTGGGGATTCAGTTTGCGATGACGTTTCGGGCGAAGGGAGCTGCGGGGAGGAGCTGGAGGTCACGTGATGGAGTATACAATTTATAGTATACAGTCTACTGGATTGGAAATGAACGAAATGATAGAATTCAAAAACATACTACAGAAACATAGGAAAATAGAAAAAAATCAAAACCGTCAGCTTCATCCCCGGCACCAAGGGCAGCCACAGTAGGGGTCAGCAGAGTACATGTCCCCGGCACCAAGGGCAGCCACAGTAGGGGTCAGCAGAGTACATGTTTGGAATAAGAATATTAAGGTCCTCCCCAATATTGAAACATCTCATGACTCTCGTCAAAATATCTCCCCTGCCAGGAATGTGCTTATTCCAAAGATCTTGTGCCTGACGATCCATATCATCGGCAGTCTCGTCACAGAACCCGATCAGGCGGATGCCTCCCACGCACTTTCTAATAAAGTCCAATGCCAGTGCACACTCTCCAAAGCCATCGGGGATCTCAATCATGCGAAATATGTAGTGGAGACAGATGATAGTCCCATTTTGTCGTCGTTCGGCACATTGTTGCGATCGATCGCCCAGCGGGAGCTGGGAGACCATGAGCAGTTCCTCTAGCCTTTCGGTCAAGGAGGTCAACTCCTTTTTGATTTGGTTGATTTCCATCTGATCGGGACAAAATTGGGACCAAATCAACTTCATGTTGATGCTTTGTTGTCCCAGGTCTTGTGCGAGGCGATTGCGCACCTCGTAGAAGCGGGCAGCGTCTAACGCTAGCTGTTTGTCGGACTGAGGGAGGATATCGAATTTCCGAGCATCGAAGAAAGCCATCTTGGTGGAGTTTGTAATGAATTTTGAAGATGACCTCAGAAAGTGAAATTCCGAGGTAGTTGCTACTATTTATGTTGATTATTTATCTATATCTTCAGACAGCCGTCCAGAGATTTCTAGGGCAGGATTAGTTCACCAAGTCTTTGTCAGTCAGTGGTTCTTTGTTCAGATCCACCAAAAATAGACAGCGAAAGCTAGGATGAATGCCTCGACTCCAGAAATGAAAGCCTCATGCAGATAGACTAGTTTCAAATTAAGCCCATATAAGGCTTCTGAGACTCGACCAAGGAAGCGAAAGGGCAGTTTCTCTTGACTTGGCCAATCCAGCGCATATGGCGACTCATCATGCGCAGTTATCAAAGGAATCAATGAAAGATCATGTTGGTAGATAATACAAAGAAACAAAGAGAATAAGCTTCTTGAAACAAACCTAAAATGTTTCGAGTCAACCTTGGTAATCTAGAATGTCAAACTCGAAAATCTGCCGCTAATGGGAGGGTCGATGAAAGGGCCGCTCCTCAGGATAAAAGTCGTGCATTCTAAATCAGTGCAGCTCCTCTATTTCATAAGGCAAGACGCAGAACAACTTACTAGTACTAATTATTTGCATCAGTTTGAAGGAGACATCTCGTAAAGCTATAGCCTCATGCTGAGAAAGTAATCACACAGAACAATAAAACCACACATCAAAATCACCAACGACAATAACAACACCCACAACCCGAATTAATAAACCCCATCAACACAGACATAGAATGTAAACTATAAAAAAACACCGAATCGTCATCCCCCTTCCACGAATATCTCTCATGAAGCTCCCTCGCCTGCTTATCCATCTTATCCGCAGAAAGATCTACAACTCCCACCAATCGAAGTCGTCCAACATGCTTGCTAATAAGTGCCAACATCGCAGAAGCTTCCCAAAATAAACCATTTTCTAACATGCGTTTCGCTTTTCTCAACGCAAGGAGGATTCGTCAGATTCTCCGTGTCGTGCAACGTTCTAGTTTTGTGTCGTGGGTGAAGGTAGTTGTGGAATGTAGTAGATCTAGATATCTGGTCTCGCATTCTAGGGAGCGACGGATCCGGGAGCGGAGGAGGGGCCGTTCGTGGATGTCTACACTGTATCTTTCTAAGGTTCTGACAAGTTTTTCTCGTCGCGTGTAGAAGTCTTTTGTTTCTTCGGCTTGCTCATCTGGGGTTTGCTTACCATCGTTTTGTCTGGCTTTGCAGAGGTGCTTTGATGATCCATGACTTGGGGAAATACTCGATAGAGCTTAGAAAAAGGTTGTTGTTGAGGATAGTGACGGCGAGGAGAATTTTGAATCTAAATAGTCCACTTTGCCTTTTTGAAATCTATTAATTACTGTTTGAAAGATGGTGGCTGGGACGCTTATTTAGTGACTTCTTTGTTCATTGTTCTAACACGACTTCGGACCACGCCCTGTCTATTTCAGTCTTCAAGCCCGTTGAAAGATCAAAGAGATGAAACTGGCATCGAGTCTATACAACGAAAGGACTTCGAGGTTTAGTTAGTGGATGAGGGATCTCCACTCTGGATTTACAATAATCGAGCAAGTCCATTCATTCTCAAAATTCAACCATCCCCCCAAGTGGAAATTGCCAATAATACTCCACAAATATCAGGGAACAAAATCATCTCTGAAATCTTTGGTGCATACATAGTAAAACTAAGCAGAAAGCAACGATGACATGCTATTCTATGCATACACATCGGATTTAACGAAATATTTGAATAGAAGACTGCAATTTAAAGTCATGTATAGATCATTCTGCTAACGTGAATTCTAACCAGAGTCCCATTCCAAGAGAGAGGAAAAAAGAAAAACGCCTAGCCGATCTGGCTATCTCATCACGCCCGTAAGATACCATCCACCGTCTGCACTACATCTTCAAGCACCTCCTCTCTCCCCCGATTTGCATCCAGCACGAGCACATCCGGCTCATCAGCGGGATTCTCCTGCGAATCTATAATCGCCGACTTTATGTAGTGGTTCTCTTGAGCCACCATACGATCCTTCAATTGCTCGCGATCTTGCAGCGACAAGAGCAAGAACGTGACAGTGACAGGGAAATTGAATAGCCGTGATAAGCGACGCAGCTCATCGTGGTAGGCAGTGCGCAGGGCGGAACAAGTCACCACGACAGCGGGGGTCTCTGACTCCAGTAGACGGCCCATCACAGCGCCCCGGACATGCGAGAGCCAATCCAAGCAGTCAGAGTCCTGCAAGGGCAGATTGTTGGCCAATCTCTGCCGCGCGAGCGGGGAGTGCAGATAGTCGGCTTCGACGACGGGTACGTCCAGGCGTTGCTTGACGACCTGTGCCAGGTTGCTCTTACCGCCGTCGCAGGGGCTGATCAGGAAGAAGACGTTGCGAGGGATGATCTGAGTGGCGGGCTGGCCCTGGCCCCAGCACTGGGTTGTGAAGTAATTGACGAAGCGGGTGATAAACTCGGTGCTGAGGCCCCGGGCACTGGCGAGAGCGGGCGACGAAGCCTGGGCCTTCTTCGTGTCGTAGAGGAGGGTGCGGGCCGGGTTATTGTTGTCGTACTTAGAGGCGAAGAATTCGAGCAGCTTGATGGGTGGGTTGACCTCGGGGTCTTGGTTAGAGTCCCGGAGGCGCTGCAGCCAGGCTTGCTTGGGGAGCTGTTCAAAGTCCAAGCCAGCGTCCTTCAGTTGGAGGAGCAGGTCTTGAGTCCAGTGGTTCAGGGTCGGGTTGGTGACGTTCATCACCTCTGCGGCATTTTGTGCTAGGCTGAGTTCGATGATGCTATTCGCCATCACATCAACGGGGGTCCAGCTGAGGACGTCGTCGAGCTGAGGCAGGGCATGAATGGTCTTCGCTGTTTGGAAGATCATTGGGATGGCCTCAGTGGCGTTCCAGATACCGTGGACGGTGTCCCCAACGATCTGTCCGGCTCGCAAGACACGAGCTGTCATGCCGGTTGCATGGGCAGCGCGGTTGACAATGTTCTCGGTCACCAGCTTGGACTGGGCATATCCCATCCCTTGAGCATACGACAAAGACGCCGGAAGGGCTTCTGGAACCCAGTTTCCAGGAGTGCGGGCGACTGTGCTGACGGACGAGCAGAAAGAGAAGGAAGCAGGGCGCGGCCTCTCAGCGCTCAAGCACAGATCCAGCAGGTTGCGTGTGGCAGCAATACAGCTGTCCTCGAAGCTCTCCAGAGCCCAGTTGAAATTGACCGACCAAGCACAGTGGATCACCGCAGTGACTGACCTTTTGATATTTGCATAGACACCCTCACCAAGGCCCAGGTCGGCTGACTTAGACAGGTCGCAAGGCAAGGCAACGATCTTGCGCCCTGCGGCAGGAGACATAGAATAGGAGACTGCTCGAGCGCGCAAACTTTCAGTTACGCGTCGATAGGCGGCAGTTGAGGATTTCGCTCGTACCAAACAGTACACTTTCTTCACACGGTCTGACTGGACCAGCTGAGAAACCATGTGGGCACCGAGGGAGCCGGTCGCCCCAGTAAGCACAATATAATCACCATCATCCGCACGATCAACGGGGAGGTGGGTCTTGAAACCAGTGCTGTACTTATCAATCAAGGTCTGCATCCGTTGTTCAACAGGAGCCTGCTCCTTCAGAGCTTCACCGGAACGTAGAACAGTGATCTGATCTGCCATCGCTTGGAGGGACGGGTTCTCAAAGACGAAATTCTGCGACAGCTTCTGGCCTCCGAGGTCCAGGGTACGAGTGATTGCGCTGCGCAAGCGTATCGACTGCAGACTATCGATTCCCAGGCTGAAAATATCCGTAGTCTCGTCCAGTGAGGAAGGCTCCACCGACGGGGCGATCTCGAGGAGAGACTCGCGAAGGAACTGAATCAGCTCGGGACCCTCGAGGACCTGATCGCCTTGGTGATCGGGAGCCTCGTAGATCTCGTTGATTTTCTCAGCGAAGTCTTTGTAGAATGCAGAACGAATCACAGTTCCTTTGTCCGTCCTTCGGTAGACAGTGTTCTCTGGAAGAACGCGGATCATATCACGGGAGATGTACGCATAAGCCGGCGATTCGGCATTGCAGGTTTCGATGTCCACAAACACATTTTCCACCAGTTCTTCATCGGTTTGGAAAGGGCACTTATCAGAGGGAATAATAAACAGACCCAGACGGGGCTTGGTGCTTCCAAAGGCGACGGCTTCGCTGACATTGGGGTTCTTGCGCGCAACACCCTCGATGACCAGCGGGTTGGCCTTCTCCCCATTTTCCAAGACCAGGGTGTCGTCCAGACGAGCATAGTATCGCCAAGCGTTAGGGGTGGTCGGGTGTTTTTCGAACAGGTCCTTGGTAGCATATGAGTTATCAGGGCGATTGCTCGCAACCTTGGACGGCCAGCCCTCTAGAACACACAGCTCGTAGATGCCAGGCATACCTGGCTGATCCTCCCAGCGGAGGTACGGCAGCAAAGAAGGACCGGGACGAACGTAGTCCCAATCCAGATCCGAGCGGTCACGGAACGAGGTCATGAGTTGGCCAGTCTCTGTGGTTCCGTAGTGGGATACCAGACGGACGCCGTTCTGCACGAGAGTATCCCCAATTGACTTGGGGCAAGACGATCCACCGAACATGACCAGCTCCAGACGGGCCATCCGCTTTAAGCCCTCCTCGGATTCCGAGAGAACCTTCAGGGCGTACGGGACAGCGTATAGGACCTCAATTTCCTCATGGTCATTGAGAGTACTGAGTAGACAGGGGGCCGTGAGCGGCAAGCTGGCATTGTACATGTAAATGAGCTTCTGTGAGTGAATGGCACGGAATAAACAGCTGATGCCATGGGCGTGGAAGAGGGGAAGAGTAATGAAGCCCCGGAGCCCGAAGTTGTTGGCATAGTTTTTCAGGGCACCCGAATGGGTCTGGTAGATGGGTTTTGGATGACCGGTCGAGCCACTAGAGTGAATGACCCAGGTAATATGTTCGTTCTCAGTGGGGCCGTGCAAGTACGCTGCAGGGAGACGGGCAGATGTCGTCTCGGGTGAGGCTGCGTACGCTGGCGCTACGACGGGGACTTGGATGGCCCCCGTTCGCTTGGTGACGTTTTCTCCCATCGTTTGGAAGCTGGGGTGGGTTATAAGGAATGAGGCCTTGGTGGCCTCCACAAGACTGACATAGGCATCTTCTGCGATGCGAGTCGACAACAGCAGGACGGTGTGTCCAAGTCGGGAGACGGCCAATAGCGTGATCAAGTATTCAAAATCAGATACACCTAGTAGTCCCACAACTTGAACGGGATCACTTGATGTGAGTCTCTGGGGGATCGCTTTAGAGTATTGTACCGCGGCCGCTTCAACAAGCACATCCAGCTTAAGGCTTCATTAATGACTCTAATAGGCAAGCACAATAGGAGCGAAGAACTGTACCTGATGAGGTGTATAGTATACATAATCTGTGCCCGACGATGGATATGCCACAATAGGATCGTGTGCGGTCTCTCCCAAGGCTCTCAATCGCAGAAGGTCATTGATAGTGTAGATCTCGTGTTTTGGCGCCGCTGCCGTCGCTACGGAAGGAGTGGCGGACGAGCAGATGGCTGGCAATGAGGACGCAGCCAGTGTTGAGAGAGCTGGTGCTGCCATCTTGGGTTGAAATGGCAGACTGGTTTGTATAGATGGCAAAACTGTAGATTTGGAGAAGCTGTGCCTTTTGAGGTCCGCCGAGCGAATCCTCGCACTGAAGCAGTTGGGATTTCCGCTTGCTCCATCGGTCGGCACGTTGAATGTCCGGGACTTGTTCTCATGTCTTCCTGCCCCTTCCAATCATTTTCTGACAGAGAGGTGTACATCGTCCCGGGTTTCGGAGGCGTTTTGCTCCACAGGCCTTCTCCGCATGTACGGAATCGATGGCAATGGTGGGGCGGTGCACTTTGGTGTTGAGCGGAAAAGGAGGTAAGAATGATACTTTTCCGCCGCGTCACCTGACCGACATAGACCGCAGGAAAACGGCGCCATCACGTTGCTGTAATTCGGAAATCGGGGCAATCTGGGTGACAAATGGTTGGTCATAAGTATTTCATGTTCAGATTTCGTACGCGCCACGAGAGCTTGAGGTTCTATATGTCCCGGAAGGCCACGATCTCTGTGGAAGATTTCACCATCAATGTAGTGTGGATTCGCTCCGATCGGATTATCCCCAAGCAATAGGCAACTTTAATAAAAATACAGTCCTTGACGGATATCAGCCTAGCATATGGATGATAAACGGTGTCTTGAGCGAGGAATAAATTTCAACTCCCTTGAATCATTTGGGGCAGAGATGATCAGAGAGATCATGTCCATATCTATGCACATCCCAAACTTACTCCCCCTTGAATAATGCAAAGGTAGTCGTACGATGGAAATTACATGTGGAAACCGGCTAAAGAACTCACATGTCGACTTGAAGTCAGGGATACTAAGGCTAAATAACAGGTGCTTGAAATAATAATGATGACTTTCTATTTCTTTGAAGTTTTTGGCTTTCTATACAGGAGTATGGAATAGGACTCGTAAAATATTCCTTAAACAGTGAACTTAATCTTGTTGGCAGGGCCAGCTGCCACAGCTGCCTTGCGAACAGCCTCCTCACCAACCTCCTCGAAGATATCGTAGCCCCAATTAGCCGGGAAGTTGAAGCGCTTGTGCCGCTCCAGACCAGTCAACTTGGCGTATGCATCATCAGGCAGAGTCTTGATCTGGAGGTTGGCCGCAATACGAGAAGGAGTAACGCTCTTCGATAGGACGACAGTGCCGCGCTGCACACCCCAGCTAGCCAGAAGAGGGCCAGGGTCCATGCTGACCTGCTGTGCGACCTCGGCCACCAGCGGGTCATCCACGGTACGCGGTTCACCGGTTTGGTTGTTGCCCAGAGGAGAGTAGGCCTCGACAACGATTCCTTTGCTTTGGCAGAACTTGAGAAGCTCCGGCTGCTGCAGGTAGGGGTGGGCTTCAATCTGGTTGGCGGCAGGGACGACCGAGACCTGGCCCAGGAGTTCCTCCAGGCGCCGGATATTGAAGTTCGACACACCGATGGCCTTGACCTTGCCGGTCGGCAACAACTTCTCCATCTCCTTGTACGTGGCGACGTAGTCATTATCGGCCAATTCGAAAACACCGTCTTCGTTGAGAGGGAACCATTTGTCGCCGCCCTTGAACGCACTGCGTGTATATGTTAGCCATAGCGGCCAAACAGCATTGCAAGGTATGGCGTAGGAGGGTGACACTTACACGGGCCAATGCATGAGATACAGGTCAAGATAATCGGTCCCAAGATCAGCCAGAGTTTTGTTCAGAGCAGGCAGAATATCCTCGGGGGCATGCTTGGTGTTCCAGAGCTTGCCGGTAATGAAGATCTCTTCGCGTGGCACACCCGACTTCTTGATACCGGCTCCAACCTCCGTCTCGTTGCGGTAAATGGCAGCGCAGTCGATATGACGGTAGCCCTCCTTAAGAGAGACTTCAACAGCCTTCTCAACCTCTAGAGGCTTAGCCTGCCAGGTGCCGAAGCCCACGGCTGGGATCTTGGCGCCAGTGTTGAGCGTGAAATGCGTTTGAATGGCCATGGTGGATGAATGTACTGTGAATTGATGAGAATAACGAGGATGAAGATAGGGAAAAGGACCGCAATTTCAATTCGAATCTCGATGGAGGAAGAGCAAGTTCTCAAAAATAACCTCGATAGCTTTTTGTGACTATATGGCGCCCCCCACTCTACGTCCCCATGGTAGTCTTTCTCGGAAAAGGACGTGGAGCGGAAACAGACACGGAAATGAGCAATCCGACCTTTAACAAGCGCGAACGTTATCGCAGTATCCTCCGCCGAATTCATTCCATTTGGGTCCATTAGGATTCTGGGCTGGTGATAGTTTCTACCATAGTAAGTTCATACATAACTTCGTGTTTCCACTAACCTCCTAAGTCCTTCTCGTCTACCCGCACCATTAATTATTATGGCTACAATTCCATTGTTCGACAGTCTTCCCCTACGGAAGGATGGCCCTCCAGGTAATGCCTGGGGACTTTTCGGAGACAGTGACCAGTGTGGCATGCTAAATCGACTCACGCCCGAGATTGTGAGCGCTGCGTCACAGGAAATCAAGACGGGAATCCGTATTCCCACTGATTTACCACTCAACTTCATGTCAATGCCATGCTTCGGACGAGTACCATTTAAGCAAACTATCAAAAACAAAGCGCCCCGTGAAGTCAACGATGACACGTTACATTTCAACACCCAGAGTGCCTCCCAGTGGGATGGTTTCAGACACTATGCCTACCAAGAGAGCAGGAAATATTTTAATGGCCAGACGCTAAATGACTTGTTGACCACCGAAGTCAATGGAATACACGGTAAGTCAAGAACCATACGATAACTGCCCGGATGAATGGGCCTCATTATGGCTAATGCATCATTTCCCGCAGCATGGGTGGAGAAGGGTGGAATTGTAGGACGAGGAGTCCTCCTCGACTATGCCGCATGGGCAGAAACCAATAATGTCCAGTTCGACCCCTTCTCAACGCATGTCATCTCGGCAAAGACTCTACAGGACATTGCAGCCAGCCAGGGCACAGAGCTCAAACAAGGCGATATTCTGTTCATCCGATCGGGCTGGGTGCGCGCCTATTCTCAACTATCAGAGGCACAGGCCAAGACCCTTGCAGATATCACATCTCCCCCGGCCATCGGGATTGAATCCTCAGAACAAACCCTGCGTTGGCTGTGGGAAACAGGCTTTGCGGCGGTTGCTGGCGACATGCCTAGTATGGAGGCTTGGCCATGTCAGAATACTCAATTTTGGCTGCATGAATGGCTGCTGGCTGGCTGGGGAATGCCAATCGGTGAACTGTTTGACCTCGAGAGGCTCAGTGAGGAATGTCGACGACAGGTACGGTGGTCATTCTTTTTCAGCAGTGTGCCACTTCGGGTAAGCAAGCTATGACGATTCATACCAAGCTCCAGGTTCCAAGTTGACGAATATTTTAGGTACCCGGAGGAGTCGCAAGCCCACCAAATGGAGTCGCAATTCTGTAGTTTTTATAAGTACATGCAAACGAACAAAATAAAGGATTTTACAAAGAGACTCGAGTATTATAGTGTGCTGGTGGAGTATACAATGAGGTATATTAAGACTTTCTTTACAGTTTAAACCAAGTCCAAAAGAGATTCCTCACCTAGTGGATAGATGAGTGGACAACCACACAATACGCCAGGTTATCCGGCCAGTGATTGGAGTTAAATCGCCCGATGCTGGAAGTTTGACTCCGGAAAGGCCCCTCTTTATTCGTCTTGCCGTCTTCATGTGTACAACAGACATTCCACACAGGCGACTAGTATGAGTAACGGAAGTAGATGTCTTCCTTGTCAGTCTGGTCCACTGGAATCTCTTCCATGGGTTGATAAACGGCATTCTCCAAGCTGAGTCCCTCTTCCATGAGAACCTTGTCTTTGGTGTTGTTCAACATGGCAGCATAGGCCGCAAATGCTAGAAGCAAGAAGATCTCAACACAGTACGCTACCAGCATAGCCACGATTCCTGATGTGTATTTGGGGGCCTCGTTGCTCTTGAACGAGAAAGGGCCGATTATATTACCCACGCAATAGGAGATGAAGAACACGCCGTTGACAATAGACCGTTTTGTGGAGCCACCAGTATTGGCTGTGATGAGGGACATGATCATCGCGAAGGAGGCCGTATAGGTACTCGTTAACTAAGATTGGGAACATGTCAGCCCCAGATAATTCAGAATCAAAGCATCAAAGCGTGCCTACCCAGTAACACACTAGAAGTGCAACTTTGTGATCGCGTGGAATGGCGTGGATCCCAACTGCACCGGCTAGAGCCGGACACACATAAAGCACGGCAACGAAGCATCGCTTCTGGCCTGGTAGCCACCGTTGCAAATACATTGCAGAAACATTGGATACCAGAATTACCATTCCGTATGGTATCTGGAACAGAGTTGTCACTAGATTGGAATAGCCAAATCCCTGGATGATCAGGCTGCCGAAGTTGCTGGCGGCACCGTTGACCACCTGGGTTGCCACACCACAAAGGAAGAAAAGCCAGGTCTTGGGATCTAACACAGCTTCCTTAATTTGGTACTTCTTGATGTCATGGAAATTGGAACCGTGGTGTCTTGGTCCTAGGCGCCTAATAGCGACTTGCTTCTCGTCTTCCTTCAGCCATGACCTGGTGCGGCCAGTTAGTTCATCGATTCGTCGCCCAACATAGAATACTTACGCTGTTGAGGGACGCTCAGCCAACGTGAATGCCATGAAGATAGCCCAAGCGCACGAGATGGCGCCAATAAAGATGAATTGGTATCGCCATGATTCCAATGACCCTTCGATGTGACCCACGGCATAGGCCAACAGGCCACCGAATGAATTGGCAACGCCAAGGAAGGTTGACCACCATCCAATTCTGACTGGCTGCTCTTCAACAGTATACCAAGTTGCGGTGATCAAAAGGTAGGCAGGTGTCGAACACGATTCTAGGGCGCCGATCAAGAAGCGCAGTGCGAGGAATGACTTGAACCCACCACAGCCAGCTAAGGCCATGGTGATTCCACCCCAAAGAAAAAGATTCGCAGACAGCCATTTCGACACGGGTAACTTCTGCATGGCAAAGGTGGTAGGATACTCGAACTAGGATGATTCTGTTAATTGGAAGGCCTTTTGCCGGTATAATGCAAGAGTAAGATGTACAGCGAGGTAGCCGAAATAAAAAATGCTTCCTATTCAGATTTCGTCTGGTCAACTCGAGTCTTTCTCATTCCATACAGTAATAGCTTACCCAGCCAACTGTACTCATTTCCTTTTAAATGCAAAGATTCCTTCAAGCCAAAGACGGCCGCATAACCAAGCATGGCTTTGTCAATATAAGTCACCAAGTACGTGATGCAAAGAAACGGGATGATCCTCAAGTCGATCTTTCGAATAACTCTGTTCTCCAGCCTCGAGTCAATGATATTGTTTGGGGCATTGGGCTTGGTGTATTCTGGTTCATTATTCCGATCTGCTAGACTCCCATATTCCAGGGATTCCGGGGATTCTTGGTGATCGCTGCGTGGTTTCGACATTTCTAGAGTGCTTAAGCAAGTTCACTCTCTTGATAAAGGGAACTGGATACAAGCTGTGTATTAACAGATACTAACTCTGTCTCAGGACAGACAATATGGCGCATAAATTCTCGTAGCATCCACGAATTTTAAGTGAAGAGGGGTTCGAGAAGATAGTGCGGATTTGCATTGACTCGGATTATGTATCGGAACCCTGAAATGGGTCAAGTCCTCTACCACCTTCGGTTTTACTGGTGAGAATTATGTCTTACGAGACTTAGTTCGGAGAATTCAAGGAAAAAAAAGGCACATAGTCATCTATCGTATGCCCCCAGAAAGGTGAAGAGAGCGGTATATGCATTCGCATGCATAGGCTGTTGCGTTCCGTTTATTATGAAAAGAAGACAGTCGTCAAAAGGACTCATAGTGGACGATTACAAGTGTTGTTACAAGTTTGCTACAGCAGCATCGCCTTAATTGGAAGCCCATAATTTTAACTTGAAGCAACTGGGGATGTGGAGACCCCAGATTTGGTGGCGCTGGAGTAGTTCCCGTGTTCCACACTCTCTGCGTCGGAAAAGTACCAGCCCGCGGCGGATTTTCTTGCCCATACTTTCTCCCTTCTTCAGCCAGCCGATTTACATGCGCGGAGCTGGAACTTTGAACAAAAGAAGGCTATTCTCGATATAAATCATCACAGATTTGACACATACGGAGAGAAGATGGTCATTACATCCCATACGGCGGAGGCACATCAGCGTCGCCGAACCCGGACCCGGGCGGAGCGGATAAGGCGAAAAGTGACAAGGGCATGCGATGCCTGCAAGGCACGCAAAAAGGCATGCACTGGGGACATACCGTGCGAATCTTGTGTACGGCTGGAGCTATCATGCACGTATGATGTTCCCTATAACCGGGGGTCTGCTGCTTTCCCGCAACCCTCGTCACGACCGATGGAAACGGGAGGCGGAAATAGAGCGAACAAGACGCCTGCCGCGAGAGTAGTAGACGGGGCTGTGGCTACACCTTCACCCACGGAGAATCCAGGACGCCGATCTGTCACCACGTCGTCGAGTCTAGCTGCGACACATCCGACTCCGGAAGATGGCAATTCAACCGAAGTTGGCGGCCAATACAGAGGGCCAGCATCCGCCCATTCGTTCTTGGACAGAGCTGTCAGAAACTTGCACGGGGCTCCACCTCCATTATCGTTGCCTTCGGAGGATGTATCCGCTTCGATTTTCTCGCATGGCGATCGGCATGCCCCGAGAACACTGGTATCTCAAATGCGCTGGCCTGACCGATCAACGGCCGATTACTTGATACGGCGATATTTTGAATTTGCATCACCTACCTACAGAGTGCTACACCAAGGGACTGTCGACACTTGGGCAGAAGCCCTTTTTGGGCCCAATGAGCCATTAGAGGGCGAAACCACAACTTCAGCGGTGTCATCTGCTGCCAAGGCAATTCTCTTACTGCTATGTGCTACAAGTTCCTTGTTCTCTACTCGCGATGGATCGCCGGCTCAAAACACCCAAGACTGGTCAAATTGGCAAGACAGCGAGACTTATTATCAGATCGCTGAACAGATCCTTGCCCAGGAAACCGGTGCACCGTCTTTGGAGTCTGCGCAGGCCCGGTTCCTGACGGTTCTATATCTTTTAAGTACCTCTCGAGTAAACCAAGCCTGGTACAACTTTGGCACCACGGTACAACTCGTGATGGCACTAGGTCTTCATCGAAAGCAAACACGACCACGAGCATTTGCCTCGATTGCATCGAGTGCGGTTGCCGCAGAGTGTTCGAAGCGTGTACTGTGGTGCTCTTTTACTCTCGATGAGTACCTCAGCCTCATACTTGGTCGGCCGCGATTACTTCGAGAAGAGGACATTGATCAAGAGTACCCAACCTTGATCAACGACGAAGCCCTGGATTATAAGCCTAGATCACGCTCTGCTCCCCTGAGAAATTGCTTGATGGATGCATCCGTTTGCCATGCGAAGATTTCTCGAATTCTAGCACGAGCCTCTAGGGACTTGTACTCGATCAAATCTCTCGATAAGGAGCAAGAAGTCGAGACCATTGCGATATTGATGGAGCAGATCACCGAATGGCAATCCAAATTACCGCCTCTCTTAGGAGATTGGGTTTGTCCGAGCAGCCTGATCTCAATTTTTCGAAGACAACTGACCGTCATCCGCCTGGCTCGACTCCATGCTATTATGTTTGTTACTCGACCGCTTCTTCTTCGAGACTATTCGCAACGCATGAACATAGATGGGCCCTTGAAGCAGTTTCTGCGAACTTGTATCTACACGGTTCGCGATACCCTTGAACTGGTGTTAGAACTCGTCAAGGATAATCTACTGTTCCCGGCGTTCTGGTATACGCAGTACATTGCTTTTACCGCCCTCTCAATCGTCTACATCTATCTTATCCACTCAAAAAAGGGTCGAATTCCATATGAATGGTTATTTGCGCACGATGAGAGCCAGGAATTACCACCTATCGATCGTATGATGCTTTATAATCTGGCAGAAGAGACGCAATATCATCTTGGTCATGCAACCGAAATGAACGCTCTTGCATGGAGATACACCGTCGTCCTGAAAGCTCTAAGGCTGGAGGCAATGGGAGAAGAGAATGAGACGCACGTCGATGATGTGGCGGACTCGCAAGTCGATTCGAATGAGGAAGCCGTGGCCACTTTGCCGATGGAAGTCGTTCGTACAGAAGGCGTCCCCCATGAGCAACTCCCTGTGGACTGGACAGGGCTTTGGACCTCCCTTATCGAACCGGTCAATCCGTCGATTCACGGTTCCGGGCTACTTGATTCTGGAATAGGAGGCTTGCTCAGCTTCAATGGTCTCACCGATGAGCTTTGTCTTGACTTCTGGCCGCAGCTTGATCGTTTACCAACGTGTACGTCCCTTGCTCATATAGCGATTTTAATGCGCCATGTGCTTTTGTCGGATTATTCTGCTGACTCTGACTTATATAGCACTGCTAAATTCACGGAATGCGTGATACTCAGCTGCTTCGGTGCTTTGATCCCACGCAACTGATTTAATACGACTGGAAATGTTGAGACGACCTTACGAATGACTTTACTGTACCGTACAATATACCCAACCATAGGGGGTAGGGTTTAACTTTTTCAAAAATCAACACGAATCTATATTTATCCTCTACCACATAGCTATATATCTCGAGTAAACTTTGGTCTAAAATCCCACATATGTTCCAGAAGCACTCTAGTTTCATTCGCCATTGCATCTACCAGAGATACTTGTAGCGAGGTTGCCCATCCTGCTCTTCCTCCCGAGCAGCCAGAATATTCAACTGGCGTAGCCAGAAGCCCAAAGCGAGGGCCAGCACGATACCACCCGCCGCAAAAGAAGAGAGAATTATCCCACCCATGCGGTACTGCGGCGCATCCGAACTGGGAAAGAAGTACGACCCATAGATATTGGCCGAGTTGCCGAACAGGTTGACTAGGGCGTAAACAATAGCGCGCTTGGTGCGTGTTCGCGGCACAGTACTTGCGATCCACGCCTGGACTACGTTGAAGGCAGAGTACGAGCCGGCGCACATGAGGAACATGCCCACGTAGCGGGGCGCCGTGCTGTGCGTACAGATAACCATGACATTACCAATGATATCGACCATCAAGGGCCAGACGATGAGGATGGCGCGCTTGTCTGTGTATGTGGCGATGAATGAGTTACCGAGGGAGCTGATGAAGCCGAAGACGTAGACTGGGGCAGTGATGAGGAGGGTTACGATGTTGTTGAACCCGAGGGTCTTGACGATTGACTGTAGCAATCGATGAATACATGTTAATGTTACTGAAGCCGAGATTATTGTTTGAAAGGGATTAGTACTCACGGGGAAGAAATAGGTCCACGTTTGCGATGTGAGCTGACAGATCTGAATGCCAATCATAACCCACGCTTTGGGATCCGTAAATGCGTCGATGAGGCCTTCCTTAATGGAGCCGTTCTCGTCGATCTCCGAGTTGGCTCCCTGCGCTAAACGCCACACTGCAAATCGCTGTTCTTGATCGGAGAGCCATCCATGCTTTCCAGATCCCGGGAAATCGGGCAGGAGCCAGATTGCCAGAAAGCCAGAGAGGATAGTACCTGCTCCTTCAATTATAAAGAGCCACCTGTCAAAAGGGATATCGTCGGTAAATGAACGCAGAAAAGACCCAAAACCGAGAATAAGGTCCCAATAACGTACCTCCATCCGGCCAGACCACCAGCTCCATCGAGACCGTTCAAAATCCCAGCTGCCAACATGCCGCCAAAGCCATTGGCGATTGTGTTACCGCAGTACATGACCGCTACTCGCGGCGCAATCTCCTGGGGCTTATACCAGGAACTTATCAATAGACTTTCTGCCGTGTTAACTTTTTGAGATCTCAACAGTCGGGACAAGATTGGCCTTACAGCGCTCCAGCAAAGAAGGGCGACTCTGCAAAGCCCAGCAGTACCCGCACCACTATGATACCAGCAAAGTTATGCGTAGCAGCGGCACACATGGAAATGCCGCCCCAGATGAAGATGGCAACTGGTATATAGCGGGACGGCTTAAGGCGTGTGAGGATAATGTTACTGGGAACTTGGCCCAACAGGTAGCCAATAAACTAAAGAAGTTAACTCGGAGGATGGCAAGCCGGCTCGACTTTGCTCACCATGATGGCGACAGCCGTCTGGTATTGGGTGTCGCTGAGACCTAGGTCGGTCTGCATACCTCCTAGACGCGCATTGGCGATATTGGAGCGATCGAGAATGTTGAAGATGAATAGGAGACATAGCGAGGCGACGAGGTGCAGATCGATCTTGCGAACCACTGAGGGAGAACTCGTTAGCAAAGCTTATGATGGCCCTTATTCAAACTCAAGAAGAGCCATTACCGGAATAAACACTCACGTTTCTTCTCAAGCACTGTTTGTTCCTCCGTGGTCAATCCCTCGAAGTAAGCTTCTTGGAGGGTGACCTTAGGGGAAACCTCCAGGTGTACTGCCTGGTCATCCTTGAGAGTCTCCGCATCAATAGTCATGGTATTCTTACTTGGATTCCAAGGAAGTCAAAAGAAATTAAAACCAACAAATTTTGGCCACCACGCCAAGCATTATATAGCTAAACTAAATCATCAATCAGCCTTTCGGCGCCGATAGAAGGAGCCACCAGCCGAAGAACGGGGAAGGAAAGGCGAGTCGGGTCAAAACTGCATATTGTCGGGGTATAGATCGTCGTATGGAGAAGGAAACCTCGGGGAAGCGGATTTCGCTCCAGAAATTCGGATTACCAAGTTTTCCCCGCATCCCCATACCCCGGAGGCGGAAAAGGCTGGAAATGGGCTACTCGCAATTCTCCGCCAAACAACCCCGGAAAATGCGCTCGGTGGAGCTCTTACGCTGGATAAAGACTGCAATGGGAGGGGCCAGGTCGCGAGATATATGCTAGAAGTAATATAAGCATACGGCACCCGGGAAGAATTCGGCTCTAGCATAACGACAATGTACTTACATGGAGCCTATAAATATTGCCTTGAAGCGATTCCGAGCGGCTCATTTATAGATTACTATCCATAAGTGCGAATGTCATACGACAGAGACAAAGCTCCATGGTTTTATCATCGTTACTGACAGAATTCATGTTAAGCCTTTAACGATCGAGGTTATCGAGGCGTCGGATAAATCTGTAGCCATAACAGATGTCAAGTCCTTCCTAGAGAGATGAAACTTTTACCGGCGATTCATCAAGAACTATAGCAAGATAGTAAGCCTTTCAAATTGATTAAAAGGGAAGGAGATACTCTTTGAAGATGATCTTATTTATGACTAGGCCCCCAGGGAAGTAAGACCTAGGTTGCTGATAACCACACTATTGAATCGGGCCAGTTTTCCCTAAAGGAGAAGGCAATGTGACGACCTGGACGTATATGGATATTATACTTGACAATAGGAACAGAGAGGGCCGTCGGGATAACAAAAGAAGGCCATGTTGATCATATGATATGGGGTATACTCCCTTCATACCCTTGCGACTGGCCTTGTGATATAGTAATAAACGTACTAGATATCCTGCCACCAGCGACCGGAGAATTCCAATGCAATGCTACTTGACCATCGAGCTGAGCACTATCTAGCAGAATTCCCAGCATCTCGTATCATGAAACAGCACGTGTTTTGACACCTCTCATCCCGATCCCACTGGGCCACCCTGATCTGTGCTACACACTACCATACCTCAAATCCAGATCTAGTAGCCACTTTCTGCACTTATCTAGTGTCATAGTCAGTGGCAAATCCCAGATACGGTATAACAAGTCTAGACATGTAGATCAACACATCAAGCAACGACTAGTCATCTAGTATCTCACTAGTCAAGTCCGCAAAATTGGGATGTGCGCATGCAACCAACCATTCCAGAGCATAGCAACCAACAGTTCTTACAGGATTCTATGTCCTTTCAAGTTTCGAGAAACTTTTACATGGGCGAGCCTAATAAAATTCCAATTCCACTTTCAGTTTCCATTTTCGTCTGTTGAACACTTGAGAGGGGGTAGTTTGGTCACGGCGGCTACTGAAGCTCCAATAATTCGGTCGAACCGGAAATCCCTCGCAGCGCGACCAAACACCAAACCGACCACAAAGTTTGGTGGGAGGGATGATTTGATTGGTTGATCATGACGTTTCAGGGGGAAGATCGGAGGGATCCACTTTGTGGGGAGCTCTCTCATCACAAACAGGATTTCTAGTTGATAGGTAATGAAGGTTTCTTGTTGGCGGAAGGTAGACTACGCGTAGATAGGGCATATTCGGTAGTAGGCAAGGTTCATCTCGCATTCAGATTGCAGTACATCACATTTGGGGTTCTTTTTTTATCCACAGGAAGGGGGGCAGAAAATCGCTAGGAGGACACCGAGTCAAAAAAAGGAGTATTCACAATTGTAACGGGGTCGCAACTTTGCACGTTCCCTTCTTCCGAGGGTCCAACAATAAAGAAAAAGGGACAAGCATACGTAAACCCTCCGCGTACATACAAGACAAAAAATCCCCTTGGATAGTATAATCCTGGCCAAGGGGGTTGAAGGTCCCAAATGCTAATCCCCACCTCGGAAAAAGTACCCGGTCAAGCGGGAAGATGTCGATCAGGTTTGGAACATGCAAAGTCGCTGAGAGAAGCGAAGATAGTATGATAAACAAAAGTAACACAGTGTTAGAAAACGAATGCAGGCTTCGCTAGACATCGAGATGTAACATGCATCAGAACTATCCCAACAGATAGCCCGCAAGAAAGATGGGAGCGGCTTTCTGGCGGAGAAGGAAACAAAGAGGCACGCTTAGGCAGTATAGGTGCCTGCAGTACCGGGAGCGAGGACGTTGTCGCCGTACTGTCCGTCGACGTTGCCGGCGGGAGAGTAGTTGCAGACGGTGAAGGGCAGGGCGGAGCTGGAGTCGACGTTGCCCAGGCTGTTGCAGGTCACGGTGGCGCAGCCGACGTGAGTGGTGGCCTTCCAGACGATCTGGGAGAAGTGGCCCCACTTGTCGAAGTTGGTCATGCTAGGGTCGGAAGCGCCGTAGGGGGTAGGGAAGTATTCGATCTCATCGTTGTACATCAGGTTGGTGATCATGACGCCAACATCGTCAGCGCTGACACCGTAGCCGATGTTCTGACCGTAACCGCCGCCATCAATAGAGCTATACAAATCAGGTTAGAATGACTCGCAATCATGACAAGGGATCAATTGCAATGCAATTAAATGTGTACTTACGTATCGTGCTCGTACACACAACGAGCGGCCAAAGTCTGGGCACTGGCCTGGAGATCGGCAGACCACTCAACGGACGAGACGGAGTGGTTGCTACGGTGGATGTTGTGGTTGTACAGGACGGCAGACTGGTAAGTGTTGGTGGCAGTGGCGGTAGAGGCGGCAGTGGAAGCGCTGGAGGTTGAGCTGGAAGTAGAGCTGGCCAGGGTGGAGGCAGCCTCCACGGTAGAAGTCCAGGCAGTCGAGTAGGTGGTCGCGGCGGCAGTATCAACTGCGGCGGCAGCAGCAGCCTGAGTAGTGGAAGACACAGGCACGATAACGGTGGACTGGGCCAGCTCTGAGGACTCGGTCTCAGCGGCAGCGGCGACGGCGGCCTGGGTGGTGGTGGTCACAGTGTTCTGGATCTGAGCTTGCTGAGCAGGCTGAACAGTCTCGGTGACGGCGGCGGCAGTGACGGTCTTAGTGACGGTAACGGTAGTCCAGTCGGTCACATAGACATGCTTCTCGAAGGCATTGACGCAGCCAGCGGCGAGGGCAGCGAGGAGCAGAGTCGAGCGCATTGTGTAATTGATGGGCGATCACAGATCAAATCCAAGATAATGTGGAAAGTTGAGGATTGGAGTTATCGAGATGAGAGAACTTCCCCAGGAAGTTCGAAGTAGAGAGCGTGTGGGGGGTAAAAGGTCAACAACTGCAGATCGACTGCAGTATGAATTGACAAAAAAGAGTGTATGTACGCTTAAGGTTAAAGGAATGACAGGCCTGTACACTATTCAAGTGCCACGAGGCGGGAGATAAAGAAGTAAGAAGCGTGGAGGGGGAGGAGGAGGAGAGAGAGAGAAGAGAGATGGATGAGGAGGAGATCAAGTAGAAAGAGAAAGGGGAGGAGAGAGTCAAGTGGGGCCCAGTCAGAAAAGGTGATTTTAATTAGCGGAGATGAGCTCAGGACTGGCTTGCTTTGTGGTCGATAATAATTTTATGATCGTGACTTGTCTTGTCTTCATTAGATTGGAGTTCCATTCATACGCTGTCCATCCCGTCCCCTTTTATTGCTCACTCTCAGACGAGATGCTTTCTTCCAACCTCTCGATATCCGCGACACATTCCACATCGAATCCCGCCACTGACTGGCGTGGGACATTCTACATTCCAACGCGTCTGTCAAGCCTTTCTTATTGGCTCTTCCCCGGTCGCAAAGAAGGCTGGGTCATGAACGCCAGAATGGAAATTCTAGTGTAAATGATTCAATTCTTCAATTTTTCTCCGGGCGCTTTCTGGCCCAGCACCGATGAAGTCTGGGCTTCTCTTCCCCTGGGCGGATCCTCAATTCCACTTTGCTGGAGACTAGCGCCAGTCCTCCATTTAGAGGCTGCACTAGCGGCCGCGCGTACAGGGATTGCAATCTGATGGTCTCCTGAAGAACAAACAAAGAGAATTGCCATCTCTTCCAGCCAGAAAGAAGGAGAAAAGGACCCCCATATCGGATGGCCTGGACTAAGTGGATTCCATAACCCTCATCAACAAAGGCGTCGCTCATTCTCCATTCCCAGACAAGCTCGATCGAGATCTGTAACATGCAAAATCACCCAGACACGAGCCAGTTTCAGAGTGACTGGCAGCGCGCCAATCAACGCCTCCACGCAGGGGCCGTCTCCTCGGGAAATTACCCACTGCAACGGCGGCGCCGCTAAGAGACTTGGCTTCGAGTCTGGTCCATTCGGTCTCCATTCTTTGCCAGCCCGTCAATTTGGGATTGATTAAATCGTGGCCCGCTTCCTCTGTTTCGTGTTTCAGCCTCTGTTGCGCCCGTCGGGATTGTCCAGACTCGAGACCCTCGAATAGCCCCAAGTTCCAACCTTTTGATACTCAATCCCCCACAGAAGCTGTCAACCAGGCTTGAATGGTAGAAGCTATTGGGATTTACCGAAACAGGGTCTTTTTAGTTTATCTGCTGCAGGAGATCAAGAAACTGTTTAAAGTTTCACTGCCGCTCGGCTCTTAGTCGTAGTACAGTACATTGCATGCTGCACGAGTCGACGACCTGTCAACCCTACGAATGAGGCCTCAAATGACTTGGGCCCGCACAATAAATTTCACTACATAACGGTACATAAGGCATAATGAAAATGCGATCGGTAATTTCGGAGTGGACAAGGATTGCGTGAGCCACTCAGCATGGAAATGGGTCCGTGAGGTTTCGCTTGGCCCGTATACTTCCCGTTCCAGAACACAACAGTCTAGACAAACAATCATGGATCGACTCCATAGTTTGATCCCTCTGATCTTCACATCGGATCTTCGGATCATCATCGCAACCGTCCAGAACTCAAATGTACAAGGCAGCAAAGAGAAGTCAAATAGAGTACTACCGTTGCTCCACCTATTCGTATTATCCTTTATGCTCACAGCTCCACGTCACCCTTGGTTTTCAATCTCCGAGGCCCTCGCCAAGTTTCCAAGAACATCCCAAGAGCGCCACGAATTGGACGCGGTAGATTTTTTGGCTCTGGTAATTTAAAGGTGTAATAGGGGGAAATAAGCCACATTGAGGGGGGTGATCATTGCTATGTGATTATGTTTTGGCCCTGCCGCTCGCTTATACTTTTTCCTGGTTCCATGTTAAGGGGGAAGGACCGTGGAACAGAGTTACTCGTGTAGCTCTAAAGACGTTACTGTACTCTGTGTTGTTCGATATTATCAATTTGGCGACGAGCTTCTGTATATGCAGCTGCTTCTGCATTTTGTCTGGAATTGACCATTTACAGCTGCCCTTGGCTGTTGTACCTGCGGCAATATCGCTCCTGGCTGAGGTCTGCGAGTCTTTTTCAAAAGTGTTATTGCTTTCATGAATTTCACGCAGCCGTTGTAGAAATCATATTCTCGAGCTAGAGAGCTACTGTATTAGGCTGAGGATGCAAAGACCCTTGCTAGTTACATTTCTATCCCATCTACCAACACTGACAAGAGCCTTAAATCTGGCCTGCCCAATAGCATTGACCCCAGCATTCCGACATTATCACAAAAAATGACCTCAAATACTCCAAACAGAGCAGAACGATAAACACAAAGGAAATCCAAGCAGTCAAAAGTGAAATAGTGGAATATATGATCACTCTAAAGATCCACGATTCTACATCGGCCTGCCTCGCACACTAACAAATGATTTTTGGCCGGATCGCCAGCCTTTAACTCCTTGAAAAGGGAGTTTCGAGAATTCAACCAGAAGGACTGATTACCAACAAAGTCCTTCAAGTGTGAGGGTCGGATATCTACCAGCGATGCGACCGCAAGAGTTGGGCACAGGCCGGCACCGGCCTCCGCCCGAACTCTCTGCACGATGAGGTCACGCGCAGCCAAAGGCTCGTCCATTCGACTGAGAAGGCTGTCATCACGACTGGCAGATGCTTGAGTGACTTCAGCGGTGCTGAATACACCGGTCACGGTACGAGTGCCAATCTGCAGTCCCACGATAACATCAAGCAATCCGACGAAAAGGAACGGATGCTGCATGATTTCGACTGCAAAGGAGTTGCACGTCTGTTGTGCCAGGGTGCGGTAGGTATCCTCATTAACTAGAGCAGCCAGGCGCAGCAAGTTGCGAGCAATGACGGCATTGACGGATGGTGTCGCAGATTCAGTACCAGTCTTCAATCGGAACAGAGGACCCGGCATGCCCGGAGTCGTCTCGGACGAGGTATTATAGTATCCAGACGACGTTACGTCCGTCTTGGACAGGAAGTACTCATTGAGGTATTCTGTTCAAGAAAGTTAGTCATGGGAACAGTATCAATGATAAACGGGTGACTCACTTTGAAGACGCTCCGCAAACTGAAGATAGCTGTCGTCAAAGGTCGCCTCGTACATATCGAGGAGACCGCTAGTCAGATATGCATAATCATCGGCAAAGCCTGGAGTATCGCCGCGGCTACCATCTCGCCAGATGCGCCACAATTTTCCGGTGGCCTTGTCAAATAAATGCTCCTTGATAAAGCTGATAGCACGCGAGGCAGCCTCGCGACACTGCACGGCTTTGGAACTCTCAATCTCCCCAAACAAAACACTACACTTGGCCAGGGCACCGATCGCCAGTCCATTCCACGCGACAATGATCTTATCGTCAAGGTCAGGTCGACCCCTTGTTTTCTCACGGTGGTCACGGAGCTTTTGCTTGCCGCCCTTAATGATCCTGACCACCTCTTCCTCACTTAATCCAAATTCCTTGGCGAGCTTGCTCGGCGTGGCTTTGATAGACAGGACATTTTGATTCATGAACTCGTCATGAGGATCATGCTCGGCAGCGACGTTCCCGTCTGGCAGCACACCCCAGTGACGAGCGCACACCGGAGCGTCACGAGGGCCTAGAACCTGGGTGAGCTCCTTGAGCGTCCACACATAGAAAGCACCTTCTCGCTTCTCTGTGTCATTAGGACTGGGGTAGCTGTCGGCATCCTCCGAAGAGTGGAATCCTCCAGTCGGTGATTGCAGCGGGGTGGTTGTCAAGTAGGCAGACAAATCATACACGGCGCCCAGCAGCTCAGGATCATGTGTCAGCCGGAACGCATCAACATATACGTCCAACAGCTGCGCTTGGTCATATAACATCTTCTCAAAATGCGGCAGATTCCAGTCAGTGGTAACACTATATCGAGAAAATCCATGGCCAATATGATCCCGAATACCGCCTCGAGCCATGTTCACCAATGTCGTAACGGCCATAGCGGTCGCTTTCTCGCATTCTTCTCGCCCGACGACATCTCGGATCTGCTTCGGGTATGCGCCCAGTCGCAGCAAGAAGCCGAGATTGGAAGGAGTGGGGAATTTGGGCGCTCGACCAAAACCACCGTTGATGGAATCGTATCGCGACACGAAATGCTGATACGCTTCTTCCAAAAGCTCGATATCCAGATCCTCATCATCCTCACGGCCAGTAGGCTGGGAATGTGTGCCTTCTTCAGCAAACTCCCTCAACTGTTTCGTAATATCTTTAGCGCTCTCCAAGCAGCGTTGTTGCTGTGTCTGCCAGACATTGCTCAATTTTTCCAAAATCTCCACAAAACCAGTCGTACCCGGACCTTGCGATGTGCTTGAATTCGGACCTGGCCAGTATGTTCCTCCAAAGACAGGCTCGAGCTCCGGGGTAAGGAAGACGTTCAAGGGCCAACCGCCAGAGCCGGTAGTCGCTTGGACGTAGTTCATGTAAATGTCGTCAATATCCGGACGCTCCTCGCGATCGACCTTGATGGGAATGAAGGACTCGTTGAGAATTGCCGCGACCTCGGGGGACATGAACGACTCTTTCTCCATCACATGGCACCCTATGCACCGTTAGCACAGTTGCTCAGATATCTACCTGCGAAATTCTAGGCCCGATCGGTCACCTACAGTGGCATGCCGAGTACCCAATGCTGAGAAATATCATCCGATTATGCTTCTGAGCAAGCTCAATGGCCTCTGCATCCCAGAGCTGCCATGCGACGGGATTGTTCATATGCGCCCGCACCTAGTCGACCGTTAGCGTCACGCGGCTCCTTGAAAGGGTGGGGCAGACGTAGTCTGCGCATCTCACATAAGGCGATCTGCTCTGTTGCAGGCGGTTGACCAGCTTCAGTCCCGCTTCCGATGTATCGTGCTGCGACTGCATGCTGGGCGACGCCTTTAGAGGTGAGATTTCGAAAGTCTGCGGGGAGATTTCCAACACGTTATCTCTCGGCCCAAGTCGGAGGTGCTAACGGAATCCGGCAAGATAGGTCCCGAGCTAAAACAGGCCAAATACTACCCCGCGTACAAGTTTCGAGGGGTAATTCGAGGCCCGATCAGATGAATGATAAGAGTTGGGACGAGGGTCTCACAGGGTTGAGTGGGTGTACAAGGGCCGGAAGTGGGGGGTAGATGCAGGGAGGTCGGGGCTTCAGCTGAATGGCCTCGAGGTGCTTTGGGGGGGGGTTGCTTTTGGAGGGGGGAATGCACGGGAGATCGGCCCCGTACGTCATCATGTGTCGCGATGGTCACGTGGGTATACTGATCCGTCGATATACTTGTGTTTGACTGTTTACTACGGTGTAAGTATACACTATCTTGACTAGAAACATCTAGCAGTATTACTGGTAGTGCGTTGAGAGTTTATGATATTCGGTCGCTGCACTCTGAAGACACCTATTTTCTTTTTCGTACACATCATATCTTTAGTCCGGGGTATCAATGCAATGTCTAATCATCACCCATTAACTCGGCCAACTCCCGCTCCTCTTCTTCTGTGAGCATAGGCTCGGCATTCTGCTCTTCCTCTTCCTTAGGACCGTTTTTGGCTAGGTCTACCGCCTGTTGCAGCTCATCCGGCCGAAGAGACCACTGCCGAATGGTACCATCAATGGCCACACTAACGATAGTTGACCCAACTAGAGCTAGGGCAGTAACTTCCTCAAAATGCCCCGAGAATGTGTGATGGAGTTCGCCAGTCTAATATAGGATTAGCAAGCCTCCATAGCCTCAAGGCTTAGACGGAACACCTTACAGATCGATTCCAAACCCGAACCTCCTCGTCCCGACAGGCAGTCACCACCCAGCCTCCAGCCTCATAGACAAGAATATCTCGCACAAAATCAGGATGCTCCAAGGTGAGATTGGCTTTCCAGCCATCGGCTCGGACCAGACATTTAGCCGTCTTGTCAGCGGAGGCCGTCCACATATCACCATCTGCGTCGAAGAAGAGCTTGTTCACACTGGTTTCATGTGGAAGAAGGGGCTCCGCCTCGTCACCTCCACCAACGAGCTTGAATTGGCGGATCTCTCGGTCACTTCCGGCACTAAATACGGTCGCTTGACTTTCCTCCGTCTCGGGGTCAATGGTAAGATCCAGGATACCGCGGAGGTGACCCTTAAATGTCTCGGTCCGCTCGCCGCTGGCAATGTTGAAGACGAGCATTTTGGCATCGGCGCCTCCGGAGATCAACACATCCTGACCTTGAAGTCTCGCACTAATCACAGATTTGACAAAGTCACTGTGTCCTTCGTACCTCTGGCGAGGCTGTCGGGAGGCCACGTCCCAACTCCAGATGGTCTTATCCCAACAGCCGGCGAACAGCAGTTTCCCGTCCGGGCTGAGACATAGACTTGTCAATGGAGCTTCGGGGCCCTTGTATAGGGCCGCAGTCTCACCAGTCTGTAAGAGGTATTAGCCACTGGCTTGCTTTTACTCTGAGACCAAATATATGTCATTGAGTACTTACTGCCAGCACAACCCTTCTCACCACACCACTGCTCTGCGCAACGTAGACTGATCCCTGATTCCAAGGATCAGAAAAGACTGCTAGAATCTTGCTCTGTAACTTGATGGGATTGCCATTTTCATTCTGAGACTTGGCTTCTTTCCGCTCCTGCTCGTCCAAGGCAGCACTGTAAGTAAGGAGGGGAAGGGTCAGCCTGGAATGTTCTATATCGGAAACATCCAAAATAGCAATCGCTCCTTACGAGGTCTGGAAGAAGTGGTCTCGGTTCGTAGAGGTAGTCATGGTCAAGAGCCAAGCTTTCTCTCGTTTCTCTCTTCGTCTTAAATCGTCAAGAGGCTAAAGGAAGGTTGAAACTCTCGTCAAAAACAGCCTTCAACCCACCAAACGCCCGCGTGGAGAACTGCTTACCGAGCTTCTGCGGTCCGCCCTAGCCCGAATCCACCAAAACCACAGATTTTGCTTCCTCGCTCTTCTCTTCTCTTCCCATCTTACCCACTTTCCTCCACGTCACCGGATTCCCTCGCCCCTCCTAACTCTTTCTTCCGCTCCCATCACCCCTCCCCTCTATCACTTCGCAAATTACTCTCGTCGCGCGATCCCGCGCACCCCGCCAACATGGATATGAACCACTTGATAGGGTCAGTCGTCTACTGCTGCTGCAGCTCCCGGGCGGAACCAGGGTTTGTGTGGCTGGGTCTGGGATTAACAGTTTAACAGTCAGCGCTTCAACCTGATCTCCAAGAGCGAGATTCGGTATGTTCTCCCCGTTTTTTCCCCTGGTTTTTTAAGAACTCGCTGCTAATTAATCTCCCAGCTATGTCGGCACACTCCATGAGATCAACCCCGAAGCCTCGACGATAGCTTTGGAGAACGTTCAGTCCTTTGGTACCGAGGGCCGCCGCAAGAACCCAGCGGAGGAGGTCCCTCCCTCTTCGACCGTTTACGAATACATTGTCTTCCGTGGTAGCGATGTGAGCGACATCAGCATCGCCGACGAGGAGCCCAAGGAGACTGCACAGCCGGAGCCCCCTCGGGTTCCCGATGACCCTGCTATTCTTGGCGTAAGTTCCCGCAATTCACTCCTCCGTTCTTCGATTCTTCCCGCCTCTACACACGACATCCATCAGACTGCCCGCACCATCGCGGTCCGTCAATTGATCAAATGATGAAATATATTCGGATGTAAACTCACAGACCTGTTCGGAATGCGCAAAACCGTGTCGATATTTCCGTTGCCTTCCTTCTGATTGATCAATGTCCCCTCCTCATTGCTGCTCATGCCTTGCTATGCCTTGCTTCTTTCGGCTTACTGACAGTGAGGCAAATTAGAATGTGTCGCGATCGGGTCCTATGCCAAACCCTCCTCCCATGGGAGCTTCCGCCCCAGGTCTTCCTTCTCAGCCACCCTCTCAACCCCCACAGGGAGCTCAGCAGACGCCTCCTGGATACCCCCCACAACAGCCATTCCAGCAGCAAGGATTTTACCCGCCCTACGGACAACAACGCTTCAATGGTCCCCCACCTCCGTTCCCCCCAGGCCCCGGAGGTCCTGGTGGCTTCCCGGGCAACATGCCTTATGGTGCCCCTCCTCCCGGCTGGTTCCCTCCTCCCGGCCATGGCTTCCCTCCCGGCGGACCTGGTCAGTTCCCTCCCCAGATGCCCCTTGGTGCTCCTGGACAGCCACCCCAGCAGCGCCAGGGCCCTCCCGGTGCGCCCACCCCTCAGACCACCTCCGAGCTGCCCGGTGGAGATCAGAAGCCCACCAGCCGCAATGCAACTCCTGCCGCCCAGAATGCGCCTACTCCGCCCGTTGAGTCCAAGCCCCCTGTAGCCGAGGCCGTGCATGGATCTGGACCCGCCGCTGCTGCTCAGAAGTCTGGCCGCGTCATGCCAGCTATCCCAATGGCTGCGCCCCGACCTGTCGCTCCCGCCCACAGTGCCGCTCCTATCGACGCCACCGCCGCGGCGACTCAGGCCGTTGCGGCCGCGATGGCCAAGCTGCCTCAGCCCGGTGCTCAGAAGAAGCCCGGTCAGGACGCCTCCGTTGACGCTCTTGCTCGCAAGATGAACGATATGCAACCCTACAATGGCCCTCGTGCTCCTCGCGGTGGTCATCATCAACACCAGCAGCATCAGCAGCACCCTCGTGGTGGCCGCGGTGGTGTTCGCGCCCCACACAAGAAGATCGAAGTCCCCGAGTCCGACTATGACTTTGCAACTGCCAACGCCAAGTTCAATAAGCAGGATCTGATCAAGGAGGCTATTGCCACCGGATCCCCCGCTGCTGATGCCGAATCTCACGACGTTGCCCACCAGCCCGAGATCGATGCCAATGGCTCCGCGCCCGCAACTTCTCATAACCTCTACAATCGCTCTACATCATTCTTTGATAACATCTCCAGCGAGGCTCGTGATCGCGAGGAGAATTCTGCTCGCGTTGGCGGCCGCGAATGGCGTGGTGAGGAAGAGAAGCGCAACATTGAAACCTTCGGACAGGGTAGCGTTGACGGCTACCGCGGACGTGGACGTGGTTATGGCCGTGGTGGCCGGGGTGGTCGCGGCTATGGAGGTCGCGGTCGCGGGTTCAACAACAATCGTGGCTTTGGTGGCCGCGGTGGTTCTCGCGGCGGTCGTCCTCCCTCGCAATCTACCGGTGTGCCCTCCGAGGTCTAACTGAAGCCATCTACCATTCCGCACTTTTTGAAATGATTGCTATGCCTTTCTTTGTCTCTCTCTTCTCCCTTCCTCTCATCACCTCGTGGGTCAACCAGACCCGTGGACGAAATGATTGACTACGCTTGAATCTTTCTCGTTTCTTTGGCGCAATGGGAATAATCATGGTATGGGGCATCATGGGATGGCAATATGACAGTGACTTTTTTTCCCTGCGACAGCAACTGGTGTTTTATGTTCATGATTTTTTTGGCTTTCCGATCTCTTTTTTCTCTGTAAAGCATACCCCTTATTCAGCGTCGGCTCCTGATATCCAATAAGTTTTAGGCGGATATCTCCTCCCTTTTGTGTGATGGCTTTCCAGCTGGCGATGCGATGTGGGGAGACTCTGATGTGCACAATGTCAATCTAAGACACGGTGGTTCTTCGGTTGAGGTCGGCTCTAGTCTGAGGACCAGTCATTTTTCGTGCAAATGTATCATAAAGGATATTATTTTCTGGAGGACAACAACTCTGATCAACAAATTAAAAAGGAAAAAGAGACCGTTTTGGTCTATACACCAGTGTCTGTTTAGTCTATACTTTGTAGGTCGCTCTTTGAACCATCCAAGCTTTTTTAGCTGCAAGGTTACACGAAGCTAGTATTCCTTCTGATCCTTGCTGCAGGCGCTTAATTCTCTGCAGGATGTTGGACGTCATAGTGGGGAGAAGATGCGGAGAAGCACCACCAACCTCTCCGCCCGGTTTGAGTCGTCCGCAAGTGATTTATGTTAGCTAGATGCTACCATAGCAATCCTATCCCGAAGGCATGGACGATAGCATCTAATATCGAGTAGATAGAGCATCAACTTGAGAGATATCACCGGTTCGACAATCCCAAAAAGCTGGCTCGAACAGACTCGGCAAGTATAGCCTCGGGAAATCCCCCATGCAGCTCATGGAATAACCCCCACACATCATCTATCCTCGGCTGAAGACTACTCAGTGAAGACGAACCTTCTTCTCCCCGCACTCCATAGCCGATAGATCCACTTATACCTATAAACGAGTTTGTTACACGCGTCCTTATTTCCTGGGCCTGCTCAATTTGAGTTTCTGTTTCCACTGATTCGTTCATATATTTCAACCACGATGGCACCCCAAACTTCCTCTAAGAGACTTTCTGCGATATCTGGTCATATAGGTCAACAAAGATCATCTGATACAATGACCGAGACTACCCAAGATCCGGGCCAGTTGCCCTGGAATCCTAATTGTACCAAGTTCCCTTCGCAGAAGGACTTACCTCGGTTGCCTGGTGCACCAGAGGGTGCAGCTTGGGTATGGGGAGAAGATGATCAGGTATAGCTGTACAATGGTCAATTGATTTTATATCGACACGCTAATGAGAGTCAATAGCTTGGAAGATTGAAGCTGTTGACACCGCAGCGGGTCAAGGCGTCTGCGCAGGAGATACTCACTGGAGAGATGGTGCGATTGGAGTAAGCTCAGAGAATGTCTGAAGCTACATTGGTAGTCCTCTATTGACGAGTAAACAGTCTTCCTCTCAATGTGCCCGAGAAACCCGCTTTCAATCGCGAAACTTTCCAGCATAGCTACAAGACCATTGCCGAGGATATCTCCTATGATGACTGCTACTCTCTGAATACGCAGAGCGGCACTCAATGGGATGGCTTCCGCCATGTAAGTCTGAGATATAAAACAGGAATTGCAAGCTCAATCACTGACTGGGTTCAAGTTCTCCCACATCCCTACTAAGCTGTTCTATAACAAGGTAATCCATCGCCATAACTTCTCAAGCTAGCTTTCGAGCTAACACTCACAGGCCACCAGCAAAGACTTCTTCGGTGAAAGCCCAAACCTCCGCTGCAGTATCCACCACTGGGCAGAACACGGCATCGCCGGCCGGGGCATCCTACTCGACTATCGCCACTACGCCCTGACTCACAACAAGCCATACGACCCGTACACATCCCACGCCATTACTCTCGATGAGCTAAAAGCCTGTGCCGCCTCTCAAGGCCTCGACATCCGCCCCGAATCCGAAGGAGGCGACATCCGTGTCGGTGATTTCCTCCTAATCCGCTCCGGCTTTGTCGAAAAGTACCACCAAATTAGCCCAGAAGAGCGCTACACAGCCGCGACGCGCACTCACGACGACCTTGCCTTTGCAGGTGTCTCCCGTGAACAGGCTGTGCGGGACTGGCTGCATGATTGTTACTTTGCGGGCGTGGCGGGTGATTCGCCGACGTTCGAGGTGTGGCCTGTTCCGCAGATGGACTTTTTGCATCAGAGCCTTCTGGCGCTTTGGGGTTGTCCTATAGGGGAGATGTGGGATTTGGAGAAGTTGGCGGAGAAGTGTCGGGAGCGTGGGAAGTGGACTTTCTTTATGACGAGTGCTCCTGCGAATATGCCTGGTAAGAACCACCCCTACTCCAATTTAATTGTGTATCACGCTAATATTAGTGATGTTTTAGGTGGAGTTGGTTCGCATGCAAATGCCACTGCTATTCTGTAGATAGGGCGCCGGCTTTTATACGAATGGAACTGAGTTTGGAATTAATTATTTCAAGCCAATATAAAAACATATCAATCCTCTAAAAGAGTTGCAAAAGGGCCATCAATGCTAGTTAAAAATAACAATAATGGCTTCGCTGTCTGGTACAACGACTGCCACCTGACCATTCTCGGCCTTCACAGTCTCCTGGATAACATGGCCAGTAGGAATATGTCCCAAGCCCCGATCAACGGTATAAGTCCATTGTTCTCCGGCCCATGTTACATTATCGTCAGCGTCACCGAGATCCAGTCCCATCGCTGCAGCCCCATTCTGCGCATGTAAACGCCTGATCGTCGCAGTATGAACACCATCACCAACATCAAGGCTAACCGTAGCATTCCCCCTTTTAGGACCCAAGCCTTGGTACCACTCTTTCAGGTTCACCAAAGCAAGGCGTTCTATCACCTTGGCCTCCTGGTTATACATAGCATAAGCACTCAACAAGTCTGGTTTCCCAGGAACGTCGATCTCAACCACTTTCCCCACCGACCCGTTACCAACAAAATCAGCAATAAACGGCGCAGAAGCAAAAATGCCATGTACGACAGGGCCTTTCGTCTTGCTCCCTCCAGAGTTATCCGGTATCCAGTATGAATGTGTAGCTTCGGGTCGCATGGTGTTCGAAATGCGTTTTACCCCGCGAGTCATGGCAAGGAGGTGGAAATCCACTGCCCAGAGGGCGGCGCCGAAGGACGCAGAGAAATTTACGGGCTGGGCACCGATGGCTGAGCCGGTTTCTGATAGGATGTAGGCAAGGTTGTTCTCGTTATCGTTGATGTATTTGATGCTTTTGTCGATAGGGGGGAATCGAGATGTGATGGCTGTGTGGTTCATGAGGAGCGCTGTTGCAGAGGTGTAAGTTAGTTGTGGTATTCAGTCTGAATGGATCACCATTGTACGTACCCTGCCTTTGGTCTGGGCTCGGGTCATCCTGTCCGTCAATCTGATAGAAGTGCTGAGCTGCATATTTACCAAACCCATTCTTGTTTATACCATCTTTAAGAATGTCTGTCCTGTGTTGATCAATCAGGGTTAGCATACATTCAAAATAGAGGCTGAGACTTAAACTCACAGTCCCCAGTTACTACCCTTCTTGATTACAGAGTTCGGAATATCGCCCAGTTCAAAGATACTCTTCTCCGCACCTTCGAGCCCGAGCTCCTTGATGATTTTGTCCTCCAACCCCAATGCACGAGATATGTAATCTTTCATATCATACTTGTAATAATCCGGTTCATTACCCAGCGCAATCCCAGCAATCCGATCCTGACCGAGTGCTTTGGCCGCATTGCGCACGTAGTCCATCGACGCAATGGTCCAATTGCCGGGTTGTGCTTTGGGATAAATAGGAGCTTGGAAAGTCATCTGCGTTTTGCTGAACCATTTGAAAGAATCAAAGTAACTCGGTCCCAGGGTGTAGGTATTCTTGCTTGAATGCGAACACTGGAATGGGCCTTCGCAGTGTGTAGGCTCCGTTTGGCTTTTGTTGAAGCGAACTAGGTCACCCGAAGTTCCTCCGACACGAAGGATCATGGGTTTACTCATACGTGAACCAACTGAGTTGACTAGGTTCTGTGAGAAGTCGTTGCAGAAATGATTTAAGAAAGCAGTTTCGAATCCAAAACTGAAGAAGTCTGCGGGCACGGAGACAGCGGAGTCTGGTGTTTTAGTGTTGATGTGGAGAGTGTAGTCCGAATTTTGGTTACTCGATCCGTAGACAAGAACCGCGTAGAACGCGGGCAGGAGTATTTTCGAATGCATTGTAGACCATGAGACAGTGCAGAACCTAGCATCAGTGAATGAGGTCGGCATAATCAATCGTATGCAAAATATCGGATACTTATATGCGGTCATCTTATTGCTTCCGTATTATTTCCATGATATGTGGATAATAAGATATGAGAAGTACGTATCTCAGCTGGCGAGGCTTAGACAACGATGAGGTCATGGTCTGTTAACAAGACAAAAGCTATACCTATCATGAAGAAGGAAACTAACATCCAAGTCAGTAGATTCCTATTTCTGAAATCAAGTAACGTAATTCTGGGGCCGAAAAGAGTTGAATCATGCGCTTGGCGGATGGCCTATTTCCCGCAGATCTTAACATCAGCCTCATGGCTTGGCTATGGTTGATCGACAATTGCCGTATCATAATGGCAGTGCTTTGATGATCAACCGAGGCCATGTAGAGCCTGAAGGAGATGATTGGCAGGGCTCGCTCTTGGACCCGGCATTTCTCGAATCGGCCCCAGCGCGGTAGACCCTAGTTCTGGCCTGGACCTTGAGGCTGAATGTCTGCACCTTTAATTAGACGGCGAGGGCTCTAGGTAGAGCACATTCGTGACTGTTAGTTGAGTATTGCGCTCCCCTTCCCGGTATATTCATGTTGAATGCTGGGAAGGTCTCAACATGGATCGATAATTGATGTACGATAGCTCTGCTGAACAGGACATCGGTATCAGTATTAGCAGTTCAGAGTGATTTAGAACAGCAACTTCAATTATTAATCAAATGCTGAGCTCTATGTCTATACCCTGCTGTATCCATTTCATACATCCATATCTCGACGACCGGCAGGGTTCTGACTATATCCTGTCCTCCAATAGTTAAAATGTTGACCCATAACACTTTATGAGTCTCGTCCAAAGACAGTATCTAGTGCTCCTTAAAACAACAAGCAGTGCGACTACTACAGCGGCATATAGAACTGCATGAGGCTAGGTCACTTAAGCACCTTTATACGCGAGAGCTCGGCTTGAGACTTGTGGAAGCAGATCCCGAAACATAAGGCCCCCAGCCGGCGTTGACGTGTCACAAGTAGTTTCCGGCCTAATTCTAATCCTTGCAGCAGAACATGATATCTGTTTCAACAATAGGGGACCTCACATAAGACTGGAGAAGTCCCAATCGAATTAACCATGACAAAAATTCCTATACATTCGGTGTATCTGTACATGCAGATCGTGTCTAATTGGTTATTATGGATACGGGTTTCTCATTTGCATGCTTCACCCGACTAGAATACTGCAAAGGTGTTGGACGAAAACATCAAAAAGAATTTTGAATTAGCATATTAACTTTGCTCTGACGGCTACAATAGACCAATGCTCAAGTCCCCGTGAAGGTTCGGCGAGGAATGTGAGTTATTGCCTGAGGCAGAGTCCAATGTCGATCATTACCCCTTCCCCTCCGTTTTTGGTAATTCTCCACCGTTCAAAGAGGGAAACTGCGGAGATCCTTCGAAACTTTCTTTTCTATGCTTGGAAAAGTATCTTGGGTCAGGTGAGATGTGCTAGAACCCTTTCTCCCAGAAGAAGAGAAGAATGTCCGCAAGCCTGGGCGTTGCCAAAACTTATGATGTCTCTTGTCTTGGTGGTTAGTTAATTAGGTGGTTGAAAGCCGGGATTATGTCAGAGCCGAGCTCGGAAGCCAAAGCCCGTGTTTCTCCCGGATAAATTCAAGATCCTTGATAATGCAGACTTATAGAGGAGGCTCCTAAGAAATTCTCCTTCACGCGCTTCAAAAGATGAGCCACATGGCCTGACCAGTCGAATGTTGCGGGCCAATTGGATGAGAAGATTATTCCCGGCTAAGAAAATGATGCATGGCGAAAGACGTCAGTGGAAGGAGGGATCTCCCCCTTGCTGTTGGATAGACTCGATTTCAAATGTAACCTAAGTTCAGCCACCAAGCCACCTTGAAACGCCTATCTGCCGGAAACCAGCGATCCAACCGAATCACCAGAGTAATGTGCCGTTCGCTGATGTCCATGCTGCCAAAGGCTCCATGGTTTGGGCAAGTCGGCACGGCCAATGCATCCAACCCATCGGAATCAAGGGATGAGTCTGCTTCAGGGTTTAGGCATAAGGAGCAGGTTGCTTTAAACGCCCCATGAAGGTTGTGTTGCGCCGTAACACCCGGGCGCGTGTTGTAGGATTGAAAGTCGAATCAGTCGATGGAGCAGCCTCAGCAAGCCGGAAAAGGCGTTCCGGTCGAGACTCCAGCCAATGGAAAGCTGGCAGCGAGTTGCCCAACCTAAGCTCTTGGCCTCGGACTTGACCTGAAGGACTCTTCCTTTGAATCCCCCCCGCATACGCTTTGAGCCCAAGTCGGGTGTGGGGCTACGGGGAGTCCATCCAATCCTGAACCACATGGCTCTCCGTCGCCGGACAGGCAGATGTCGAAACATCCACGTTGTTCGTTGATCGAGGAATGTGGACTCGGAAGTCAATCGGGATATCAAAGCATGAAAAATCTAGAAAGCTCCGTTAGCAAACTCTTTTCAATATTCCTTCTTGCCAGAAATCAATATAGGCAAACCCTAAAAAATGGCGCAATTATACAAGGATGGGGCGCCCGGTGGCTTATCCTTGGCTGACTTGGGCTGACGGGGTCGTGCTCCGATCCTCCAGAATACTTTCCTAAAGCTGACCAGAGTCCAGCCCGTGCGGGGACTGAGAGAGGCAATCCATCCAGTAGAAGGCTGTACCGAGATGGTGCCAGTGTGACTGTCGTTTCCGGTCTTCACTTTGGTCTGTACGGAGTACGGGCGTAGAGCAATGCGCTTTTACCCCACGGGGCGGCCTGGTAAAGACCGAAGCTTTAAATGCAGTGGAGTCGCCGATGTTTGTTCCTCCCCACGGGGTTTTGCGCGCCGACTTGTAAAGTGAAGAGAAAAAAAAAGAAAGATTTGGAGAAGCCTTTCACTGCGTTTGCTTTTTCTTAGAGCTGCAGCTTCACCCGGCCTACTTTTTCCAACCTGCTCTTCCACCTTCTTAACTGCAGCTTTCGCAACTTCCCATTTCCTTAACAGCATCTTCTCGATACCACCGCTTTGGCAACACCTCGCCCAATATGAATGAAAAGGAGGAAAAGGTCCTCACAGGCAAGGACCCTCTTGCCCACGATGAGTTCGTGACCGAGCCTGCGCCCACCAAGGCTGAGGAAAGACGGCCGTCCGGTCATGCTACTGCCCTGAACATCGTCGTGAACCCTCTCAAGGTAAGCTTTGCCAAGCTTGAACTCCAAGACTGAACTTATCACGCAGCTTCGAACACCCCATACTGACCATTTATTTCTACTCAGCGCTTTGCCAAGGAGCAAGTTTACGAAGATGCCCGCGGATTCGCTGAGCAGCACGGCATGTCCGAGGACGCCGACCTGTTCGGCCGCGCTGCACTCGTTGCTCGGAGCCCCAAGTACTTTGAAGACATTACTGAGCTTACCGATGACGAGCGCGCAGCCCTAATCTACGAGCGGGACCACAAGTGGCACGGCCCGTACATGCTGTGGTACTCGATCGCGTTGTGTGCCGTTGGTGCTGCTACACAAGGTTGGGATCAGACTGGTTCCAACGGAGCCAACTTGTCCTTCCCCGAGGCACTTGGTATTAATGGCACGGGACGTGATGAATGGATTGTCGGACTCGTCAATTCCATCATTTTCTTGACTGCTGGTCTCATGTGAGTATCATGATCCAGTCTTGCTTGTTTCAATTTCCATGGACGGAAGACTAATTTTGCGTTTAGCGGTGCATTCATTGTCGATCCCCTTAACCATTACCTTGGTCGACGTGGTGAAATCTTTTTGACCGCTGCTTGTCTCACTGCTACCCCTATCGGTTCCGGATTCGCTCAGACATGGCAAGGACTGTTTGCTGCACGGTTCGTCATGGGGATCGGTATTGGCGCGAAAAACGCCACAGTCCCGATCTACTCGGCTGAGATGGCTCCTCACCGTATTCGTGGTGCTTTGGTCATGTTCTGGCAGCTTTGGGTTGTGGCTGGAATCTTCTTGGGTTTCTGCGCCAACGTTATTGTCAAGGACACCGGAGCTCTTTCGTGGCGTCTCCAACTTGGCTCGGCTTTCATTCCATCTTTTATCCTGATGATTGGAATTTTCTTCTGTCCTGAATCTCCTCGTTGGCTGATGAAGCATGGCAAGCATGCTCAAGGTTTCAAGTCTATGTGCCGTCTCCGAGCTCATCCCATCATCGGTGCACGAGACTTTTACTACTCGTGGGTTATCTATGAAGAGGAGCTGAAGGAGGCGCGTGGTGCGGGCTACTTCTCCCGTATGCGGGACTTGTTCACCGTGCCCAGAATTCGACGGGCCAACTACGGTGCCTCGACTGTCATGATTGCACAGCAAATGTGCGGTATCAACAGTAAGTGGATCGTCGTTCTCAATTGATGGTCGCATCTGACAGCTTGCAGTTATCTCGTTCTACAGTTCGACTATTTTCGAGAATGTCGGCTACACGCCAGTACAGGCATTGTACGCCTCCCTCGGATATGGTGCCATCCAGGTTGTGTCGACAATCCCCACCTTATTCCTGATCGATACAAAGGGTCGTCGAACTTTGACCCTGATTGTGAGTTATTATCTTTCTTTAAAGTATAGCTAGGATGAAACTGACCGTTTTTTCCTTGAAGACTTTCCCCTTGATGTGCATCTTCCTCTTGGCTGCTGGTCTGTCTCTTCTAAACTCGGACGATGACCGAAGCCGAGGAGCGCATATTGGACCGGTTGCGCTGTAAGTTCTCCAGGTATCGTGGTTCGCGCGGCTTTGTTTGCCTGACTCGTCAAAGGTTCATCTATCTGTTCACAATCTGTTACTCGCTGGGTGAAGGTCCCGTGGCCTTCCAGTACTCTGCCGAAGTCTTCCCTACGATCCAGCGTGAGCAAGGCATGGCTTGGGCCGTCTGCATCAACAACACCTTCGGTAAGCCCACCAGGATCTAACCCATGAAATTCAGTTTGGCTAATGTTATTTACAGCTGGTATTCTTAGCTTAACTTTCCCTCGCATGAAGACTGTCATGACTCCCACTGGAGCGTGTAAGTGTCCACCACCAAGTACCTGTTGTGATAGCATACTGACCGCAGCTATAGTTGGCTTCTACGCCGGTCTCAACCTCATTGCTTGGTTCATGATCTTCTGCTTCGTCAGAGAAACCAAACAACTCACCCTGGAAGAGTTGGACCGTAAGTGACAACCCGATTTACATCACCATGACTCCCGCTAACATTTTTCGCAGAGGTCTTCTCCGTCCCGACCAGCAAGTTCATCAGCCATGAACTGACCGTCTGGCTGCCATACTTTATCAAGCGCCACATTTTCCGCCAGAACATCCCCAAGCCACCAGCGATCATCGCCACTGCCGATGAGGCCGAGGGTAAGGATTCAAGCTGAAACCGTTCGAGCGGAATACAAAGAAGGAGGTTATGGGCTTAATTGGGCGGATCGGATGTCCGATCTTGTATGAATCTTCTAGAGTCAAGGAGGATCTGTGAGGATGTCTATTCACTTGTGTGTCACATAATGGCTGGTTCATGCCAGCTGCCGCAAGTGTACGAGTGCTATCTAGATATCCTCGCACTTTCTCGTTCCTCTAACTTATGCTTTGCTAGTTTCTTGAACGCCACTACATTGTTTAATTTTGTCTCTTATTATTTGAGTGTAGCAGAATCATCAACAGTTTTAAAACAAATTTGTTCGTTCCTAGTGTATAAATTTCTGCTATAAATACTGAAATTATCCTCACCAAAGCCTCCTCCTCGTTGAACCCCAATCCTGATCCACCGACCGCCACCCCTCCTGCGACTCTTGCCAGGCTTTATACAAAACAAACGGCTCAGGATACATATCTCGCTTGCTGCGAGAATGAACAGGGAACTCCTCTGCTAGCTTCACGATATACTCGGGAGCAAAGAGTCTAGCAGCTTTCAAATCCTCCGGGTAAGCACGAGCCCCATGGCTCAGTAATGCCCTCATAATTCCAACATGGCGATTCGCGATTACTACCCCCACTGCACTTTGACGAAGACTTGGCAAGTCAACGTTCGCTCCGCATGCTAGAAGGTGGGTGACGATGTCTTCCTTGTCGCGGTTGATGGCTTCTAGAAGGGCTGCTTCCTCGTTGAATCCTGCATTGAAGAGGATTTGGAATATTGCTGTATCTCCGGTCGCTGCTGCTTCTTCCAGGAGGTTGATTGGGCATTCGTCCATCTTGTGTTTGGCGAGGAGCATTTCTAGTGCTATCTTGTTTCGTTGCAGGATGGCTTCAAGGACGTGTCCATTATCGATGTCGGCTCCATGAGCTAAAAGGGTCATACAGATCTCGTTGTAGTTCTTATCAAGGGCCGTATACAAAGAAGTTTCCTGGGAACTAGAAAATCCCGAACCAAGGTTCACGTCTGCGCCATGGTTAAGCAAATGATTCACCATGGCTAGATCGCCGTGACTGACTGCAACTGATAACGCGGTTGATTCATAACCTCGTCCTGGTGAATTAAGAGCTTTCCGAGGCGTATGTCGTTCCACATATTTATGGTTGATCTGTGCTCCTAAATCGAGGAGCATTGATACAAGTGCTATGTTTCCAGAACCAGCGGCAAATGGAAGCAACGATGAAGCATAGTCCTGGTTATTTGGAGTATTTGGCAGTAGATATTCGACCACTTGCATGTGTCCGTTCATCGCAGCCTCTTTGATAGGTGCTAGGGTGAAATTGGTGTCAAGCCTGGAGACCTTCGACCCTCCCTCGTTAAGCAGAACCTCGATAATTGAGAGAAATCCATGTCTCGCTGCTAGATGTATAGGTGTTTCACCCAGATTGTTCTCAAAGTCTGATCCTGCGCCCGCGTTGAGAAGATACCGGACAAGCTCCGCATGGCCATACTCCGCTGCATAAAGAATAGGATGCTCCATAAAACATGAACACGGGCTTGGAATTGTAAATCCAGATACTCGCGGGTGTTCCTCCTTATGGACGGGTCGATCTTTCACGGGATATCCCTCTTTGATGAATTGAGCTATCGCAGGGGTTGACCCTAGCTTAGCTGCTTGGAAAATACCATGTCCATCGTGATAGTTCAGGTTATGTCGATATAAGAGGTGCTTCAGCAGAGAATAGAAGCGGTGGCTAGTGCGTACCAGTGCGTGGATGTCTGTTTGGGAATGTAATTGCTGCCCAATTAAAAGTAGGGCTTCGTTTGGAATGGTTGAGATGGACATTTTCAAGCAAGGTATAATGCTAATTGAGATCGGTTCGAAAGGAACTAGGTGCTATCATTTACCTCGTAGGGGATATAGACATTGGCAAGTCGCTCGAAGGAGAGGATGAATACAGTTCAGGGCATGACAGCTGGTAGCAGGGCGTGATCAATTGAGGTGCAAGAACAAAGCAACACGGTCGGCCACAAGGTCTGAGTTTAGAGTAGACACAATATCGCTTGTTCTGCAAACATATGTCATATCCTATGGATCTGGAAGGAGTACTCGGCTCAGGTCGAACTGGCCTATTCAGTGAACAATTGTACACAATTCAAAGACACAAACAGTGCAAACAGTGCAAACAGAAAATAGGGGCTCAAAATGAAATCCAATAGAATACCGTACAGTGCTACAGTAGAGTCCATATAACACCGGGAATCCCGGCCCGCAAGCTTTTCAGCCCCCACTTTCCCTGATATTCAGGGAATCAGGGTTAAGAACGGATACATCCATATATCTTCTTTGTCCGTTTCCGAGCTCCCTCTGGCTAATTCCGGACAACACTAGACTAACTTTGTACCTAACCTCCGTCAAACCCCATATTATTCGTTCGGCTGCGCTCGCACGGAGACCGCATGATGCCTAATTCTCACCATTAGCCTGCCTCTAGGTCTACATGGGAAATTACCGGTTCACGATGATTGGCCCTTATCGGTTGTGGAGAGACATACTTTCAAGACTAAAATCCACCGGTTCGCTGAAGGGTCGCTAAGAGGTAGGATCGGGATCATTAGTAAAGTCTTTAGCCCTGGTAGTGACTCAAGTGCAAATAGGCAGTGAGGCTGCTCGTACTGTACACAGCCTGCTTATTATTTATCCCTTACCCCCCATTTCTGTTTAATTTTTTTTCCATATTCTAAGCTTAGAGAACTTGCATACTCTTTTTTGTCTCGTTGCCGGTCTACCTGACCTATTTTACGATATATCAGCCAGCTATACCCGGAGATCTTCACGATCGGCATCCGTGCAGCGTTGATCATGCGCGGAGCCTCCATCCTGTCGCTAGCTGCCGTGGCTCTGCCATGTGCTAATGCCATTACACTTCATAAGCGGGACGATCCTGCCGTATTCGGACTCCCAATTGCCCGCAGTGAACGGTCCCAAGCTCTACAGAAACGCGATTCGAAGGTTGCCAGCACGGCTCTTTACAATGTGGTATGAATCCGACCCCATTCTAGTGATTGCAGGTTGCGGGAGAGAGAAAATAACTAGTGCACGATTCCACGATGACAAATCATACTAAATACCTGAATAGCAAAACATGTATTACATGGTGAACATCACCGTCGGCACCCCCGCTCAAAATGTCTCTCTTAGTCTCGATATCGGCAGCAGTGACATCTGGGTTAACGTCCCCAACTCTACCTACTGTGCGGCTGACGATGATCCCTGCACCTCGACCGGGGTGTTCGACTTGAAAAAGTCCTCCACCTTCAAAATGCTCGATTATGATATGAACGCCACCTATGGGGTCGGGTCATTTTTGGCTGCAGGTCCCTATGCCACTGACACGCTGACTATTGGAGGCGCCACGGTGAAAAATATGGAGTTTGCATTGGCTGAGCAAAGCCGCAATCCTCGTACGTTTATGGTTCTTTGTTCCCTTGATCCGAAAAGTTATCATCTAGCTAATGGCGAGGTTATGTGTAGATGGCATCCTAGGAATCGGATATTCGATTGCTACTGATGCCGCCGCCAACCTTGGCAAGAACTACTCCAACCTTCCCGAAGCATTGGTCAACAGCGGTGCTATCAAGTCGGCTGCCTATAGTCTGTGGTTGAACAAGTATAGTGGCACCGGAAACCTTCTCTTCGGAGGAGTTAACAAGGCACAATATAAAGGCGACCTGCAGACTGTGCCTGTCTTGCCAGTCTATGGTCAGTATCGTTCCCTGGCCATCGCCTTGACAGATATCTCTGTGAAGGGCACCAGTGGCACCAAGAGTTATACGACAGGCCTGCCCTTGGCCGTCAGCTTGGATAACGGAAGTCCTTTGATCGCACTGCCTCAGGAGCTCCTGGACCCCATCTTCAAGGAAGTTGGTGCGGGATACTCTTCGACTGCCGAGGCCGCCTATATCCCCTGTGACCAGGCCAACGCCGATTACAATGTGACCTTTAGCTTCTCGGGCGCCACGGTCACGATTCCCCTCAGCGAACTAGTGTTTGCAGACTACACCGAGACCGGGTTCCCCAAGAACGCCTGCCTCTTCGGCCTTTCCTACAGTCAACCCGGACTGAATCTGATGGGCGACCCGTTCCTGCGTGGTGCCTATGTGGTCTACGATCTCGCCAATAACGAGATTTCACTCGCAGATGCTAACTACGACGGCGGCAAGGATGACATTCTCGAGATTGGCACGGGTACAGCTGCTGTCCCGGGCGCGACACTCATGCCCTCTGCTGTCACTTCGGCGACGGGCAATGGGGCTGCTGCAACCGGCACAGGCTCGACCTCTGGGTCTCAGGGAACCACTGTTTATGTCACTGGTTCCGCGACTGGAACGGTCAAGAGTGGTGGTGCTACTAGCACCTCCTCCAAGGGTCTGGCAGCGTTGCCCACCGGCAGTCCTAACCTGCTGCCCGGTATCTTGGGCGCTGGCTTGCTACTGGCATTGTAGGCCATGTGATTAGGTAGCCAGTTTTTAGTGTCATATATATAACATGATTAAAGTACTTTTGTACCTATCTTCTACCTCGATGAAGATTTAATGAACATAATGTATCTCATTATTGACTCGCTCGCCGTGATTAATGCTCATTTGGCTTCCATACGTTCATGCTTTGATAGACGGAATTCAAAGGAAAGAACATGGTGTACATCAACAGAATGGGACAAAAAGATATGGGGATGGAATATAGATATAGGTCAGTCGAGTTGCACCGTTAGGAAGGGCAATATAAAGGAAAGAAATAGCTATTGCTATGTCTACGGCGTTCTCCCTGTCCAACATGATTGCAACTCAGCTTATCTATGATCTATTCTTGTTTGATGGAGGAAGTACAGCTAAATATTCTTCTCTTCGACGGATGACATTGAGCCAATAATGTTGATAGATCCAAATAGGGTCTATATCCCTCGTAGCAGGGAACCCCCAATCTTGTATTCTACCCAGGTCATATCATATATTATTCTAGTCTTGAGGCATGATTCAAGAATTAATGACAGTATTCCCAAATAAAAAGTATGCACCTATTCCCTCAAAGCTCGGTAAAGAACCATACACATCAATGATGTTACCTAACTTGAGCGCTGGTCATCCCTTCCGAGAGAGTATAGTGCTAGTTACGTGGATTCTGTAACTCGGGACGAGATAAAACTTGCTCTCTATTCCATGGAGCTTTGGTTCTGTGCCTCTATGTCGGCTGAGACAGACGTACCCTCTTTCTGACTTCGATCCTGAATTTTCTTCCGCGGGGGACAGCTTTGTTGCTCTGTAGCAAAAATCTCAAATGTCTTACCAGCAGGTTGGGTACCATGAGATATATTCCAAGAAGAGCTTGATGGAGGCCGTAGAGCCCCCTGTCCTGGAGCCGTTATCCCCTGGTCCAGTGGAAGACAGACACCAACGTCTCTGTGAATGGGCACTGAATCAGGGCAATCAACAACCTGGGGGGAAGAAAGTAAGCCATATTTCGGTGAAGGACTTTCAACCGAAGAGTTGTTCTCGCTAGCTTTCGTGGATGGCAGTAACCCTGTTGGTCTGATCCAGTTCGGAACAGAAGGTCCTAATATGTAGCGATAAAACATGTTCACCGGGAGAACAAGAGGGACTAAAACTACCAACAAAAGGATTGTAAAGGCCCATAATGAAAAGTTCGTCATGCCGAATATGCTCTGAAGATATGGTCAGTTTAGCACAAGGCTAGCTGTCTATGACAGAAAATGATGGGACATACCGCAACCCAGGAAACGGGGAGGAATGCAAAAGCGAGGACATTCAATCTGGCTACTGCCTGGCCTTGGGTCATTGTCTCGATGTTGAAAGCCTGAAGCATATTAGCCATATTTCCCACTCCTTTAGTTTGTGGTTCTCACAAGGCTTGTCATGTTTTCAAGTTGGCGTAGTAGAACTTGGGAGGTCTCTTCATGAAATTCGATATCCTCAAGATGCTCCTGTGCTCTTTCCGCTTGTATTTGGACTGCAGTGACTTTGTCAAGGTGAGCAAAGCGTGTGGTAGTACTTGCATGCACGCGTAGTTGTTCCCGCGCTGACAGTACCTTAGCCATTTCACTGTGGAGTGCTTGGGTCAGGTCAAGTAAAGGCATTGTGCGAGCACTATCATGTATTTGACGCTGAAATTTTGCAATGTTGCGTTTCGTTGTATTCCAAACCTGCCCCCATTCACGAAATATGTGTAGCAAATCGGTAAATATCCACAAATGGTCTTTTTGGAAGCGCGTCCATCTTTTTGTATATGCAGAGTCGTAGTGGGAATCCAAAAGTCTGCAGACTGCCGAGCTTGTACATATGATAAATACTCTACTTTTCTCAGTAGGTAGCTTGGTAGCTGATGGAGGACTAATCCAGATAGCGATCGGTAAGAAACCGACAAGATTGCTGTCAGAAACAAATGGATGATTCATGAGGCACCGGAAACCTGAGCAGAAATCCTTTAGTGATGAATATAATAGGGTATGTTTATGACGAACTCGCCTTCGGCTCGTTTATAAGACCTTGGTATTGTAGAGAAAGACTGTCCAGAAGATCCATTCTCTACAACCTTCTTGAGAAGGTCAAGTACGGGTGCAAACCCGGGGAAAATACACTCAAGCAAGTCAGCGACCGCGGGCGTGTAGACCTCAACCTGTATGATGCTGGATTTTCGGTCAATAAATCGAACGATTCTCATAGTAAGGGTGACAAATACTTTAAGAGTGATTCTTTAGGGGCCCTTAACTGTGCTAACGGACGTCCTATGTCGTCTGTAGTGAATCTTTGGCCTAAAAACACTTTGTATGGTCGGTCCCGTGAGGAGGCAACCGTTGACTCCAGCAGACTGCTCCAGATAGTGAGTGGAATCATAGCGTGGGCCAGATGCTATATCTCGCTGCACTGGCTATTTCCCTGTCGGGGATCGAACTACAGTAAATTATGGTCGGATAGTTATATAGAGCCACCCCCCATTCCATGGTGGCTGAGCAACCGACGCCGCAGTAACCCCTTGCTTTTCGACTGTCGGGCGCTAGCACGGCCTTTAGTATAACTAGGGAACTCTGTAGATACGTCACCCTATATTCCTAATTACATAGCCCCTATACTCTGTACACTCTTAAGGTCTAGTTAGTTAGTTAGTTAATTAGGTCTAATTAGTCACCTGACGACTACTTCTAACTATAACATATGAGTTGAGACTATTTGATAATTCCTGCTTTTGGAGTCTAGTAATCGAGGAAGAAGGCTAGTTAGTCGGAAGGTGAGAATAGTGAATTTAAATACAGGGATTCTACTATATGTCCGGTCTTCGTGTACCGCAAAGTACTATGAAAGCCGTTCAAAGATTCAAATTTAAAAAGCCTCGAGCAAGTCTTCGTAATTATCTTAGGTTTCCGTATTGGACCAGGAAAGCAGAGAATAAGAATGATTTAATTTTGACCATTTTGAATGATTCCGTCTACGAACATTCACGAATTATCTTAGTCCAAGGTTTATTCTCTATTTAGTGGGAATTGGTATGCTCTACTTCGCGGGGCTTTTGAGAACATGGGCTAGTTCTATATCTGGATTCCGCAACGCAAGGTTTGATTGCTTTTGTTTTCTTAAAGTATAAATGTTCTTGATGGCCCAAATGAGATGATGTTGAGTCGTTGCTGGCCGGGATATGACGAACTTTAAGTTTTAAACTAAATAGCACCACTGGATTTAGTCTAGCTGTTCGTCACATACAGTAATAGCATTGCTGGTTGGCGCATTTCACGATAGCATCATTGACGATCGGTATATCACGTAAACTTGTAGCCGATTTACCCGAGCCCCAATTCGGGGAACACCTTAACGCTGACAAATTGGCTCTCAGATAAAATGACAACCGCTTGTAGGCGCATTCGGAATGGTTCCAATTTTCTCCAAGCTAATTGATTACCAAGCATTCAGGGTGACCCTGGTGGAGACAAGATAGATTCTAAAGAATATCAATGTCGACATGGCCAACTTTGGGAACAACCATTTTTGTGACCTTAACCCATTCAATTCCATCTCAGAATTCCCACCACCTTAACGGCCATGGGTTCTCTCGCAAATGATCAAAACGGGGTCACCCCTTACAAGGGCCTGCCGTATTACACACCTGCCAACAATGGCGGGGCAGCTACAAAGCCAGAAGACCCCGCGACACCGACTCTATTCCGGCCACTCCAAATTCGCCAGTTAACGCTGAAAAATCGAATCATGGTCGCTCCCATGTGCATGTACTCGTGCCAATCCGATCCATCCTCGCCATTTGTCGGAGCATTGACCGACTATCACGTTGCTCATCTCGGTAACCTCGCTCTAAAGGGCGTAGGCTTGGTCATTATCGAGGCAACTGCAGTCCAGGCAAATGGTCGTATTTCGCCCAATGACTCGGGCCTTTGGCAAGAGGGCACGGATTCGGAGCAATTCAAGGGGCTTAAGCGTGTCGTTGACTTTGTTCATAGCCAGGGTGCCAAAATTGCGGTTCAGCTGGCTCATGCGGGTCGCAAGGCGAGCAGTATGCCGCCATGGATTGCCCAGGAGGCTGGCAAACGGAGTCTCCGAGCTGAGGAGTCTGTGGGCGGATGGCCGCATGATGTTGTAGGACCATCTGGTGGCGAGGAACAGATCTGGGCACCCGGGGATGGGTTCTGGGCTCCTCGGGAGCTCTCCACTGCGGAGGTGGAGGACGTGGTAAAGGCATTTGCCAGAAGTGCCGAGTTGGCTGCGAAGGCTGGCGTTGATACACTCGAAATCCACGGCGCACATGGCTATCTGATCAGCCAATTCTTGAGCCCAGTGACCAACAAGCGCATCGACAAGTACGGCGGCTCCTTCGAAAACCGGACGAGGATCCTTCGTGAGATTTCGGCTGCTATTCGTGCTGTTATTCCGGAGGGCATGCCTCTATTCCTGCGCATCAGTGCGACGGAGTGGCTTAAGGACAAGTTCTCCGAGTTCTGGGATCTTGACTCGTCTATTAAGCTTGCTAAGATCCTTCCTGACCTAGGCATTGACTTCCTCGACGTCAGCTCTGGGGGCAATCATAAGGATCAGGTACTTGAGCCTCATACCAACTACCAGATCGATCTTGCCAGTCAGATCCGGAAAGAAATCAGACATTCCGGACAGAAGACATTGATTGGAGCAGTTGGATTGATCACGGAGGCAAATGCCGCCAGCCAGATTGTGCAAGGATCTGATATCGACGAGGCACATGCCGCTGAATCGATGGTCGCAGGCTCGGATGCCCGAGCTGATGCTGTCTTATTGGGTCGCCAGTTCCTTCGTGAAGCAGACTGGGTGTATCACGCGGCCAAGAGTTTGGGTGTTGAAATTACTGTCCCCAAGCAGCTGGGCCGAGCTGTCTGAATGGAGGTATAGATCAATGCTGTAGTTAGATTTTGCGTCGGGGGTGTTGCATAGAAGAATTAGATCGCGTGCTTGGCAACTTGATCTATAACGAATGATCTTGAGCATTTAGTTCATAATGACTTGGACTTCTCGATTAGACACGGGCTACTTTCCACAGGAGCCAGACCAGTGGAACTCTCCAAGTGGACCCGAGTGGTCTAGTTATCCCCATTCGGCAGGTCAACCAGCAACCCCGCCAGTCACAGAATCCCCGATTGGTTGTAAACGGAGCTTCCCCGACTTCACTCGACATCGCATGTCCACCTTCTCCACGTTGTGAAAAGCTCCGAGCATATGAAAAATCTTGCACAATTACAATACCACACGCAAGCTATTGTGGAGTTCACAGTTGCAAAGCCGGCCCGGACTGCCGTCGCTCTCTTCCCCGGGATCAATGCTCTCCAAGCTTTAAATGAAAATCCAACCCTCCCTCAGTTTAACACCAGCGTCTTGGCCTAGCGACGTCCCTCCACCTTAGGACCAAGATGTCCACGCAGACGCAAACCAAGACGGAGACATTTGTCCTCCAAGCTAGACCTTCAGCTGAACCGACTTCGGAGGAACCGACTATCCTGCAGGAATCAGAAGTCGAACAACCAACACAGCCAAAATGGCAGTATCCCAAGATCCTCAGCGCCGGTTTTTCATTCTTCGTGGCTGGGATAAACGACGGCAGTCTCGGATCCCTTATTCCCTACGTGATACGCAGCTATTCAATTGACACGAACATGGTCGCTATTCTGTAAGTGATTAGAACATGGCCATCATCACCCACAACTTTACATCGAAGAGATTATACTCACAACCTCTCTAGATACGGCGTAACATTCTTCGGCTGGCTCTTCGCCGCTGTATCCAACAGTTTCATCTGCCAACATCTCGACCTAGGCATGATCCTCCTCCTGGGAGCCTTCCTCCAAATCCTCGCCCACGTCCTACGCACCTGGCTCCCTCCCTTCCCCCTCTACGCAGTAACATTCTTCTTCGTAAGTCTGGGCCAAGCATACAACGACACGCACGCAAACACCTTCGTAACGTCCGTCCGCGGAGCCCATCGCTGGCTCGGCTTTATCCACGCCATGTACATGGGCGGATGTCTAGTCAGCCCCTTCGTCGCGACGGCTGTAGCATCGGCCAACACACCGTCCAAATGGAATTTATTCTACATTTTCCCGCTGGGAATTGGAGTTATTAATATGGTTATCGTGAGTGTGGCGTTCCATGATCGGATGCTCGTGTCGAAGAAGAAAGCGAGACTCGATACGGCTGAGGGTGAAACCGAGTCGAAGGGGAGAACTGCGTGGAAGGAAATCAAGGCTACGCTTTCTTTGCCGGGGGTGTGGCTGTTGAGTCTGTTTTTCTTTTTCTTCCTCGGTGCAGCTATTACTGCCGGTGGATGGATTGTCGAGTACCTCGTCAAGGTCCGCAATGGAGATCTTAAAGACATGGGTTACGTCCCGGCTGGATTATCTGGGGGTGGATTTTTGGGCCGTCTCCTTCTTGCAGAGCCGACGCATCGGTTGGGAGAGCGTCGGATGATATTCATATACGCCATTTTGTGTGTTGGATTGCAACTTGTGTTCTGGCTGTGAGCTTTTGAACCTGGATCTTGGATTCGTTGAATGCTTGCTAATCGGTTATATCAGGGTTCCGAATATCATCACTGAAGCCGTTGCCGTGAGTTTGCTGGGCTTTTTCTCCGGTCCCTTCTTCGCGACTGTATGTATTTGTCCCTTATTCCACACAATGTGAATAGCATCTGATTAATCATATCATGCAGGGCATCTCCGTTGGATCCAAGATCTTCCCTCCAGAAATAGTCTCCTCGGCAATCGGTAAGCATGCACCAACCTTCAAATATTCCTCTTTGTAATTTCTAACTCTACCAGCATTCGTCTTCGTCCTCGGCCAAATTGGCGGGTCCATATTTCCCGCTGTCACCGGTGTCATCGCCGCGGAGGTCGGTGTCAAGGTTCTACAGCCAATGTTGGTAGGACTATACGCTGCGGCGGGAATCAGCTGGCTATTCCTCCCAAAGGATCTTGAGCTTCATAGGGACTAGCGGTTGGAAACATGGACTATCCATAGAACTTTACAAAAACATGTAAATATGGCACGAGAAACTGAACATGAATTGCTACAAAAAGCTCCAAACACAAAGCCGACAGCCCAAACCAAACTCCAGGGTATAAGAAATCGTAACATCATGACATCACGTAAGTCTTCAGCAACACTCAAACCATTCCATCCAAGCTCCTCTCCCCTTCGGAACCCCATATCAAAAGATATCATCAGGCCACGGGTACTTCTCCAAGGCAGAAGGTTGCAGGTTCAGCACAGAAGACGACTGCTCCTCGAGCGTCCCCTCGCCCTCTTTCGCAGGGCCCGGTTTCTTCGTTGGTGACGCGTTCACCTTGGCAGCATTCATCAAAAGCTCCTTGGGGAGAGGCGGCACAGGAGGAATATCGCTATCCTGCCACCTTCTCTTCCGACCCGAACTAGATTTTGTAGGTGAAGCGCGCGGGCTCCGATCGGGATCCAGTTGAGGGTCCGGTTGTAGATAGAACGCATGCAAGGTTCTAGTGGGTACGGGAGACGACGAAAACACATCGTCAGCCGCTGCGCCAGGTGATTCAGGAATGGTAGTCGCGGTAGGGGACACGGAGCGCATGTTGGAATTACCGCGTCTCGTGCGCAGGAGAGGAGGGGTTGGTACGGTCTTGGATTTTGGTGAATGGGCGATAGCTGGCGAGGATCTTCGAGGATTGGCGGATGGGGACCTTTTGTGCATTGAACCTGGTGCTTCTCGCGCCAAGATTTCAACATTGCGCTTACGCTCGACGGAACCAGGGCTATCGCCGGCCTCAAATTTCTGCCATTTCGCTTGACGTGGTGGGATGAGGAGGCCAAAGTCGATCAGGTCGTCATCGTGGTCGGGCGGGCGGTCGTCGAGGTCGATGCGGTTCGCCAGATGGGACTCATGGGGCTTCGGGGTCCGACTATCGAGATGTTCAGGAACGGGGGACTTCCGTTTGCGGGAAGAGCTTTCCTTACTGATGGACGATGACCGCATGTCTCGTGGTCGTCTGCTCGGTGACCGAGATGTAGCAGTGCTGTAGGTCGGTTGTGATTCTTCAAGCGAGATACTTCCTCGACCCTCCACAGATGGCAAAGCGGTTAGTTCGGATGTGACAGCCTCAGGCGATTCGGTGATCATGCCGTGTTGGTCTAGAAGTCGTTCGGAGGGGAGTGTGGGTAGAGCGCCTGGCACGAATTTGCGAGGGTAGCTGCCAGGGTCCATATCGAAGCTCAAAGACTTTCGATCTGGGGTCGTTGAAGGCAGCCGTTCCTCATTGCCAGATAGTTGGCGAAGCTCTCGTCGAGCTCGTTCCAGCTTGTCTTCGAGGTTGCTCACTTTCTTGAGCAGTTTCGTCTGGCGTGAGAGTTCTTTCCGAGACTTTTGCTTGCGGAGACCAGTGTCTTCAATCGACTCTTCTGATGTTCGCTCTTGGTAGATTGATGTCGTTGACGACTGATCATGATGCCGTATGAACGGAATCCCCAAAGAACGCAAGTCCTGGAAAGACGAGCGTTTGGAGGATTTGGATGCAGATCGTGAAGGCGTAGGGATATCGACACGATCCCCCGAGGAACCAGCACCAGCCACGCCAGTATCGTAATTCATCTTGGCTTGAATGGCTTGCCATGTCTGGTCGGCATGGGTCGGATCAACCGCACAGCGGCTATTGGCATTATTCTGACTCTGCAGATAAGCACCCTTGTTGGTGCCCTTGTAACCGGCTTTCTTGAGTTCAGCATAAGCCTCCTCCGCCTGGCTGAGAGCATCCTTGGGAGGCTGCGGGTTGGCACTCTCTGCAGCGCTCTTACCCCAACCCCCAAACGGATTAAACGCCGAGGCGATCGCCTTGCCAAATCGAAAGATCCCAGATTGCCGTTGCCGCGGTCCAGCAGGTTTACCATCATGCATGAAGATACTCGGAGGCTTCTCGCTGATACTATCAGACATAGTCGCCTCGACGAATCGCGACCGTCGACCGAGCCTCATACGAGGGCTATTAGTCGATGCACCTCCATGCCGACCACGCAATGAGGCGAGAGAAGTACGAGGCGATGCCCGCGGTGATGCTCGATATCCGCATGCAGGGCCTCCGGGTGCATGCCCATTGCGAACGTGTCGGCGATCGTGGTGCCCATAATCCGCAGCCTCTTCGGGTAGAGGCCAATCGTTGGAACGGCGCCGTTTCACGGACTTGGCTGAAGGCGACTTGTAATCTTCCAGCTCGGGCTCCTCGGCGGCATCGTCGAAGCGACCGGAGATATCCGAACTCCAGTCCGGCACATCCTCCTCCTCGTCACTGCTGCGCAAGTGTTTTCGTGAAGTGCGCTGCTGGGCGGGGTTGGAGTCGACGTCCATTTCGGCCGGGTGAGAGGGTGGCTAGAGGTGGCGTCGAACGAGTCAGATTCACTGTTTTGGGGTATTCAGGAGATAAAAGGTTCTCCGTTAAACCAGTGCATAGAGGTAGTGGCCAGGACAAGGGCAAAAAGGCACTCACCATTGCGCGGAGGCGTGTCCTTCCTTATCCCTACTTACTCCCCGCGTCCGTGCTGCGGGCAGAGAGAGGAAGTGATTCAGTACAGCACTGAGCCGACCAGATAATGCTGCATGGGAAAAAGTTATCCGAAAACCAGTCGACAAAAGGAAGGCTAAACCGAGAGCAGAGAAAACAATGTATTCCAAGGCAGAAGGCGTGTCAAAGATATTAAAAGTCCAGAACAGAGGGCCGTAGCGGTCTAGCGTGTTGTCACATACTCCACGCTTTCCCAGGGAGGAAGTTTGTTTTGATGTGGGGACCAACCAATCTAGCCAGCGGAAGTATTCACTACCAGACAACACTACGATCCACCCACCATTTACCCTGGTATCATGGACATTTACAAGTACGGAGCTAGGAAGAGAATGTTCCTGACACAATCCCTATCTACTATTGACATACTGTGGCTCCTTTCTTCTCGAAGGATACAATAATGTAGGCACATCCAGGTATAAAGGGATTCCCACCTTGCGGGGCAGATCGATCGGAGTCCTTTACTGGGATTCCGCGTGTCTCAGACGGGACATGGGTGTAATTTCTCCCCGGGGAATGAGCTAGAGGGAATGTGATAACACTGGAGGTTATAGAGAGAGGGAGAGAGTCATGGTGAAGAGAGTCTTGACGGGAAAGCATTGCGGACATTCATGACATCACTCTCTTTGGATACTGGATACACCTAACACAAGCAATTTACGATGAGTTCGATGGAGTATAGTAATCAGATTTTCCGATTTCGGCCAAACAATGCTAGAATAGGTATCAAAGTCATGCCACAACGCCAAACGAATCCAGGACAATTGTCCAGCAAAACAAGTCCTCCCGACGCGGTACATATCAATATCGCTGTGGAGAAAACACGGACAAGCAAGGGATTCCCAACATCACGTATCGTCAAGATGCACTTTCATAAATATACCCAGTCCCTTTTTCCCTTTTCAGGAAATCCAAAATTGCAGCAGAAAACATCAATCGCTGATAAAAGACTGGGATGAAAAAAAGAGACCGACAACAACACCACCCTTTTGACCGTAGGAAAAAGGAAACGACCAAAGCCCGTTAATCAAGGGCATGACAACTGAACAACTAGATCAAGGTGATCAAGGTCACAAGGGGTGACTCCCCTCAACAGAACAACCAGCTAGGACGAGATCATGGCAAATCTCCTCGTCCAAGGAAAAGGAGAGTATATATGGAAGAAAAAGATACCAATGCAAATAATCTCCGTAGGAATGAGATCAACAAACAGATCGGGGAATAGATATGAAAAGACCGACGTAACCGTAAACCACCAGGTATTGGCCAACCGATTTCCGCGCAGACCAAATAGAACATGGACAGAACAACAAAAAAAGAGACGACTTCGTGGACGATCGGACCAGAGGAAGCAACGCATCGAGATATCTAGGCACCAGGCAAGGATGATCCACCGAGGGAGGAGAAGGAATTCATGTACAGGAAGAGAAAATGCAAAAGGGCGCTCATTCCCAGGAGGGCGAACCAACCCAGGGGGTAAACAGACCCCCCTTTTGATCCCACCCAGCAGGATTGAGAAACGAGCTATGAGAAGAAATGATCACGTTTTCTTGAGAAGCACTTTATTGCCCGGATGGAACTTTCATGACCATTCTCCCGTTCGCACGCTTGTATGCCATATCAACACCCAACTCGGCCATCAAGGCAGCGCGACTCTCAGCAGAGAAGTCGCGGTAGGCACTTGGATAGGGATCCACATCTGGGCGCATGCCGTTCTGCATCGACCGGTCGTCAAGACCGAATGAATCTTCATGCGAGCGTTTGCTACCAACGGGTCCGGTATGGTATAGCATCCGCTTCCCTGAGACAGCATCGTATCCGGGACTCGGTGAGCCAACCTCGATAGTCGAATCTAGGTTCGCATATTCACTAGTCATGTTCTTGACGGGGGGCGCAGGGTAAGTTGTATGGCCGGGTGTCGGGGTGGGTACGCTGGGCATCATGCCCTGATGCATAGGCTGATATTGAGACGGATCAGGTACCATATATTGTTGTACTTTGGGCGGCTCCACGTGGTACGAAGTCATATTGTTCTTTGGATAACCGGTCGGTTCGATCATTTGAGATGCCATAGGGTATCCTGCGGGCGAAGCTTCGTATTCGGTTGTAGCTGAGGGATGTCGGATGTTGGCATAGGTAGTGTGAGGAGAGTAGTTGCCCGGTGGTGCCACCGGTGGAGGCGTTGGAGGCATGTGAGCAGTAGGATAGTGACTAGGCGTAGAGCCAAAGGAAAGATGTGATTGGTAGGAAGGGGTCTGGGTGTGAGACATAGGCGCGGGCGGCATCGGTCGCTGGTAAGGTTGTGGTGGACATTGGAAGCCATAGTCGGGACCTGATTGCCGCCGTTGGATATCGGGTCCGAATCCATATGGTGAATCTATCGCACTGCCGTTGCTGTTTGATCGAGGGCGTTCCACTGTCTGTGCGACATAACGATCTGGTGTTGAGTACCGGTCGGACCGTGGGTAAACTGCCGTACTCCCTTCATCGTATTCATATTCTTCATCGCGCTTATCACCCCGACGTCTCATGCGAACATCACGACGAATGCGAACGCGACATCCTTGCTCCGCAATGATGCGGCTGAGAGATGTGCTAGTAGCCAGGCCAGGGAACTTCTTCGCGCTATAGACGGTGAACGGCACCGACTTGACTTCGAGGCGGAAATGCAGGTATGATTGTGGTGATGCTGGCTTTGCTGAATTGGACCGGCCCATCTGGTTGGGAAGCGGCGCGTTCGAGTCTTGGTCGGCATCCTTGGCATCTTTAATCTCTTCGTATAGATGGAAACTCAACCGATATCGACCCTCATGGCGCACTGATAGATCGGGAAAGATAAAGTAGCCAGCTTGGGAAGGACGGTCGAGATATGCTACACCCGCGACTGGCACTCCGGTTAATACGGGGCATGACGGCGGTCCAGCCACCCGCCCGTGGGCGATAGGGCGCGCCGTGTCCAAAGTTGCATAGAGAAAGAAATTGGCATTATAGGCAAAGGTGATATCGGTTTTCTGCGCGTCGTTGGCAGGATCGGATTCATAAATGCGCAATTCAACGACGGGTGGAGGGTCAACAGGGCGACGGTCGGCCGAGGCTATTTGTGATGAGGATGATTAGCAGGACATCCCCAAGAGTCGAGTTGGACTTGGGGGGAGACAGCGAAACGAAGACGGCTTACACTTGGCGCCAGCACCACAGGCTCTTGCACGTTCAGGTTGTTGCATCACACTCAAATTGTATGTAAGCTTTTTACCCTCGCGAGTGATTCGGCTCACGGAGTGAGTCGTCTCGTTATGAGGCGGCATCATGGGTGGTCGGGCTGCCATTTTGTACACTTTATGAAATAATTATCGTCCTCCAGGGAAGTTTTCTATCGGTCGCAGCGATATCAGCAAGTCGAACCCGAGAGAGATTGGCGGCACAGTCGATCAAGTCGGAATATTGCGGCGTGCGACGTACATCGACGTGTTTATCCTCCCTTCTGGTACTTTTCTGGTGCACGACCCGATCGCAGTCGAGTCGGGCCAGATATATTTGTCGACCCTTGTCAATCCTCCCAAGTCTGATGGGTGTCTTTAATTTTCTTTGTTTCCTCGGTGGCCTTGGTCGGGGGGAATTCAACCCTTGCTCGGATCACGATTCGCAGGCGGTCAATGGGCGGCCGTCGGGGGTGGATGTTTGGAAACGGTCGGACTGGACGGATTTCGATAAATATCAACAGGGTACTGTTTTCGATAACGGGACAGCCCTGAGCGACGACTGATGATGAAGAGAGTGAAGGATGGGGAGATGGGGGAAGGGGAAAAGCGAGAGGGGGAGAGAAACAGTAGTGACACTAAGGCAGGCTTTCAGGCTTTGGCTCAGCCGTGACTTGCTGGGAAATCGTTAAATTACGACTTCGTACGGTACGAGTACGGGAGATTCACAATGTCCTGGTTATCAAATGGCAGGGCCTTTGGTGTGGACCGTATCCATACATTACAGTACCGATACACATGCTATGGACGACCCCCACAAGTCTCATCAGAATCATGGAGATGGTTGTCCCACCTTCTTGGTGATTATTTTCCTGGTCTCCAACTTTCGCCTTGAAATAGGGATGAGTTCATTCCATGGTCACGATTCCATGAGGGGGTCTCTTGATTGATTACCCAAGGTTGCCATCTTATCTATTACGACCATCTATCCATGGATGTACCCGATGAGGGCCATTCCTGGATTATTGCCCTGGTCTACTCATTGTATTCTCTCGCTCTTTCTCGCTTCTCTTTGCGCATCTCATCCGGATTTCGGGGCTATCGACTGGGTGTGATCTGCAGTCTCAGGCAAGCTTCCTCGAACTTGACCCAGTTGGTGCTAGCGTAGTTCGTTAGGGCTCCTTCGTGCGCTGCCAGTCAAAAGTCCCAGACCCGGTGGGCTCAGAGGGGGATTGGAGGAAGAATAAGAGGAGAAAGACTCCTGCTTGACGGATAGAAGATACGCAGGCTGGGGGTAATTCATAGTCCTAGGTGGAAATCAATTCTGAACTGATCTGATGGTAGGTTCTCTGTATACAAGTAGTTATTATATTCTATGTGATCCTAATATGCCAACATTGATAAAAACAAAATTAATCTACAGTACTATCTACAGGACAGCAATTCCCCTTTTCCAGAGGCCCGTCATGGTCGAAAAGAAGTATGGTCAATTCCCACCTTCTTGGTCTCTGGGCCGCTGGACCCGTAGATCCTTGGGTGATCCGGAGCGTCCATTCCATCATGGCCAATCCCGCCCCATGCTCTATCCAGGA